TTACTCTTTTTTGAAATTTGGCTGGGCAAAATTGAAGAGATCAGATGACAATTCAAGGTTTGAATTTTTAACATCCTTCAACTCTTACATGTTCTTTGGGAGGTAATGTTTTCTGCTGAATAAAGCTTTGAAGAGGCTGTTGGAGGAGTTGTTAATGGAGACGATAAGCTTTGGTCAATTTCTGTCATCAATTTTGATAACATTAATTGTATTGTTATTGGTGAATTTGCATGTCGCGCTTTTGAAACAATATTCGAATAATGACATTGTGGAATTTGATAAATTGGCAGCAACGGAACAGAACACGTCATTTTAAAAAAAATAATAAAAAATGCACAACGATCGAAGAAATATTCTCTTTGATGATGTTGGTTTCAACGTGGACGCAACATCACCAACACAAAGTCTGGATTTTTTTGATAGCGGGTTTAGCTCTAGAAGTTCTGTCGGAGGAGCTTCATCACCACCTCTTGGAGGAGATGTTCATTCGAGCGGAGCAATGGATTCATCAATGAATATGCATGCATCATCATCAAGTGGTCATAATTCTGGTGTTGGTGGATTTGGTAATTTATTTGGAGCCTTTCAAAATGGAGGAGGAAATATGCTTTTTCAAAATCCGGCAGCTGACTTTATGTTTAATTTGGGAGTCAATCAAATATATGACAGTGTTGGAGAACGAACAAATGATATGAGTAGCCGATATTGGCAATGGTTTGACGGATTGAAATGTTATTTTAATGTGACAAACAGTTATGTCAGCAGAAAATTATTGATGGTCTTGTTTCCCTTCAAAAAGTTCCAAGATCAATCCAATACATCATCAGCCAATTTCAACCCATCTCAACAAGGAAATACTCCTACTCCTCAACAGGAAAGACATCTAAATGGCCCAGATTTATACATCCCTCTCATGGGATATATTACCTACGTATTGTTGGTGTGTTTTATCATGGGCGCTTACAAGGAGTTTAAACCCGATCTTCTGTACAGTATCGGAATGAAAGGTTTCATCACGTCACTTTTAGAAATTTCGATTGTAAAATTTGGATTTTATTTCCTTGGTGTTCCAAGTAGTTTAGGAGTTCTTGATGTGGCTGCCTATTCAGGGTACAAATATATCGGAATTATTTTGACCTTATTATTGACATCTCTATTCGGAACCTATGTGTATTATCCTGCATTACTGATTTTCAGCATTATGATGTCCACTTTCATGATCAAGTCATTAAGAAGAGCCGGTGTTCACTCATCAGACAACAGTATGAGACTTAGAGGAGATAGCACTGCTTCAAAGAGAAATTACTTTATATTTGTGGTAGCCCTTTTGCAAATTCCATTCTTCTTCTTCCTTACTTTTAGTTATGCCAAGCCATTGTTTGATTTGATGGCCTCTTCTTCCTCTCCATTGAGCAATTCGCCACTCTCGACAACAACTGACACAGGCAGCGCGTTGAATCAGCCAAACACTATCAACAACCTTAAATAAATAGTTCATTCCACACAGTTTTATCACTTCACAAGAACTATCGGAAATGATGAAATAAATTTTTGTTTTTATAAAGGGTATATTGTTGCGATTGACGCAAGTAATAGTTTAACGGTAAGACTTTTGGAATCTTGCTCTAGCCTTACGACCTCCAAACTTCTTTGGTTCTCTTCTTCTTGGATCAGCAACGAGCAATGATCTGTCATATTCCAACAAGGATTGCTTGATATCTCTCTTGGATGCTTCATCAACATACTTTTGATAGTATGAGACGAGAGCCTTGGCAATAGCTTGACGGATAGCATAGACTTGAGAGACCTTACCACCTCCTCTGGTTCTAATTCTGATGTCAACTTGCTTGAATTTGTCCTTACCCAACAAGAGAACAGGCTCGAAGAGCTTGAATCTCAAGATTTCAGGTTGGATAAGTTCGAGTGGGGTACCGTTAACCTTGATGAGACCCTTTCCCTTCTTACATTGAGCGACAGCAATAGCAGTCTTCTTCTTTCCAAAAGTTTGCACAAGTTCTTCAGACATGGTGGAATGATTTTGGCGTATTTTTTTTCAACAAATTTTTTCAAAAAATTCAGTCATCCGAAAATGAGAGTTTACAACGTCATATAAAATTCGTGGCACTTGACACTGAGCTGTGGTTCGATGGTACTGAAGTCAGTTGGACCATTATCAGATGAATTGGCTTTATTCATGATGAAAAGCAACCAATCCGTAATTGTAACTTAATAAACTCCTTCTCTGAGCGTAGGGTATTTGCATGATAGTTTTCTCTTTACCAAATATCTCTACAAGGCGTCTTTATATCGTTTTCTTTTCTTTCAATTTGAACCTATGTTGGATAATACAATGAACAAATTCGCATCACTGCCAATCTCAACAAATTAGTTGCTCTCATTGTGTGTTTGTGGTAACCTCCCACAAAAGATTTGATGCCTGTTGTCATCACCTCCTGTGCCAAGTTGTACATTACGAAAATAATATCCCTTTTGACCGTAAAAAATTTCAAAACTCGTGAGTGAGGAGAACTCTCTCGTGAAGAGTTGAACTACAACGTCGTTGCGACTACGAAGGTAGTAGTACATTTGTGCTGCTTCGAATCGTAGATAGGTGCCATCTATAAAATCACCATCACCATTCATTCATCAACAATAACCCCCATTTTGCTTTAGCGGATTTTTTAAATTATTTTCTTCCTACTCGCTTTGGTAGTACTTTAACTAGTCATCATCATCATCATCGTTGTTTGTTATTATTGTGAACGTTACCCAAAAATAACAACAACTCACCACCATCATCAAACCTAAATTAATTTATTGAACATTGTACAAAGAGAAAAGATAATAACTCGGAACATCGAGCTATTTTCTTCATATTCAATCCGCACTCTTGTATATTGTCATTCTCGTGATAGTAGTATTATTAACTTTTTTCTTCGCTCAGATATTCGTTATACTTCATTACTATTGCAACAGAGAGTAGAGGAAGAAATAACTTCTTACATGATTATTACTGCCGAAAATAACATCTTTTCATTTAAACTTTAGCTTACTCATACTCGACATCATTGTCAAGATATTATTTGACCTCTAACCATCAATATTTACTTCACCTCTTTAAGAATGGGAAATAGCAACGCTAGAAAGATTTTCGAGCAATTGGATAAAGGTAAGCAATTTTGTGACTTGTGAACACTCCTTGTTGAAACAATAACAATCATTGCCATGATTAATTAATACTCTTAATCTGACTCATTAGATAAATCCGGAAAAGTTAGTTTGAGCGAGCTGTTAAATTCGGATGAGCAGCTTGGCTCCTCATTTTCATCTCTTACCACGCTTTATCACGTAAGTGTGAATCTCTGCATAATCTATTCAATACTTACCTTCAAAACTCACAATGAAAACTAGTTCGATTTGGGAAAAGAGGGAAAACTCAATTACAAAGAGTTCGTAGAAATGGACAAGTTCGTTCAGCGCATTAAACACCAGGTCGAAAAAGAAACGGAAGATAAAGAGAAGCATTTACATGAGAGTCATCATCATTCAGCCACATCAGACGTAGCATCAATTATTGGAAAATTGTTTGGCAGAAGTACAAGCAACGAAAATTTAGAAAACCACAATCAATCACTTGATACCTTGTCTTCGTATGGCTCTGGCAACGTTTCTCCAACAAGCGCAGAAAAACTCTCTGTGAAATTCTTTGCTTCACCTTCCAAATCGCCAACATGCAAGAGATTGACATCAGAACATGCCTTTTCAGATTTGGTAAAGGACCGTGTCAATTACGAGCTATTACCTGCCTTGCACAAGGAAATGTTTTGTAAGGAAGGGCGAAAGAATTTTTTGAACTGGCTGTTTAAACTGGTACGTAATTCATTTAATCTAAACTACATCACAATGTAATAACAAACCTTTCAATAGTCTGACGTTGACCGTAGTGGTAGAATTTCCCGAAAACAACTGGAACTGATTCTGAAAGCAGTTCAAAAGGACGGAATAGATCTTGAATGTCTACTGTTTGACACAGACAGTGATGAAGAACACAATCATCATTCTACCAACATTACTAATCACATCCTAACCCATGAAGAAGAGGTTCAAAAGTTCAATAGATTGGTAGATCGAATAATGGATGAGTATGATGTAGAGGGCCACGGATTTTTAAATCAGCAAGAATTTATGAAGTTAGGAGAGATAATTTTGACCAAATATGAAGCACTTCATCTTGAGAACACTGATTCAAAGATTATTGGTGATTGGAAAATGACCCATATACTTGGCCGTGGAAGCTATGGAGTTGTAAGATATGCTCACCATGTTGACGATTACAACGAAAAGAGAGCCATAAAAATCATTAAGAGAGGTAATGTGAGCGACATGTCAAGACTGGACATTGAGATTCAAGCGATGCAAATGCTGAAACACAAAAATGTCGTACAATTGTATGAAGTACTTGAAGATGACGAATATGTGTATCTTGTTATTGAATTATGCGGAGGTGGCTCTCTCTATGAACACATCAAGGACAAACCTTTTGATGAGAAATTGGCCAGATATTATTTCAATCAACTTGTTGATGGGCTGTCCTACTGCCACGAAATGGGAGTTTGTCATAGAGACCTGCGTCTTGAAAATTTGTTACTTGATAACGAAGGGCATTTAAAGATTACTGACTTTGGTCAAGCAAGAATTTTTAAGAAAGGTTGGGATTTGTTTTCAACTCAACTTGTAGGAAGTTTATATCATCTTTCTCCAGAACAAATTGAAGGAAAGGTTTATGCTGGAGAGAAAATAGATATTTGGAGCGCTGGTATTATTTTATACTGTTTCGTCACATCCAAACTTCCTTTCTGCTCTTCTGACGTAAATACCATGTTTGATGACATCAAGAACGCTAGATATACATATCCTGACGATGTTGAGGTCTCTGTGGAATGCCAAGAGCTGATTTTTGGTATGCTTCAACCTAATCCAAAAGTTAGAGCAACTCTCAAACAGATAAAAGAGCATAGATGGACCAAAGGACCACAGAGCCAACCAAACTTGATGCTTGAAACTATGTTATTGAATGGATTCTTTGAAAAGAACAAGCACATTCCAAATCTCCACAAAATTATCGGAAGAATTCTTATGGACATTTTAAAGCAATTTGATTGCCACTTTAAAGTTGAGGTGAAGAAGAAGGATATTAGGCTTCCAACAAGCAGCAGCCAAGTGTTCATGGGGAATACATCCACTGTCAGTCAAATGGTTAGAGTTTCATCTGATTCAGATATGTCATGCAAGAGTGACAGGAGTGAAGACGGAGAAAAAGATGAGCTTCCTTATACTCCTCATTCTGCCTCAGATATGCGGTCGTCAGCCAGCTGCTCCATGATTGATGGTCCACGACAAAAACCGATATTAACCATTGATACAACCATCAAAAAGAGTCCTATACATGCTTTAAGCACAGATGCTTCTCCTCTCCTCCTTCAACCATTTCTTATTTTGAGATGCATCCATGCAAAGAAAGATGTTAAATTTTTAATTACTGCAGAGGAAACAGAAAACAACTCTCTCGCCATTATTTTTGCATTACGGGACGGAGAAACAAAAGAATTCAAAAGTAAGGTAGCAAAAATGAAACCAGAGATTATGACCAGATTGACATCGTAGTGACATGGAGAAATAAATTCGTTTTCCAACACCGTCCTCTCACTGTGCTTTACATCCCCTTTCCAATAACAAAACACCTAATACCTTGGATACAACCAAGCAAAAAGAAAAAATAGAAGCTCCCATGCCGGGAATCGAACCCGGACCTCCTGGGTGAAAGCCAGGTATCCTAACCATTGGACTACACGGGATATTACATTATCTTTGTTACTGGTTCTCTCAAAAATAAAGTGCAAAGGTTGGTTTGTTAAAATTTAGCAAATTGCCGTTTTTCTCCACCGATATCAATTTAGAATCTCCTTTGGTCTTCCTTTCTGTTAGTACCGTCATCACAGTTCAAAAAAAAAAAGCACAATGTATTCTGATTACCTGCAACACAAGCCCAAGTACAAAGAAAAAAGCAAAGTCAAGCAAGCAAAAGAAAATTTCAAACGAACGTTATATCAAAAATGGAAGTTTCTATATAAGCTCGGTCATTTATCACCCTAACCCTAGAAACCTCTCTTGCTCTTTCGTTATTGAAACTACAGATGCCCTTTCTTTACGGGCCGCCTTATTTCACCTTCAATTTTCATTCACAACTTTTAGATTGTTTCAATTTTGTCCGTCAATAAAACTTTCAAGAGCCAGTTTGTGTCTATTTTAAAACAACTAGCAATCAACCTCAATGTACACTTACCTTGTCCGAACCAACCCTACTACTAATTCTCGCCGAGATCTCTCATGAACCTTTCCAGTTTATGCTCTCACTGTAGACATCAAAAAAATTCATCTGTCACTCGCCACTCCTGTCATTAAAAAAAAATCTCGCTCTCACTCGTTCGAACGAATCCTCTCTTGTCTTTTTAAAGACAAGTCTTTCCTATCACCACCATTCATTCCTCCATCCCTCTCACTTGTTCATCATTTCTACTCGAACATTCAATAATTTTCAAATTTGAATCGAGTGTGTAGAGATTTAAACATTTACGAAATTTCAAACACATCTTTCAACAACAACAACACGTTATCATTGTGCGGATTGTTGATTTTATTGTATATTCATTGATTCACGATATCATCATCAGTTGTCAATCTCATCGATTATTATTATTATTACAACAACTCAAAAACAATCATCGACAATATGAGTAAACAATTTGACAAGGAAAAGAGAAGAAAGATCTTTGAAGAAATTATAGACACGGAGGAGAAGTATTTGTATTCTCTCGAGTTATTGAACAAGGTATGTGGTTGACATTGGACAGCTTTCTGACCATGATGGTCATCTATGAACTCATGACTGTTTATCACACATGTGTGGTCATGTTCATCCAAACCTTTCTTCTGAATGAACTTGGAACTTGCTTGTCTATTCGGTCATCAACAACCACGGAACATTCCCTACATACACCACATGTATACATTCCAGAATTATATTGTTCCTTTGAAAAAGAACAAATACTTGAAATTCGGTCGAGAACTCAACACCATCGTGTCCAATTTGACAGTCATTGTGAATTTCAATAATCACTTGTTGACCAAATTGAAAAATGCGAGTGAAGATGACATTGGAAAAACTTTTCAAATGATTGTCCCGTTTCTAAAAACATATACACAATACTTTAGTAACTATGAAGCTGCACTCAATAGCATTCGAGAGGCAGACAAGAATCCAAAAAATAAGAAATTCTCAGAGTGGCTCAAAAAGACGGATGAACGTTCGAAAGAGGCCAATCAACAGACGTTTAAACAATTGTTAATTCAACCTGTACAACGAATTCCAGTAAGTACTATACATGATGACCCGAGTGTTGTTGGTTGATTCCATTCATGAATTTGTATTGACACACAATCTTGTGTGACAATGAATTTGTTAATATATTGTGTGTGTGTGCGTGACTGATCTAATGTTCATAATCATGATGACTAATGTTAATAATCATGATGATGATCTTGCAAATCCTTGAAATGTTATCAATTTTATAGCGTTACAATTTGTTACTTTCAGAAGTATTAAAGAATACACCAAGAACTCATGTAGATTATGACAATTTGAAACTTGCCTCAGAAAAGATGAAAGAAGTAGCTGATCACTTGAATCGACAAATTACTGAAATTGAAAATAGAAACAAACTCATCAAATTGAAAGAAATTTTCGTTTTAAATCAATCTGGTAAAGGAAGTGGTATTACAAACATTGTAGAACCTCACAGAAAATATGTCTTTGAAGGAGAATTGAGTATATTGAGTGACAATGCATTGAACAAACAAAAACATTACTTTTTCCTATTTAGTGACATGCTTGTTTGTTGTAATGAAGTTCCAGAAGCAATCAAACGGAAACTCATTGAAGACAAATTCAAACCACAACCAACCAAAGAAAAAAAGAGATTGACATTATTTAGAAATGGAGAAGACAATACTAATATTGAAAGATCTACTGGAGCATTCGATGACGATGACAATGAAATTCCAGAACATTTCTATACCATTACATTCACCATCAAATTCAATACTGAAAAATTAATATTGTCATCACCTACACCCACACCAACTTCTTCACCACTCATGTCCACAGCGTCGTCACCAAGTACTCCTTCAGATAGTGTCGTTGAGGATATTTGGGTTCGAGATTTCACATCCTTTGAAAGTGAAAGATTTAACATTCCAACTTTATTCCAATTAATTACATCCAAAGAGACTTATACATTTGAAACCAATGATACCAAATCACGTGAGAAATGGGTGTCACATTTGAATTCGACTCTTGAAGAACTCAGAAAGAAAAAGAAAGACACTGGAAAGGATCAAGCAAAACCAAAAGGATATCCCATTGTGTTACTCAATCTCGCTGCATTGTACGTGCAAGCCATTGCTCGTAGCAAATTAACGAGAACCAAGAAGGGAGATGTTGAAAATCGATTCAAACCAAGGAAAAAGACACAAAAACCTGTCACTTCTCCAATGGATCAATCTCCAACAACACAACCATTCAATGAACCAATTTCATCCACTTCTTCTTCGAATCCATCATCCTCCACATCAATGGAACAACAAGAAAATTCTCCAAGACCAGTTCGACTTCAATTTGTGAAACCAATTTCAGAAGTCACAACAACAACAACAACATCGTCGTCATCATCATCATCATCGTCACTCACATCACCACGTAAAGAACAACCAACCTCGACAATAACAATAACAACATTGAATGATTCCGTTTCTTCACAAGTCGTAGCAACTCCACAACTCGTGGAAGAACCACAAGTCACTGCAACTTACGATTCAACAACAACAACAACAACAGGCACCACTGCTCAACCTAAAACACCTCGTGATGAACAAAAACCAATCACACCACGAGATCAAGCAGTGGTGGTGGTGGTTGAAGATAGAAATCCACATGTTGAACCAAAAGCAACGACACCTCGTGACAAGATTGCAACAAGTCCACGTGATCAAGTTGCAACGACACCTCGTGACAAGATGGTGGAAACAAGTGCATTGCCTGAAAAAGTGGAACCAAACATTGTTGTGGAAACTGTGGATGAGGATGTGAAGGAGATTTCTATGGAAATTCCAAGCACTACATCTGTGTCAACTTTGTCTCAAAAACATGTCACACAATCTATGGATGATGCAGAAAATCAAAATGGATGGGATTCAACTCCAGTCAAGAATGACAATAAGGATAAAACAACACCTGAAAGGAGTTCATCACTTACATCTCCAAGATATCAATCACCAAGACAATCTCCAAGATTATACATTGAAGATGAAGCAGCAATGGAAGAAGAAGAAGTCTATTATGACGAAGAAGGAAACGTTTTACCACCATGGAAGGTTGAACTCATGAAGAAGTTCAAGAAGTATGGCAGATTTAACAATGTTCTCAACCAATCACAACAAGAAAACAAGAGAGTTGAGAAGAAGATTGATATTCCAACGAAGGGAATGCAATTGAGTGCCATTCGTTCCATGTTTGAACAAAAGGATAAACAAGCTCAAGAAGAGATGAATACTCTCCGAAGATCCACAGTTTCTAAGTATTAATTTTATTAAAATTGTTATTTACTTTTAACCATTTCTTTTATCCTTTTTATAACAAAGACAAAATGTGTTCCAATCAACCTTAATTTCCGAAATGTTCGATATCAAGCAGAAACACAGCTGAAAGCATCAATGTTCTTTCATAGGGAGTTGTTTCAAACAAAAAGTGCACCTTATGATAATCTGCAAAATATCCCTTCTTCTCATAGTCAGGATTGCACTTTCTTGTAATGGTTGCAACAACATCTTCGTTCAAGTTAAATACTACGAAAAAGTCCAACACTTTTTGAAGCTTCTTCGTCTGAGCTGTTTCAACCACAGTGTTTGTGGTGTGACCGTTGGTGCTGCTCACCAATGAAGGCAGTGTTGTTTTTTTCACTCCATCTTCCTTTCCCCTCGAATGGTGTTCTTTCTTCTTTTGTTTGTACAATGTGAACAGAGTATTATATTTGGGCTTGTCGTTCTCCATCTTGCCTTCAACTGTTTGAATCAAATAATGTGTTTTCAATAAGGTCTTTTTTAACACTCGACCCAACAAACGGCCTGATTTTGGTTCAATGATTTCCAATTCAGTCGTAAACAAGTGATAGGGATGAACAAGATCAATCACTCGATAGGTTTGAATACTTGGTTTCAATCCACGAAGTTGATCAAGAAATGTAAATCGATCCTCACGAATCAATGGACTTGGATCCATCATGTCTGATTCTGCACGATCCATTTCATTTTGTGTGTAGTACATGGAGATTTTAAATTGTCGTTTGTGACCATAGAGTTCCATTTCTTCAGTCGTGCTCTTTTCATATGCTTCACACTTGAGTCCATTATTTAATTTCACAACATATTCATTTCCAGTATCAATGGAAGATGAGGATTTCTTTTTTTGACTCATTGTTGTTGTTACAACGGATGCATGGTGACGATCAGATAAAACACTTGTGAGAGGATGACTTGTTGTTGTTGCTGTACCTCCTCCTCCTTGAACCAACGTTGAATCCGTCGGCTTTGTTGTTGTCTTACTCTTTTTCGATTTGTTTTTTCTGTAAATTCTAATTTTTGAGACATTATTTAACATGGCATAGAAAATGTCTCTACGTTCTCGTAAAATCGAATCCATGAGAATGATATTCTCTCGAGTGGTTCCTCTCTTCTTTTTTGAAGTAATATTCTCAATAAGTCCAGATTCTATGGTTGGTCGAGATGCTCCTCCACCAATAACACTGTACACTGTCGAAGGAGAACTCACACTTGAAACCGATGAGAGATTACTACTACTACTACAACTCAATTCGTTATTCGTTTTAGGATTCATGGTGGGTTGAGATTGGATCACTCGAAAATTCATTGGTAGAGGAGTGGGAGGAGGAATTTGAATATTGAGAGCTGCCTTGTTAAAAGTCTTTGAGGATTGTTTAGGAAGTAGTGGTTGAAATGTTGATGTGGTTGTTGTTGTGTTTGTACTTGGAAGTGGAGGAGGAGGAACTGGAATGGTTGATGATGATGCAAAAGAACCTGTACTTGGATCCGCTGCTGCTGATGGAATGTCCAAAGTACCTGATGGTGGTTTCATGGAATTTGTGAATAACAATGGAACGGATGGTGTTGGATTGGGTTCTGACGATGGAGAGACTGGAACCATGACAGGAGTGGCCAATGATTGGAGAGTTAAAGGATGGTTGTGTGCAATGAGGGTTGTTGACGGTTGGGGATGAGTGTGTCCTTCATCGTCACTATCGAGTGTGCTAAAGGAGGTCGATGAAGCGGTGGCACACATTCCGAGACTAGTCCCTGAGGGAGTTGGATGGATCAAGCGAAGTGGTGATTGCATTCTCTTTGATTCTTCCGTTTGTTCTCTTCTTCAATCATGAGAAGGGTTGTTTCCTGTTCCTTAAAGAACTTGTTGTTGATTGGGTTCAATGTGAATCTGCTCTCTTTGTAGATGTTGTGAATAAATTTAATTTATAAAAAAGGATAATTACCGAACTAAGAAAATGGAGGAAGCTTAAAAAAAACCAAAGCGAGTCAGCTTTTTGGCCTTTTTAACGTTCTCAACTCCTGTGTCAATGTGAGCATTGGCAGCCTGTACGTTTTCAATCATAGTATCCAAGGACTCTTGTTGCTCAACTGCTAGTGAGTGAAAATCTTGATACATGCCATGTAGTTCGGTAAAATCTGTTTCCAGTCGTTTTAAATCCTCATGAGTTTCCTTTGCAATAGCATGCTCTACGTCGATGGTGGCCTTGTCCCATTGTGAGAGAACAAATTGATCTTTTTGTTGTTGTATTTGTACTTGTTGTTGCGAGCCGTCTCCAACCTCAATTTCTCCTGAATTATTGTACATGTTGTCCTTGCTCGCAGAGGGTTTCTTCTTGTCATAAATGTCTTTGGTGTTTTCATTGGTTATCTTTTTGTGTGATGGATTGTTTAGTATTTTGGTGAATTTGGGTTTTTCCTCAGAGTACTGTCTAATAATTTTCTCAATAATAGAGTTTTTGGATGCAGTCTTGAAAAAATCGTCAAGCATCTTTTGTATAGCTTTCAGTCGTTTGGTTTGTTCAATGATATCATTGGCAATACGTTGCTGTGAGCTAGGTTTCTTTCCATAATTATCCAATAATCGTTGTGTGAGAGCAGTCTTTTTGATGAATTCTTCAATTGCAATAACTGCTTGTTCATAGGTCTCTACCGAAGTCAACTCTTCTTTGTCTTCGTCCTCTTCGTCTATGGTGGGAGAATCCGAAGCTCCTAAATCAACAAAATCGTGATCTGATTTTAAAGTGTTTTCGTTCACAGTCACACCGTTAATCGTCAATGTTTTCTTTGTTTTTGCAGGTTTGGACCCAATTGGTCTCAGTCCTGCTTTAGATGCCTTCTTTTGTGTAAGTGAGCTCAGAACATCTTCAAATTCTGCCTGTGTCATGCCCTTCTCTTTTTTCGAAATTACTGTTACCATCGGAAGCAAGTAACTCTCTATTTTACTCCAATCGGAAAGAATTTCTGACCACTCATCACTCTCTGCAATCATTATTTTCTTACCATGAAAAGGCGACTTTTGCTCTAAAAACATTTCCGTTTTTACAGCAATTATTCTATAGTTTTTACCACTAGGCTTTGAAAATAGTCCTTTCTTTGCTGATTGCAAAACCAAAAAATCATTTTCATAACGAATGGTTTTACCGAGTGTAGTTTCAGCTTCAACAGTGATAAAGTTTCCGTTTCCAGGAAGTTGTGGAGGACAATAAATTACCATGATGATGCTGTGTGATGAGGCTCAATACTTTTGATGATTCGAAATTATAATCTCTTCTATTATAAAAATTATGTAGAGCGTGATGAATTTCAAAATTGTTTGCTAAGCGCACGTGTTGTTGTACAAAACTCTCGGAATGATGTGAATGAAGTACGAAAATTCTTCTCTGTGTTGTTTGTTGTAAACAATATTTCACTATTATAACCGAAACACAGACGTTGAAGACAAAAATGAAGCGATGTTCTTTGTTCCTTTTTTTTTAAGTGTTGCGATGGCAAATGAAGCTTGTAATGCGTAAAATAATATGTTTTAAAATGATCATGACCTTGTACAGTACAAGGTATGGTAGCATGATAACACATGTCAATTCTCACAAGTGAGGGAAGAATCTTTGCTCGAAAATTATGATTCAACAATTTTCAAATTGAACAGGTTCCAATTTCTGTAGATGGTCGCCAATGAATATTAAGAAAAACTCCAAATCGAAGGCATCATCTTTGTTGAAGGTAATCCTTAGTTTTTTTCCAATTGCAACTTCTTTCCATTCGTTTCAAAAAATCTTTTAAAGCAGACGTGCGACGCTGGCGCGAATTTTGTTTTCAAATTTTTGAACGTTACAACTATCAACACATCCAACTGACAAAAAAATGAATTTCAAAACGTGGCTCAAGCCTTCATCGGTGGTGAGCAAAAGCTCCATCATGACGATGGTGGAAGGCTTCACCTCCAAGTACAAGTTGAATTTATACGAGAGCTCGATTTGCTCGTTTCTCAAATGTGAGTATTTTAGAAATTGTTGATTGTCATTATTCCGGTTTGGATTCACTATTGATTTACCGACCAATATGATCATCACTAAATTCTGTAACTGAACAAACTCAACGTATTAACAGTCATACACAAGGAAGATGAAGACAACAATGAAAATTTTGAACAATGGCTTAAAGACAAGTATGGCGATATAATGCTTGTGAATTTTACAAGGCAATACTTTTCGAATCCGAATGATATTACGGGGGCCACAGAGAGCGCAAACATTACTGAAATTACGACTCTCTCGTCCATCTCGCATTTCGAAAGAATCACCTATCTTTTCGAAATGTGCAAAACCATGTACAATTTTATTACCAAGACTACAAAACAAGGTGTGATTGTTGTCGTTGCCAACGCTCAATATACATGTTTTGCCTTGCTTTTAATCTCTTCTTTCCTAACTTATATTGAAGACAATGAATTTAGATCAAAGAGAATGTACAGAACCACTCTAGAGGCCTATTACGAATTGAAGAAATTTGTCACAGAGAAACCCATTTCCAAAGTCATTGGATCTTTCTTTACGAAACAGCAATTGGATACTTTGACGATATTTGAACCAAGTGTCGTGCGTTATTGTAAATTCTTCAATTATTTAACCAAGGTTTCACTTCCTGAAGTAGAAATGATGAACCTTGAATCCATATCGCTTTCAACTCTTGACGTTTTCAAGAAGGATGCCAACAGAAAAATCAGACAAGCTCAACAAGAAGAGCTTCTTTCCTTCTCTGATCCATTTAACACTTCCAATATTTATTTTGTTATCAAACAAAACAACCAAATTATTTATTCAACCTATGGCACACAAGCTGAGCATATTTCCAATCCTTCCAACAACAAGAAACAATTAGAAGGACCTCACTATCAATTCTCCATTCAGAAGAATGCTTGCAAGCTCATTGGAGATTTCATCTTATTTGGATATCAAATGGATGAACTAGGTGCAATTCAACAACTTTTCAGATATACTTACAATACTCTCTTTTTATGCACACAAGACAATGGCAACATTTTGACACTCGAGAAGAATAGACTTGACTGGGCTCATTCCAACAATGAAATTGTCGATTCTTTGAAGATTCAACTTCGCTTTTCGTACTACAAATCTGATGAAGAAAAGGTAAATAGCTACAAGATGGAATTAGATTCTACTGTGAAGAGTTGTCCTTATTATCTGAAAGGCAATAAGGTAGCAATTCGACTTGCACATGTGACCAACCAAACTCACCGAAGAAATATGAAGGGACTTTTGAATGAACTCGAAGTTTTCTCACTCAATAAGGAAACACTATTGAAGAAGGTCGATACCAAATCTCCACACAAGAGAAGTTTCTCTCAATACGAACTCGATATGGACAATAACTTGTCCAACATCTTTGATGATTTGTGCATTAGTACTAACAATACCTCCTCCTCTAATCATTTGTTTATTAATACCAAGTTGACACCGCTTCGATCCTCTAATCGAATTGCAACACCTGATACAAGTGCTAAAAAGAAGATGCTCCTGTCACCAGTCACTCGTCGTGGCAGTGGAAAGAAAGTTGGTACACCTTCTTCCAAACGTTTACTCTCCCCAATGATCAAGGAACAACAATTACTTCATTTCACACCTCCTTCTCAACAACCAGCGCTAACAAACAGCAATAAGGAGAATGAAAATATCTTTAATCAGGACAGTTTGTTGTTGGATCTGAGCGACCCAGTTTTTGATGAGTTGATGAAGTCGAACATTCCTCCTCCACCTCCTCTTCCATTTACTTCAAAGCCTGTATCAAACATACCTCCTCCACCAATGATGGGAAATATTCCACCTCCACCGCCAGTGTTAAAGTCGATTGACATGAATGTTCCTCCTCCACCTCCTGGAGTTTTTATTCCACAAAAGAAGAATTCAACCTCAACTTTTACACAAAAAGAAGAAGATAATAATATCAAAAAGTTGCATTGGCAACCAATTAAGGTTATTAATGGTAATTCTGTTTGGTCGAACACCAGTGTTGATGAGATTAAGTTAGATTTGAGCGATTTCCAAAAGATGTTTGCAAAAGAAGATACTGCAAACACATCGACCAAGTTAGCACCAAAAACTCCTTCTGTTGCCCAGAACGTGGCATCTTCTGTGCTGGATATGGGAACTAATAGAAACGTTGAAATTATTTTGAACAGTCTCAAGTCATTGACCAATCAACAAATTATGGAATTGATCAATATTTTGGACACGAACGTTCTCACCGCTCAACATGTTGAAAATTTGAAACGTCTATGCAATGTTGCATTCAGTTTAGCAAGTAAGAAGAAGGACCTAGAATCAAAAGGTGAATTATTGAGAACTGAACAATTTTTACTCGATTTGTTGAATGTTAAGAACGTTGAAGCTAAACTCAATGTGATTGGCTACATGCATAATTTAGATGCATTTGTGGACTCTCTCACAACAAAGATTAAGAGAAAACAAGAAGCTATTCGAGTGGTTCGTACCTCTTCATCCTTTGCCAAAGTACTAAAATACGTCCTCACAGTTGGCAACTACATGAACAGAGGAAGGAGACAATTAGAGGCCAATGGTTTTCACATTTCTATTCTTCCCAAGTTAGTAGACACCAAATCTTCTGCTGCTAAGGATGTCACACTCATGCATTACTTGGTTGGTCTTTTAGAAAAGGATGACTTGGATGTTTATTGTTTTGAAAAAGAATTGGAAAATTGTGGAGCATGTACTTTTGGTGTATCCATCACCATGGATGCCATTGATACCTTGTTCAGAGAGTACAGACAAATTCATAATCAAATCAATTACCTTCATGAAGCTTGTAATTCTGATGAAAGAGAATTATATCAAACTCGATTACATACATTCCATGCCAATTGTTCTCCACTTTTAGCAACAGTGAGTCAAACGTATGAAACTTTAAAGCATGAGTATTTGGAATGTTGTGAATATTTCCACTTCTCTCCAAGCAACAAGGTTGTCAAGACAGAAGAAGATGAATTCTTTTCATACATTAAGGAGTTTACAGTTCAATATAAGAAGGCCAAGAAGGATGTGGAGCAAAAAAAGATGATGGAAATGAAAGCGGCTCTTCAACAAACCAATTCCTTAGCTCAAACCATCAAAAAGAGAAAGATGGGTGAAGCAAATGTATTGAAGAATGAACCAACTCAACAAGTTGTGTAAACTTTTTGATAAAAACGCAATGATCATTTCTTTTGAAATTAATTAAAAATCGGTGGAAGATCACAAAAATTAATGGTTTAGAATAAGAGTGTGTTGATATACGCCGCTTTATGCATGTTGTTTCGTGTGGAGTCCTTCCTTCAGAATTGTGTTTTTGACATCTTCAAAAACTGTTTTCACATTATCCGTGTCCGTTGCACATGTCACATGCACATAGACTCTACTTGAGTCACCTTCTCGAATGAGTTTCAAAAAGCATTTTGTAATGTGATCTACGGATTGTTCAAAATTATGTGGTTCGCCTTTGTAATCTGGAAAAAATACAGAAATTGGATTCTTCTCTAATTTCTTCAAAAATAAATCCTTCTTGTTGAAAAATAGTAAAATTGATGTATGTTTAAAGTATTGGTTATTAGCAATTTCCTCAAATATTCTCAGAGATTCTTGCATTCTATTTGTTTTATCATCTTCGTAGCATGTTTGATCATATTCTGACAATGCCACCACAAAGAGTAAACACGTCACGCTCTCAAAACAGTGAATCCACTTTTTACGTTCTGTAAGAATTGGTTGTGTGAAATTTATGAAACAAGAAGAATGGTCGTGCATGTGTCACAAGTGTGTAGACATGAATTTGTATGGACCCATCCATCGTCACCACACCACTCATCATATTGCATCAAATACTTACCATTTCTCTGACCTCCGACATCCACGAGTCGGAATTTTAATCCATCCATTTCATAACTACATTCCACAATTCCTGTGGTCTTCACTCTACATTTAATAATATCTTCATAGGTTGGATCATAATTCATGGCACTCACTCGATCGATATTCTCAAAGAAGAATTCTGCACAGTCATATAATTGAAATTCATTTCTTCGTTCATAGGCCTGTATATATATTATATATGTTCATCCATAGAATGTAATAGTATTCGTTCCAATCACGCGACATGTCATGATATAACACACGAGAATATTTCCGAAATTCATGAAAATGTCAATCATTCTGTTAAAAATTCAAATTCAAAACAACACTTACCGATCGAATTCCTTTATCGTTCCACAGTTTCTTAATTCCAAGTCCTAACTGACTATTTGGATTATCAAATTCCTTAGCAGCTACAAATAAATTTGGATCCAATGCTTTGATTTTCTCTGCAATTTGTGTATTTTCTTCATTGTCAAGTTTGATTTGTAATTTCGAAGTTGCTTCAATCAATCTTAACATGTTCGTAATGACATTACCTCGCACAAGAGGTACATAGGATTCTACTTCGTGTTCACTAAATCCATTGAGATGAATGATTTTGAGTTGTTCTATGATTTGAGTGATTATGTTTGTGTGTGTTTGTATGTGTGTGAAATGAATCATGAAAATATTGTGAATGATTCACGTGAAAAGGAATTGTGACACATCATCGGGTTATGTCCAAAGATACCATTTGGATAAGAAAAATAGCATCATCACATGACCACACGTGTGTAGTCATCCACATTTCATGATGTTGTTATGATGAGATTGTCCAAATATAGAAAGTTGTAACATGATGGTTCCATCAAACACACAAATACATTTAAAAAACACATACTGAATAGAGTACTTTTTCCAGATTCTCCAGAACCTAATAACAACAATTTAATTTCCTTATTTTGTTGTAAAACAGTCCTTTTCAAATCATCGGCAATCTTTTTATCCTTTTCTCTTGCTTGTTGTGTTGATTCTGTACTTCCTCCGCCACACAGTCCCATTCTTCTTCTTGTTGTTAATTTCTTGATGTCAACAATTTTGAAAGGAATTTGAAAGTTGTGGATTTTGAAATTTTGAAAATTATTCTTCTCGTTTTGTTTCTGGTTGAGTGCGAGTAGTAAACGAGACGTTGAGGATGACCCGAAATGATGTTGAAATACAATTCTTGTGGATGATGTAAATTCTTGTTGTTGAATTTTGATTCTTGTTGATGAATAGGTTGACGGAGAGAGAGAACCTATTCTGATGCAAATTGGCTGTCAGAGTGTCAACAGGTCTTTGACGATAATACTACGACGACGATGGCGCGGCGTGACAGAAAGCGCAAACAAATTTTTTACCGACTTTTTAGAAGTGTCAGCTGTTGGTGTTAAAAATGATTAAAATAGATGTCGGAGCGTGTTACTTGATATAGAGCCACAGAAAATGCATAATTGATGATGGTTTGATGTATCGAAAAGTGTATGAACATACTCTTTCAATACAAGTGACAAGTTTGTTGTTCTAATAAAATTCAAGAAACGATAAACTTGTCTTTGACATCAATCAACGAAGAGACAGACAATAAATGCGAGTGGGTAATATCGAATGTATTCAATCCGAAGCGGACAAGGACTATTCGAGTCCTTATGGAAGATGTTGTTTCATCTTTCAAAAGTTGGATATAAGATTTATAACTTTGAAACCTCTTTCCAACGAACGTGCAAAGAATCCTGATGGTCTTGGACTTGTTTTTCTGAATTAATTCAAACAACGTTGAGAAAACCCTTTTCCTTAATACTATTCATAGTGTTGAATGAGGAGCGAAAACCACAAATGAAACGTACGTTAAGAGTTTTGGAGAAACGAGTGATCCCTATGAGTTCTGAATTTACAAGCACAAGCATGGTTGAGCAAAACAACAACAGCACTGCTCCTTTCTAACAATTCACTACTAGTTTATAACTCTCCAACAATATACACTAGTTGGAACATTCAACACAAACTGCAGCATCAACTCTGTGCAATTCAGATTCTCTCAGTGCACTTCAAACGAATTCAGAACGGAAGGACGAGGAATACATTCAATATGAATATTTAATTTCATCAATGATGACTGAAGCACGACACATTAAAAGTTTGGGAGATGCTCTTCCATCCATTCATGACATGCGTCCTTATGGACTCTAATTACTAGCATCACCTCTTACACAAACTTGTGGCATCAATCCAACTTAATTTTCCTCAAAGAAGAATGTTCCTTGTTCCATGTTTTGAGTTCATAACTTGAAAGAATGCCTCGACCACCTCTCGCTCGTTTTTGTTCGGCTTCTGCGGAATTGTTGGATCTGAATACTCTGTGGTACAAAGACCTTGAGTATTATTTATTGGAATTACATGAATTTGTACAAATTTATATCATAGAGCAACAAGTTCTCACATCGGATCAAGCCAAACACTTGTTTCATCAAATGTATCATTTAGAACAGTTTTTAAAAATTACATCCGAGATGAGAACATGTGAGCAAGAAATCATTTCGGATTTGAGGAAACATGAAAAAGAAACATCCATCAACTGCTTCAACATTCCCAAGGATTTGTCTAACGAAACGCTCAATGAAATTGCAATTTTTTTGGCTAGATTGATGGAAAAACAATTATTTCATTTTAATATTTTATTTACCAATGATGAATATATTCACTGTTGCTTGTTTTTTATCACATGCGACGATTGGATTCGAATACTGCAAGATATTCCCAAAAAAACCAATGAATTCAGAAAATTGAATAAGAGAATTCAAAATCTATCATTGCCATACAAGAGTTCACAACAGTGTCTTTTTTATTTTCACTGCATAATGTTTAGAGGCAAAATTCCTAGATATATTTTGATGTTTAAAGAGTTGCTTAGATATTCCAATTCATTAACATTTAATGATGAAACCGAATCGTCGAGGTTTATTCTGAAAATCCAAGAAGTGTTGGCGTTATGTGACAAAATTGCACATGGTGCCAATCAATATTTAGCACTGAGAGAAATTGTGGATCAACTACCAACGAATGTACTTCTTTCAAAGATTTATGTTGGATTGACTGTTGTCATCGAGAGGCACCATACTGAAGATACGAATTCTAAAAAAGGATTACTTTCAAAATTGCTCAAGCGAAAGAAACACTCTTCTCATTTAGGCCAAGCGAGTTCAACAAAATCAGAACACTATGAAAATGGATTATTAATAATGTCTAAGAAAGGATATGTCATGTGTTACAAGAAAGCCAGCGATGAACTCATAGCATGCGGGTCAGGATGCGGGTCAGATACCACCATATGTGAAATCTGGAACGCAAAAGAAAACAAATGGTTTAGAAAATACGAACAAGTCATCCATCCAATACGAGTGACTGATTTTGATGTGCATAGTAATACTTTCACAACAGATCTATACTTGTCAGATAATAGTACCAGTATTCATATTGTTCCAACTAACGTAGAAGGAAGTAATGCCATATTGAATACTGATCAAGACAACACACATGATGGATCAACACACTTGCAATTTTTATTTGAAAATGAGAATGAATGTGGGAGGGTGTGGAATTACCTGGTGGGTTTGAGGTCACAAACTTCTGGACCTGCACAGATCATGTCACATTTTAGACGGTTTCACAAGTTGTACTCTCCATATGAGCATGCGTTTCAAGATGTCCTTTTTAAATTTGACATGGATCACGAAGTTTGGTAATTATCATCTTCTTTCCCACAAATAACTTTCACCCCTTCTAAAAATTGCCCAGAGATTTTGTTGTTAATGTGTAATTACTGGTCAATAAAAAATGAACGTAGTTTGGAGTAGTTATTCGATTGCTTTTCCTTCAAAACAACCACCTTATTCAATGTTTCACAATTCCTAATAAGGTTTTCGCCCACAGACGTGAACATATTACGAGCCAAATTAAACTCTTGCAAATTCCAAAACTTGTTGCTTTCTTTTAGCAAATTTGAAGCTGTGTTATCCGTCAGATAATTAATTGAAAAATCTAACAATGTTAAATTGTTATAATTCTTCAACACGTTGCTACTCAAAAATACTTCAAAATGCTCATCAGAGAATGTACACGATTTCAAAATCCATCGTTTTAGTTGCTTTGACAAATATGGGCTATTAAACAGTATCTTTGCACTTTCTAAGCTAATCAAGTTTCCGCTCAAATTCAATTCACACAAATACGGTAACATCAAGGACGAAGAGAGTAATTTCAACGATTTTGGTTCCAAGTAACATCCTTCAAGTGAAAGCGAGGATAAATTTCCAATATTTGGACATTCACAAAGGAGCTGAATGCCTTCATGACCTAAATTATAATTTCCTGCTAAATTCAAAATTTTCAAATTCTTCACCCGATTGGAATTGAGTAGAATGGAAAGACCAAAATGATGCAAATCCGTACTTCGTAAATTTAAATCTGTTAAATTGTTTAAATATCGACATTTAGCCATTAATTTGAATTTCGCATGATTGGCAGGCTTAAGTTTCAAATCTACTGAAATATTCAATCTAAAACACACTCGCTTCCATTGTCGTGAAACGCTCATGATTTGATTGGTAAAAATATATTGAGAAGGAACAAAAGTTAATATATGATAAATAATATCATCAGGAATATGCACATATTCATGAGAGATGGAATATTTCGAAACGTGTTGTTGACCCATTTTTTTCTGATCAAAGATTCACAGAGGGAAAATGCAATTCTAAAATAACAATTGATCATGTAGTGGAATCTCTTCCCATCTTTCTAGAGTATGCCTGCAATAACTTATTAAACCATATGAACATGAAGTGGTAGTGTCTCAGCAGTGAGTAAAAACAAGTTTGATAGAGTTTTGTTGAAAATCAGTACATGTTATTAAAATTAAACACAAGAACACTCGATTGTTTATTCTTGGATGAACTGCGAAAATTCTTCTTGGGCAGGATTCATGGGAGAGGAACTATTTGGATCGATGGTCAATTGGGAAGTATTGCCAGACATCATCATGTTTGGAGGAACATAATCCAGAATTGAAATGACATGTTTGTTCAAATCAGAGAATAGAGTATGAATGGGCGAGGAGCTTGAATTGAGTGGCGGAGAGGAAGTGAGGAAATGCAACATGTCTTCACAAATATCCATCACTACCTTATAATCTGAACAGTGTTGTGAAAGGAATTTGTGGAATGACGTTAAGACTTTGGTATTGAGAGGTTTGGAATCAATTTTCACACGTTTGGCAATTTCTCTAAATAAATTTGAGCTAATTGGAAGATATTGCTTTAACACATGCAAATATTCAACGTCTCCTTTTTTCACACAGTTGTTGTAAATTGGATCAATCCAATCTGACATGGTATTGATATCATAGGCATTTGCAACAATTAGAGATTCCTCAAAATTACCATGATTTTGAATAAAGGTTCTAGCATCTTTTGGTGAAAGTTCAAGGATCATTGGCATGTTTTGAAGTTTCTTCTTATTTGGAGTTTCATTGTAGAATTTGAGTTGTAATTTCACGAGTGCACTCAAGTTTGTTGCTCTCACTGCTGTTTGGCAACAATCTTCTTTTGTAAGAGAAGAGGCAGCTGAATCAAAGTTTTCACAAACAATCTTACACACATGCTCCAATGGAACATGTTCGTCCATGGAGGATTGATAATTGAAAGAAGAGCTGCTAGTAGCATCTGAAGAATCTCCGCCTACTATTCTTCTGTGAATGACTTTGATTCCTCTACATCCCTTATTAAACAAATAAGTACCATATTCTTTTAGCATATTAAATCTCAAGTAAACCATTGCAAGTTTTTCGTTTTGTTCTGGAAATTTGGTTTGAACGTACGATGAGAGAGCCATTTTAAGCTGATTGTTGTTATCTTGATCTGATTGGGAGTTCTTTTTCAAAATGAGCTCAAATTGCTCATTCTCAATGAGTATGTCAAACAAAAATGTTAACTCTGAAAAGTCAGGAATGGTGACAAGAAGTCGAACAATGAGAGAAAAATCTTGTTCGTCTAAAATTTCCTGAATCAGTGGACCCTTAATGCGTTTCAAAATTGATTCAATTCCTTCAAAACTCGAGGACATGTGGTAGCAGTGATATGCTCTAACAATCAGCTCTACTTTGCACTTCAAGTTAATGTTATGTTTGTTGACATGTTTTTGTGTACGCGACGTTTTTTTACCTGGACTGTCACCTTGGTTATTGTGTGAAGAATCATTTTCTTCTTCTGCATCCACCAAATGAATTAAATGTCGAGCGATTGCTGAAGGATCTCTACAAATATTTGCAAATTCAGCAAATTCATCCATTGTGCATTTCACTAAATCAAATTGTTTTTGTGACTCTTTTTGAGGTTTTGGTGGTTTGTTGTTTTTAGCCATAGCTTGCTTGAAGAAGCTTCCTGTTGCCACGCTTGAATATGATGTCGAAAAGTCAAAACTTGAGAATGAGCTTCCTGAGCTCGTTGAAAGCCGGTCATCTAAATCATCACTAGAGGTACTTCCTGCATTATTTTGGAAATAATCTTCAATCAAAATCTCGGTTTCATCCTGATTTTTGAATATGGACAAGTCTTCATTTCTATAATATTCGGCATAGGTGTTAAACAGATAATGTGCACATACACAAGCAGCTCTATCAGTATCCAGCGTTTTTAGTTGAATGAATGAAGAACACACTTTCAGTTTTTCCTTTCCAAATAGCATCAACAACAACTTGAGAACATCGTAGCTATCTTTGGTAACTATACTTTCGTAATTCAATTGAAGAATTCGTCCAATTCTATAATTAAGAGCAATAATCTTTAGATAATTGCGAGCTCCTTTCATCTTGTATCCATAGCACAGCAATTGTAATTTGTCCAATATTTGTTGAATATCATCGACTTCATCAATATTTGGTAAAACTTCTTTCAGTTGTTTGTAGAGATGAGAAGGTAAAATTTTCGAAGGTATGCCTGTATATTTCTGTTCAGAATCTTGATATAATGTTTTCGAGTCATTAGATTTCGCCATAGATAGGGCAATGTCGATAATTTCCAAAACTCGACTTTCGTAATTGTAGTAAGAAGAAAGCCGTTTTGCCTCATCATATTGACTACTCAACAGCAAGTTATCAATGACCTTATCAAGTAATTCTTCGATATTCAAAACCGAGGATGACTTTTTTGAGGTTTCAATTAATCTGCTCTCTAATGAAGCTAAAATTCCAGATATGTGTGGTGATGAGCTTTCTTCTTGCGAGTTAGACAGGAGCATAATGCTATGACTCAAGAACTCCAAGTCTTTGGTTGGTCTTGACGGAGTCACTGGCTTTGATAATTCCACAGACCTCTTTGTAAGAGAGTATGTTCCTTCAAACCATCTCAAAGAAAGATTCAACAAGTGTAAAATTCCTGCCATTGAAATACTCTTTTGAAGGACCAACACTTGTTCCAGGAAATATTTAGCAGCCTCTTCTTGAGGATATCTGAATTTGATAAACAGGTCATTGACCTTAGAGTAAGCCATAGTGAGCTCATGAGTGGATGAGAATAGACCTTTTACCTTTGCTATTTTGTGGTTCGCTTGAGCCAGGGTAATTTTGTCTGTGGGGAAATTGATCTTCTTTCTGAACATGACTGCTACTTGTCGTGCTTCCTTAAAACAATTATTTTCAATAAGCGACTCAATGAACATGCTGGGCTGACCTGTAAAAACATTCATCTTGTCAGTCTCAATCACCACACCAGAATTAATGACTCTCTCCAACAGACAATTTAGGCTGTACATGCTCTCAAACTCATTGGACATGTCCACTGCTAATGAGAACTGAGATGAATGAAGCAATTCCAAAAATTTTGTTCTTTTGAATTGAGACACCAAGCATCTAGAAAGTTGTTGAGCAAGTGCTGTAGAGGTGATAATCAGCCAATTTAAATCTCCTAATTTAAACTGTAGAGTTTTGCCATTTTGCATATCTTTGACAGCGCTGACAAATTGTTGTAAGTAGTTCGTGGCCCTTTCATAGTTATCAAAAAGATATGCTTCATAAAAACTTAAAAAGGAAGCAATGGGGTTGGTACTATCGAATAATTGGAATGCTTGGATGATATAATTCACTCCGCTTTGCTTTTCATCTTTCAAAAAATTATTGGAGCAGAAATCTTGAATTTGCTTTTCGATTGCTTCAAGTAACTTCTTTGTCGTCAGCTTTTGGATGGACATTGTGTCAGTACCCTTCTTGTCAACACTGCTCAAACGTTGCTTAATGGATTGCAACCATGTTTTCATACATGCAAATATTTCTACATTTGAATTGTTAGTCGAAATGTAGCATGTGGCGATAATCGCCAATAATGGCTCACTCATGCTAATAGACTTATTTAGCAGATAATTAATAATATCAGTACTTGATTTAGAGGTCATTAACTCTTCGGTACGTATCAACTCCAAAAACAATTTGCTCGTTGAATCTGTAGCGTCTCCTAAGGACGCCATCAATAAGGCATCATTATTGTTAGAGTCTGTGGTTATAGTTAATGGTGCATTGCCCTCTTGTTTGGATTTCATCTCTCGAAGTGTAATGAGTAAGAATTGCTTCAATGAGTCGGGCATGTATTGCTGCACTATAGACATGACGGTGGAAAGTGGAACATTACCATCTTGAGCATGATACAGGAATGAAATCCATTGCCCTCTTTTTGCGGCAGTTTGTAAATGATGCACATATTCTGGCAAATTATGAATTTCACAAAATATACAAAGTAGCTTCCATGGTGAAACGTAAATCTTGTTTCCTGTATTTCTCATACCGTCCAGAATTTGCACCTTGTCATATGCAGACTCGTTCGTTGATTTTGAGAATTCTTTTTCAAGGAAGTCCTTAACAGAAATATCCACAATGAGCATGGAATCTGTTGCCTCCTCAAGTAGTTTAAGAACTCTGTATTGAGGAGAGTTCACGTATTTTTCCATGGTACTATCGTCGGCTTCCAAAATTTCAATGGATACCAAGTCATCAGCAAGCTTTTTCATCAAGACAGACTTTTCTTCGTTCTGTATCTTAAACGATGCATGAAATTCTGCAATTCTTCTCGCTGCTTTAGTATCAATCAAGATCGAGTTTGAATAAAGTTCTGTATAGACGTCAAAGCAGCATAATTCAATGAACATTCTACAACAAGCAGTGATGGACTGATCTGCAAAGTTATGGATGGCAATAGATCTCACTTTCTGACATAATGCTTTTTGCTCTTCCTTTGGTAGGTATTTTCCAATGCTTTCAAATTGTTCTCCATAAAGATAGGGAGAACACACCTCTCCAGTTTCCAAAAGTGTTGCAATGCCTTTGTTCTTTTCTCTGTAAGAGTGGAGCAATTCCTTGTAAGCTTCCAAAGGTCTCTTGTTTACAAGATAATATTCAACATCTAGAGTCTCTTCGATGGAACATGAATGATCAGAAAATCCATACAAGTTGTCAGTAAAATCAAGCTTGAGAGATCTATGTGATTGCAAGAGTGAAAAATCTTGATCTTTTTCTTGCAATTCATCTTCCTCTATATTTAAAATATCTTCAATGGAAATGTCAGTATTCGTCTTGATCAACATTTCATATAGAGAAATATCTTTTTGATTCGAGATTATGTTTCCTCTTGAAATTTCATGTGCGCACAAGTTGATTGTACCGTTTTTAGATTGCTCCTCTTCGTTCATGACTCTTCTCGATAAACTAGGCGTATTTTTCTCGCCAAATAGAGCATTATGGAAGGTAGGATAGGAGTGTAATTCTTTTGATAAGGTTGTCCTGTTCAAGTAATGCTCGCTTGTTGATGGTTCTTTCATGGCTTCATGTAGAGTTTTTGGAGAGTACATTTGAGTAGAGAGAGCAATTAATGGATTCTCGTTCATCATGGAATTGATACTGTGATTGTCAATCCCCAACACCGATCGAGCATTAACCATTGACAAGTCAAACAATCGATTTTTCTTGGAGAGAAGTATCATTTTAAGCCAATCTGGCTTGGATTCTTCTGGGAAAATCTTACTTTCTTCCAAACATTCCCATAAATCAAATTTGTCAACATAACGAAAACAAATGCTTGGTAAATTCTTATCAATGCAGAATGAAATGAAATCCTTGTGAAATTTGCTGAGCTCTCCCTGTGGATGCAACGAGGAGGTGTTAATGGATGGAGCTGGATCTCGATCATTGTCAAACAGTAGAATTGGATCATTGTCAAACATTGGAAATTCAACTGGATGTACAGAAAATAGTTGGTATGTGGCACAGAATCGTTTCAATAACGAGATAAAATCGGAAGTGTCTTCCTGTACGAAAATACCTCGAAGTGCCAAGCTGTTGAGTAAAATTTCTTTCATCATTGGACTACAATACTTCAATTGATCCTTAACAATTTCAAGAATCTCATTACAATTTTGCATGGTTGAGGAAGCTTTTTTTGAGGTTGTATGTTCAGAAGTATACGTAATATCTCCTTGTTCGGTAAGAACACACTGAATTCCTGTAGCTTTTTTCTTTGAATGGAGTTGAGTCAATGGAAGCACACTTTTTGCCCATCTGACAATGCCGACATAGTCATGATGAGCGATACAGAATGACAGTCTTGCTCTCAAGGATTCATTGTCATGATAATCTTTTTCCAATAATATTCTTTCTCTTGTTTCCTTGTCCCATTTCATGACCCATCTCAATGTGGTCACAAGATAACTGGATTTGGATTTTTGGAAGGTCAATAACTTTTTAGAGATAATTGAAGGGCTCTTCATTCTCATCAAACTAGAAGTTCTTCGTCTGAAAACGACGTCATCTGTGTCCGATTTGGGAGACGCTGAGGATGAAGGACTTTCTTCACTCGAAGCAACGACATTGTTGCTGGCCTTGCTAATTTGTCCCATATCCGAAATGTCTCCAATTTGTATGGGATACTCCGAATGTTGGGCTTCAAATAGATCAGATTCTTCATGGAATGGATTGGCATATCCAAGATTATGAAGCTTTTCTTGAACTCTTAGAATATTAATATCAGGATATAACTCTTCCAATAATTGGAGAAATTCGATGACTTCCAATTCTTCTTCATTAAATTTCTTCAATCTTGTTAACTCTTTGATCAAGTAATTTCTAATGTTTTTGTCCAAAGTATTGAATGCAATGTCTCTCATGTGCTCAACAAGATCCTCTCCCAAATTTTCAATCATCTCCAGAGCAGCAGTGTATTCTCCTAATGAAAGCTTCTCGTAGACGATTTTAAATGCAACTTCTTTGAAAGTTTCAAAATTGATAATATCGCAATTCGTGTCACGTTCATCCTTGTCAGAATCAGAACCAAGATCAGTTTTGATTTTCATGGCTCTATTTTTCAAGAACGAGAATCCTAAAGAAACTACCCCATTCAATAAACTCTCTGTGATAATACTCTTATTGTCCATCTGTTTCCATTTCTTGAATAGAGTTTCATTTTCTAGTGTCAATATCCTTTCGAACAACTCAACCTCATTCTTTTCATCAGCATCTGAAATCTCATCATCATCATCTTGATCATAATTATACATATCTTCTTCATTGTTCAAGGAAATTCCAGTTTTAATTTCAGATCCAAAGTAAGATAAATCGTTAAAGTTGTCGTTATAAAGAGACTAAAGAAATGTTAGTGATCACCGTCAACTACAGCACGCGACACTTACCAAATCAATTGGAGTAATATCAACCTTCTTGTCGTTCTTATTCTTATTCGATGCTGGAATGGAACTTAAAACAGAAAGGTGATCTTGCGGAAAAGCTTCATGTTGAGATGCAGCCATTTCTTCATGTTCTTCTTCATTCATCAGTAAGCAAGATCGTAATAAAGCAACTATGTTTGATAAGAGAAGAATCTCCTCGGGCTTTGAAAGAGTCTTCTTTGAGCTCATAATATCCTCTATTATTGCAATCATGTGAACTGATGAAGAATGGTAAATGTCATTTGAGGCTGTTGTAATCTCATCAATTTCTGATACTGTTTGACTTTCCATAAGTTTATCCATTTTTCGTGGATTTCTAATTTCAAGTTTCTTAATGACGGAATTTGCACTCTCAGTGATAATAGGTACGTGCTTGTTTTGAAACAAGAAGATGGAATCAAACAAGTTGGGGTCTTCCTCTCCCAATCCAAAATTGGGATTTCTTCCAAGCTCGTTGATTCTCTTCTCAATGAGTGAGAGAATGTATCCAATGGCTGTAGTAATTGTTTGGATTTTAAACTCGCTATCTCGAGAAAACTTGGTTTCTTGAATAAACTTTGCAATAATGTAGCAAACATTAAGCTCTTGTTGTGGATCTAAATTTCGTAAAGTATCTTGCACTACCGACAATTCACGATTTCTAACACACAAATTATCGTTGAAAAAGAAAAAAGTAGAACACATACCTCAATCCCAGTTCTATGGCATGCACGGATAGTGACTGTCTATCCCAACCATTTAAATCGCACAGCTTTTCTGCAAGTCGTTGCCTTTCGTATTTGATCAGGTTATTGAGAAGTATGTTTTTGGTAATGTTGAAATTCAGATGATAAATGCCGTGATCTAGAGAATTATTGCTGATACAAATGCAATGACAGCCTGTTGGAAATAATGGTGCCAAAAAAACGTCAGCAAGAACCTGAATATGTCCAAGCTTTCCTGATGATACATCATAAATTTGTAATGTGTTCCATTTCTCAATATTGTTAATCTTGTGAGTAATATAACACTTGTCATTGGTTAATAAATAGTTCATTGTTGAGTTGAAAGGATTATGGATTAAAAGTAGACCCTCACCAATATGGCTTATATTTTCTTCTCTTCTTGGTGATAAGAGCATGTGGCTGGATGATAATCGAGAGTCTTTTCTTGATAATAGCCCATGCTCATAATTGCTTTCTAGATTGCCAGATAATCCTTTTCTCAAATGGATAGAATCTTTCAAAAGAGTTTCTTTACGAGTTTTGTTGGCAACCACGAGTGGCGAAGTGAGATCCAAGTCCTTTTCAAGGCTGCTAATACTATTCGAAGAATCAAACAACACGCTAGTAGATTTCTTTGGAGGCTCAGTATTATCATACCAGTGAGATTGATAATAATTGTCTGCAGCGTAAGTAACAGGAAGAAGAGATTCAACAACTTGCACTCCCATCTCCTTTTCTTCGTTATTTGACGTACCAAGCTCCTCATCTGAAGATTGATCCTCTTCTTCTTCATCGTCTTCAGTATCGTCGTCATCATTATCTTCAAACTGTGCATCCTGATTATGTTCTGTTTCTTTTTTAACTATTTGAAAATTAGAATCAATATCAATTATATAAACAGAATTGTTTTTTCCAACTGCACTTAATAATAGTCCATTATTTGATATTTGTAATCTGGAAAGGGTTTCAGAGTAATCGTTATTTGCAAAGTTAGGCGTAAGATCAACAATCCCAACCTTTTTCTGTTTTGAAATATCCCAAACATCAACGACGCAGTGTTGGCTAGCTTGATAACATATAAGGAATTGTTGGTAGGATAGTATTTCTGAATATATGCCTTCATTTGTTTGTGGTAGCAATTTGAATGAAGAGCATAATGTGAGCTTGTAATTCTGAAATGACAGTTCACAAGCCGTTCCGTCACTGAAAATAAACATGCAATGTCTACTTTCCAACACTGGACAAATATGAGAGAGAGTAATGTTCGTATCTACAGTAAAATTGTTCGAACTAGAAAGGATTGAAAATAATTCTTGATTACAGCTCGTAAATCTGCTAACTTTCCAAAGGTCTTTTCCTGATTTTTCTTGGAGCAAATTCTTTGGGCTAGCTAAAAAATCTATCAATTCCTTTTTACGTGATACGAAAGGAAGAGGTTTCTTGACCTCTTTAGAGTCATCAGATGGTTTTTCAGAAAGTCGTGCCTTTACAAATAAAAAAACGTCAAAATTGTTCTCATAGGTAATAATAAAGTAGCACGAATAAATAATCTTTGAACACTCATTGGTGCTAAATAAATAAGGTAAATAATTTATATCACATCTCTCATGTGATTTTATCCACAAAAAACTAAATAAAATCGATATTATTACTAAATATCATTTCTTACTTCATTCAATACATACGAGTTGCAGCTGCAATTATCCACAGTAATATGGTCATTTAAAAATTGAAAAGTAGTGTTGTCGTTACTTGCTTGGCCCTCTTTCACAAAGTAAAATTGAAGTTGATGAGTTTTCTTGTCGTATATTTGCAAAATATCGTTATATGGACAGTATGATGAGCTGATATCACCATTTCCAACAGAAGTATCATCATGATTTGTTGCTCCTGGAATACCACCCGATATTTTTACTGGAAATATCGGAGTAGTAACAGATGAATCGGAAAATACATGGTTGTTTGTTTCATTATTTTGATCCACCAGTTCCGGTTGATCATCGTCAAATAGTGTGGTCGGAGTGAGTGTTGTTGGTGTGATGGATTCATCAACCTGAATCACACGACCATAATGTCCCATCTTTAAAGTGGGATTGGTTGTTGTCATTTTTTATGTGATGAAAAATCTAGTGTTGAACTACTTGCAGTCAATGCATTAGTGTTTATTAGAAGTTATTTGTGGGAATTGGACTTGGCTTGTTTCGAGGGAGTGTGTGAAAAAAGTTGATACAAAATTGAAGTGGTAATGTCAATCAATTTTTTGAATTGATTTGTATCGAGAGCAGTCATGTAAAAGATGAAAACTCGCTTGCTATTGAATTTCAATTTTGATGTATGACTATTTTCAATGAACGATAATACTCTCAATTCTTCGTTAGTGAGGTGTGTTTCTTCATCAAGAAGATACCTTAAAAATTTGGATTGGTTGGAGGAAGATGAGGAGGAAGATGGATGAACAATGGGATAGGAATCAATTTTGGACTGAGAAGGAAGATCTGTAAAGAAAGTGGAGAAATCTTTGTGTTCTGACGAATCATAATTCGCATACTCTGGACACAAACCAGAAAATGTAGTTTCACCCTCAAAGGTCCTTTTGAAAATATCTAGCTTTGTGAACACAAGAAATATTGGAGAGTATTTCAATGGACCGTTGCTCAGTGTGTCAAAGAAGGTCGTACTCTCTGTGAATCTACTTGAAAAGTCATCTTCATAGCATGTTTTTCGATAGTCAATGAGAGAGGCAGTATAGTAGGCACCTGTTAAGCCAGGATATACATGTTCATACTTTTTCCGTTCCGTACGAGCTCCTCCAACGTCATACACTCGATAAGCAGTGCCAAGGAAGTCAAAATCAATGTATGTGATACCTGTGGTCTTGGTTCTACAGCTAATGATATCATCAAGTATGGGTTCATATCGTGTGGTTTTGTTTAACATGCGTTTGGGTGAGTCGTGTTCAGTTCTCAAGTAGTAATCCAAACCATCAGAGAATGAGTCACTCAAAGCAAAAGCATTGAGAATTTCTCTCACCCTAGCATCTTCCCACATGGACACGATCATATCTCCATAAGGTATATTCGAGTCGTACAGGACATGCCTCGAATGGAGTGTTCCCACCTTTTGCTTATACTCGACAAATTGTTGAATGACTTGTTCATTGGTAAAATATTCTTCAGGAATGTTTGTGTGTGCAATGGCATTGAATCCAAAGTCTTTGTACTCTGAGAGAAGGTTTAAAAACTTGGACACACCCAATCCAAAACTATTCAACATGTTGGTAAAGAGATACATGCGCATTCGATCCACTTCTGTTTGATTAAATCCTTCTTGTAAGGTGACCCTGAATTGACGATAGAGTGTGGATTTGCCTGATCCCAACGTTCCACACATCATCAAGCTACACAGAGAGGGAGCTTTTGGCTTTATGAATGAGTGGTGTTGGTGTTGTTCGAGGAGACGAGCTTCTGACTTTCTCGAGGAGGAGGACGAGAAAGCCGTGGCACCTTGATGCGAGTAGCTCGTATTGCTTTCCTCAATGGTTATGATTTCATCCAAGGTGGAGGAGGAGGTTGCAGACGTTGTACGAGCGTTGGTATGCGTTTTGCTTGAGGGAGATACGGGAGATTTGGTTCGTCGAGCCACTACTCTTGATTGTTCTTCAGTAGTAGTAGTCGTCGTCGTGCTGGTTGAATGTTCAGCAGCTGCTGTTGCAGGTACGGCAAGGAATATTGGAATGGGTTGTTGTTCTGTGTGGGGTTGGTTAGTGGTAGTAGTAGTGGTAGTTGTGGTAATTGCTGCTGTTGTGGCCATGGCAATACCTGCAACCTCTTTCCTCTGGTGTTGTTGCATAAATCGTTCATTGGCGCCTCGTTGGTGTTGTGAATACTCCTTCTTGAAATGAGCAATCTCCGATCGTTCGTTTACATTCCTTATAGTTGCTGGGAGCAAGAAAGAAAACAGTCTTTCCATGATTGGAATTTGGATGCTGTGCGAGTTCAACTTCCAATGACACAGTTGACCTCTACTGACAACAACTAAAATTTGCTATCCAAATTAATTGGATGATGAAGAGGATGGGAATCACGTAATCGGAATAATGAGAATTGATGTTTCTGATGATGATGTTGTTGTTGCACTAATGTCCAATCATTCAATAACATGAAATATTGCATTCAGTCTGATAATCTTTGGGATGATGATCTTCACACAGTAATCACGCTGCAGTAAAATCATAAACAGAAAGGCTTAAGAGCCTCGTCTCTCTTCTACGTGATGACAATTGAGAGTGTTGCCAAATTTTTTGTTCAACTTCCCAGCAAACGATTGTGTCGCTTTCACGTTCTGATGCTTTTTTTTGTGATTAAATTGCAAATTAAGAGAGACATGCGAACGGTTGGAAACTTACCAAGGGAAAGTGGTGAATCTTTTTGCCAACAAGACGGAATTCTCACAAACAACGAATGTTGTTGAGTGTGGGTTGTAATTTTTTGTTCTTGAAACACCAACGGCCGCGAACCAGTGTATTGTGACGTCAGGTCGATAGTGTGTGCTTATGTTGTGGTTAGAAAAATATAGTGAACCTTGCCAATAATTGTATGGTTAACGTGATTCACAATCCGAACTGAAGAATAGGTGTCAATGTCAGACGTTGGTGAGCCTAACCGTTTCAAAATATAAACAGAAAAAAGGCGATAACCACATTTGGGCAAAATTCAGGTTGAATTTAATTTCGATTTGTCCTCATGAGAGATGGCCAATATCGTGCAACGATGAAGGGTTTGGAAAGTTTGTGGTTTAAAATTGATCAGATAACATGCATAAGCGAAGAATTAATTTCGAAAGAAGGAGATCTGATTGGGAAGCCAATCAAAAAAAAACGCACGTGTTTCATCACTTCCGATTTGGGCTTCATCAACCATTAAAAAAAATATTAAAATTGAAAGAAAATGGCACCAAACGAAGTTTCTCTCACGATGCCAATTCCCGATAATTTCTCAACCACTCCAAATCTTCAAGCACAGAAAAAGAGGCCAATCAAGATGATTGTCGTAAAATATTTCGAAGATACAGATAAATATGCCAAAATTATTCCACGACCAGCATTTCATGTACTCAGAAGAAGGTTGGAAGAGGAATCACAAAAAGGATCATCAGTGCCATCTAAACCTCCAACAAAAGAAGAGGCTGAAAATTTGGCTATTGTTTTCGGAAAGGACTTGATGGGAATGATCATGAGAGATCAAGCCGATTGGCTGGCAAACTATAATCCAATTACTTCTATCATGCTTTATAACGAAAAACAAAACAAGTAAGTTCTCATATTATGAAATTGACGATTCAAACCATATGTGATTTCATTATTTCGTGCCAGATTCGAAACTGTAACAGATAATATGGAGTTTGGATGTACGGAACAAGAAAATGTGTACACATTCCACGTGAAGAGGAAAGTGGCAGTTGAGCATTGTTTGGCACAAAGGTGAGTTTTTTCGGAGTTCATCATGACATTTCAATTTTGTTAGTACAATGACATTCTCATCGATTGGTGGAGCAGAGAGTTGGTTAGAAACAGCATTTACCAGAGTAAATAGGAATGTAATTATTAGATATCATGATGTTCTTCATCACGGATACACCAGACTCTACAAGGGAGAAAAGATACCTCCTGGAAGAACTGGAAAGTCCATGGTAAAATTACTTATTGAAAACATTCTTCCTGCCGCTATTGAAAATCAGGACACAATCTTGACCAAAAAACTGCCAAAAGAAAACGAGGATGGTTTTATTGACGAAGAACATGAGGACGCTTTTAACTTTTTCGAAGGAGGAGCAGGAGAAGAAAAAGGTCCATATATTGACTTGAAAAATGAAAATGCTCTAGTTGTTGGAAAAGAAGATAAAGACGAACATACATTTGCGAACAAGGAGGAATTGCAATGTTTACACATTTCTAGATTCGCAGATGTTAGCAAAATTCCAGTACATTTACTTTATAACGAAAACAAGAGACAAAACGAAGGCCCTTGGAAAGATGTCACTAAATTCCCTCTTTCAATGTCTGAGGTTTCAAAAACAACAAAATCTTGGATTAGATCAGGAATTCCTCAATCAAAGAGATGCTTATTGTGGATGGGTATCACAGGATCTGCTTCATTATTGAAACAAAGCCCATATTTTTATGAAAATCACTTCGAGAAAACATATGGTCACTACAACTCGGATAGTAAGACATTCAAAAACAAAAAGGAGTTTATTGAATCAATTGACCCAAGAATTATTGCAGAGTTTGGAGGAAAACTTCCAGGATATAATGCCGACAACCCAACAGGTATTGTACAAAAGGAACAACCAGTAGAGATACAAGATGATGAAATTTCAGTGAAGCAGATAGAGATTGATAAGGACTATGGTCTACTCACTCATGAAGGCGTGAAGGCTGCTAAGAGAATACTATGCGTTCTTGCAGATCATCACATTGACATTGACTATTGTCCTCCTATTCCTGACTTGATTCAGATTCTTTTGATTATCATGAATGAGAAGCAAACCTATGCAACTGTACATTGTATGTTAGAGAAATCTAGAGAATCTAAATGGTATTTCAGAACTAACAAAATGCAACATGCCCTTTTCATTGAATCATTTAGCGATATCATTAAGAAGAACATTCCAAATCTTGCTAGCCATTTTGAAAAGATTGGTTTCGACATTAGTTCAGTAACTTACAAATGGTTCTCTAGACTCTTTGTACCATACTTACCATTTGATTTTGTATTGAGAGCTCTTGACTCTTTCTTTAATGAAGGTGCGAAAATATTATATCGAGTGGCTTATGCCATTTTAAAGACATTAGAACCCAAGTTGTTGAAAGTCCTATCTCCAAACTATATGGAGGACATTCTAACAAGTAATAACTCTATTACTGTCGAGGAGGAGGAATTCTTTAAAACTGCGTTTAAATTTGGAATTTCAAGAAAATATCTCACTCAATTAGATGAAAAAAACCGAACTGAAATCAATCCTAACAAACTTTCAAGCAAGATTACAACGTTCACTAAACCAAAAATTGGATCTACATCTGAAATTATTAAGGATGAATCTCAATGGGAATTGCTCGTCTCGTGGTTGTCATACAAACAAAGGCTAAGAACCCTCTCACTAAGGTTTTCAACTTCTAGAGATGGTTACAGCTTATCTCAATTATACAATATTTGTAGTGATATTGGTCCCAATATTATACTAATTTCCGCTGTTCCAATTTCTCTGGACGGAGATATTAATGATATCAAGAAGCATCAAAAAGACAAAATTGAAGACATGATTCCACAAGAATTGGAAATATCTGAGAATGAACAAGATGCAATGAAAGTTATTGAAATGATCAGAAAACACAAGGAACAAGGAGCCTCTTTAAGAAAGTCTTTGAAAAGAGAAAGCAAAAAAACAGAGACAGCTCCTGTTGAAAAAAAGAAAACAGCTGACGTTTGTATCTTTGGAGCATTTTGCGGAGATTCATACGACAAGACCTATCGCTTCGAAGGAACTACTGACACATTTTTGTTTTCCATGTATCCAGTTGAGGCCAAATACAAATGGTCAAGAAAGAATGACTTTTTCGTCATGGGTAGAAAAGACAGACTTGTTTTTGGAGCAGGAGGAGACGGCCCAGCTCTACAAATTGATGACCAGCTCTGCATTGGAACAAGTAACAGGTGTACAACATTTGATAACGAACCACTGGCAGGTTCAAAGACTACATTTTCAATTTTAAAGTTGGAAGTTTGGTACTTCAAATAGCATTCAGTAAATCCTCATTAATGCACGTAACTTGACGCCTTTGTTTGAATACCAAACTTCCCAACACCCATGAACATTCAAGTGATGAACCTTACTCTAAATTTAAGCATTTGTCTGCGTGAACGTGAAAGCGATTTTGTTCAAAAAGGTCGCAAGGAAGACCAAATCAAATTTAACAAAAAAATTCAATCATATTCAGCACGATGGCTTTGCAAGAATTAGAGCGTTCTCATGTTCCACAGCTTGAGGATACGGACAAGTATTCATTGATATTCTACTATAATGAACAAACAGAAGCAGACCTGGTGAAAGAAGTTGATACTCTGTTGGAACAAAACAAGGACGATAGCGTTCTCTCCAACGCGTATTGGTTCAAAAGCAATATTCATCCCGAAACGATCAATTATATTGGTGCTTCAATTGCTAATGTGATTGGCATTGATCTCGAGGGTGAGATGAAAAACAATTTGTGTGCCGTCATGTTGGGAACCAAAGGAAAGAAATTCATGACAAGTCTCAAGACTCCACTTGATAAAGAGGCTTTAAAGACATGGCTTGCCTCCGTTCAAGACGGAACTGCAAAAGCTGAAGTGAGAAGTGAACCAAGGTATGTGGTTAACAATATGGGGTTACAAACAGCCATATTTACTGTTGATGATCATGTTCAAACGATCATCGTGCAATCATGTTCTGAACCAATCAAAATGAATCATTCACTTCTCCACCATCACACAAATCTCAAATATCATTATTACCTTAAAGACCTCCTAACGATGAATATCCTGGTAAGAAAGGCCTCAAAAAACTGGTTGCCACAGCTTTTGATGAAATTGTGCTTGACTCACATGATAAGGATGTTTTTGTTGATGTAAGTTGACTTCTACAATATGTATGTCGTTAACCAATCATTGACATTTCACTTGTGAAGATTTATGCTGATTGGTGTGGTCCTTGTATTATGGTGGGCCCTATGATTGAGAAAGTTGCCAACGTTTTACAACCTGAATCAGGTATTGTCATTTGTAAAATGAACTCGGATTTGAATGATTATTCGGATGAACTGTTCCCTGAAGGTACTATTCCTAACATGAAGCTTTTCCCTGCTGGTGATAAGGAAAAGAAGAACAATCCAATTAAATTCTCAGGTAAAAGAAGTGCAGCAGGAATTTTGGCCTGGATTCATGAAAACGCAACAAACAAATTTGATTTGGACAAGTATTTGCCTGATTGCAAGAAATTCGACGACTTCTTCTTGTTAAAAATGGAGGCTGAAGAAATGATTCAGGAAGTTAAAAACGATTTGGATTTCGTTCCTGAGAGTTCAACTCCAGACTTGGAGAATCTGTTGAAGGATTTAGAAAAGAAAATTGATGAAGAGGAGGTTGGCGATGTAACAAATTTATTGGAGAGCTTGAAAATTTCTACTGATAGGGAACAAGTAAAACAAGCTGCTGACAAGAAACGATTAGGAAATGTCGTCAAGATTCACAACATGAGCGAATTTGATGAGGCCTTAAAGCATGACAAGTTAGTTGTTGTTGATTTTACTGCCTCGTGGTGTGGACCTTGTCAATTTATCGGACCAATTTTTGCAGCCATGTCCTCACAATATGCAGATGCCAAGTTTTTGAAGGTCGATGTGGATGAATGCCAAGATGTTGCATTGAAGTGTGGAATTGAAGCAATGCCTACCTTCCAATTCTTTAAGAATGGTTCTAAGATTGCTGAAATTCAAGGTGCAGATCCAGAAGGTCTCGACGAAGCCATTAATAAGCACCTTTAAGATTATAGTAATGTAATTCATTGGTTTGTGCAGTTGAAATACATAGTAGTGTAATCTAAAACAGTCTCATTGGTTACTCGTTTTTATTTTGATCAATCAACCGTTTGGCTCTCCACAAAAAAGCAACACCAATTAACTGAATTAATGTCATTGCAATGAAAGGTGCATCAACAACATGCGGCAATGAACTGCTTGTTGTGAAAACATCCAACAAAAAAGAGAACATCACAGGGGCAAGAATTCGTCCTAGTGTCGTAATAGATCCAAGACATCCATTCAATATACCTTGTTGATTTGGATCGAATACTTTGGAAATCAGTGAAGACCGTAATGGATCCTCTTTTGCCCCAAGTAAAAAGAAGGCCATTCCATAGTAAAAGCAATCTCCGTTTCGAGTCAATACACATGACACGAATAAGAGTGCATTTGCTATTCCTGCTACTACGAGATTGTTTGACTCACTTCCACTCAAATATGCAATGGGTTTGGCAAGAATTGAATTTGAAAGAATTGCTGTAATACCAACCAAAGTCAGAACAAACCCATTTTCCTGAGGTCCGTATCCAAATTTCAAGCGAGTGAATTGTGTAATGATACAAAAAAATCCAACAGAAATGAAAGCACTGGTAAATTTGGATATAATCAATGATTTTAGAGCAGCATCTGCCTGTGTCACAATCATAAATAATGATTTAAAAGGTGCACTAATTTCAGAGAAGAAGGATTTGGAATCTTTTTTCGGTGTATCAACGTTGTTAAGGGTCTTATTTCCTTTTGCATTCTCTTTCAAAATGAATAATATAAAACACGTTGTGAAAATTGAAATACCAAATATTGTCCCAAAAACATAATTCAATCCAAATTGCTTATAAATTGATCCAGACATGATAGGACCAATGGCTGTCGATAATCCCATGATGGCCAATACATAAGAAAAATATAAAGTTAAATCTTTCTTGTCTGCATGATCTGCAATATAAGAATTAATCATCGGAATGACATCCATACAAAATCCTTGCAAAATTTTGGCAAAGATGTACAGATACAATGCATTATTTCGTATCATCAATTCAAAATTACTCAATGATGAATGACTAGTTGTTGTTACAACACGACACAATAAAAAATAAATTCCATAAATAGTCGTATAGATTGCTGCAAATATTGTAAGAAAAGGCTTTCTTCCGAATCGATCGCTTAAATTTCCAGTTATTGGGCTCACAAAGAAGAAGATCACACCAGGAAGAGCAAATAAAAATCCATAAAGAGAAGTTGAGTGTTTGGTGCTGCTGGCTGGATGATGATTCGGATCTACAGAATCCAGAGCTGAATTAATTTTCTCAAATAATTCTACATTCACAGGATTGATAATTCCGAATGATAAATAAAACAAAAAGAGATACACCAATAATACTCGAATGTCTCCTTTTTCAGTTGGCAGTGTTGATGAAGCATGGTTTGCTTCTGTGCGAGTGATGGTATCAATTCCAGAGCTCATTTTTTTGGAATTTATCTTACTTACAGTAGAAGTAATCTTTGTCATCTTACAATTTTTAATAAATTCCAAAAAATATCTTCATACATTCAAAGAAAGAAACGGTTTCATTCGAAATTGGATGGAGCATAAATTTTGTTAATTCCAGATTTGATTCTCATATTTCTATCGTAGGTTAATAGAATGAGTTCATGATTCTTTTCCTTTCGTTTCAACACTTTATCTTTAAAGTAGAGACAACAATTAATGATGTGATCATCTGCTGATTGTGGCTGTACACCTCCATCCTCCATACCGTTCAGTGTCTGATGAGCTTGTTGACCATACAGATTTTCATACTTTCTCTTTTCAAATGATTCTTCCAAGAATCGAATGGCATCTCTTGCTTTGGTACCACACATGTCTTTCCTTAATTTTAACTTATCGAGCTCAGAAATGACTGTTTGAGGTATGATACAAGAGCAATTCACCTTCTCCAATAAAGTCTTGAGAATGTGCAATCTTTCAACAAGAACGTTGGTATCAATAATGTAGAGCCTAAGATAACAGTGTGAAAAATTGAAATGTTCCTAAATAAAACATACTTGTGATTGAAAGGAAATTCTAAGGAATCCCTTCTTTGATTTTGAAGAACGAGATTTTGAAGTCTAATAATTTCCTTTTCTTTTTGAATATTTGACATGGCTGTCTTCATGTGGCTCTCTCTGAGCCGTTGAATTTCTTGTCTCATTTTCTCATTTTCTTTTTGAAGCTCTTCCTTTTCTTTTTGTACATCTTCAGTATTAACAATCTCCTCAGTTTCGAAAACATAGATGCATTTGGTGTGAACAAATGGTACCTTTTCACCAACTGCAACGTTAGCCTTATTATGTCCAAATGCAATGACATCTCCATTCACCAAAAACGCTTCCTTAACCTTGGTGTTATTTACAAATGTGCCATTAGAAGAAGAATCAATGAGCTTCCATCTTATTACTTTGTCTTCACTCTGACTACTGTTTTCTTGTATTTGAACAATTTTAGCATGAATACGGGAAATGACAGGATTCTTTTTTGAGTTTGGAGTGTCAATCACGTGGTCAACATCAGTTGCAGCTCTTCCCAAAGTCACAACTTTCTATGCGGCATAATTTAACAAAAGATGGAAAAATTGAACCTACCTTATCCATATACAAGGGTATCAATGGAGCGGTGCAATCAAGAGTTGATGTCAATCGTAAACAAGCAATATGAGATGGCGACGTTTGTTTCAGTATTTCTTTTTCTTTGTTAATGCACTCTAGGCTATAATAGTATTCATCTCTGTACTCTTTGGTATCCAGTAATTGTTGTTTGTCAACTACATCAACAATCCATCGCATTGTGACCACTGGATACATTGGCAGTGATGAAATATCATGTCTAGGAATAATATATTCCAATTCATTTGAAGCAGATGTAGTAATGATGATATTAGCTTGAGTAATTTTCTCAACAATTGTTCCTCCACACAATTCAATAAATCGCTCACAAATTTCAGGTGAAGGGAGTGACACAGTGTCTCCTCTTAAAACAAAGCACCTCTTATCTTTCAAAACTCCTCCACTTGGTCTTTTTCTAAGATAGTTGGTAATATAAAATTCGCTTTCCGAAACAAAATATGAAGCCTTATCACTCTCATAGAGCCAGGACGATTTTAAAATTGGAATATTTAACGCAATAGAATAGATTAACTTCAACGTCTTTTTTGGGTTTTCATCCAAACAAACAAGGTGTGTGAATTTTTCACAATCAGATCCTCCAATCTCCACATAATCATACTCAGAATTTTTGGATAATTTCTTGATGATGTTGACAACCTCTCCTTTCTCTATAAAATCTCCACCTGTGACACCAATAATAAATTTGGTCCTCTTTGATTTCGGTTTTACTTCTTTGTGTGAAAAAGGTTTCTTGTCGTCTGACATGCTTGACAATGTGTCTTTTAGCTTTTTAGAAGGCTTTGTTTTCCATCCTGATGGAGAAGATATAGAGCTTGTAGAAGCTTGATCTAGCTTTCTCTTTTTGTCAGACGATTCCAAATCATGTGATGATGAAAGAGAGGTAGTATGCTTCTTTGGTGATTCAAAAGTAAACGAGTTATCGAATACTTCTGAATTGTTGTTAGTATTTTCGGAACCTTTGTAAGTTTTCAAAGGTGTGCGGCTGGTCATCGATCTATTATTTACAGAAAGAGTCAGAGAAGGATGTTTGTTCGATGATGATGAATTAATTTCTTTCGAAGAGTGAGATGCATAGTTTGGTGGTGAGCTGGCTTCGAAAGGTCTCGGAGATGGTTTAGAGGATGAAGGAACCTGTGCTGAAGATTTCGTGGGCGAAGAAAACACAAGGGAAGGCTTTGTTGGCATTTTTTCCACAATTATTTGCAAATTGTAACGAAAAATAGTGACAGTGTGCACATTATGAACTTAAATTTACAATGCAATAAATTCAAAATGATTGTCAAGACTTCCTTCTTTTGGTCTAGATCCCATGATGGTAATCGATTGCAAATGTTCAGGAACGTTGAGTAAAAACTTTCGACACACTCTTAATAAATCTTCAACTCGAACCTCTAGTAAATTATTTCTAAATTGTTGTCTCATGTCATCGGTGAGATGATGCAAAAAGTGAAGCGAAAATCTTTGATGCGGTTCCATGGGTGTGTCCAATTTCTTTAAAACACTCAATTTGGATTCAAAAAGTTCTTTCTCACTAATGGATTCCAGTGAGTGTGCTTGACAAATATTACTCAATGCTCTCCTAAATATATCAATTGTTTTGTAAGTATTAGGATCTCTATAAGTGTAGAATGAGAAAACTTGTTCACGAAACATGTTTGATTTTTGACCATAAGCTCCTTCTTTTTCACGAATTTCTTTGTGTAAAATTGGAAATAAATAAGCAGCGAACACAGAAAGAGAGGCAAAATCTTGATTCAAATAATTGGTATTCGTAGCAAAACTGATAGAGACATAGTTCACAGGAAAGTTCAATTCAATAAATGTTCCTTTCTTTTCTGTAGATTTGGATGCTATGGATAATAATGAATGATTAATTGATGTTGTTGATGTGAATGGTTGTGCTCTAGAACGTTGACCATTGTTCAACAGCTTTAAAAAAGAGGTAAGCTCTTGTTTCAATTCATGTAAATAACTACTTTCACAAGTGACTGCAACAGTAATATTATGATAAATAGAATCAAGTAGGGAATGCATACGATCGAGTAGAACTTGTGCTAAATTTTCTTGATGTAATTTCTTAAACTCCTTAATAAACATAAAATGAGAGATTCCTGTCAACCGTTCAGTGAGCAAAGAATAGTCATTCAATACAGATGCAGAGTATGACCGAGAAAATTCATGTCCATTTTGTGTTAAACTCTCTCCAATAGAAGTTGCATACTCCTCAAATAATGTCTCTAAATATTTAACATCTTCAAATCGAGGTGCTGTCATGATATCTAAAAGTAACTTTAACATGATTGGCACCTTTTCATAAACAGCCTCAGAATAGAGATTCACTCCAAATTTTTCAATATGAGTTTGATTCTGTGATGGAATTGCTTTGGGAGAGAAAAATACATTGGATGTTATGCCTCCTGTGAACATGTCAATCCTTTCTGTTAATTCGGTCTTGTCGAGTTCTTTGGTTCCCATCTTTGTAAGGCAATAGGTGAAAAATGGTAACAAATCTAAGAGTTGATTGTCCAATAGAATGTTCTCTCCATTCCATAATTCTGCATTGATACTCAAGTGAACTAATCCATTTGTTTCTTGTTCATAGGTTGTCACGTTAACTCCCATTAATTGACCTTGTTGAATATAAGGATCTAATTTGTAAAGAATCGAAGTGTCAATATCAGACAGAGTAAGAGATGGTAAAATGGCATCAATGTCTTTCAATTTTTCAGTGTTTTGATACTCCTTGAGCTGAACAGAATGTGACACAATTTGTTTCTTTTCAATTTCAGACATGGTGCTTTGTGCTTGTTGTAATGTACCTTGTTCAAACTCCTTAAATTCATTCAATTGATTCTTGTTAGGCCTCATGACTACTCGTAATGATAAATCTGTTCTCAAATATTTTGCAATTAAATCTTGAAAGAGTGTTGGAGATTGTGTAAGCTCGTGTCTAAGACGTTTGATGTTCTATCAATTTTAAAGAGTTCACATTGAAAAAATAATATTGATTCAAAAGATGGTTTCATGACTTACAGTTTCGCTATCAATAACCTCTTCCAACCGATGACTATCTCCGTTACACCAAAAAGGTGGAATTTCCATCATTAAGGAAGATCCATAATTTGCCGATACTCTCTTATTACTAATTTCAATTCTATTAAGAATGGATTCCACATATTCCTTTCGAAAACCTTGTTTGATGACAAAAGTAAGAGTTTTGTTAATAGTTTCCTCAACGATGGCAACATCTGATTCACCAATTTCAGAAACTCCAATCACAAAAGTTGGTTGTTTACGTAGTAAATCAGTCTTCTCGAAACCTGTAATTGATAAAAATCGAGGTGCTAGTTTAGATTCAATGAGTGATTGATACAGTGGTCCTCGTGGATTTTCCAGTAACAATAAATCCAACATTCGCATCTGGAAAACTTCAAAAAATCCGTTCACTGGCTGCTGTGTGAAAAAAGTCATGGCATATTTGAGCTGCTTTTCCGGATTATGAATAATGGATTCTTCAGGACCATAAAAATAGTGAATATCATTGGGTTGTGTGATCAATGATTGCACTTGTTGTGACGAGATGTGATCTTGTGAACTGTCTTTGACTTGAACTACATTGATCACCTCCATCGAATCCTCAAATTGATCCAATAATTGTTGTTCCTTCACAAAATTGAGATGAGAAATGAATGAAAAGCTTCCATAGGTAAAGATTAGTGCATTATTTGGAGAATAATATTTCTTATGATAGGCAACTAAATCTTCATATTTCAAATCAATAATATTTTCTGGCTTTCCACCGTAATTGAAAGAATAGCTGTGGAGAGACTTTAGAAATTCAGAATTGTAGCGATGTGATGGATTAGTGCTGTTGGTAGTGAAATTATTGAATCGATCAAATAACAATCGATTCAATTCAAATGCAAAATAATTATTGGCATCTCCCATCACTCCTTGCATTTCGCTATAGACCACTCCTTTAAAGGTTAAATTTGATTGAATTTGATCATGTTCTTGAAATTCAAATCTGTATCCCTCTTGTGTGAAATCCAATTTTCGCAACAATGGATTAAACACTGCATCTAAATAAATTTGCATTAAATTATAAAAATCTTTTTGATTTTGTGTTCCGAATGGATAAGATGTTATATCAGCAGCAGTAAAAGCATTCATATAGGTGGATAAAGATCTTTTCAACATGGAAAAGAATGCATCTCGGACAGGATATTTCTTTGATCCACATAATACTAAATGTTCTAAAATATGTGTCAATCCAGTATTATCTGTTGGTGGAGTTCGAAAAGAAATTGAAAAGAAATTATTGTGGTCATTGGGATGATCCACATGAAACCATTCGAGCTTTGTTCTCTTGTGACGAAGGTGATGGATCGTGGAGGGAGGCGCTGTTAATTGAATATTTGTTTTAATAATTTCCCATTCCGAATTGTGATATTGAAGATATTCAGAAAGTGAAGATGTTTGATTTAAATTCTTTTTATGATCTGGGGTGTGTTGAAATCGGTAGAGATAGACAGCAATCACTATTGGAATGAGAGTAACAAAAAACATCAACCCTTTGCTTGTCATTTTTTCAAATCTTGTTGAGCCAAAGTGTGTTGGTGTTGCGTCTCGTACCTTGTGGGTAAGTCTTAATTTCGTAAAGTAGTCGGTATCATGCATAGTTCTTGTGAAAGATTAGTCAGAGAACAAAAAGGTGGCCACAAAGGTTCATATCAATTTTTTCCTTCTTTATTGAGCCAAGAAGTTATAAAAGCTTGTAACTTATTGAGCGGTTCTCTTTTGAGCAACTCCTCGCAAAACTTTGGATCCAACAAGCAGCATAGCAATACCCACAATACCCAAATATTTCAAAGTTTCAAAGATGTTCCACGAGATAAAGTACATGACCAAAATTCCAATAGTTGCAGCAAGTAAAGCAACTAAAACAGGAGCCAATAAACCAGATAAACCTCCAGGACATCCTCTAAAGTTGAAGCCAACAGCCAAAGTGCCAATCAAGTACAAAGCAAGCGGCACTAGAACAATGAGTGAAAATAAAGAAGCAATTTCAGATCCTGCTCTCTTTTCTGGTGGCCTGAAAATGTGTGTAATTACTGGCTTAACTTCATATAAAGCCTCTTCTTCAGATTTCTCATATTGCTTTGAGAAATTAAGAGATGTAGTTGCAACCGTCCAAAGAATTGGTGTATTCAATGTGGCATCACCAATAATGATTTGAATTTGATAATCGCCTGATTGCAATTTCAAAGCTCCTCCAATAACTCTCTCCAATGCAAGATCCAATCCATAACTTGCTTGATATTGTTGCTTAATGTTGAAAATTGCTTCATTGACATCATTTCCAACTCGAAGGAAAACTTGGTGTGGGGTTACTCCAGCCAATGAGAAACTAACACGAATTCTTGTGTTTGAATCCACATCCACTACTAGTTTTTCTGGAACAGGATTTGGATAAGAAATTTGAGAGCGAGTTAATTTTCCAATATCAAGTTGGAAGTCTCTAATCTTCAAATCCACTGCAGCGGTCTTTAAAGTACGAGTGACGGTAGTTTTTCCAACAGAGATGTCAAAATTATATGATCCAGTGTCGGTCAATTTGATGTTCTTCATTTGAAAATCAACTCCATTAGATGATTCCAATTTAACAGGTCCCTTTGGCAAAATAGAGTCGTCAGAATTACTTCCTTTGTAAACACTTTGCAATGTAACTTTTTCATTCAAAGGTGATCCTAACAAATTAGAAGCTGAGATTGAGTATACTCCCTTTTCGTCTTTCAATTCAGAAACGACAACAGTTTCATAAATTCCCTTTCCAGCAAATGATTGTAAACCCTCTACTAGATGATAGATGTCATTCAAAGATTTTGCTGATTCTTTCTTGCTTACAAGTGACTCGATGAGAGCGGAAATGTCGTTTTCAGAGATTTTCTTGTCTAGTCCAGCGACAACTCCGGCAATCTTATTCAATCCTCTTGAGAATACAGCAGCAACCTCAACGCTTGTTGAAGAGACAGCCTTCTTTACAACAGAAGAAATATTGTCAATGGCATTGTTGAGAGCAGACAGGTCACTCTTTTCAATGCCTTGCAAGATGGCTGCTGATTCGAGAAGAAAGCCTACAGATTTAACACAATCCCCAGAACAATCTTGTTTCAAAAGAGAAGAAAGTTGCTTAGTGATAATGTCAGATAGTTTCGAAGTCTTCCATATGAGAGTGATAGTATTGCGCGAATCATTATCGATGAAGTTTTTGCAACATAAACAATTCAAACACGTGTTCAAGAAATATTGATCGTGATGATCGTGGGGTATTTTGATTAATATTGTTCCATGTCAAACGTTCCAAGAGATGTAAAGCAATACAATAATACTTACCTTTACGTCCTTTGTGTTAATCTTGCTCTTGGTCAAAAGTAATATTCTAGTGATGGAGTAAATAGTTTCAGCTGAAATAGTATTTTCAGTGGCTCCATCAATGAACTTGGCAAGAGCACTCTGTACGAGTCCGTAAGATTCAGCTGACAATGGTGCACATTTCAAGGCAACATTTGCAGCAATTGTAAAATATAAATCGTTTGGATTATCCACAGTAGTGAGTGATTGGACGCATTTGGATTGAATTGTTGGTACTTCCTTTCCAATCTTTGAGAGTGATGAAGCAGCAAAGAATAAATCCTTCTTGCTTTGCTTTGAATTTAAATCACCGATTAGACTTTGAATATTTTGCTTGTCCAAAGTTGTCAGTCCATTTCGAACAGATAATGCAAAAATCGAAACAGAGAAGATCGCCAAGCAAGCTAACACTACTACTATTCCAAAATATATTTTACGGAGAGAAGCCATCTTTGAGCTAAAAGCCTTGTTGATGATGATGATATGAAAAGGCTTGCAGTGATTTGGCTTGCAAAATTTTTTTGGTTCTTTTTGTTATTCTTGTGTTGAAGACGCCTTCACACGTGTTTGGGAGGTTATCTTTCTGCATGATGAATTCGTTATTGATCATTCCAATCTTTATCCAACGATGATTGTAACCTTGTAACCAGATAGTTATGATTTGCTCATCATTAACATGAAGGATGCAAAACAAAAAAATCTAAAAAGAATCAATTGGAGCACCTTGGTCCAGACATACTCAGAGCATCATCATCACTCGCTCCTAACACATACAATTTCATGACAACAAAGCTCTCTCCGAACATCAAAATGACATTGTCAAGGAGGAGTACCTTGTTGTCATCTCTTCTCATCACCATTTTATTATCCATCACCCTCTCTTCTTGTCTATTATTTCATCATCCTCACGATAATGCACATAACAACCATTTCATAATAGGCCAAGTACATGCTCAAAGCAATGTGAATTCTAATACTTTCATTGACAAGTATTTGATTCCTCGCCCAAAAGAAGTCACATGGGAAGAGACAGCAACTAAATTATTGAGTTTTTATAAATTAAATTTTGCACTTTATGTGAAAGGATCCAAAGTTGATAGAACACAATTTCCAATGGTGGACATGGCTTTGAAACGATATGAAGCATGGATGTTTAAATTATTTGAAACAAAAGGCAATTCCAAATATTATGATTCCGATTTTACATTTTACAATGATGATGTTGTGATACAAATTACAGAAGATGTGACATATCCTGTTTTAGACGTTTTGAATATTGACGAGTCGTATGAATTGACAATTCGAACAAGAGGAATTGTGATAAAATCAACCTCTCAATTTGGTTTTTTGAGAGCATTGGAAACGTTTTCACAAATGATTAGAAGAAATATCAATGACCAATTTTTCTACATTCCAAACTCTCCAATCTATATCAAAGACTCTCCTAGATTTAAATATCGAGGTTTAATGATTGATGTTGCTAGAAATTTTATTTATCCAAATACCATCCAGAAACTTATTGACCTCATGTCATTTGACAAGTTAAACGTGTTACATATTCACTTTACAGATGCTCAATCCTTTCCCTATCAAATGTATGGAACCTTTTCTGATTTGAGTGACAAGGGAAGTTTCTCAAAAGAATTAGTTTATTCCAAAGAAGTGATTGCTTCACTCATTGAATATGCTTATTTTAGAGGTATTCAAATAATTCCAGAATTTGACATGCCAGGTCATACCAAATCCTTTGCATTTGCATATCCAGAAGTGGTGTCTTCGTGTCCAAAGAAACTTGCAGCAAATGTGAACAATTATCCATTGAATGTTGCAGAATCAACGACCTATGATATTGTTGAAGCAATTTTGGGACAATGGCAATCCAAAGACACTTTGATGGAAAAGACCAAAATTTCAAATGCCATTCCTCTTTCAATCATGCATTTAGGTGGAGACGAAGTTACAAGATCATGTTGGACCGATGAGAATCCAATTATTTTCAACTATTTCAATGGTATGTGATGTTTATCAGACCATTTTTTTATGTGAAATATTAACAATTTTATTCTGAATATTTTCTTGTTGATTCGAACATGACGTGAAATATGAATATACGGTGCACAATACTCTACAGCCATGCAAAATCAAACAAAATTTGGCAAGATTCAAAATGGTTATGACATTTGGGGTTATTTCCAAGCCATGATTGCATCCAAACCAAATTATCAAAAATTAAGTACTACTATTTTCTGGGAAGATTTATTCTTAAGAATGGCCCAATATTCCACACTATTCAAACCAGATCCTTCAAAATCGATTTGTCAAATTTGGAGAGATCCTGCAAATATTCGTGATTGTGTCTCTAAAGGTTACAAAACTATTCTCTCTGCAGGATATTATTTGGATATGATTAATAATTTTGTTGGATTTTCACCAAGTCCAAATCCACCTCCCTATACGTTTGTCGATACTTGGAAAACCATGTATTTGATTGATCCTTTTGATCAATTTGTGAATGTATCATCTTCTTTGGATTATGTAAATTCAATTTTAGGATTAGAAGCAGCAATGTGGGGTGAGAATGTTCATGATGAAACACTCATTTCAACCATTTATCCAAGATTAACAGCATTTGCTGAGAGAGCATGGAGTGATCGATCTGTCAATGATCTTACAGATGCAACTACTCGATTAGTGAACCATCGATGTCACACTCAAATCAAAAGAGGATTTAAAGACATTCCTCCTATCAAACCAATTTATTGCTCTTTCCAATATATGACTGAAGAATTACACGAGGAAATTACATGGCCCTATGGAGCAGCCATTGCCATGTTTTGCATTAATGCAGTTTTGGTTTCAATAATAGTAATTATGATTATTTCTGTGTGTAGTGTATATAAGAAATATTCGTCTTTGAAGAAGGCATACCGAAATGATATTGCCATGTCTGAGGACAAGTTGACCAATTATTATGCACGTGAGGATTGAGGTTGTTTAAAGATGTATTAGTGTTGTTAACTCATGTAACTATTCTTGTAATTGAACAGATGTAGGAGTGTGTAGTTAACTCAGTATTCTTCGACAATTGATTAAATTATATTCATGAACACGAGAATTGATGAAATGCTATCAAGATCAACAACCCTGTTTATAGTATTGCCTAATCGGAGTGGTAATTTTGTCCCAACTGCGCATGTTCGCATGGACTAATCTTGTGCTCCGAGCGTTGTTTCACCACTGATGTTGATCCGGATCTAAACTCACGCCATTGAATTGCTTTACAGAAAAAATGTCCAATTCCGAACTGCAGACAAACCCTCGTCATCATCATCATTCATGTGAAACCCATACCACCACCACCACCACAAGGACCACAAGAATTCTCACACGATCCCAGGTACAATCATGTCTCACGTATGAAGGCGCCATGAAAGCCAATCGAACACTCTTTCAATCCAATCTCAACGCACATCTCCTTCCAATCCGAACGGTGTTAGATATTCCACAGAATGGACCCACTCTGTTCATGCCATGTTTTTTGAATCCTGAAAATCATCATCCTTCTTCCGACAATCATGACACTGCAAATTTAGGAATTAAAATTGTTTCAGTTCGACAAGATAATCCAATCAAATTTTCAAGAGATTCCATAACGGGTTCGATCATGTTATTGAATGAATGCAATGGAGCACTCGAGTGTGTCATGCATGCTGGTGACATTACAGCCGTGAGAACTGCATGTGGATCTGCATTGTGTGTGGAAAGAATTTTAAATGTGCATCATCATCAACAACAGCATTCAAGAATGGTCCATACGAGTCATGATGAAGATATGAAATCCTATCAAAAGGAGTTTAAAGTGTTGGGAATTTTTGGATGTGGATTGCAAGGAAAGGCACATTTAATGGCCGTACTCAGAATTGCACGTGAGGTGAATAAGGTCATTTTGTGGAATCCATCTTTGGAACGTGCTTTGAAATTGAAAAATTATTTATTGAATGAATTTGTATCTTCACAAGATTTACCTTTTCAATTCGTGGAAGATCATGATGAGACCAATACAACTCGTAGTACCAACATTTTGGTTGAAGTCATTACAAATGCTAATGAGGCAGTCAAACAATGTGATATCATTTGTTGTTGCACCAATGCCTCACAGCCATTCTTTTCAACAGAGAATGTTAAAGCAGGAAGTATTTTGACATGTATTGGATCGTATAAACCTCACATGCAAGAAATTGAAAGCGATTTGATCAGTAAAGGTAAAGTCATTGCTGATTTGGTAGAGGCAGTCATGGAAGAAGCTGGAGATTTGATCATTCCTCTTAAAGAAGGCAAAATTTCACATGACCATGTGGTGTGTGGGTTGGGAGATTTTCTTACGTTTGGACAGGAAGAAATTGTGAAAAAATTTAACATTGGAAAAGATATCATCATTTATAAGAGTGTAGGATTTGCTGGACAAGACATTTGTGTGGCTAGAGATATCTATGAGCGAGCTGTGGCAATGAATATTGGCACTTGTGTGGACATGGAGAAGTAGGGAGGAGCAATAGTATCTTTTTCATTATTTTTAAAGAACCATAATCCGAAAGGCGCTCAACAGAGAAATAAAATCCGCATCTTGTTTGGAAAAAAGAAATTGAAAATGATGAAGCGCATAAGAATATGCTAGACGATGATGGTTTCGCAACCAGTGATTAGCAAACTTTCGGGTACTAACTGATGACGAGCCAGATGATAAGGTGCATGTCTTCTTCCTCATGAATCAGAGAGCCTTTAAATCATGGTCGGTCAACTTGTGTTATTTTTTAGCTGGAACATACTAAGGAACTGTTTGTGCCTGCAGTTTACCTTATTTGAAGTGCTGATCCTCAGGGCGCTACACAATTATGAGTGACTCACCAAAGGTTTCTTTTTCTACAAATTAAGGCTTTAACTAAAAAGTAAGGGAGGAGGAACGGAAAAAACATCTGATTCATCAGAAAACAAAAAATACGATGGGAGCATCCTATTCAAAGAGACAAAGGGCAGCTCCCTCAAAAGAACGGTCGTACAGCACACCGACCACCACTTCTTTTTCGATAACCAACAAGTTTCAAATTAAACGCACAGGAAGGGATGAAAACAAGTATCGAGTAAAGGATGAAGATGTCGGAACCGAACCGTTATCATCACTAAGGGAAAAGCAAGGAATCATTTTTAACGGGCACCAAACGGAAACGGTTCAAATCATTTCTACAAATCAGCAACAGCACGGCCTGAGCCAACGAGAAAACTCACTCTCTAGTATGAGCACAACGAACACATCTACTTCCACCTTATCCTCTGATGACGCCACAGTCCATAACAACAACAACGGTATTGTAACCCTTAAAATTAAGGATACTGCTTTGTATATGAAATACTCGAATATTGCAGACAAACGAACACGACCTTCCAAAAGCAAACCGAGTTCAAAGAAAGAGTCCAACAACATCGAGGTTAGGTGTCCTCCTAATTTGTTGTCTGTTCGAAGAGCTTCAATACCAGTACCGAAGGGAGAAATGGGCACAATAGACCTTATACCAATTTCCGTTCAAAAAAACAGAGATGAAGACATACAACCAGCTTCAAAACAAAGCAGGTCTTTGTCTCCGTTGAAAACAAGTAGGACATGTCTAGCATCTGTAAATAATGAACCGGTGGTTATTTGTGTAATTCCTCCCCCTGAGCCAGCTCAAGATGTTTATCACAATCCAAGCCATGAAAAGAAAAGAATAACCTTGAGAGAAGAGAAACACAGGAAACTGCAGCAAATCAAGGAAAATCCACTCAAAACCTGGACTCACGACGATCTGAGGAAACTGTCAACCAAGAAGAGGAAAATTAAGAACCCTTTTGCAGATGAAGAATTGCTTGAATTGTATTGCAAGTAGTTGGCAAGTTTACTTTTTTCGTTTAGGTGAGGGAGTAGCTTGGACCATTTCCTCTTCTTCATCGTCGTCACCAAACTCATTACTTGCATTAGTTGATATGTGTCTTTGGGCAATAACTTCATTTTCCTCATCTTCCATGCCTGTTCCGCTGTTTTGGCCACGATTTGGAGGTGTGGAAAGGCTGGATGAGGAATGGGGGAAAAGTTCAATATATCTTTCGTTGACGCCATTCAAGCCAAACGAGTTGTCCATGACACCTGGCTCAATATCTTCATTAAGAAAACGATTGTGTAAGGATTTTCCAGAAGAGATGGAAGATGATCCAACTGATGTAGCCAACCGCGATTCAAGTATTGAACTATCTTCAAGGTCAACCCGCTTTCTTTTTGGTTGTTGTTGCTTTGGAGGAGTGGAGAAGGAACTTAATTCTTGGTCATCCATCATTTGATTTTCATTAGATGTTGTTTGTTGCTGACTTGGTTTCCTAGTTGGGGCGGAAGTTATGGACGTCTCAGTTGTTGATGAATCATTATTATCATCTACATCATTTGTGGCCATCATCAATGTTACTTGAAGGTCCTTTGAGAGAGAGCAAGAAGTAATAACTACAGGCTGTTGTTTCAGATGAGATAGTGCAAAACTCATGTTGTATTCTGCAACTTCACAAAAACTGATTAAAGCTTTGAGGTCCTTAAAGCTAAAAGACAATTCTGCTTCAGTGTTAAGGACAGCTTGGTTAGATGAGAGTGGAGGAGACGGTCTAACCACTCTTTCATCTCCATGAATTTGTTCAACATCATTGTTTTGGTCTATAATATGGAAGGACTCTAAATTTACAGTGTCAACAACCAATCTAGTTTGAACTCCGCTTAGTTTTTCTGGTACATTCCTCTCATTGTATGAGCTCATATGGATGTAATATTGAGTGAAGGATGGCTGTACCAGATCTGATTGTGGGTTTCCTCCATCAGCACCTTGTTGAGGGTTTTGTTGTGGTGATGCCGATTGTTGTTGAGATGTTGTTAAAATTATTCGTTTTCCTAGACGCAATGTAATATCTCCAGAATGTTTTCCGAAGGGAGTGAGTAAATTAGATATGTATGCAGCGTTCACAACAAATTCAAAACTTGGTTTGAAACCATCTGCCGGTACGGAAACATCACATGTGGTGAAATAAATTTCATAGATTTTTTGAACTTGAGATAATCCCAATGAATCGAAAACTACTTTGCTCTTGTTCTTATCTACAACTATTTTCAATTGTTCCAAATGATTTGCTGATTTAAATACATGTACAATATTCTTCAGAGTTAACTTGAATTTCTTCGGAGCGTTGGCAATCACGGCCCATCGATCAAAAAACGAATGAGCCAAAACGAAATGAAGAAAGCTTGATTTTCCGGCATTGATTGTCGTCAAACTAACAGAGTTAACAGCGACTTCAAAGGCAACCTCTTCTCCGACCTTGGCCAGACAATTAATGATATGTGCAAATAATTTGATGTTTTGTCTGTTGCTAATCCCAACTTCCATTTTTTTTTAAAATTTGAATCTCTTCCTGTTGAAAGAAGAAATTTGTTGTTCCAACATCTAGTGGAAACCATGAAATAGAGAAGAGTTCGTCATCTTTCTAATTATCATTATTGAGGCAGTAGTGAATGCTTGTTATTGGTGTGGACCCTTTTTCGACTCATTCCCCACTGAAAATAATTGAGAATCTCTATTAGCTTTGAATGATGACAACAGCGTTACTGACTCGCGTTGATAAAAACTTTGAAAATTATTTTCTAATTGAACAGATATATAATATGAAGGGCAGAAGTCCAAGTACTAAACTGTGTAGACGTCAAATGACGATATTAGGCGTTTACAATGTTGATGTCGATCGATGGGATTGCATCTTTGGGAATTGGGATCTCTCATCAAATGATATTATTGGAATGGAAATTTGTTTTATTTATTTCACTTACTTTTTGTGTTAAGAACAGGCGTCCAAGCAGATTCATATTGTTTTGTATCATCATGTTTCTAGAGGACGAATTTAGGGTCCATTAGCTAACAACTCAATTTAGGTGCTATTTTCTTCGTATCATTTTGAAGCATTTTCTATCACCCATACGTCCTCAACCAAGTCGTTTTAAAATTCGCAATTGCTCTGACAGTTGAGTACCCCACAGAATTGCGCAGGGTAATTCAGACGACTGTTGTATGGAAACTCCAGTCTGTCAGGGACTTTAAAGACATGTTTGAGCGTGACGTAACAAAAAGTCATCCCCTCCAAATTTGATCAAAGTGAATCGAAACCATAAAAAAACAACAAAACACACAACTCCTTTGCAATATCTAACACCATGTATTGGGATCCGTATAACTTGTTGTATGCCAAGATGTACAAGTTTGTGGTCATTGGAGGACTTTTATTCGTCTTGAGCTGTTTCTCCATGCTTGTTCTCTTTTCCTCCACTCGAAAGAATCAAGTCATGAATGTATTCATTCCACACTCTGTTGCTGCTAATGACTGTCATTCCTCCATGAGAGGTGCTTCCACTCATCAAGTACAAGACGACGACGAACAAGTTGCTCTCGAAAGCACTCAAACTCCTCCACCACTCTCTTTATTCTACAGTTCGTATCAATGCAACAAGTATCAAGAAGGAATTGGTCACTCGGTTCCAGACATTTATCCCAAACACACTTTATTCGCTCAATGTTCCTTTCAAAATTTGTGTTTGAATCGAAGAGGACAATGGGTGTTGTTTTTAGATAATGACACAGCACCAACCTCTGAATGGATCTCTCGTGTCAATGAACAAGTGTGGGTCTATACACAACCACGTGTACACTCCTCTCGAGGTGATATGATCATTAAAGTGTATGGAGATGGTCCAGTCCAACTTGTGTCAACATCCAAAACTGGAAGTTCCAAATCGAGTGTAGACAGCAACAATATCAAGAACAACAACTATGAAAAACCAACACGACCTCGAGCCATGATCAATCTTTCTCCTGATTTTAAATATATATCAAGTCCCTCCTTCTTAACGCATAGATACGTGGCAGGAAATGTAGGTCACGTGTTGATGGATGGAATGACTGAAGCCATGATCAATATGGTCATGTTCAAATTACAAGAATACACAGAGATGAATATCGTTTTTTTAGAGGATATTCATGACGACTCGTATCATTCAGAAAATTGGGTGGCTGCCTATAATTACGACAAGAACATGTCAGACAAGTATTCGATTGACTTTTTTGGATTAATGTCCAACAAACCAGTGTTGCAAAAATGTTCCACATCCACAGGTTGGACAGTGACCAAAGCTCCATGTAGAAATCAAATACCTACGACTATCAATGAAGATAATAAGGATGAGCTTACTGTTTGCTTTAAGAATGCCATTGCTGGAATGTCACGACCTTATTTATTATCAGCTATTGGTGCTGAGGTCATTAATGAACCACTTCGAACATTGGTTTCCAAAGTAACTGGAATCAATTTTGAATATAAGGCCTCTACCAAACAGGAAATTGTTGTTGCCATTCATAACAAACCAAAACAAGGAAGGCACGGAGAAATCATTTGGAATTTTGAAGAAGTATATTCCATGATTGCTGAGAGATTACCAAAGGAAGAGTTCATTGTCAATGTGTTGAAAAAGAAAGTACGAGTGGTCGATCTTCACTTAGAAGGAATGAATGCAAGACAACAAGTACAATTCTTTTCTCAAGTTGATGTTTATATTGTGGATCAAGGAAGTGCCTCTTACATGACCATGTTTTTACCAAGAAATGCCATTGTGATACAAGCACCTGATTGCAGATATAGAGAGGACAAGTCCAAATTCTGCTACGATCGATTTTCACAATATGCTTATACATTTTCTCATGTCAAGTAAGTACTACTCGCTGAGATCTATCATGTGCTTTAATATTTACATTCAATCCATCCTAGAATGTACCCATTCTTGAGCTTGTTACCATCATCAATGAAAACCATTGACTGTAATCCAAGACCAACAGCAGAGGAAACGAATTGTGATCCAATTCTTCCACCTGAGGTGACCTACAATGCAGTGGTTAGTACCTTGACAGAACGGTTTAAGGAATTACTGTATCGAAAATATTAACGCTTCTAATTATCATCAATGAGACAAAAAGCATGGTTCAAATCAAGAAGTAATCTCCCCAAAACGCTCTCTGCTGAGCGGCTCAAGTTTGGGATGAAAATTGATATGGAAAAATTAAATCTTAATGATTCTACGGTCTTTCCCATGATCATTACCATTGAGCTTTAACATGTTCAACTTTCTATGTAAACGAGTCACCAATTTCTTTTGAAGTTTCGTAACACTGAACTCTCATCTGCTGAATGAAAAATTTTCATTTAATTTCAAAAAAAATCTAAAACCAACTCCGATCCACTCCCCTCTCCAATTCCGATCCGTTGTTCCTGTAGTGGCGTTATTACTCTATTCGTTTCACCGTTCTCTGTGTTGATAGAGTCTCTATTAAATAACCAAAAAATTAAAATGGCTGGAGCGAGTGCCGTTGGTGCTTCCTATTCAAAGAAGATAGCCTTTGTTTATGTCTTTAATTTAATTGTCGGTGTTGGTGCTTTGGCATTACCGTATGCATTCCATCGGGCAGGTAAGTTTCTCTCTGACAACCGGAATTTTCAAACGAATTTGATGAAATAATTTTGCAATTTCAGGTATTGTGTCCGGAGTGTTAGTATTGGCATTGAATGCATTTATGGCATTCATCTGCGTTACCTTTGTTATCGAAGCCATGTCTTCATCTAACTTTATGTTGAAACATCAAAAGGAGGAACAAACAAGTTTGTTGAGTGATGATACATCTATTCATTCTCTAAATAGTGTGGACAATATTCAAAATTTAACGACAAAGAAAAAGAAGAAGAAGAAATCGGAAATGAATTCACCAGAGCTCATTTCATATGCCACAAATCCATTCTCAATATTGGAGAGGTATGTTATTTGAAATTGAATTTATTATTATTAAATAATAGTTTTTAAGAACTGAGATTGGAAAAATGACAGAACAATTTTTAGGAATTGTTGGAAAATCATTCTTTTACATTATTATAATTGTGTACTTGTTTGGAGACTTGGCAATTTATGCGGTATCAGTACCAACTTCGCTATTGAAAGTTACTGGACCAATGTTTGGATTGTCACAAATGGGAACCTACTACATTTACTTGGGAATATTTGCCTGTATTGTTGTTCCTTTTAGCTTTTTCAATTTTCAAAAAACCAAATATCTCCAATACGCTACTCTAGCTACAAGAAATATTGCCTTCTTCTTAATGATTTTACTGAGCTTAATATTTATTATTGAAGGACATGGATCGGCTAGAAATCTTGAAATATTTAATGTCTCTATGGAACGATTTTCCAAGTTGTTTTCAGTTTCAATTTATGCCTTCATGTGCCACCACTCTCTCCCTTCTATCGTTTCACCAATTAAGGATAAGAGAAGAATAACTATAATGTTTTTATTTGATTTTGTGCTCATTTTCATTTCTTATGGTAAGTTTTGATGATTGAAAAGAAAATTGAAAATATATTGTCCACATGTTCAGTATGCTTGTGCTATGTTGCAGTATTCGCTTTTGGAGATCAACCTTTCGAGAAGTGCTCAAATAGAATCAGCGATGGCCCTGCATGCCAGGTATGTTCATATATATTTATTTTAATATTGCTCACTCTTGATCAATAGATTCAAGAACTTTTCACATTGAATTTCACAACTTATCGATATACAATCATTGCTGCTTTCTTAGCTCTATTTCCTGTGTTTACATTAACAAGTAACTATGTAAGTGAAGACTTGTTGACTTTTATTGGCTAAATTGTTTACAAGCCTCTTATTGCGATTACTTTGAGAAACAATATTCAAATTTTGTTTGAAAGAGTGAAGATTGTTCATAATTGGAAGTATAATTCCCTTCTATTTTCAGCTATTGCTGCAATCCCTCCTATCATTTTAGCATTTGTATATCAAAATATCCAATTACTTGTATCCTTTACTGGAGGATTTGCTGGATTGTTCATCCAGTACGTTTTCCCTACCTTACTTGTTATATTTGGTAGACGGAGAACTTCGACGACAGGGGGTTCTGTTTCTTCACAACCACTAGAACTTGCTACTGACACAAGACTATCTGCCAAAGTTGTAGGAGTTGCCAAGTCTTTTGGAAAATATTTGGTAACCAAACCGGCTGTGGTTTCAGAAAATCCACACTCAAGTCCGTTCTATCATGGGTTTTGGATTGTTGGCATTTTGCTCTTCAGTCTTTTTGCTCTTATTGTCAACAGTTATGCGCTCATTAAGTGTGATATTATGAAAATGTGTCAATAGCTTTTATTTCTTTAATATGATACAATTAAAATTTATTTTGTTCATGCAACTTCCTTTCACACTTGTCAATCATTCTCAAAGTTGGAAGGTCATTTTTGAATTTACTCTCATGTTCACGGAAATATTCAAGGCTGCGGTCGTAGTTTCCCTCTTCAAATGCTTTGCAACCCATATTATAAGCACCCCATTTGTTTCTTTGTTCTTTAGATTGAAGCTCATACTAATAATGCGCGATGCGTTATGGTCCAAAATCACAAATAATATCACTTACCATCCATTCGTCCATGTTGACAGAACTTGACTCCAAAACTTCGAATATTTTCATCTTTGATGTCTTTTTAATCTTTTTAATGCTTGGAGAAGCGACCACGTCCTCAACAATCATGCTCTTATTGCCAACATATCTTGTAAAGTAATGAGCCTTAACTTCTTCGTTTGTTGTTTCTGTAATCACCATACTCAATTTTAGGCCTCTAGCTTTTCTGAGCATAGATTGCAAATTATTTGATGAGCTACCCACAATGGTGAATGTTTTGGAATTACGAGTACCAACGTTTCCACAATGGCAGGTTTGAGTGCATACAGCGAATCTTGGAGTAAACTTGATAAGTAACTTTTGGTTATCAAAGATGTCCTTTTTTGCCCATTTGGTGGTTGGAAGTGATGCCAGCTTTTCCTTCAAGAACCACCCAACTCTAACGGCCTGCTGTTCATGGTCCTTAACTTTTCCAGTTGCAATTTGAATACGAATTTCTGGTTAAAGCAATAGTCACACTCAGTACTTACCTTTTTCAGTTGCATTCCATGACAACAGAAGGGTTTCATTTTCAAAGGAGCCAATGTGAGCTCCGCCATTGGAACATGCTTTTTGAACAACTTCAAAGATATCTGTAAGTAAATGTGTAATATCATGGAAATTGATGTGCTTGACCCAATAGTTAAAGCCGTCTAATAGAACCATCAGGGAAGATATTTTTCTCTTTTCGAATCCAATCTTGAACATGGAACTTGTGGCCAATTTTGATGAAAAGGTTGATCTTGAAACTCTTGATGACAGTTCTTCTTTTCGTTGGGATGCTTCACTTTCTTTGATAACACTAATATCTTCTGGATCCTCAATGGTGTTATTCTTCTCAAGTTGATGAAGTAAGTGAGAAGGAATAAAAGCACGGTACTGTTTGATTCGTTGTACCATGAATAAAAAGTGATCTTGTAGTTGCACGACCTCTCTAAATTTGCTCTTCTTAATATCCAAAGACTCTAAATTCATGTCTGCAACGTGTTCAAAGAGTTGAATAAGGTTGTTAAAAGGTCGAACCATAATCGCAGAATAGAAAACTCCTGACAGTATACCAATCACTGCGATTAAGCAACTTATTCCCAAAGCAATGATAATGGCAGTGATCATTCCTCCGATATAATTCCACTGTGGAACGGAGAACATAATAATCCAATCAAGTCCTGTAACTGTGCACATTCTGTATACACTTGTAAGTCGATTTGTGAAAGTAAGGAATCGAATTTCATTACAGGTAATGTTGTTGTAATTTGGTAATGCCTCTTTCATTTCAAGATATGCATTTCGCAGGATTGTGTTGTTGTGCTGATGTGGTTGTATTCTTCCGGTAATCGAAATCTCAGGATAGTTTGCTATTCAACAGCAATTCAAATAGCTCAATGATTAGCACTTATGCTACTTACTGGCAATGATATAGTTAGTAGGGCCCTCAATGATAAGACCTGTGGAGCCTGGAACTGCCAACGTTGTGTTTTTCAACATTTTCGATAAATTGTCCACACTCATGTCCAAGTGAAGGAACCAATCAAAGGGAAGAGAAGAAGTGGCAACTGATTTCGTCAAACTTTTGTGAGAATTGACCAGGGCAATAAGCACGGCATCGATTCCTGGTGATTTGTAGGTTAGTGTAAACACTGGTTTGCCTGGACTCTTTCTGATCGCTTCATGAGAGGACGCGGTATTGTATGGTTTTGTTGTCTTTACGGAATAATTTGTGAAATAAGCACAACCAATTTCTTCGTTCAGAGTATAACACGGAAATCTAAATAAACCAGTCGAGTTTTGGACCGTTTTTGAGATTGGTAACGAGCCTACAAACAGAATACCTATATGTTCGTTGTTTTGGATATACAATGAAGCAGCATTGACTACACCTTTGTGATACTTGTATTCGGAAAAGAAGATAAAGTTCATGGCTCGTTCGACTTGTTTTGTGTAAATATCGGTTTGATTGTTACCTAAAGCAACAATAAGTTGTTCCTTAATAGTATCCGAAGAAATGGCCATTTCACGGAAAGTAGTTTCAGTGAGTTGAACAAAGTTTTTGAATTGAGCTTCTGTTAGAGATTTGGACATGGCTCGAATATTATCGCTGAAGAAAGCAACCCAAATGACAGTAAGGGTGATCACGCATGTAAGGATGATCGTCAGAAAGATGCTAATGGAACATGTTCGAATAGAGAGACTCCCTTTTCTCTGCTTAATATCTTCTTCGTTGGAGAAGGATGAATCCATGTCCTGTTCAGCATCCATTTCTTCAGTACCTGTACTCTGTACAGGAACCACTGCAGCTTTGTTATAACCGCTAGTGTTCTTTTTGACGGAAATTGGAGTGGTGGTCATTACAAGGTAGCCTTACTAACAGATTGGTCAATGAATGGGGTTGAGGTTGGTTGTTTTTTTTCTGAGGTATCGAACACATCGCGGGAAAGCATCGCTTCTCTTTTGGAAACCCCTGGTGCCTGTTCTTGGGAGTTAGAACTAACAAATCCAGTCAAGGTACATTTTGGAACAAAGCCAAAAGGCGCCTCCTTGTGTGCAGCGTTTCCCGAACAAAGAACGTCTATTGTTGCGTCAAAAGTAACAACATCAATTATTTCAGCATCAATTCGTTTTGAAAATTAACAGAAAATAGATCTCCGTTTCAAATCCAAGGAGAGAGAAATTTTCTACCAGAAGTCTGATGGTAGGAACGATGATGTGTTGTCATGCCTCTGTGCGATTATTGTTACTGGTCGTCATTAGTCCATTTTTCTAAAATTAAAAAATGCTGCCTTCAGACAACTCAAGTCAATCTTCGTCCTCTTCGGAAAGGAAGACTTTAGCCTCTCCATCAACAGACAAACCATCAAAAGGAGGAAAAAAGACAACATTCGAACTTAGTAATATCACAATACACCATCAACAACATGATACACATCTTGAAGCCTCTCCGGTGAGACTTCCGAAGCCTGTGTTTGCTCATGACGATGAATACAGCGATGAAGAAGAATCAACATTGGAGAGAGGAAAAGCAGCCGAGCATCAAAGTTTATTGAAAGGAGAAGCTGAAAGAGAGTCTTTAGGAATTACAAATCTTGACGTTTTTTTTCAACAAGTATACACGTATTTTGATGAAAAAGGTTTTTGGTGTTTACTAGTGGAGAGACTTCTACGATTGTGGTATGTACATTGTTGGATACATGTTCAATTTAATCACTCTAATATTTCTTTGGTCTCATTAGCTCCGTGTTCTTTATGATGGTCTTTTCAACATTTTTATTTGTATTCCTAGATTGGTCAGCTATGTGGCATTGCCAGGATGTACAATGTAAAAAAGTTCCAATAATTCGTGATGATGTATGGACTTTGAATGGTTTTCATGTAATTGTACTTTTATTTGAATTGGTCGTTTTCTTTTATTGGATTAGTCTTGTTGTCAAATATGGAAAAGATGTTTTATCAATGATAGCAATCAAAAATTTCTACAATTATGATTTAAACATTTCAGAGCAAGACATCCAAACGATACAGTGGAATGAGGTGGTTGAAAAAATAATTGAGCTTCAAAATAAGAGAAAGATTTATATTGTAAAGAATATTGATGAATTTGGTATGTTTGTTGATGTTTTGATTCCAAATTACTGAATATTGTGTTAGACATTCTCAACCGTATCATGAGAAAAGAAAATTACTTGATTTCACTAATCAATAAGGAAGTCATGAATCTGAAAATTCCCTTCTTTCAAAGAACTTATCTCTCTGAATCATTAGTTTATAATTTGAGATTGATAGTTGATGCCATGTTTGATAGTGATTTCAAAATTAATCCATCCTTTGTAAATTCTTCCTCTTTGAGCTTATACTTTGTGAAATTGGGCATTATTAATTTATTGCTTGCTCCATTCCTTCTAGTATACTTTCTGCTCTATACCTCTTTCAAATATTTAGCTGTAAGTTTTAAGAATTTTGTGCTTTATCAGTTAATCATGATCATGCCATGAATAGGAATTGAAAAACAATCCAAAGCATGTTCTCGGAAGAAGGTGGTCACTTTATGCGCACTTCAAGTTTAGAGAATACCATGAACTCTCTCATGAGTTTGAGAGAAAGCTGAATCAAGCATATGGTCCTGCTACCGAGTATTTGCACCAATTTCCCAATATTTTCTTATCTATTGTTGCTCACAGAATAATGTTCTTTATTTCAGCTATAGCTGGTGTAATTATTGTACTATCCTATCTCAACAATTCCTTAACTATTTATTTCACTGTGTTCAATCAAAACCTACTCACATGGCTGACTACATTACTTTTTGCTTGGGCATATGCCAAAGGATTTGTTATTGATGAACACGCTGTATTCAACCCAAAACAGAAATTGGATGAAATTTGTGAAACTCTTCATCATCATGACCTTAATTGGAAAGGAAAAGGGCACCACTATAATGTACGAAACGCCTTTCTTTCATATTTCATTCCAAGCTATCAGTATTTCTTGAACGAAATATTTAGTGTATTTATCACACCGCTCGTATTAATCATTTCCTTACCAAAGAGTGCAGATAATATTGTAAAATTTATTGAAAAGGTCACCGTTGATTATGAGGGATTAGGAGATGTTTGTGGACATGCTGCTTTCAAATTCAACCAATTCGGAAATAATATGTACGGAAGTAATACCAACACTGACAACAAACAAGTGGCCTCTGAGTTTGGAAAAATGGAAATTTCCTATTTAAGTTTTTTACAAAAGTACCCCAACTACAAACCCAAGGAAGACAATGGAGAAACAGAATTTATCAAGGCTGTGGAAAAATCATTTTGTGGAATTCCTTCCATAAATTCTAGCATGCTGCCTCAAAATCCTCCACCAGAAAAGGTTGAAACTCCACTACCAAGTACTCCAACCTTCCGAACTCACCTACAAGTACCGCGACAACCACTCAACTTGTCACAACAAATCCATGGTCATTATGACAACCCATTGACCCAATCTAGAATGTTATTCAACATGCTCGAAAGCACTTTAGAGCAGTAATGCATTCGAATTGTAAATTGTTGTAAATACAAATGTGTACAAATTTATTCCATCAAGAATATTCTGTTTGCAATGTCATCAACTATCCAATCAATACCCTTTGCAATTCCTTCTCCAGTTATGGCACTGCATCGTTCGACATGAATATGACGTGTTGTTTTGGAAGACTTCTCCTCGAAAATTAGCTCATTGGTTGCTTGATTTGAAAGCAAGGACTTCTCTGTTGTTTGAGATAGCCTTTCCAAACCTAGAAATTGAGCAATATCATTCACACTTAGAGCATTGTCTAAATCTGACTTGTTTGCAAGAATTAATAGGCTTGCACCAGCCAATTTTTCTTCTCCCAATAACAGATTTAGCTCTCTTTTACAATCTTCCAATCTATCTGTGTCTGCACTATCAATGACCCATATTAATCCATCTGTATTTTCAAAGTAATTTCGCCAATAGCTTCTGATCGACTTTTGACCTCCAATATCCCAAAAATTGACCTTGAATGTATTATTTCCATTTGGTGATTGATTTTCTTTACTTTCTTTTTCATAATATATGGTATCGATATTAAAACCAAGAGTTGGAGATATTTCATCTAGTGGTTGATTTTTTAATTTCTTTACAATGGTAGTCTTGCCTGCATTATCAAGCCCTAAAATCAAAATTCTCATTTGCCGTTCTTGCTCTCTGAGCTTTTTCAAAATACTCATCAATCCCATTCTTGTTGTATGTTGTGTGTGATGATGAATATCGGAGTTTTATGTTATAACACAAAGTTTTGTTTGGTGTTTCGGAATACAACGCTGGTTGTATTTTTTTTAAATATTTGAAAATTCGGAAATAGATAGCGCCAGCGTTTAATTCGCAAAAAAATGTTCAACAACCTTGTCACTCACCCACAACATGTATTCAAGTATTCGAATCATCATTGCAGAATTTTGCAAAGTTACAATACAACCTGTATTAATAGATTGAAAAATTATCACACCAACCACGCTCTTCAGAAAGATTACATTTTCGGAGTGTTCAAAGATGGCTCACTCACACCATCTGCCCATCACATGTTGAAGGACCAATTCTTATCCTCTCCATTCTTTACAAAGAATGAATGGAAAGAGGGAAAGACATCATTGATTGACTGTGGAATGTTCCCATCGGATGACAATCATTCATCATGTTCTATTGCGAAGGAGCAAATTACAATTGATGATCGAATTGTTTTTGTTGGATTAGGTGAAAAAGATGTTTCAACCAAAAAGATTTCCTACAAGAAAAAATTATTTAAAGAGCAATTCAATCAAAGTGATTTGATTGATATTAGACAACCTAATGTGAGGGAGTATGCTCGAAAAGCAGTTCAACTGCTTTTATCAGATAGTAAAAAGAAGGAAGCAAGTGTTGAAAAAGAAAAATCATCCTCCACAGAAGAAGATGAAACCAATGAAAAGGTTTTAGAAGTGTTTATTGATGATTTAACCAATGACAAAGAATCCATAGAAGGTCTGAAACTTGGAAGTTGGAAATTTATCAAATTATCAAAGAAAACATTTGAAAAATCATTGAAAGAACTCAGTGAAGGAAGAGTTAAAATTTCATCAAATTTTGATCACGAGACTGTTGAAAGAGCAATGATTTATGCTGATGCTCAAAACTTTTCAGCATATCTTGCTGAATTACCTGCAAACTATCTCACTCCAACACTCTTTTGTAAACTTGTGAAGGAAAAATTTCAAACAGAAATTGGTGATTTATTGAGCATGGAAAACTCTCCAATCAAAATTGAAGAACATGATCGAAAATGGTGTGAAGAAAAAAAGATGGGAGCATTTCTTGGAGTTTCACAAGGTTCAGCTGAGGAGCCAAAAGTGTTAGAAATTACTTTTATGAATAATCCAAAAGCATCTGCAAATGTTTATGATATCATATTGGTTGGAAAAGGAATTACTTTTGGTAAGTTTACAAGAATTGAATACAATGTGCTAAAATCTTTATAAACAGACAGTGGAGGTATTTCCATCAAGCCTGCAGCCAACATGAAAGACATGAAAGGAGATTGTGCTGGAGCATGTTCAGTCATGTCTACCATGTTAGCCATTTGTAAACTTGGTTTACCTGTCAACATCAAGTGTGTAGCTATGCTTTGTGAGGTATGTTCCTTATTTGAAAAAGATCAACTATGATTTAAAATTGATATCAATATGTTTTCTATGAATACGCTTCGTTTTGAAATATGGAATTGGTTGTACACAGAACTTACCATCTGGAACAGCCTATAAACCAGGAGATGTCATTATTGCAAGGTATGTTTATTATATGAACAAAGAATTTCATCGATACTATATTAACATCCGTCTTAAAGCAATGGAAAAACCATTGAAGTTGATAATACAGACGCAGAGGGTAGATTGGCTCTTGCTGATGGATTGTGTTACTCGTCTACATTTAAACCCAAGCATCTTATTGATGTTGCAACACTCACAGGAGCATGTGTGGTTGCTTTGGGTCATCAATTGACTGGTTGTTACGCTTCTACCAATGAAATGTGGAAACTCTTGGAAAGAGCAGGAATTAACACCAAAGATTACGTAAGTGAAGAACCCATTGAATTGTAATAGAGTTCATTATGATGATTGTTATAATTCCATTCATATATAGATGTGGAGAATGCCATTCATGCCAACTGAATACGAAAAACAAAATGAAACCAATGTTGCTCATGTCAAAAACTCTGGAGGCAGAACAGGAGGTAGTATTACAGCAGCATGCTTTTTATCAGAATTTGTTAATTTTGACAATGTTTCACATTATGCACATCTTGACATTGCTGGAACAAGCTCAGATGCAAAGGGAGTTCATACTGGACGTCCAACTCGAGCATTGATTGAATATGTTCGCTTATTGACAAAGACATCTGAAGAAACGACAAGTACTTTGTGATGATACAGTCTGATTTCCTGATATGCAAAATATTTCAATTTGGATAAGTGATATCTGCAATTTGCAAATACAACAAGCATCATGGAGACCATTTATGGAATTAATTAAAGAATTGATCTCAGCAAATAAAAAATGTTTTCACCACCCACTACAACAACGACATTTAGCAGTACGTGGTCAACCGCAACAGCCGATCAATCAAGTTTCTCTGAAGATACCAACTATAGTGATGATCATCATGCACAGACGACATGTTTAAATTCTGCGTACTTTATGAAACAAGCATCAAATCCGAAATTAAAACAACAACAGAATACCTTGCAATTTGATATTCTAGTATTGAGTGGAGAACAAGGTGGTGTTGGACAAAGTAGTCTCATTTATCGATTTGTCACTTCCGAATACAAGGAACATCTTTCGCATTGCTCTTCAACTATTTATACCAAAGAAATTCAATTAAATGTAAATAATAACAGTAACTCACCAATCAACATTCTCGAGGATGTGACAAGTCATCAACCACTACCATCAACCACGAGCATGATCGCCACTGATGAAAATAATTGTTCGGAAATTATGACATTCCAAGACAAATCTCAAAACCATGAAATTGCTGCCAAAGTTGAAGAAACGTCAAACGCTCCAAAAACTCATCCCATTAATGTTATTCTGAACATTGAAGATTACATTCCTCGTTACATTACTGATCTTGAAAATACTGATGATCGACAATCCGACTGTGATGCCCAATTTGATGAAACGTATTTTGTCGAATGTCAAAAGCGTCAAGAACGGCACTATTCGAAAATGGATGCTTTTATCATTTGTTTTGATGCACAACAAGAGGATTTCATAGATTTTGTATATAACGAATTGAATACTATTAAGAAAGCTTGTGGAGGAGAAGATTCTTCTCTCTATCAATCGAAGGTCATTGTTTTAGCCTTAACCAAACAAGACGATACCACTTCAGCGATCACTGAAATTGCCAATACTACTACTACAACCATAGCCTCTTCGTTAACCTCTCCCTTATTCCACTCGAACCTACAGCAGCAAACACTGGATGATAGTGTGGGAGTGAGGAATGAAACAAGGAACTCCTCATTGGCCAATGACTCGTTACGAACCTCCTCCTCTCAACCACTCATTCAATTACTGGTTTCAGATACTCATTTACCTCTCTTCAGAGTGAGTGCAAAAGATAATATCAACGTAACGGAATTATTCAATCATGTGGCTCGACAAGTCTTTGAATTCAAATGGAAGCACCAATTAATACCAACATCCTTCTTCTCGAATGAAAAGGAAGAAAACGAGGATGTTCAAGACATTGATCATCCACAAGATCAGACTCCTCCGTTCATGCTCCCTTTCAAACCCAACATGATGAGCACGAGTAATGCTATGGCCTCTGCAAGTGCCCGAACTGTTCCTCCCAATTATCAACAGCAAGATGGGGACCGAGAGGATTCTCTTCATGTTGACACTCATTCATTACGTAAACGAAGGCACAGCTATGATCAAAGTATTCATAAAACCAAGTGCCTTCTCCAATAAATGTCAAAGCTCTCCTACCAACATCTCTTGAATCTCTTTGTTGTTCCTTCAGGAAGGACTGATACGGGTGAACAAGCCCATTCATTTGGTCATTTTGAGAAGTAATTCCTTCCTATCTATTCATTCCGAATGGCCCAGAAAGACATCATCACACCAACATTATTTTCCTTAATGCGATTCGGACTTGTGAAAATGATCGAGTCCATCCTCAACTCCACCATAGTTGAAGTGCGATGAAAGATCTTCCAAGATAAAACTCTCGAGAAATCAAACCAAACAACAAAAAATCACAAAACAATTCGGAAACACAACCGACCTATTCACACCACCACAAAAAAACCATGACTGATTTCTATTCATTCACTGCCAAGGATGCCCAATTGAACGACGTTTCAATGGCTGATTACAAGGGAAAAGTTGTTATGGTTGTTAACGTTGCTTCCAAATGTGGATTCACTAAACAAGTAAGTTGTTGGAGATGAAACTGTTGTCGGATTGATTCGAACTGAATTATTTCATCTCATGGATTATTTAATCATGATGTTCGTTCACTGGTCGTGTACCAATATTAAAGTATGGTATGTGCATGGAAATTATTATTGACGTTTTATTAAATTAATAATTATTGCAATATTGCTGTGATCAATACCACAGATGAATTGCAAGAAATTTACAACAAGTATAAGGACCAAGGATTCGAAGTTTTAGCCTTTCCATGCAATCAATTCGGTTCTCAAGAGGTAGGTTAGTGCTCGGATCATAGCAAAAAGGATCACAAAAATTTTATTATAATGATCGACAACAGCCCGGAACCAATGAAGAAATATGTCAATTCGCAAGAAGCAAATTCAAAGTGACATTCAAAATATTCGACAAAATTAATGTCAATGGTGACCAGAGTACGTATGGTAACTTGATGAATTTGATGAATTTAATGATTTCCTTTTTGAATATATTCTAGCTCATCCATTGTATGCATTCCTGAAGAAAGAAGGAAGCGGATTCTTGGTTGATGCTATCAAGTGGAATTTTACGTAAGTAGTTCATGATTTTAGAGACTCTTCTTTGTGTTCATTTTCGCGTTCAGTAAATTCTTGATTGGAAAGGATGGAAAAGTTCTCAAGCGTTACGCTCCAACCACAAATCCAAAGGATATGGCTGAAGATATTGAAAAGTTGTTGAAACAATAAGTTCGAACAGGACTGTTGTACATAAATAAATTGTGCAAATTATGCCATTGTCTCGTGTCAATCACTCGTTCCTTGATGATGAGCTTACCCTTAGAAATAATATCGGTGATCCAATTAATTCACAAGATTGTTTATAATCCAGAATTAGTACAATCCATATCTGCCAGGTGCAATGATTCCATTAGGATCTACTACCTTTTTGATTTGTTTCAAAATGGATGGTACTGCATTTCTCTGTGTAATGTCAGCCATGGAATGAATTCCCAACCTGTAAGGAACATAACCCATTTCTCGACCTCTTTCAGTGAGTTCTTTCAAACATGCATGAGCTCGTTCGACTTGCGTTTCCTTGTCAAATAAAATTGGAACGGTTCCATCTGTACATCGATCAGAAAAGCTTGTCAAAGTAATGAGAGGTTCAATTCCATACTTTTCGCACACTTCTTCAACCATGGCAACAAAACGAGCAGTGTCTGTAGTCGTGAGTGGCAGAAGAGGTGCATACCATATCAAACCAGCACCATCTTTTGCAGGATGAAGAGTGGAAGTTCCGTCTTGTTGTGTCGTGCCACGAGTATTTGAGCATGGTATACCATGCTTTGATTTCCAATAAGCGAGTGGTAATGCAATTTCACTGGGTTCTCCTTTCATGACCTTCATGGATTTGTTCAGAGTTTTCAAATAGTGATTAATATGAGTAGTATTAATGATGGGTAATGATTGAACAAGCTCTGAATAAAAGTTCACTTCATCGGGTGTGAGAAAGATCATTCGTTGAATGTGTGGTTTGAGGTATTTTTTGACTTCACTCTTCACAGCAGCAACGACTTTGGAAGTTCCATAAATGGTACCCACACCATTCCATTTCATAAAGTTATTCTTCTTTGAAATTTCTTCCACTACATGCAATGGTAAAATTCCATTTTCATCCGTTAACTTGTCTTTGGGATATGGAACTGTCATGGACATCATTCGTCTCTGATTCATTAAATTAATAGCTCCAATATTTGAACTCAATTGTTTGAGTACAGTTTTCACTCCTTGAACTCCATCTGCCAAATCTGAAACACCAAAAAAGAATGTTTCAATTCTCTCAGGTTTAGGTGCTAATATTATTGTCATTTTCGTTACAATACCAAAATTACTTTGAGTAAAAAGACCATCCACATACGGACCAACACCCCATTTAAAGGACTTGTCAATGATTTTCGATCCACCCATATTCTCAAGCATGGAAGTATAAATTTCACCATTCGGTAAAACAACTTGCATGGAAGTGACAGCAGCAAAATGATCAGCATGAGGTGTTAATCCATAACCTCTTTCTAATGCATTTCCTAATAAACTACAATTGGGTCCACCACCAGTGGTTGGAATTAAATAAGACAAGTTATTCTTTACAAGATATTGATGTAAGAGTCCTTGTGTCACTCCTGGTTCAACTGTAACGACTCCACTCTCTTCATCGAATTCAATCTTGGTCATTTTCGATAAATTCACAATGACACAATCATGCACGGCAGGCTGACTCGATCCATAACCCCAGTTATTACCTGTACTCACAGGATAGAGAGGAATCTTGTAGGTATTAGCCACTCGAACAATGTGTGAAATTTGTTCCACACTCGTTGGATACAGAATGGCAGGAACATGTCTCTCATTACCTGAACAATCCATCAATTCCGATTGAATGAGTTTGGGATCATCCACAAATGATGATGATTCATGATGATTGTTAACAACACGTCGACTCGAGTGATTGCCGATACTAGTACGATCGGTATCACCACGTTGAAGAATGGATTTGAATTCTCTGAGTGCATTCTGCAATGCATGAGATGTTTGTTGTTGTTGATGTTCTTCTTGTTGATTCATCATGGTAGTAGTGAGAGTGTGAGGGTTGAACATCCTCTCAAGCTGGTGCGAGGATGTTGTTGTACTGTTGTTGTGCAACTCCATATTCTCTTCACCACCTTCACGTGTGACATCCATAATCATGGAACGAGCCGATAGTTCTTGTTGCGCGCCAATTCGACTCGAAGAAAAACATGCCATGTTGGTTGCAGACGTTCGATGGATGGTACTTGGTTCACAGGATTCAATATTCCACTCAAAAACATGTTTTGAGAGAAGAGACCTAACACCACCTTGTCTCGAATGGAGGTTGGAAAGGAGTCGTCTTTGAAAGGTTTTCATGATAGTAGTGTTGTTTGTTTTTTTCAACCTGAACTGAAAGCGAACACACTGTATGAGATTGTTATTCTTCTCATGTTCTCGCTTTATCTTGACGATGTGGAACAAAGTCGAGAGACCGGAATGGAACGAGAGTGATTGCCTGATGGAAGCTGTCTGAGCTGGAAGATGGATATCCATCACATGATCCAGTATCTTCTAACCGGACTTGGACGGATCAGTACATGTTCTATGAATCATGTTCCAATTTAGCAGTTGTGTTTTGGATCAGCCGAAATTGAACGTGTTTTTACAATAGTGCAATCGATTCCTGCGAACGGTGGCATTTTTTTAAAATAAAAAATGAAATCAACACCCCCAACCACTCCGACGACTTCATCACCTACTTGTACACTGAATCATTTAAATACGTTTCAAACTAATTTATTATTAAAATTGTTTGATGAGGACTATAAAAATGTCTTGTTAGTAATGGCGAAAGGTCTCGGAATTGAAGTCATCATTGTTCACTTGTTGAGAATGTATTGTGATCCTTCGCAATTAGTACTCATCATCAATGCTAGTCCGAGAGAAGAAGAATTAATTAAACAATTACTGTTGGAAAGCGGGTTGGTGAAAATGGAAAATATTCCCAAGTCTATTACCTCAACATTTACAAATAACGAACGAAAAGAATTATACGATCAGGGAGGATGTCTATTTGTAACTAGTAGAATTTTAATTGTAGATTTATTGAATGATAAAGTACCAATTGATCTGGTTTCGGGAATTGTCGTACTTAATGCCCATCATATCACTGAAAAATCTACGGAGGCTTTTATTTTGAGAGTTTTTCGAATGAAAAATAAGACAGCCTTTGTAAAAGGATTTACAGAAAATCCAGAAGATTTGGCACGAGGTTTTTCCAAATTGGAAGATGTTATGAAATTATTATTTGTGGATAAGGTAGAATTTAAGCCTAGGTTTGATGTAGAAGTTGCTGAGACGTTGAGTAAATACCAACCCACGGTTTCTGAAATTATTGTCCCCATGACTGAAAGGATGAGTTTAATTGAAAGTTGCATTGTAGATATTATTACGACATCTTTGGAATCTCTAAAGAAAAATAATCCATCAGTAAGTGGTTCAATTTTTGAGAGTGTCAATTGGAGGTTAAAATGTGGACATTAAATTATAATAGTTGGATCTAAGTGAAGTTCAAATTGAAGATTGTTATTTCAAGAGCTTTCACAGCATTATTATGAGTCAATTACGACCAATATGGAACAGAATTGGTGTGCAGTCCAAAAAACTGATCGAAGACTTAAAATCTATGAGAACCTTACTTTTTTATTTACTCAATTATGATTGTGTTACATTTTATGACTATTTGGAGACATTAAGGTTATCAGATGGAAAGAATGGGATACCCTCTTCAAATTGGTTATTAACTGATACAGCCTCTGATATTTACATGTACGCAAAAGAGAGAATTTACACGATAGGAACATCAAAATTGAAATCTCCTCTCAAAAAACAAAAAACTTTAACACAAATGGCACAAGGAAGACAAGTCGATCCCTATGTACAAGTGGATAGCATTAATTTCGTTCTTGAGGAAAATCCAAAATGGCATAAGTTAGAAGAGACATTAGATTCTATCTATCAAATCATTCGAACAACTACCAATCCAAATATCAATGGACGAGTTTTGATTTTAGCCTCCAATGATAAGAGTTGCTCTCAAGTGAGAACCTACTTGGAGCTTGGAGGTAAAACGCTTCTCAATCGATTAATTCACAAGCTGATAGGTCCTCACATTAAAAAACAACAACGAAAACTGGAAAAGGAGAAGATGCAAAAATTAGGACAAGACGAAAAGAAATCTCCAAAAAAGAACACCAAGAAAAAAGGAGCAAAGAAAAAGGACATGCAACAAAATGAACTTGATCTTCTAAGTCAGCATGTTTCTGCCTATGTCCAAGACGAGGAAGAAGTAGAGAAGAGTATATTGGAAGAGTCTATATTGGTTCATCACGTAGAAAACGATTCCAGTGGCGATGAAGCAGAAATTGAGACGGACAGCGAGGAAGAGCCAGAAATAATTCAAGTGAAATCTCCTTCAAAAAAGAAAAAAGAAGTGAAAAACCAATCCAACAAGACAACTACTTCAAATTCTTCTGCATCCTCTTCATCACCATATACTCCAAAAACGCCTCCACAATCCAGTCATCCCTTAGACGACTTTTTTGAAATTATTGAAAGTGAACCAATGACTACTGAAATGCAACTCGTTGTTCATTCACTCTATGACACAGTAACTATTTTAGACGAATTAATGCCTTCCTTTGTCGTTCTTTACGAGAATGATTTGGCGTTTGTGAGAAAATTAGAACAATATCAATGCAAATATCCTTTTATTCCATTGCACGTCTATTTAATCTCATACGATCGAAAGAGTGTTGAGTACAAACAATATTGTGCCACTGTTGAGAGAGAAAAAGAAGCTTTTAAAAAGTTGATCATGAGCTATGGAAGGATGACAGTGCCATCTATGGATACTTTATTGTCGAATATTATACTGAGGGAACGAAGAACACAAAGCGAAAGTGCCAAGTTAGTTCCTAAAGCATTTGCAGATACACGAAAAGCTGGTGGTAATTTAGCAGTGATAGGATCTTCCTCACAAGTATCCCAAGGTGAATTTAACTTTGGAGAAAAATCAAGAATTATTATTGATGCAAGAGAATTTAGAAGTTCTTTACCCTCTTTGTTGAATTTGAGTGGTTATCGAGTAATTCCTATTCAAATCTCAGTTGGGGATTATATTCTATCGAAACATTGTTGTGTAGAGAGAAAGAGCACTTCTGATTTATGGCAAAGCTTGGGATCAGGAAGATTATTTCAACAAGCAGAGAATATGGTAAAATATTACAAACATGCAATATTACTCGTTCAATTTGAGGAAGATGAGGCATTTGCTCTTCCAGATCCTTATCCTGGATATTTAACAAGAGAAGATGGAAAAATTGAAGAAAAGTCGATCATAACCAAATTAGTGCTCACTGTGACACATTTTCCAAAATTGAAAATTGCATACTCTCGATCTCCAGCTGTAACAGGAAAATATTTCTACATGATGAAACATCAAGTATTGCAATATAATGACTTTGACATGTCAGAGAATGAGGAAGACTATGAACCAGATATTGCCTTAGCTCAAGCTATTGGTACCTCTAATCATGAAGAGGAGACAGAGTCAACAAATCAAGCGATTGACTTTTTGTCGAGGATGCCTGGTGTCACTACAGAAAATATGTCACGAATCATGAATTCAGTGACAAACTTGTACGAGTTGTGTGATTTAAGCTTGGATGAACTGACAGAAATCATGAATTCCAAAGAAAATGCAAAAAGACTCTACGATTTCCTAAATGATCCCATAGACATGGAATAATATTTATTCCTCTGAAACATAGGTGGAAGGATCAAATATAGTATCGAGATCGTCGTACTCGAGGAATTGATCATAATCCTCATTACCTTGCATTAATTCATCCAGCAATAAATCTTCGAAGGTGTTATCGTCGTCATCACTTGACACTTGTTGTTCGGGTTGTGGGTTTAAACCTTCAAAAGATGAATCTGAAGAGGATGTTGCGCTCATGACCGTATTCGGAGTTTGAGCAATACCAGTAGGGTTTAAAATTGTGGGATCCATATATGGCATGTTGTTTTTAAAGTTGTTGTTTGAGTGGTTATATGCAATATTATTGTTAAGGGTGGTAGGTACTTGCATTGTCGAGTTGATCAACGATGGAGATAATGATTGTTGTTGCTGTAATTGTTGTAATTGTTGGAGTTGTTGGAGTTGTTGAAATTGTTGTTGTAACTGTTGTTGGAGTTGTGGTGAAATGGGTTGTTGTTGCAATGGTTGTTGCGATAACTGTGACTGGCAACCAGTTTGAACAGTAGTAGGAGCGGTGGCGACAGTGTTAGAGGTGCTATTATTAGTGAGAACTTGCTGTTGTTGATTCAGCACGATCATATTTCTAGCTTCTGGTCCCAATGTCAACTCTGTATGTTGTATCACTTCAAAGTTTTCCAACTTTCCATCCTCAATTTCTCTCAATGGTGCATAAATAATCTGATTGTTTTCATTTAAAAAAGTTATGGATTTTTCTTGAATCTTGGAAATATTAAATTCCTTCTTTTCTTTTTGTTTTGCTTCCAAATTTTCAATCACAGTCTTGGGAATACTCTTTTCAATTTCTTGCATCAACGATCCATACGTCACAGAAACCTTCTTAAATCTTGTAGCTAATAATTTCAATGCTTGTAAATCTATTGAAAGAATTTCATGATAATTCACTGGGCCTTTTCTACCATCGCTCAATAGACCTATTTGATGATTAGCACGTTGTCCACTGTTGATTAAACGAACTAAATGCAAATGAATCATTGCAGCTACGGCCACATAGACTACCATATTTGGAGGAACGAGTGCAAAATTTGGAGCTTGTGTCAAATAGGTTATTTTCAGAGCAGATTCTTCAATTAATTGTTTACCACAACCAACTTTGGATAAAATTCCAATTCTTAATCCACATATAATCATGGTATATGAAGTATCACATAAATTACTTTCGTGATCTTTTCTAAATTCTGGTGGTGCTAATTCTCTGAGATTTTTATGACTGGTTCCAGAAACAATTTCAGCAGCTCGGAGTCGATTGGCAACATTGAGAGTATTGACATCTTTTGTGAATGATGTTATTGGAAAGTCATGTGTAGGATGATTTTAGTATGCTGTAAACTAAATATATTCAACAAAAAAAAACACCTACCATCTAACACCAACAATTTAGACCATTGAGATGGAAGCAATTTTCCAGTAGCTAGATAAAACATGCTTGGTAATTCTCTCATCATTTCACTCACTTCATCTCTACTCTCATTGCATTGACACTCGACATAGATTTTAGTTTTAGTAAGTGCTACTTGTTCGGGAGTGAGTTGAATATTCTTTAATTCTTCAAAGTAGAAACTTGAATTGTGAAGATAATACCTTGCATTTCTAAATCTTCCATTTCCAGACTAGTGATGGTTCCATTCATTAAATGGATAAATCATTCATTGAAATATATAACATTTTACAATAATCATCATACAGCGGTGTGTGTTGTTTTAACCCAATGTGATGTTGTGGTCAACATCCCGATATTATATCAAAATGTATCAATGTGATATTGAAAAAGTCAACATACCTCAAACAAAGCCAAATACACATAGGCACAAGTCACATAAAAGTTGGTATGAAAATCAAAAATCTTACTCAAACAAGTTCTTGCCTTTGTTGCACTCTCTTCGGACAATTCAGATAAACCACATCTCTGTTCAGCCAATGCTTGAATACTCAAATACAAGCAATTGATGGCTTTGATTTCATCTGGTTGATTTTCATCATCTAAATTTCTATATAAAATATAATTTTCAAATTGAGTTCTTTCAATCACTGCATTGGCATGGCAATGGCAAATGACAGAATAATACAGATCAAGAACGTTGCGTTTAGAGAGATGAGAATTTTGATTTTTCAGTGTAGTTGCAAGAGTATTTTCGTTTAGAGAAGATCCCGAAGATGTATTCTTCTTTGTCTTTTTTGGATCGGGATATTGACATGAAATTCCTTTCGAAACGCATCGATCACATTGTGGGAGTTTCTTGTTGCATTTCTTATGGAGCTTTTTACAGTTGAGACATGAGATGGGATGAAACTCTTCTTCAACAGAATTTACGTTGAGTAAATATTCGGAAATTTCTGGGTTGACCAGTTGGTGTGGTTCTTGTGGAGGAATGGCGGTTACGGTGGTTGAAGAGTTTTGGGTGGTGTGATGTTTGGGCATTTTTTTTCTTGTTACTTACTAGTTCATCCATGAGAGGGGTGACTTACTGGTAGAGATTGCTCAAGGTGAACACAACATTTATACACTCAGAACATGCATGCAATGAATTTTCAAGTGTTGAGAAGGTTCACAACATCATCATCATCCTTGGAGAATATCCTTCTGTGTCGGTCATGTCAAGACAAAAGAGCGTCCTCACCTCCTGTTTGCCTTTTTAGAAAAAAACAACAAGCAACGAACATTCAAAACCATCCTCACCATTGAATTCTCCGTTGCCCTTAGTAAGCAATGGATTTCGAGTAGCATATACTACGATTGTTCGGATTTCGAGAATTGAGGGTGAAACCACCGATCAAGGCTCTAATCTTTTGCTCAAGATTTTAATTATGCCTAGCCATCAATTTTTACCATTCCTGTACAGTCAACCTGGCACTGTAAAATGAGATGAAAAAAAATGTCTCATTTTAGCTTGGTTTCAACCTCACCATCATCCGATACCTCCTCAGCATCATCAGCACCAACTTTTGAAAATTATAATTTCCAAATTTACAGAGGACAGCAACAACCACAAGATGATGATAACACCAAATCGGAATCATCCACTTCTCATCAAGAATTTTTGAAACTTGCTCATTCCTATAATTACAGCCTTTCTCAAAAAGAGCTTGCCATCACACTTGATGAAAATGACCCATTAAAACACATGAGAAATGAATTTAATTATCCCGATATGATTCCAAGTGAGTTCATTCAAGAGAACAAGGATCATTCAGAATGTGTGAAAAAGCGAGTCATGTATTTTTGTGGAAATTCACTCGGATTACAACCAAAATCGTTGGCTCATAATATTGAAAAAGAACTCACCAAATGGTCTCATATTGGTGTAGAGGGTCATTTCAGTTCAGCATTTGGTACTAACAAGTGGTTCCAGGTTGAAGAATCGGTAAAGAATGCAATGGCTAAGATTGTAGGAGCAAAACCAATTGAAGTTACAGTGATGAATAGCTTGACTGCGAATTTACAAGTTTTGCTCATGTCTTTTTACAGACCTACCAAACAAAAGTACAAAATTCTCATTGAACAATTTCCATTTCCAAGTGATATGCATGCTGTAACTTCTCACATTAAATGTAGAATTGGAGAGTTGAGAGCAATATTTGAAAATGAAAATTTAACAAGTGATGAAATTGTTGAGAAGTGTATTGTTCAAGTTGGACCACGTGAAGGTGAAGAAATATTGAGAACGGAGGATATTGTCGATTGCTTGAAGAGTGATTCTCATATTTGTGTAAGTACATGATTGGCCAACGAAGGTGAACATGAGTCATTGTACAATTGTTACTATAGGTCTCATTAATTGGTGGAGTGCAATTCATGACTGGTCAATGCTTTGATATGAAGACTATTGCCAAGACATGTCAAGAGTGTGGAATTATTTGTGGATTTGATTTAGCTCATGCTGCTGGCAATATTGATTTACGATTGCACGAATGGGGTTGTGACTTTGCGTGTTGGTGCTCTTACAAATATCTCAATAGTGGTCCAGGTGGAATTAGTGGAATATTTGTCCATGAAAAACATGCCTATGAGAATATGGATGAACGTCCTCGTTTCATGGGATGGTGGTCTAGAGATGCACAAACAAGATTTTCTCTGTCGTCTAAGTTTAGTCCTCAACCAGGAGCAGCTGGTTTCCAAATGTCAAATCCATGTAAGTGATGGTTGATATTTATTTTAGAAAGTTGAACAATTATTTACTTAATCTTTACAATTTTGTCCTTGATTACAGGTATTTTGAGCATGACAGCAATTTTGTCAAGTCTTAAAGTTTTTGAAATGATTGAACAAGATGGTCAAATTATGAGTGTTCTTAGAAAGAAATCTGTCTTGCTTACGACCTATCTAGAATTATTATTGAGACAAGAGTTGGGTGATAAAATTCAAATCATCACTCCAAGCGATTCTAACATGAGAGGCTGTCAACTCTCCGTGCGTGTGATTGGTAAAAACTTGCATCAAGTGGATAACGCTTTGAAGAAGAGAGGAATCATTATTGATACACGCGAACCTGATATTATCAGAGTTTCACCTGTTCCACTCTATAATCAATTTATTGAGGTTTTTGACTTTGTGAGTAATTTCAAGGAAATTTTGAATGAATAAAGATCTCTAGATTTTCAATCTCTTACAACATTTCTGAATGAGAATATGCCATATCACCATACACTTTGCAATATTGATTAAATATTCAACATGTCATGAATGTTATGGACTTTCAATTCAGCTTGCCCATGATGGATCGAAAGAGGTTGAAACTTCCATTGCGTGTGATGCTCTCTCAAAAACGCTCCAATAGTGAAAAAAACATATTTTGAGTGTTTTTCAATAGTTTCCTGACTTGTAAATGGTTTAAAACGAGTGATGAATGGTTGATGGAGACAATTCTCTTCTTCACTCTTCTCTTCTTTAAACACCACATTCAAATCATATTCTGATAAAGTGGTGGATGATGAATTATTTTGGCTTGTACTCGAAGACGACTCTGGGTTCAACAACAACATTCTTGTAACTTCAGAACCATTCTCACAACACACTCCGAATACAATCTTATCATATACGGTTGACAATTCTTCAAACACTACAGTGAAAGATAGCAAATGATGATTTGTGCTGTCAAGACAAGTTTCACTGGATGAACTCATTGCATGATCATCACTTTCATTAATTCTCATAGTTTGAGGATCACATGATAAACGAATGTCTGTCAATCCATGATTATGCACAGCCTTGTCCTTAAATATTTCCACATTACGATAACTTCCACGATTTGAAAGAAGGAAGATGAATAAATGAATGGGATTCGATGAGTGATGATGTTTGGTCGTTGATACAACTTGTTGCTCATTCAAGTTTGTACAAGTTTGATCCATTACTACTGTTCTGGGTGTTACTTGAATGACAAGTTTTTTCACTTGTAAAGTATCAATGATACTAAATTCCTGTGTACTCGTTAATTCTGATTGCAATGAATGTTCAGTATCCATCATGTTCTGTTGTGATTCTTGTTGTTGTTGTTTCAAAATCTCTGTTAATTTTTTCAAATCCATACATTGTTCATATTCATGCTTCTTTTCTTCATGTTGTTGTTGTAGTTGTTGAAATGTATCATTCTCTTGAAAAGGATTCGTGTTCTCCTCAATACCTACATTTAAGGAGGTCCTTATGGTAGTATCATCATTACTTTCATTGGACGATGTACTTGTAGTAGTATCAGTGACAACAATGTTGTGGTCGATCAGCATCGTTGATGATGACATGGAAGAGAATTTTTCAAGACCATTCTCATCACCATCATTTGTACGAGTAGTATCTTCCTGAGCAATCTCTTCCCTAGTCTTCTCTTCTATACTTGTCGTTGAGTCTTTACATGTTTGAGATGCTTCTTCTTGTTGTTCAACAACCATACCAATCTCCTCATCATCATCAACCTTACCAATCTCCTCAACTTGACCATTGTGAGTAGAGATTAATGTGGTTGGTTGGAGATCTGTTGATGGTGTGTCATTCTCTTGGATTGTGTCATCAGTGGATGATGGTGGTGAGATTGTGTCAACATCATCATCATGATTATGAGGGATTGCCATTGTTGTTATAGTTCCTTTCATTGAGTCAGTAGTGTGATTATCATTGATGAATGATTCACTTTGAGATTTCTCAATCATGATTAAGGAGGAACTAGTAGTAGTAGTAGTACTAGTCATAGTATTATTATTATTATGATCATTATGCAAAGTGTTAACATGATCACTAGTTGTTTCCTCAAAAATTGGTGGTGTTAGAAGACTCTTAGTGGATTCTTGAATGGAATCAACATTCATGTCAGGAATGGAAGGGAGAATTTGATCACTACTACCATTACTCATAGCAATAGTATCTAAACCATCATCACCATCTGTTCTGTCATGAATTTCCATTATTGGAGTAGTAGTAGTACTAGCAGTAGAAGTAGTAGTACTAGAAATATCCATCATCACGTTGTTGTTGTTGATAGTCGTGCAAGTAGACACTACTTGTTGGTTGATAGTTTCTATAGTAGAAGTAATCGTAGCTGTATAATGACTAGTGTCATTAATATGTTCTTTCACTTCTTCTTCTCTTTGAATAAAAGCCTTTCGTTTCAACTCTTGTAATTCTTTTTGAAATTTCTTTCGTATATATGAGGCTTGAATGAATGAGAGAATACATGTCGTCGTATGATATTCTTTCTTTTTGCAGGCATGACTTCGAACGAGTGCTTGTAAGAGAACAAGTCGATATATATTCTTCTTCAATTCCAATTGATGGTAAAGAGATTCAAGACAAGACTGTACATGTTGAATGAGTTGAACATGTTGAGAATATTCATGTCGTGTGTAATGTCCTCGATACAAGGCTTGTATGATTGATGAAGAGGATAATAATTCTAAATCAAGATGGGTTTCAAGTGTCGAGTGAGAAGTAGTAGTAGTAGTTGTGTCATGAATGGTGATGTCATGAATGTCTTTTTGAATTTCTTGTTTCATTTCACTCACATCCATAGACTCTTGACTAGTATTTATATAAATCTCCATTTCACTTGGAATATTTTCAATCTTTTCATTTTCAATATTATCATCATTTTCAATATTATCATCATTGATCTCAATACTGCCATTCTCAATATTATTATTTTCAATATTATTCATATTCTCAATATTATTATCATGGATCTCCATATTTTGATGAATAATATTATTTAAATTATTTTTACCATCATTCAAGAATATTGTAGACTCTTTTACAAGTGTCATGGCCTTCTCAAGTAATTTCATTTTCCTGCATCCATGGAATAAATGAACACGTTCTCGTCTCGTGAGATATCCCTTCACACACGCTTGAATGATATTCACTCGTAGTACTACTGAATTCAAGTCATGAAAATATTTCCTTCTCACGTGTTGTGCAATGAGTGCTGGAATGAAAATGTGACACATATACGAGAGTGTACCGAATTTTCTTGTATGAGTTCCACGTATCCATGATTGCAAGTTTATAATCTCTGATAAATGTTGAGTTTGAAATAATGGTTCTGATAAATGTTGAGTTTGAAATAATGATATCATTGGTTCAGCAGAACTTGATTCGAGAGAAAAAGTGCCTTCACTTGTGGTCTCGAGAGAATTGACTTCACACATGCATGTGGTTGAATGATCATCATCATGAGGTTGTTGTTGTTCGATTCGATACTTTTCATCGAGATGTTGAATTAATTGTAAAAATTCATCATATTTGTTAGCCAGTAATTGAGTGATCCTTGCATTCTCTTTAAAATGTTTTAAAAGTTTAAATGAAGAATGAAATGATGAGAGAGGAGTGTGATGGTTATTGTCTTGATCCACCATGATGTGTGGATGTTCATTGTCTTTCAAATTCGTTGTAGTGGTAGTGGTAGTAGTAGTAGTAGTAGGACTATAACTTGCACTCGTATGCATCTTTGTAAAATAATCGTCATTGTCATCATCACGTGGTGGTTGATCATTGTCTTCTTCAATGAGTATCTTTGGATGTTCACCATCGGAAATGAAAGAATTTAATTGAATTGTTGAAGATGTTGATAATTTTCTAGAGTGAAAAGTGGTTGTTCTTTGTTTCCAATAGAGTATGGTGAGAATCAAAGTCAGCAGTAGAATTGGTAGAATTGGTAAAATGATTGTGTGAAATGTTGTTGAAGAGAAGAAATCTTGCGTGATTGAAGTGAACATTTTTTTTGTTTGATCAATCACATGCGCAGAGAGTGTGACGGTGGCCATCAGTGGTTGGAATGGATTGAACAGACACTTCTTCTTCTTCTTAAACCTCACTAGTCAACAAGAATGGTCTCATATGAATGTTGTTTGCATAGGTTTTCCGATTTTTCGAGCGAATTTAAGGCAACAAAGTTTAAGAATTCGGAAGAAAACAAAACTGTGCATTCATGTTTTAGATGAAATCAAAAGGATGGATCTGACAATAAGCAAGGGAACATCAAGACAGTTGGAATTCCCTAATGAAAGATTCAAAAAAGATTCATGTAAAAACACAAAAAATTTCGTTACGCGCCAATACTCGTTGTAAACCCTGTCACAAGCAAAAACTCGCTGAGCGCTAAAAAAGGTGAGCGTCAAAGCGCAACACCAAGCTTCCAAAGTTCCAGCGATTTTCTATCCAAGTGGTAAACCACTCCACGGCGAAGCAATTCAGCCACCAAACAGCGATCAAATATTTTATCAAGAACCAACTCAACACATCCACCAACAAAAAAACGCATCCACAACGAATATTCGTTCCTTCTCACAAAAATATTGCTCTTGAGAAGCCTCTTCTTAAGCAAATTCATCCTCCTTTGAATTTTTCATCTCCCAATAACATCTATAAATAGAATGCCTAACCGAAAACCTTTAGAATTCCACAACAGCATCAAGTTTACAAGGAAAGACAATTCCAACTCCATTCTTGCGTCTACCATTACCGATTGTAATATTCTCACGAATATTGATGTTGAAGGGTTATCACATGATGTGATCAAAAAGAGCAATGTTCTCAAATTTGAGATCACTTTAGAGTGCAAGTCCAAAACCTTTGTTTACAAACCCAATCGATACTATTGCTTAATTGAATTGTATGATCCTAAAAACAATACTCTATTATGTACTCAAGAAGGTAATTCACTTCTCTCAAAAGAGACCATGTCCACTCTCTACAAGATTAATGATCAATGTTATGGCTCTCAACTCAAAGTGAATATCGAGAAGGTGAATCGAGGGACAAGAGCAATATTTAAAATCTCACTCATGGATCGAGAACGTTCGAGCGTTGGTGTATATTGTTCGAGTATTCTATACGATGAAAAGATTGAAATGATGAAGAACTCATCTTGTTGTGGTGGTGGTGATGATACAAGTATATATTGTGATATTGAATGGCAAAGTGGTTCCTTTCTCATTCAAGATCGAAATTCTAAAAAGAGAAAACAGAAATGCAAAGATGCAAACAATGGTCATGACCATTGTGAATCCTCGAGTAGTGTCAGTGAGCAAGATGTAGAGATGAATAATAATAGTGCTGGTGGTATTGGTGTTGTTGGTGTTGATGGTAGTGGTACGAGTGGTGGTACACATGAGACTCATCATTGGTCTTCATCATTGTCCTCAGTAATGCCAAAGATTAAACAAGAAGATAAGGAGGATGAGGAGAATCGTGTGCAACCTCCACTACTGGATCAACCAGTGACCAACAAGAAGAAGAAGAAGAAGGACACATCTAATACTCCACTCACCAAGAAAATCAAAACAGAGTCACAATCAGTGTCCTCACAGATCAAGACAGAGAAACAGGATACATGCAAGGTCATGGATCAAGACATGAGTTTTTTACATTTATTAGATCCTACAACTCAAGATGGTGAAAAGGTGAAGAGTGTGGACAATAATAAGGAGAACATTCCACTCTCTGAGTGTGACCTCAATACTCCTCTGAATGTTGATCCTAAAGATCCATTACTATTACCCATGATGATGATGATGGATCAAACCATGCTCGACCATCACCACCCAATGAATATGTTTCACATGATGATACCACCCTCTTCGTGTTACAACAATCCTCTCCATCCAACATTCAATGATCTCAACATGCACCATTTGTTCTCAACACCATTTCCTCAAACATTGGAAACCACTCCTGCCACTACGAGTAATCCTATTAATACTGGATTCAACTTGTTGTATCCCATACCACCTCCATTACTGCCCTACAATGGTTGTGCCTCTACGACTGGAGCATTACCTTTGTTTCATTGTAAACCCATGAGCAACAACAACAACCAAACTCCAAAGAAAAAGAAAACCATCAAATCCAGTGGGAACTTCATTCACAAGCAGCAACAACATGACTTTGAGAATCAATCCAAACACATACCACCCACATCATTGTTATGTACATCACCCTTGTCATCGAATTTGATAGAAGAAGAATATCATATGAATGAAAAGCAAAACATTCTCGATGAAAGTGCATCAAGTCCAACAGGGAATAGTTTTCTAGATTTTTCATTTAATGGTGGTGACAGTTGTAGCAGTTTACTTGCTTCATTGGATGGAGCACTTACACCTGCAACTTCAACCAAATTTGAGATCACCCAGAATAGTGACATTGCGAACTCTGGCAGTATCTTTGATTTCTCAATATAAACGATGATTATGTTTAACTCAAAGATTGTATTTACAAATGGTTGTTTAAAATCATATTATTTCTATATTGAACAATGTCAGTGTGACTGCATGGAAAGTGAAACTTTCTACCGTCTCTTGTCGATGAATGGTTGTAGTTCTTCTCCCTTACTATATTCGACATGTTATGAAACAAATGAGCATATTGACTCGTCCCAGAATCTTTGAAAGTGGAAGTAGAAGGAACATTTCGAACATTCGAGAGCCAACCAATCTCTTGATAAGCAGTGACAGGATACTTGGACTTTTCAGAAGGCTCCAAATTATATCGAACATGTTTTTCTTTTTTCTCTTTTAAATAATTAAACGAATTCATTTCCACAGTTTGGTCCAAAGCAGGGCCCTGGCTAGGTTCTTTTACAATGGTTTTGGACTTTTCGAATTGAGATGCATTTCTGGATAATGGAGATATGTATTTTGAAGCGATGGCAAATGGCTGATCTTGATTCGATCCCAATGATCGGGAATCCGATGAGGGTTTTACATATTTAAATTTCTGTTTTTCTGCTTCTGATTGCTTCCTTGTTTGAGAGCATTGGTTATCATCATATTCTTCAAAGTTTTCGTAAACTCCCTTATGGAACTCAAAACAATTCTGTGCTCCCATCATTGTAATACCAAACAACGACATTTTTTTTATTTGATTTCGGTAAAAAATCGGTTACAGAAAAAGCGGGAACAGTCATGTCCTCAACAACTGTTTCATTCGCTCATACCACAGTATGGTGGTTTCGACAGCATTTGGGTCAATACCGGTCCTACCAAAAGCAAGGTCTTTAGCAATCGTTGGACCAATATCGTCAAGAGTAGCACCCATGATGCACTTGGGAGATGTGGGACGACTGTTACATATTTCATCCAGCATGCCATTCTGAAAGCTATTATAGAGACATGAATCTTTTTCGATACATGATTGAATCGAAAAATCGACAGATTAAAACTACTCATTGAGAGTTATTTCCTCCAACCTCATAGTATGTTGCTTTCTTGTAAGCTTCTAAGGCCAATTGAGAGTGGTGTGAAAATTCATCTCCTTTTTTAGATTCAGACAAATATCGATGGTAATCTCCTTTCATTTTGTAAAAGAATATCATGGATGCTCTATCTTCATTACGTGTCGCAGTGGGTATTAAATAATGATCTAACAAGTGAAATAATTCATGACAAATGTCGTTAATTTCATGCTCAATGTGTTGTTGATAGAGTTGTGCTAATTTCAACTGGTGGAATTCCATCTTGTTTGTTAATTGGTCACAGGTGCTTGTAGTGATTTTTAATGCCAAACGTTTTGAACCAATTACGTTTTTATAAGCAATCCATAACATGTTTCTTTCTTCAGTAGATAATTCCGAATCAAAAAGTTCAATAATTTTTTTCATCATCCGTCTCACATCTCATTCACGTAACGAATTGTTGAATGAGTTGGGAATTGACAAATGCATTCATTCAGAGTGAACCATTGAAATAGTATTTGTTTTTGTAAATCAATATATATTTTGAATGAATAAAAAAACACACCATCATATCTTTCTGCAGATTCTAATAACTTTGCTCCATAAATTAATTCTTCTCTTGATTCTATTTGATGAATTGTTGTTACTGAGCAAGATGAACTCAATTCTTCCGAGATGATCATTTTTTAAACTAATGTTGTCAAATTCGAAAATGATGGGTGTGGAGGTCATTCCAAACATCTCATACTCTCATGATATCTTTGCGAAATTAACTAAACCTTAAACGTATGACAATATGACATCTTGGATTGATTAAACAATTTACGTGCGCACCGAAACCCATAGACAGGTGGACAACGTTGTAAACCACCTGTCTTTCAAAAATTCAACTCATCACCCCATCATCCATCACAATTGTGGAGCTTCAAGCAAAATTTTTTCAAAAAAAATCCTTCGAGAACAATACCCACTACCACTACTGTACCACTCATCATCATTTCACAAACATGAGCCAACAATTGGAATCCTTGGTTAATCGTCTTGAATCTGCCATCAGTCGTCTCGAAAAGATCAAACTTACTGAAGGTGATAGCACTTCATCCTCCTCTTCATCATCATCCAATGAAGCTCCATCCGTGAGTGCCTATAAGGAATATGTTGCTACTCATGTTCAACCATTGGTTGATATTTGTAATCAAATTGGTGGAGAATGTGTGAATGGTGTAAGTAATCAAATCACTTCTTGATTTAGGGATCATAACCTATGGTTTCTTCCCCTTGAAATGATCATCATCCGATGATCATCAACCCGCCTGTCTATCTGATCCACCACTACGACTTGAAAAAAATATTCTCACCCCCTTGTTGTTCGAAACCCTTTATTTAGGGAAAATTCATTTCAGATGCCTTTGCTGAAATGCTCAAAGTGATCACCTTGGCCAGTATTGCTAAAAAGCCAAGCGATGATGAATTTGGTAAAATTCTCACTCCATTGGGTAAAGTTCTCTCTGCTGCTGGAGATTATCGTTTCAAGAACAACAAGTCTGAATTCTATAATCACTTGTACAGTATTGAGGAAGGCTTGAAGTGTTTGGTTTGGCCAACCACTCCTGCTCCAGTCTCTCATGTCAAGGAAATGGTCAATGCTGCTCAATTCTATAACAATAAGATTCTTATGGCTTACAAGAATACTGATAAGGCTGAATTGCATCGTTCCTTTGTCAATCAATTCAAGACTGCTATTGAAGAATTAGCTGTTTACGTGAAGGAATATCATATGAGTGGTTTGGCTTGGAATGCAAAGGCTTCTCAAGTAGCAAGTGCAGCCTTGTTGGAGAGTGGCTCAAGTGAGGCTTCTTCTTCTTCTTCAGTTCCAAGTTCTGGTGGTGCTGGTGTTCCTCCACCTCCATCCAAGATGGTCAATGTCTCTCAAGACTTTGTCAATTCCTTAAAGAGCTCTTCAGATTCTTCATCTGGATCCAGTGGCAGTGCTGGTGCATTGTTTGCTGAAATTGCCTCAAGAAAGGACAATGCCTCTGTCGGACTCAAACATGTCACCAAAGACATGAAAACCAAATATCAAACAGACAAGCCACCAGCAGTGGTACCAGGTACAACCAGCAAACCAACAACTACCACTTCAACAGCAGGTAATGCTCAAAAGAAGAGAGGAACTCCAAAGTTTGAAAGAGATTCTTCTGGTAAGAAGTGGCAAGTGGAATGGCAAAGTGGTGCTCATGATTTGAAGATTACTGACACTGCTATCGGTCAATCAGTCTATATTTATCAATGTAATGACACCATGGTCGAGATTACCGGAAAAGTCAACAATATTGTTTTGGACAAGTGTACAAAGACCTGTATTGTTTTGGATAGTGTGGTCAGCGGTATTGAATTGGTAAATTGTCAAAGTTGTCAAGTACAAGTGAGAGGTGCTGCTCCAACTCTCTCTATTGATAAGACTGATGGTGCTATTGTTTACTTGTCAAAAGAATCTATTCATTGTAGAATTGTTACTGCCAAATCAAGCGAAATGAACATTGTTGTTCCAGATTTGGATTCCAAGGATGATGACATTATTGAAATTCCACTTCCAGAACAATTCGTGAACACTTATGATCCAAAGACCAAGAAATTCCATACTGAATTGATGAAACACGAATAAATTTCGGTGTTGTGTACTTTATAACATTAATTGGAAGTTTTTGAACGTGATTTGAAACTCACAACGATCTCACTTTATTTCAATACACGAGTGGCAATCAAATCCTCAACAACAGATGGATCTGCCAAGGTTGAAACGTCTCCCAAAGATGATTCACTTCCTTCAGCAATCTTTCTCAAAATTCTTCTCATAATTTTACCCGAACGAGTCTTTGGTAATCCCTTCAATGCAAAGTGAATATAATCAGGAGTAGCAACAGGACCAATTTCATGTCTAATCCATTGTTTCAAAGTCTGAGACAATTCGCTCAAATATTTCTTGTCACTCACATTGACATGATCTTTCAACACTACATAACAATAAATACCATGGCCCTTAATATCATGTGGACATGGTACTACAGCAGCTTCAGCAACACTTGGATGAGCAACAAATGCTGATTCCAATTCAGCTGTACCCAATCGATGTCCACTCACATTCAGTACGTCATCCACTCGACCAGTTAACCAAATATAGCCATCAGAGTCTCTCTTACAACCATCTCCAGTCATGTAATAACCATTGACAATACCAAAGTATGTCTTTTCATATCTTTCATGATCACCAAAGATGGTACGAGCAATACCTGGCCATGGATATTTAATAGCCAAATAACCTTCACATTCACCTTGTAATTCCAAAGAGTTGGTAGAAGCAGAGGTGGCACCACCTGGAAGAGATGGACTTGCTGCAGTATCATTGGTTGCAGCCATGGGTTGAACCATTAAGGTAGGAGTAGGAGGTTCAAAACGATTCATATCATCATTGGTTGGATTACCACTTCCATTGCTACTGCTACTACTATTACTACAATTGGTATTCAATACCACAGGTTGAACACCAAAGAATGGTAATGTAGCACTTCCAGGTTTTGTTGGAATACATCCAGGGAGTGGTGTAATTAAATGTCCACCTGATTCTGTTTGCCAAAATGTATCTACAATGGCACATTTAGAATTACCAACCACATTGTGATACCACATCCATGCTTCAGGATTAATAGGTTCACCAACACTTCCCAAAATACGTAAAGATTCACGTGTGGATCCATTCTTGACATAATCGTCACCCATTTTCATCAAAGTTCGAATCAATGTTGGTGCACTATAAAATTGATTCACTTGATACTTGTCAATAATTTGCCAACAACGTGAAGCAGTTGGATAGGTTGGAACTCCTTCAAACACCACACTTGTAGCACCACACAATAAAGGACCATACACCACATAGGAATGTCCTGTAATCCATCCAATATCAGCTCCACACCAATAAACATCTCCTTCATGATAATCAAATACATATTTAAAGGTTGTACTTGTATAGACCATATAACCTGCAGTGGTGTGAATGAGTCCTTTGGGTTTGCCTGTACTTCCACTCGTGTAGAGCATGAAGAGTGGATCTTCACCTCGAACCCATTCGACTGGACATTCTTGTTGACACTGATTCATCAAATCATGATACCAAACATCACGATGAGAGTGCCATTGAATTTCAAGAGGTGATTGGTTAGGAGTTGGAGTTTGGGTTTGGGTTTGGGTATTTTGAGTTTGAGTTTGGGTATTTTGAGTTTGAGTAGCAGTTTGAGTAGTAGCAGTTGGAGTAGTAGTTGGGGTATTCCATTGAGTTTGGGTTTGGCTCACCTTGACATTCTTGATTCGATTCACGACAATGACCTTCTCACATGAAAATCCATGTTCGGAACAGTGATGATCAATGGCTTCATCCACTGATTGTTTCAAATGAATGAACTTGTCTCCTCGAATACCAAAATCAGCAGTCACAATGACTTTGGCATGAGAGTCCATTAAGCGTTGAGAAAGAGCCTCGGCACTGAAACCACCAAAAACTACGGAATGAATGGCGCCAATTCGAGCACAAGCCAATACGGCAACAATTAATTCCATAACCATTGGCATGTACATGGCAACACAATCACCCTTCTTCACTCCTAACTTTTTCAAAACATTGGCAAATTTAGAAACTTGTTCTAATAATTGTTTGTAAGTGACTGTACGAGTTAATTCATCATGGATATCATTTCCTTCAAAGTAGAAGGCAACACGATCACCATGTCCATTCAAAACATGTCGATCCAGTGCATTGTAACAAATGTTGGTTAAGGAATCCTTGAACCATTCAATACGAATAGGTCCCTTACTGACATCCATATTAAAATCAAGAATTGACTTTGGATCATCCAATGAAAATCTCTTCTCTTTCCAATAATAATTCTCTGAGGCAATTTTACCCCAAAAGGAATGAGGCTTCTCAATACTCTCACGATACATTCCGAGGTATTGTTCATAGGATTGAATCCAAGCACGTTGTTGAATGTGAGGTGGAGGAGGGAAGAATTTGTGTGGGTGTTGTTGTTGTGGTGGTGGTGGACAGTGTTGTTGTCCGTGTTGTTGTTGATGATGATGATGAATATCATCCATCAATCTTTGGTGAGCATTGGCGTGATGGGCAAGGTTGTCCATGATGATGACAATGTGGATGAGGGTTTCGTGTTCTTATTGCAAGCAGCAGCAGGAAATTTGCTAATACGTTATGTATATTTAGCACAACAGGAGAATTCAAGGTTTCGGTTGGTTTGCAAGGCTTTTACAAGCTTCGGAATCTTGAGCACACAAAGAGAATTCGGTTGGTTGGAATACGAGTCTCGCACACGATACACACACACAATAAATGTTGATGATGAGCCTACTTGATGTAACGACGCACTAAAAACACTTCTTCTATCCTTTCGAAAGTTGTGGTAGTCACACAAGTTTTTTTTGTTCGACGCTTCATTCAGAAGAAGCTTGCACCACTTGAAAATGCTTCTTCAAGATTTTGTACGTTCTCGCATGCCCCTTTCCAGGCGTTGATGATGGACCGTTCCAACGGCAATACAGAATGTTTGCATCAAAAGTTGCTCCTTCTCGAGCCATCCTTTGAACAACATGGCAAACCTTCCATTATGATTCAGCCATTCGTACAATTTCAAACATCGATCAAAAAATTTGGCGAATGTTCAAAAAATGTTTGCGCGCCTCCAACGGTTCAATATTTGAAATTTTCAATTGTTGTGCTCGTCCCAATGAATTACTCAGGTATATTAAGGATGATTCGTTGTCTGCCAGAAATTATATAACACAATTCTGCATCCTTATTTCATCTCGAGTGGATTTATTGAACTTTAAATGTTGATAATAAATCACTAGTTGCCACAAACAATAATTCCATTTGTTTTTCATAATATTCAATTTTCTTCTTCTTTTCATCTCCTTCTTGTTTCATACGTTCTACTTGGTCCAATGATAATTGTTTTTGATGTTGTAATTCTTGTGTGGATGGTTTTTTCAAAATATTTTCTGATATTAAATTATATTCTTCATTAAATTGTTTATATTTTCTTTGATTTTCTAATTCTTGATTTAATGAAGGTATGATATCATTCTTGTGTTCATGTATTTGTGTTTTCACTTTTTGAAGTCGATCTTGTATCTCTTGTAATTGTTGCTCATAATCTTGTGATAATGATGATAATAATATAGAGGTATTATATTGATATTGATTTAATTGATGAATACAATGCAATTGTTCTGTTTTAATATTTTCTATACTTGATCCTTCTTTGATGGATTGCTCTAATTGAATGTATTGTTTCATGAGAGAAGAAAATTCATCCACACATTTCATTCGGTTAAAAGTTTCATCCGAAGACATTGAAGATTGATCTTGTCTTCGGTGTATAATAGCTTGTACGATAAGATCTTCATTCTGATGAGAGAGTGTCAAAGCAAGTGATGGTGATGATGAAATGGTATTGTTGTTGTTATTGTTCATGCTCATGATGATGTATCAATGCTTTCGTGAGTCGAATTATGATTTTTTTTGTTGTTGAACACCCCGCCATTTCCTTGTGCTAAGGCTTTTCAAAAAAAATGTCATTACACTCTATGCAACATCACTCCGGAGTAAGGACTTCGATGGACAACATTTCATCATCGTCCTTTGCATCGTTACGAGAGGATTTATCGATGAACGCCTCATTGTTGGACAAAAACATTATTCCTTACATGACCGAAGATGAATTAATTGAAATGATTAAAAACAATCACTCTTACGAGTTATCAAAACAAGACATTGAATATTTATGTTTGCAAAGGAGAAGACAATCCATTGATTTGCATCCAAACACTGATCCAATTCCGAAGAACCATCACCCATCCACTCCTTCTTTTAAAGTCATGATTTTGGGAGATGAGAGTGAAAGTAATGGAAAGTTTCAGTTTTTCGACACGTTGATTGGTAATACTTCAAAGATACCCTATCCTATCACTACTGTTCAGTTACAGAACAATCCAGATTGTTTTTTTCAATTATGGATTCCTTATTGTAATGATCAATACGCAAACTTGAGGCTTTTATATTACGAGTATACCCATATCTTTGTTTTGTTTTTCAACATTTCTCAAAGAGATTCATTTAACCATTTAAAAGATGAATTACTTCCTGAGGTAGCTTCATTCATTGAACACTTACAAGGGAAAGAGACTTGTATTCCTCCGATTCTATTAGTAGGATATCAATCAGAAAGTAGAGAAATCAATGCAGTTAAAGATTTGATTAGCTTTGAAGAAATTATTGAGGTTGCTCAATACTACAAGTGTTCAAAATATATTGAAATTCAATCGAAAGAGTATGAAAAGCATAGAGATAGACACCACTCTCATGTCTATGAGGTCATGGAACATGTTTCAAACATGGTGTCATGTCTGAATGAACCATCTATCCATGAACAACACGATGACTATTTCAGAAGTATGCTCACAGTACCCACTCCTGAAATTTCGTTTCATCAAATGGATAAGACATTTCTAATTACAGAGTTTATTGAAGACGTGGATTACTTTTACACCATTGATGGTTCTCATCCAAAAACATCACAATGCATTTCATTATCAAAATCTCCTCAACATTCACTTCAATCGTTGAAGTATGAAAAACCACTGGTTATTCATGGATCACAGAAAATTCATCAAATTCATGTGGTTGGAATTGAACGATGTAAATACACCAGTGATATTGCATCGTTTACCATTCCCAATGAAAGTGAATCAGTGAATGGATACTTTGATGTATTAAGCAAGTGTTTTAGAATTACCAATTGGAAGAAGGATTGTGTTTATTATTTTACTTTGGATGGATCCATTCCCAATGAACATTTATCATTTAAAAGTATGGAGCCTATTATTCAAATTGGAGATTCTATGAGTTTAGGTAGTGGTAGCGCGATTGGTCATGGCACTACCAGTGCTATCAGTAGTAGTAGTAATAGTAGCACTATTGGTCATTCCCATTTCGAATTGCAACAACATTCCACAAGCCTTTCCATTGTTGCAGTAGAAAAGGGCAAGTTAAAGAGTATGATTCGAACCTTCTCATTACCATCCACATTACAACCACCTGCAGTGAAATACGATGCCATTGATTCAACGTTTACCATTGATACTGTTCCTGGAGTGATTTATAGATACACATTGGATGGATCAATTCCAACACATCCCTTTGATTCTTCTCATCATGATTCCACAACATTTACCTATTCAAGGAGTGTCATGTTACCTAAAAAAGAATCTATGAAATGTATCAAAGTCATTGCATTTCCAAAATTGAGTTTCCCTTCGACATGTATTGAAATTAATGCAAAACCATTGATGCAAGAACATTTATCATCACCTTCTTCACAAGTGAAATTGAATAACACTGCATTGAAGAGAATGAAAAGTCATTCACCAAATTCTACTACTACTACTACAACTACTGCAACACCTACTACTTCTAACAATTCAATAACAACCACAACAGCAGCAACAACAACAATTCATTCATCACCCTCATCTTCACCACCCAAGACAAGTTATATTAATAATACTTTGAATAACACCACCACAACCACCACCATCACTACGAACAACACTATTGCCAACACTTCAACACCTCAACAACATGATGTCTCATCTCCTTATAACCTTTCATCGGAAGGATCCAAGGACTCTTCGAACAAGGTAACAACCTCACAGGATACAACTTTTAAAAACAACAACTCCACCACCAAACCAACAACATCCAACAGAGATTCAACAACAAATCGTATCCATTCTCCACAACGTTCAAATACAACTGAAGATGATGATGAGAACACTAACAAGAATACACATCGCACCAATGTATCACTAAACATGTTATCCACCTATCATTCTCCTACCTCACTCCCAAGACAGCGTCAAGACAATTCATTGATCATGGATGGTCCATTACCATCTACAAATACGATGATGATGAACTCGAATACTATAATGAATCCATCGATGATGTCTACTAGCGAAATACCTCCTGCCCAAAGTGTTGAAACCGTGCAGAGAAAGGACATGTCAATTTCCACCACAATTCACTCTCAATCTTCTTTAAATGAACATGATGAATGTAACAACAAGAATGATCAACAACAACTACCACAACAATATCAACAACAACAACCACCACCAAACAAACAACATCACCACACTTCTCAACATTCAACACAACAATGTCAACAACCATCGACAAGAAAATTCCTCAAAACATCAACAACCAATGATTTTCAAGTTCAGTGCAAAGCTGAAGGTAGTAACGTTATATTTACATTTGATCGTCAAGTTTCAGTGAAAAGGATTAGAATAACCACACCTGGATCCAGAAGAGGACCTCAATTCTATGCATGTTATATACCATCTCAAAATACTAATTCTCGAGGTGTTCGAACCAAAGTTGGTGAAGGAGAATTACAAGATATTGACAGTGTTCAATATTTAGACTTGTTTACAAGAGAATCAAGTAGTGCGATTGTGTGTAAGGAATTGATGTGCACATTTAGTCCATTTGAGGGACAACGATCGTTTAAAATTGTAGATATGAAAATTGAATGTAATAAATACCCATGAATCATTTTCCAGTATTGACAACATGATTTAATAACATATCAATAAGAATAAAACTAAACATGCGAAATAGTTCCCAACTGGAGGTAGCAGGGTGGCACTCGTGTTGTGGTGGGTGGACTTTGACGCTTGTTGAGAATATTCACGACCAGGAATTCTTGAAGGCTGACTCTTCACCACACTACGAGAAGGTTCATTCTGTTGTGATGATGATTGAGCAATGAGTGTTCCGTTATTCGATAAGGGCATTCCATTCTCTCCAACGACATAGACATACAACTTGTCTGTTGAATCCATCAACAATGAAGGATTTTTGAAAGTTCCCTCAATGAATTTCACAACAATTTTTCGGTCACTCCATTCCACCACTGGAAGTGTTTCGCTCCAAATAATATCATTCCAAGTTGAACTCTTGCTGATCACTACTCTTCGAGTTGAATTACCAATATATACATCATCAAGTGAGGTGGTCATGTTTTTATATGCCAAATCTCCATGATCAAATCCAATCAGTTGAATGTAAAGTGGTTTTCCAACTTGTTTTTCGTTTTTATGACATGTAGCTTTGATGTGAAGTTTTCCATTCACATATGCCAATACTTTCTTTTGACTTAAATCCACATGAAATTCGTGATGATTCCATTCATTAATTAGCCCTTTGGAAGTCCATGCATTCCAATACGTTCCATTTTCACAGGTGAGATGCATGTGTGTCCAAGAAATTCTTGTTCCATAACCATTGAAATCATCCCAAACTCTAATAACTTTGGAGAAGTATATATTATTATATGATAGAAAATGACATGCACTTACACTTATTTGAACCTCCTTCACTATCAGGAGACTGACCTGGTTTGTACCACCAAGAAACATACAATCGATCATAAACAGAGCCAGCAGGGTGTTGAGGAATTCCCAAAGTGGAATGAAAACCTTTCCCATAATATATGGTGTTGTTGTTACCAGATCGAGTTGTGCAATTAGAGGTCAAGGAAAGAGCTTTGATTTCTTTCCATTTTGACAGCGCGTTGTTGTCGTGTTCTTGATCTGCTGGATGATCCCAGAAAATCATTGGACTGTAAGATCCAAAACCTGAGCCATGAATGATAAGATTATTGCTAGAAACATTGGAGAGAAATGCTTCAAAGATTCCTGGCTGAGTGTATGAATGAACATTGTAAATAGAACATGCATGTACCGCTACAAACATCAGCATAATGAATACTGATACCAATGAATGGATGGCTGAATGCATCTCGAACGTTTTTTTCCAATGAGTCTTGGCTCGTTTGAGCGGAGAAACGACTACTTGCGTTTTACTGATTGACGAGCTGAAGGACGGAAGGACGGGAATATTGTGATTAGTTCACGTGGATGTTCAAAGTTTTCCATGGCCTTGCCTGGCATGATATTAATTGTCTTACGAAGTTAATATATAAATTTCAACCCTGTTGCTTCAGAAATTTCACAACACCATACGCTTGTATGTTCAAAGTTGATCGAGGTCAATGGTGTAAATGACAAGTCCAAAGCATAAATCGCTTTTCGTCCGTTCGAAGAAATGGTGAATCAGATCAAACTACGTCGATATATGTGGTTATCTTTGTATTTGGAAATTGAAAACATACACAATTCTTGATCATGGTCACTTCTAACACACACTTTGATCAATTTGATTTCTGTTGATCCATTTAACTCTCATACTTGTTATTCACCCGCCTTCATGAAGGTTGGTTGTGTTATTCAGACACAAACATCAAAAAAAACCAAGTGGACAATCTTCTCACATGACCTCAAAGAACCAAACAAAGAAAAGCCTTTCGTTTGAAGAATTTATTCAAGAACAAAGAATGAATGAGAGTTGGCTTCTAGTGATTGACGTTCGATCTCAACACGATTTTGAACAAGCACCCATCGTGTTGAAAAATAGCATTAATTTACCATATTCCACTTTGGACAAAAATTTAAGACTTTTAGATCATCATAAACCGGTTTATGTTGTGTCAACATGGATGTGAGGATTCGGCATCTACGCATGCATGGTCCATTCTCACAAATCATGCATTGAAGGAGGTTTCAATGTAATTAACAGACGTTTTTCTTGTCATGATTCGAAAAAGATGATGAAATATCATGATACTTGGATTCCATTCGTACATAAAAACAGACACTCTCAGCCAATTGGCCTCTTGAAAGGCAAGCTCATTTGCTGCTGCTGTTTTGTCAGCCCTGACAGATATTTGTGGTTTAGCAAAAGTTTCGAAAAAGATGGCTTGGAACAAGAACAATTATCGATGGTTGTGAATCCAACAATAACAAGAACAAGAAAGAAGAAAAATTACAGAGTTGACACTAAAAATAATAATCGTGCCGCTCATGTTTGTTATTCCTTGAAGACGCAACGGTGCAGTATATAGACTATTTTGACAATAATAGAATGTCCAATCGGCTACATGTTGGTTTGCTAACTGATTCATTGCAGGTTATTCCAAGTGTTACCATCAATTTCTTACAAATAATCGAATAAATAAACCTAAGTTTATGTTTTATTATTTTAATAAAGATCCGACAGTATTACCCTAAATCGTTGAAGAAGAGATTAGAAAGAATGCGGAATTCTTAACAATTTCTCATTTATCATATAGGTTGTATGTCTTATCGGATTAGGAAACGTGTTCTACGAGCACTTAATATTTTGTTGTGTTGATAATGATACTACATATCTCAACAATAAGATAATGCAACACGAGAATAATTTGTTATGAACTAATATCTTCTTCTAACTTTTGGTAAGGAAATGGGTTATTGTATTGCTGTACAAAAATTACTTACATTTTTATAATCCCGTTAATTACATAGTGCTATGTTATGTAACTTCAAACAATAATAGATTAATACCAATGGGTTAGTTGCTGTCTCCTCTCCAGGAAGTGTCGCTTCTTTGGAGATGGAGTGTCAACCAACAACCTTTATTGTACAGTTGTCCCGAGAAGTGGATACTAGCATGTGATGAAAAAACTCAAATTGCTTTGAGAAAACCACATTGCAAGAATATTCAAGTCTACTTCACCACAAGTGATCATAAAAAAAAGGTTAGCTCAATAAAAATTTGTTAAATAAGAAATTGACATAAACCATGTTCCTTGAAAAACATCGTTGAGCGAATCAACGACGGATAAAATTTAAAAAAGATCGTGGGAAAAACCCATCAATGATAAGGCTAAAGCCAATCGCAGACACAAAAGTGTCAAAGGAAATCATTGAGCAAATCAATGATACATAAGGCAAAAACAATTAATACAACACAAAGTGTTGTTGAATTCTAAATATAATGGGAGGGAAGGGAGGGTGTTGTTGTGGTGCCAGACTGTTGGGAAGCTGCAGTAGTGGTATTAGTTTGCTCTTTAGACAGCTGTTTTGGTTGTGGATTTGTTGACATTTTTTAGCCATACTTTTAGTCAACCTTATTGTTTTCGTTACAAAACACTTCCGTTCTTTTCAGAACATTCAAAGATGACGCAATTGCTGTCTCTTCACCGTCTCTTCTTTTGAAAACCAACAACTGTTATTGTCCCGAAAATGGATTATGTTACTCGTGAGAGAGTTTTGGTTATGCGTTCTTGCTACCAGCTGACTAAAGATCTTTAGTGTAAATCTAACTTGTATTGATTGGCAACTTGGTACCTCGATTGATGCTCGGTCAAAATTTTTCTTTTCATTTCTATTACAGATAGGTAGTTCCAAACAAACTCTTTTTCTCAAATTGTGGTTATTATTATTATTTTTAAACAACAAACAACACAGGATCATCATTCATCGAAAAATTTCAGTACTTCTTGTGAATGTTGTTGATTTCTAATAATGAAGCTGTCTTGTCAGTGAAAAGACAGGTTTATTACAGTTTAGACGAAAGCCAGTCAAGTCCTTCAAACAAGCCACAACCCTTCAGAGCAGAACAAGGTTGAATAAACCACTCCTGTTTGATCGAGTTCAAATCCAGTCGTTGAACGATATTGCTCACATTGGCAGCATGAGGAAGATCTTGTTTGTTTGCCAAAACTAACAGTTTGGCGTCCTCCAGTAACGAATTTTCCATGACTTGTTTCAATGTTTGTCGTGCTTCTTCAAATCGATCGGTATCGTTGGAATCTAACACATAAATAATGGCATCGGTTTTCTCATAGTAATATCTCCAAAGAGATCGAATTTTGTCCTGTCCTCCCAAATCATAGATTGTGAATGTAACCTTTTTGTAACTGATTTGTTCTGCATTGAATCCAATGGTTGGAATGGTGGTTACATTTTCATCTAATTGAATCTTGTAGAGAATGGATGTTTTACCAGCTGCATCAAGTCCCAACATTAAAATGCGAGCTTCCTTATTTTTGAAAAGATCCTTAACCAAGTTGGAAAGATATTGACCCATGGTGATGTTGTTGTAGATTGTTGTTGGTTGTTAATGGTTGTGGATTGAAATTTTGAAAACGTTCGGGAGTATTATACCTGAGTGTTGAATGATGATGTTGTGTTTTTTCTTGTTGTTTAAAAATCTTGAATTCCACGGAGAACATGAGTGTGTTTCAGGTTCTCATACGTTGTGTCATCTTTTCTAAAAATATTTTTTGCAACGTCATGGGATGAAGTGGCACTAATTGTAAAGTTGTCTAGAATACGGGCTTTTCTCAATGACATTTCAAATGACAGCATTTGAAATGCTGTACGAGTAGAGTCTACATCTACACATTGATCGTTCCTCTCTCGAAAAGATTTATATTCGAAATAAGAGTTTATTTCTTCTTCTTAATTCTTACCTTACTTGCCTGAGTATTCACCTTGACATAAATCTTCTTGTATTGCAAATAGAGAGGATCATTACTCAATTCATTCGCTACAACAGAACCATTATTAATAAAATCTGTTTTTGTTTTTCCATTACTTCTTCCCTTACTTGTATGAATATCAAGATAATCATTATGAACTTGAAAATTACATTTCACATATTCTCTAAAACATTCAATGATTTGAATGGTATGAGTACTTGCTTGACGAGATGGTTCAGTCTGACTCGAACAATTATTATTCCAAGTATTATTCAAACCATTGTCCTGCTGAACATTGAGATCATCATCATCATTACAATGATCAATCATTCCAGAAGAAGAAGACTCATCTCCTTGAACATTTCGTCCTCTTCCAAAGTAATGTAATAGAGCATGCACTAGAAATATCCAAAATTCTCCAACCTTATTTTTCTTAATCGATACCTTGACCGTTCTAAAATATTTGAATAATATTTCATAGAGTTGTTGTTGTGATGAGACATTTTCATTCATCTTTGTATTACTATTACTTCTACTACCACTATTACTACTACTACTATTACTACTACTACTACTACTACTACCACTACCAGTCATCATATAATTCTCATCATCATCTTTGTCATCATTCTTTAAAGTTCTCTTCAATTCTTCTCTAATTCTCCTCTCCAATAGAGTCATTCGATGAGACAATTCACCACCACCACCACCACCACTCTCTTCACATTCAAATAAATATCTAAATAAATAATAAAAACATAAATCATTCTGTTCTCGAATATAATGACAGAGAGAGGTTAAAATAGATTCAGAATCTTCATTTCTACTACTATTACTACTATACTTGGAATAATTCAATTCTGAAGGAACATATTCATTACTAATATCTTGTTTAGGACATGTATAAAACGTTGCTCTCAATACCGATGGATATCTACATTTCACAATAGTTGAATCACATAACATGATTCCAATCTTACAACATGATTCAATACAATTCAATAAATAATTTCTTGTATAGACATGTGAAGCATTTGAGGAAGTGGTGGCAGTGGTGGAGGTAGATTGAGATATTTTCAAAAGACATTCATGAATATCAATCATGAGATGAGAATGTCCAATGGATATATCTTCACAAACTATGACTCTAATTCTATTGAGAATGTTGGTGAGAACTCCTTTCAATGCTGCTCTTGATTTTTTTAATTTTTTTAAAGATTCTTTCGTTGTTGCATAGTGCGCATGAGAGGAGACTGTTGTTGTGGTGCAGACTTGATTCTCACTACTACTACTAGTGTCACTATCCGAGTATGACTTGACACCTCGTTTCGATAAAAAATCTTGATATAATTCATCATAATCTTGTAATTGTTCAATTTCAATCGAATAGATATTCATTTTAATAATAGTAGGTAATACTAATTCAAGAATACCATTCACACAATCTTGTAAATTATTTCTTCGACATGCTTTTTGAACCATACTCTTCATGACATCTGTTGTGAATCGATTCAATGTAAATCTCTTATTAATATTTTTGAAATTTGTGGAATGAGGAGGAATGGATTTTAATTTCTTGAGAAAGGTGTTGAGAAGTGAATTGAGAGAAGGTGTGGATGTCGTCATGAATTGGAGGAGTTGTGGTGATGTGTGTGTGTTTAATATTTTTTTTTAATGTCTTGTTTTTAAAAAAATATTTGAACCTATTGATTCATTTAAAAAAGAATTTGGAATGACTTCTTGTGCTCACAGGAAGTTCATGAATTTCATGGATTTCACCTCCAACTGGATTTGAAAAGTTCAATTTAAATTCACTCCACACGAAAAACTTGAGCAAATTTCAATCAACACCAAAAAAAATGTCCAAACGACATTTGTTTGATTCTACTACCCTCATGATGAAAGACGATGGAAAGACCATCTCCGAAACCACAAAAAGAAGAAAATACAAATTGAATTCATTGAACACTGATCCTTCATCCTTGGAATTCAATATGCATCATGATCCTTCATATTTGGAATTGACTCGAATTCCATTCAATGGTAAAATCATACATTTCAAACATTCTTCAAAATTAAAAGATCTCTTTGAAATTAGAGCTGCATGTCGAGAGAATAAGCCTTGTTGTGAAAATGATAGAAAGGCTAGAATGTGTTTCTATGCTACTTGTAAATGGACTGGACAGAATGTAGTATTGAAAACACTATCCGATCAAACATCAAGTATGGTGGATGTGATGAAACATGAAACTCTTAATATAATTGTTGACAACAAGACGATACGAAATGACACTATCAATGATCAAGAATTATTATTAGAAGAAGAATATTTGAAAATCTCACAAATTCCAGCTCAATGCTTCATTGATGAATATAAAAAGCAATGTGGATTAAATGCAATGGGTACTAATTATTGTAAATTATATGGTCGAATTATCAGAAATGAAGGAGAAACAAAATGGACCACAGAGAAGGATATTCAATTGGGTGCAACATTGAATTTTACAATCGATGATTCCATTCTTACCTCTTATATTATTATTAATGATGAAGACAAGTATAGAGAAACATTACATCAAGCACTTTCAAAGAATTCTAAATTATTAACTACTAATTCTAAATTAGACTTGGAAGCAATGAAAATTACATTATTTAAATTTGCATTTACAAGAGATAATGCATTTGTAAATACTTTAATTAAGAGAAGAAGGGAAATATCAAATCTTCATTCTGATCCTATGGTATCTTCTTCTGAGAATGAAACAGCAAGCTCATCGAAAGAAGAAGCTACACTCGACAATTCCATTCAATTACTTTCCATTGATGAAGAAAATTATGGAGATAATTACATTAAGAATGCTAAAAAGAATGGAATCACATTGGAAGATCAATATGAATTGACTATTGCATCCAAATGCACCAAAGAGTTTCTAAAGAGAATGAAAGACAAATCCAAAACATCTTCTTTGATTGATTTTCTTGAAAGAATGAAACAAGTCGAACCATTGCCCTTTGAGGGGTTTACAGAGAATGTGGATGCATTGATGAAAGTCGTTAAAAGAAGTTCAATAGCAAAAAGAAAACAGAAGAAATAAGTGAAATAAACAAACTACATTGTATTTATTGTATCAACCAAGTTGAGAGAGTATTCCATTGAAAGAGTAAAATAGTAGTGATTCATTTGGAGTCCAAGTGTCAGTTTTACTTTTGATCCTTTGTATTGGAAGAATATGGATTTACAATCGTTAAATGTTGCTGATCTCCTCCTCCCTTCTGTTTTCTTCTTGTTGAAGTATTTACAGTCATTTCTGTCATTTCATTGGAGATGAAAGAGGAACGAGGTCTCATTCTTGGTGATGAAGGTGAATCATGACAAGTACTATCATCATCATCATCACTATGGTTATGGATCGTAGTGGCAGTAGTTGTGGAAGAACGATCAGGTAATTCATCCATGAGTGAAAGAAGAGAGTTTGTTGAAGAATTGTGTTGTTGTTGTTGAGAATGATTGGATGAAGAGTTGTTGTAATGATGGTGAGGAGAGTGTTGATGGTGGTGGTGAGAAGTTGAAGAAGAGCTGTTGTGGTGGTGTTGATGATGAGGAGGATGATGGGAATGATGATGATTCATGGTATTAATCGTATGACCACCAGTAATACCAGCACCACCACCACCACCACCACCACCTCTCATGGAATGTTGTTGTTGTTGTTCTCTTTCAACAATTTCATGATCAATGACATCCTCTTCTTCCAAATTAAAGAGTGAAGATGATTTGGACATTTGAATAGCAAATTGAGGAGAGGATTTAAACAATTGACTTCTCACTTGTTTCAAACATGAATCCAATGTCAATTCAATCTTTAACATGTTCTCAATTCGATTCATATGAGGAAATGTTCTTCTCATTCCTTGATGAATGGCTTGTTTGATGTATTCAAAAGTTGGATTACTTAAAATCTTTTTCATATTTTCAAAATTCAAATCACAAGGTACAATGGTGACATGAGCTTCATACGATTGAGAAATAACCAATTCAAACCATCGAAATCTCTCAGGTATTAATGATAGAGAATATAATTGTTCAATTCTATATTTGATTTCTGAACCTATGAGTGAAATGATATTGGATAGGAGTGAATTCTTTTGTTTTCTTGAATTTGATATAAATGGAAGTACATGAGGATTCACTTGAGAAGCAATATAGAAATTCACATTAAATAATTCTGCTAAACGAGTAATTGGTAAATCATAAAAGAGAGTACCATCTTGATATTTTTGATTGGCAAAGTTATGATATGGTACAATATTACCATCTCGATCTTTGGCCATTAAAGGAACTGCCTTGTAGAGCTGTTGTTGTTGTTGTTGTTGTGTTTGTGTATGTTGTGTGTGTATATGTGTGTGTATGTGTGTTTTTGTATATGTGTGTGTATATGTGTGTTTTTGTATATGTACGTGTTTGTTCGTATGTATGCATGTTTGTATGTACGTGTTTGTTCGTATGTTTGTTGGTAAATGTATGTTTGTTCGTATGTATGCATGTATATATGTATGCATGTATATATGTATGAACAACAACACATAATATATATTGGTCCATTGTTCACACAAATATTATAGAATAAATTATCATATCCATTCACTATTCATCACTTACCATTGGTAATGAACAACTTGCCACTGCAGCACTCCAAATCAATACATTGGGTGCAGTTAAATAATTCAATAAACCTTCATGAGTTTGATATCCAGCAGATTGTCCACTCACAGTAATATTCAATACTCGACCACTAATCTTGTAAGCCTCTTCAAATGTAACATCTCCTATATTCTCACGAATACATTGAGCTAACTTGTTCACATCCATAATGACACCATTATTCAATAATCGAGAAATTTTACGCATGGCTGATCGTTCTGGAGTATCATCACTACCACCAAAGGCTTCTAATTTGAATGAACCAGGTTCAAAACATTTGGCCAAGTCTTCTTCACGTCTCGTACAGAGAGCAGCAGCAATGATACTACCACCACTACTACCACTAATGACTTTGGGTAAAATTTGAGAATCATAGAGTGATTTGACCACACCTATACCCACCAACACCAACCGAAAAGATTACAACCCAACCGAAAAGATTACAATCCAATCCAAAACAACCCAACCGAAAAGATTACAACCAACCCAAAATTTACAATAGAATTTACAACCCAAAAGAATATCACCGAAAGATCATTTAAAAAAAATAAACAACTTGTACAACTTGAAAAAAAAAAACACTTACCAATATGATACATGGATAATCCACCTCCTCCACTCAAGAGCAAGGCACTTCTACCAAATGCATGACAAGTATCTCTAAAGAATTTCAACTTCTCTTCCAATGATAATTCATCACTCTCTCGAATGAGATGACATGATTTTGAGACTAATTCAATATATTCTTCAATGAGTTGTTTAGTACCAGTATGACATTCATAGAGTTGAATATTGTTAATACCAGCAATATTGCGATGTAATTCAGCTCTCAATAACCATTGTAGACCATGAATATCTTTTTTTCTTAACATGGCCATCATTTGATAATTTAAATTTTCTAATTGCTCAAAATCATAGAGTTTGGTTTCATTTTCAGATTTCCATAAATCATATCCTTCTAATTGATCTAAATACAATGCTATTTGCTTATAATCATTGTAGTTATCGACTTTGTCTTCTAATAATACTTTACAATGTTGTTTTTGTTTGTTTTGATGTTTCACTAATTTCAAATAAGAATAAAAGAATTTAAATAAAAAGATGACAATTCTGAATATGAAAATGAACGCATAAAAGAGTTTGAATATGCCTCTTTGATAGAAGGGTTTTTTCGTTGGAGTAGAGGGTGGTAGTTGAATGGAAGAATTGTTGTTATTAATGTTCTGATCATTACTACTACTGCTATGGATGGTGTGTGAATGTGTGATTGTTGGATCTTGTTCATGACTTGGAAGAATCAAATCACTTGTGTGTTGTTGAGAATGTGGTTGTTGAGAATGGTGGTTGGAATGTTGAGAATGGTGAGAGTAATGTCGTTGTTGCTGTTGTTGATCATGATCATGCGCATAATGAGGTATGAAATTGGAAAGTATTGCATTGGGAGTGCTGATAGTACTTGAAGTGTTTGGAGAATTGAGTGATCTCTCAAATACATTTCGTGATATAACAGTGGTCATCAGTAGTGTTGTGTTCTCTCTGAGATCTCAATATGTGGATTTGTTGTATTCTTGAATATTCTAAATGGATATCAATACAAGAAATGGATTCAATGTTTCTGAGAAGAAAAACAATGTGAGTGACGTTCAGCAATAATGTGTTGTTGTGACACTGAGATATTGTTTTGGAATGTTGTTGGTGTGATCCTTTTACGTTCTGATCTAAAAAGGTTTCGGAAATAATCAGAAATTTAAATTTTTCCGTCGTTCAGGTCGTGATGATGATCTTGCAGCACAATCAGAAGTAGTCACTCCTTTGAAGTAAATTCAATAAAATTACAAGAAGTAGGGAATGGAAATTCTTCAAATAATAATATCAAGTTGTTGCCGTCGTTGCTAACTTTTTGTAGCAAGGGATTCTCCGAGAAACTTTGTTTACGAAAGACGTTATTTTTTTTTAAAAGATTCAAAACAGTTATATTCCCGCTCCTCCCGTTCAAGTCCAATGTTTATGGATTGTTTCCTTATTGCGTAACGTGTGGTCTGGTGCATATAGCCAACTTTCTCTGGCCATCAGTACTAACCTTGAACGGGCAACAGTGCTCGAAGCCGTTGAATGATTATTTTTTTCCCTTAACTCAAAGCCTTGTCGACTGACAGCTCGCGTGCTGCAACACTGTGCACCCAATATCTTGATCCTTCAAGACTAAGGTCATCACTGGTCTTTCTTTTCAAAAGCAGCTATTCAAAAATTGACGTCGAGTTTTTTGAGTTTGATCTAAGGAGAGAATATGAAACTGGTTATGGCAGTATCATTGGTGTTTGATGATGAATATGCCGATTCTACAGAGAGTTTTCTCTTTGTAGTGCAACATTATGCAGTTGATGAAGACTTAAATTAAAAAAATTCTGTGTTTTGATTGGAGTAACCTCAGCACTTTCGCTTCTTTTGTCTAAAAGTTGATTTCCGTAAAATTATCATCAGCACAACAAATGTTATTACCAAATACCAATCCAAAGGATAAAAGTCCCTCAACAGCACCACCTGACAATCAAAAAAAACATCAATTAAATGTTTATGAAAAAAATACCGACCAGTCAAAGGTGAAAAAGACCAAAGTTTCTACGGCTAGCTCTAGCGAGTCTGCTGCTTCAAGCAACTCTTCTGTTCGTTTGACCGTGAAACTTGATAATAACGCGTTCAGAATTAACATCACTGGAAATTCTTTTTCATCTTTGATTGAAAAAGTTGTTTCAGTATTTGGACTGAAGGAGGATGGCCATCCTTTACCAACTCTCACCTACGTTGACATGGACACTCGTTATCACATTACGAATGATGACGATGTCCAGGATTTCCTTTCATTTTTAAACCGCCACGAAGTTTTAGAAAAGGACAAGTTCATTAATGTGACAACAACAGCAAGTCCTTCTGTATGCCTGATTCCAGTAAATGTACCAAAACTATCTATTTGGGGCACCAACAACTTGTCAGAAACAAAGCCAATGGAAATTCATCCGAAATGGAACCAATTCATTGATGAACATGAGATTTTTTCTTTCATTCAAGATGCACTCGTATCAATTGGAGTTCATGATGGCAATGCAGAACTTACTCGAAAATATAGAAGGATCCTCTTCAATAATTGTGCATGGCTTTGGATCAGATTTTAAGTTTATTGGAAGAACAGACGTCATTTCCACATTTACCAATTGCTATGAGGAATACATGGACTCTATTTCCAAGGATGGAAGGGTTGCTAGAGACAATATTGTGCTTCCTTATATAGCAGCAGCACCAGGCATTGGAAAATCAAGAATTTTGAAGGAAATTGGCCTTTTCATGTACAAGAACAAACATCTTTTCCCACTTTTTATTTCATTTGGAAATGGAACGAAAATGGATGTTTCAATAGAGACAAACCCCCTTAATGGTCTTTGTTTAAGAATAGTCTATTCATTAGTATGCTCAATTGCAGGTATAAAGGGGAATGATGGATTCTTTGCTACTTTATGGCAAAAGTGGAATAGTGAATTTAAGGAAAGAAAAGTTTTCAGTCTTGCTACAATATTATCAGCCTGTAAGAAGGTAATTTCTCCAGACAAACCGATCGATTTCTTTATTGGGATGGATGAAGTCCAAATCATTCATTCTCACACTAAGCAATCATCGTCACTTGGCACGATTGTGTCGGCTATAGGTCAATATATGTTGCAACCTCTTTGTGGAATTGTATACTCTCTGTTGGTAGGAACCGATCATACGGGTCTATCACAAAGCTTTTTAGGAAGCGGATATGCAGCAAAATATATTCCAACTCAAGCCATGTTACCAACAACAGACTTGCATGAAATTATGGATGGTTTAGTAGAAAAATATAACATGTTACAAGGATGGAGGAAAAATACTAAATTGAAACATTATTTACGAACCTTTGGAGGTTATGCTAGAGGAGTTGAATTCTATTTAGAGCAATTATTTACAATGAAGAATTTGAGTCCTCTCGACGCATGGAATGTTGCAAAAACAAAAATACTAGAGACATGTCATGTTGCAACAAGGCTACGATCTGAAACCAAAATTAAGATCATGCAGCGTGTAATTACAAGAAAGATGATTGAAAAACTCGACCAAGTAGTAGATGATGATGATTTAACTTGGTCTGACTTGGAAAACCGAGGATTGGTAATGTTGGAACAAGTAAAGGCCTTTGATGAGAACCACAATTCTTGTCAGGAAGAGAAATTGAAGCAATATTTGGTGGTCTATCCTCCAATACTTTTACCAGCGTTGATTCAATCTAACAATGAAATTAGAGAAACATACGACAGGTTATTTGGCGCGGATCCTTCTCCATTATATGGGCTGAATTGGGAGAAGGTTGTTTTTGACTATTATTATTTGATTCTAACAATATTGCAAAAACATGAATCATTGAACTTAACAGAATTGTTTCCTTTTGCCAAAATGAACAAAAAGACGGCCAAATTGGAAATACAACAAATGAATAGTCAATGTTATCCATGCACTCACGACTCAAGATTACAGGGCGACCTGTCAGAAAGAACATTTTTTAATCTACAAATTGTTGACTCGGCCACCTCTTTGACTTTTAACACCTCCAAGAACACTGACAAACTATGTATGATCAAGAATGCCACAGATGCTTCGGCTGGTGATATTCTTATATGGGGAATGAAAGATGCCATTAATCAAGATGATTGTGTATTTCATTTGCAATGTAAATGGGCCGATTCAAAGACCACAACGATAGATTTCTCTGCAATTCAAAACCAAATATCAAAAAACAACGAATTTAAATTACTTTCTGGAACAAGAAATGTTACCGTTATTTTGACAGGAAAAGCAATAACAAATTTACCAAAAGAAGATGATTTACCAAATCATTTGATCATTGTATGCAAAGATAATTTTGCTAAACACTTTGGTGTTCTTTCTGACCACATGAAATATTTATATTCCAATTTCCTGTATATCAATGAGTGCAGCAGGGAGGGGTTCGAGAATGTTAATATGGATAAAACAGACGCTTCAAAGATTATAAAGATAAGAACTGCTGATAATTTTGGGTTTAAGAATATGGAAGATTTGAAGACAAAGATAGGAGGAGAGTTATTTGCTAAACTTGAGGGTAAAGAAATCATTTTTTGAGATGAAATGGTGTATTCAAAGAAAATATGTTTCAAAATTTCCTTATTATCAAAATATTGGAGACATTCTTTGTCGATTGGGTTGTCCTTGTCGATTGAATTGCCATACAGTTCCAAAGAAGTGAAACTTTTCATATATTCACTATTAACAATTTATTTGGCACCTTCATTGGTTGACGCTCATATCCAAGCAAGTTAAATTCTCTAAACATCTGCTGTTTGCAATAAATTTCAAGGACCTTCCTTGTAGATTTGGTTTCCAAAAAGATCCAAACAAGTCAACTTCAAACATTCACTTTTGACTGTATACTTTACTCACTACCAATTAAATTGCCCTTAAAAAAAGATGTTAACATTTTACCAAGTCTTCAAACATTCACTACTGTTTGCAATATATTTGATGCCCTCACTGTCGATCCTATTCCCAGACAAATTGAAAGATGTTAATTTCTTCATACATTCACTATTTGCGAGATATTTGACACCTTCATTGTCAATTTTGGTGTAGCCCAAGAAGTTAAATTCATTAAATACATGCTATTTGCAATATATTTGACGCTATCATGTATCGATTTGATGACATAAAGTTTTTCAAATGTTCACTATTTGCAATATATTTGACACGTTCATTATTGCACCAAGCAATATTCAAAGAATTTAAATTCTTTAAATGTTCACCATTATATATTCTTTAGACCATCACTTCCGATAGGATTGTAGCTCAGATCTCAAGAAATTAAATACATTCACTATTAGCAATATATATTAGACACCTTCATTGTCAATTTGGTTCAAAGGGAATGTCGCAAAGAGGTTAGACTCTTTAAATATTCACTATTGGCAATCTATTTGATGCATTCAGTGCCAATTTGTGACTCGAACATGCTCAAAGAATTAAACTTTTCAAACATTCGCTTTCGGAAAAATGTATGATTGAAAATGGTGGTTTTACAAGTGAACAGAAAATGATAACGGAATTTGGAATGATATTTGTCTCGATTGTTTTGAAATTTTCATGCAAACTTGTATTGATAAATATCTCTCTCTCTAGGAACTGAAGAATTTCCAAAAGAGTATCACCAATCGATGTTGTGATTTATGGTAGAGTAACAAACACTCGGTACAGTGGTGCAATTGGTATTTGATGATGATGGAGAGAGTTTTCTCACTTTTAGGGGGCAATGTTTTCATACAGGATTTTTTAATGTTGAAACGTTTCGAGGCACGAGGTGCACTCCTCTTGTCAAATCAACCAAAAAATATTTCAAAGACCAACAACATTACGAGAGTTTTTGTTTCAAAACTTCAAAAACAACAAGAATAATTCATACTTGTGGCATTTTGAATTCAATACGGAATATTTGTAATAGTATTTTCAGGATCGGATCTTTGAATCTCTCTAGATATTTATCCACTAATAATATTCAAAATGGGTATGTACATCATGATGATGACAATGATGATTTTAATGAAATATCAACCAATGGTGATTTATGTCTCCACATATTTCAAACACAATGGTGTTTTTCAATTTCATGAATCCGTTAAATATTTTAATGAAATCATCACCTCTTGCAATGACAACAACCATCATCTCTACTACTCTCGCTCACTTCTCTCATCTTTGCACACACACACACATTCATATGACTCGATCTCAAAATCTTTTCATGACTCATACTTGAACTCGGATGAATACCACACGCTCTCTCTCTTCTGGTTTAACTATGCTTTTCATTCAACAACAACAACAACCATTCAAACCAAACACACACCCTTCATCAACCAAACACACTCAAACACACCCAAACCAAACACCCTTCAAACACACCCTTCATCAACCAAACACACCCATCAAACACACTCAAACACACTCAAACACAGAGGAAAATGAAGAATCACTCTATCCCATTGCCATTCTCATTGATGAATTAAAGAATGAAGATGTTCAACTCAGACTCAACTCCATTAAACGATTGGGTACCATTGCCAATGCATTGGGACAAGATCGTACCCGATATGAATTGATACCTTTTCTCAATGAATCATGTATTGATGATGAAGATGAAGTATTACTTGCTCTCGCTGAAGAATTGGGTAATTTTGTTCAATATGTGGGTGGTGCTGAACATGCGCATTGTCTCATTCTACCATTAGAGACTTTGTGTAATGTTGAAGAATCGAGTGTGAGAGATCGAGCTGTAAAATCTCTGTGCAAGATTGCCAATGAAATGAAAGCGGTTCAACACACGGAACAATACATTTTACCATTGGTGAGAAAGTTATCGAGTGGTGAATGGTTCACTTCGAGATCTTCTTCATGTGGTCTCTTTGCTGTATTGTATCCAGTCGTGAGTAAGGATGTGAAGGCTGAATTGAGACAAACCTATTTCAAATTGTGTAAAGATGATACACCCATGGTCAGAAGAGCTGCCTGTACGAATTTGGGTGAATTTGCTGCCAAAGTAGAACGTGAATTTTTAGTGAGTGAAATGGTTCAAATGTTTCTACATTTACATCAGGATGATCAAGATTCGGTTCGGTTATTGACGGTTGAAAATTGTGTCGCATTTTCCAAATTACTGGCTCCGAAAGAATCTCTCACACATATTCTACCAGTCATTAAGAGTTGTTGTAATGACAAGTCATGGAGAGTGAGATATATGGTTGCTGATCATTTCAAATCATTGTGCGAAGGAATGGGTCAAGAAGTATTACAAAGTGAACTCTTACATGCCTATGTCAAGTTGTGTACAGATTCAGAAGCAGAAGTGAGAACAGCTGCATCTCTCAAAGTTGCTGATGTCTGTTCATTGGTTCCAAAAGATTTAATTGTCTCAGAAGTATTGCCCAATATCAAGAATTTAGTTTCAGACAAATCGGAACATGTTCGATCTGCATTGGCTAGTGAAATTATGGGTTTGGCGCCAATTTTAGGACGAGAGCCTACCATTGAATCCTTGTTACCACTCTTTTTACAATTATTGAAAGATGAATCTCCTGAAGTTCGTTTGAATATTATTTCTAGATTGGAATCTGTCAATGATGTGATTGGTGTTGATTTATTAGCACAATCTCTATTACCTGCAATTGTTGAATTGGCTGAGGATAAACAATGGAGAGTACGTGCAGCAATTATTGAACACATTCCACTTTTAGCTGCACAATTGGGTGTTAAATTTTTCAATGACAAGTTGAATGATTTGTGTATGACATGGTTATCTGATTCTGTCTATTCCATTCGTGAAGCTGCAACCAATAATTTAAAGAAATTGACTGAAACTTTTGGAGCTGCATGGGCAGTGGAACATTTATTACCAAAAATAGTTGAAATGTCAAAAGACTCTAATTATTTATATCGAATGACTACATTGTTTGCCATTGGTGTTCTATCCAAAGTGATGCCTGAAGAGAGCATTGCCACTCATTTATTAGACGTTGTTATTGAAATGTCAAAGGATCCTGTTCCAAATATTCGTTTCAATGTTGCCAAGACTTTGGGAGTGATCATTCCACGTGTCGATTCAAAGATTGTTCAAGAAAAGATCAAACCAGTATTGAGTGCATTGCGTGAAGATAGTGATCCTGATGTGGAATTTTTTGCTGAAGAGGCCTTGTTGTCCTGTTAATGAGAGACCACCATGCATTTCCAACACGAAACGAGACGATTGCAATTTTTTATCCAAATTGTCCTTTACATGAATCATTTTTTATTAAAAAATCCCCTTAATTGACGAAATTTCACAATTTTGAACGAAAGGGTGGTTGCAGGCAATTGCTAGACAGTTCTTTAAACCGGCTGTTTTTGCATTTTCGAAAGAGTCAAAATAATGTCATTGAATATTTATGTTATTGAATCTAGCTCCAAAGTACAAGTAGAATTTGAATGATGATGGCCCATTTCAAACTACTCATTTAATAATCGTTCAATAATGGGTGACAATGACTCGGGATTTGTAATTGGAGAATATCTTCCAACGACTTGACCCTTAGAATTGACTAGGAATTTAGTGAAATTCCATTTAATTCCATTACTAATAAATCCTGGTGCATGTTCTTTCAAATATCGATACAATGGGATAGTATCTTTTCCATTCACCATCACCTTGTCAAATATTTTAAATGTAATATGATATTTTGAGGTTACAAATTCACATACATCTCCAATTGGAGCAGGTTCTTGATATCCAAATTGATTACAAGGGAATGCAAGAATTTCAAATCTTCCATTGTTATTTTGTGGTCCAAATTTCTCATATAAACGTAGTAAAGATTCATATTGAGGAGTGAATCCACATTGAGAAGCAACATTCACAATGAGTAATACCTTGTTGAGGTATTGTGAAGAGTTGAGAGCAATGACTTGTTGATTCGAATCCATCACAGTGAAATTGTAGACACTCATCATGGGTGGTGGCGATGATGTCACTTCGGAATGTGTGGGTGTGAACATGACACTTTTCCAAATCTTATTTTGAGTATCATGAACAAACTCTGACAATTGTTGGGTATGAATCAAATACAATACAAAGAGAATGGAAGTGAGAAGAGACAATAACGTGGTCAATAGCAGACGTAGAGACATTTTTAAGAGTGTGTGTGTGCTTTTGTTCGTTCATGTGTGTGCTTGTGTGCGTGTTCATGTGTGTGTGCTTGTGTGCGTTCGTTCGTTCGTTCGTTCGTTCGTTCGTTCGTTCGTTCGTTCGTTGTGCTTTCATATGCATGCATGCGAATATGAAAAGAATTTAAAGGCACGCTAGTTTGTGTTGTTCGAAGCCACGTTTGACGGATTGTGTCCCTGTTCATAAATGTTCTTCATCGGAGAGTGCTGAAATTGTAAACTTAACAATGGATTCTTCAAACTTGTGTCAAGATTGGAGGAGTAGTGGGATGATTGTCATCATTTCCAGAAATTATGGCTTGTCTGAAATGTTCATGATCGATCAGAACATTATTATGATCACTTGATAGTGAACCAGTGGCAGCTGTATTGACAGCATTGATCCATTGAGCAATCATGTAGACAATACAAATTAAAATTATGAATAGAGAGCAAACAAGAAGAAGATGAGCATGTTTTGGAAATTTGTAATCACGAGAAAATATCGATCGATAGGATGGAGTAGTCATCGTATGATCGGATGAAGAGGTGTTAGTGCTGTGATGCATGAGCCTTCAAGAACAGCAGATTTTGAGCAGATTTTTAAATCCCTCCAAAAAATGAGAAAAACACCCTCAACAACAGCCTCCAAGCTGTTGCCAACGACTTTAACCTCTTCGTCCGTACATAACAACAACAGCAAGGTCGGAAGTGGAATAAATCATCAAATTTCCTCAAGAAACGATAGCTGGGAAGGCAATACTTCAAAACAAAATAGTAATTTAGATCTCCAAACATCATCGCTTAATCCTGTAACAGGAACAGATGATGTTGTGGGTTCGTATTCATCACATAGGGCGTTCGAGCCTCAACTCTTCAATCCATCTTCAACACCTATAAAACCATCCCCCAACAGTTCCATGATGGATCTGAACATTTTGTCCAACGTTGGATCGTCTAAGGTTGATCTCTCCGAGGAACTAACATCTCAAATTGAATACAACAACTCACTGCTTAAAGAACTTCAGTCCATGGAGAGAAGGGTGCAAGATTTAAATAGGGATTTAAGTCAAAAGGATCACGATCTTCGCCAAGCTACTCAAGAAAGATTCAATGTTCAAAAAATGTTGGAGAAAGTTCAATCTGACCTTTACAACACCAAATTACATGCAGATCGTTTGGAACATGAAAATGTCATCATGACAGACCAGATTGAAAAATCAAAGAAAACCCAACAAAGCATTGCGTCTGAAAACAAGGATCTCTTGGATAAGCTTGAGATCAGTTCACAACAGCTAGCGGACAGAAACGAAGAGTTAAAAAGCTATCAACATGAGAATAGTGATTTGCACGAAAAAATCAACAAAATGGAGTTAGATTTATCTGAACTGCAATACAAGTTGGATGAGGCATTGCATCACCTAAATGAAGAAAAACATCAAAGTTTGGAGTTTCAAAAACAGCATGAACAAGAACGGAATGATTTGTTTAATGAGATTAACCGACTTACAGAAGATATTGAAAAACTCAAGTATGAGTTGAACATGAGTGACAAAGAAAGGGACCAGATATTATTTAACAAAGAAGAAACTGAAAAGAGAGTTTATGAATTGGAGGCATTTATTGAATCCAGTTCATTGCAATGGAGTGACAAGCTCAAACAATCGCACGAGGAATATGATCGTTTGATGAAGGAACACAAAAAACTAGAGAGTGATTACTCCGCTTTGAAAACTAGTCATTATCAGTATTTGGGAGATGTAAGAAAGGAGCTGAGAGAAATTTGCAATTCTGTTGTCATGACCAAAGATCAAAGCAACAAGATGATTCAAGAGATTTCAGAAACACAGACTTTCTGCAAAACACTTCTTTCAACTGAGAACTCAACCACAGAAGCCCTTGTTAATGAGATTAAATCGCTTTTGGAGACGAAAAGTAGATGTATTGCAGAGCTTCAAAATGCTGCTGATTATTCGCGCAGCGTTGAACTTCAACTCGAAGAAGAAAAATCAAAATCAATAATGTTTGAGGAAAGAACGTCGAAATTTGAGCAACAAGTTCAAGAGATACAACAAAAATCCAAGCAAACCGAAAGGGAAATGGCCATAAAACATGCACAACAAATAGAAAGGACAAATTTAGAGGTGGAATCTGTCAGGAATAATATGAGAAGGCTCGAAGAAGAAAATTCGAATTTACGAAAATCTCAACAGTCCTTACAAAAGATGAAATCAGACATGGAGGAAAATGAAAGAAAGACCTTGAAAGAAAATAGAGTACTGACAGAGTCAATTCGTAAATTACAGCGTCAACTAGAAGAGACAAAAAGATACCTCAGTATTGTGCAAGCAGATAGAAACAATGTTTACAATGAGAAAGAAGACCTTCGAAGAGAACTGCATGATGTATTGAACACGCAACGAAACTCGGCAATAGTTGACAGAGAGCCATTCAAGTCGTCTGTGGACATGATTTTACAACCCATTCCGTCTATATCAAACACCTTACCCAATAACAACCCTACCGCTCTGTCTGGACAAGCAAGTATTTCTCCACCTTTCAATGCTTCTCAAGACTATACCACAATTTACAACTCAATTCCTGATGACAGGTATTCCAATACAAGACCAAATCAACAAAAACCAGATGACACATCCGTGTTGTTAGAAGAGACGTCACACCACTACACCACTGGAGACATGGCATCTCACCAAGACATGATTCAACAAGAGGGAAGACTCTCCTCACATCTACAGCCAGCGTTTTATCAAGAATTGGCAGTGCTCGACTCTCGAACTAGTGAGTACAATTCATCACACATTCCAAACATGTTACAGAGTTCTTTTTCAGGCGGTCATTCTTTGATTCCATCTACAACCCCTAATAGGTCCCTTAGAATGTCGAATCGATATTATGATTCCCTTTCAAGCCAAGAGCAATGAAACAACCCAAATCCCACCTGTCAAATTTCAGGTTTTCTAACAAAAATAATTCAAACATTTTCCGCCGAGATGTTGGAGGGTAACAATAACAGTAAATCAACAACATCACCACCAAACACTGACACTCATAATGACCACCAAATTGTTCGTATAGAAACTTCCGAAGAAGCATCAGACGAACCGGTCCATCATCATCAACACAACAACAATAATGAAACAGAGGAGACAACAACTCGTTGCTGCGTGAATCAAGAGGAGAAGGCAACCCAAACATCGTCATCCTCCCGATCCTCTCCTCCCTCTACCACATCATCACCACAACAATCACTTCTCACCATACAAGTGGCAAGTAGCAACAAGAGTGTTTCTGAAACCACCACAACCACAACAACTCAATCACTACACACAACATCCAATACTCATCATCATCATAACTTTTCCAATCATCACCACCACCACTCTTCAGCAATACAACAACCATCCTGTTCCGAAATTTCAACATCATCATCCACAATCATAGATCCCTACATTCCCATTTCATCCTCGAAATCTCATCTCTACAAACCAATGATTGACGTTTGTTTGAGAAATACTGCACTCGATTTATCGAAATTCACCTCTCCGAGATTTGATTACAAGATTATCAAAAAATTGGGGGGTGGTATTGAAGGACAAGTGGTATGTATGAACAAAACATTCATGAGCGTTCAACACATTGAATATTCACTGTTTTTATATACTGAACAATATGCCATTGATTGTTATGGATGGTGCTGTGAAATAATCACTTGAACTAGTTTTTGGCAACTCTCAATGACTCTTCTAGTATCAATTTCAACACTTCTACACCACCTCAATATGCCATCAAAAGAATTACCATTTCAACATTGCCAGATCTGGAACAACAAATCAAATTAATTTTACAAGTGTGCAATGTTGAGAGAGAGTCAATGGCCATGATGGTCATGTCTTCTCACAACCATCATCATCATCACCAACAGCATCAACAACACTCCAATCATTCACTTGATTCCTCTTCTTCACACAAATTTCAACATTCTTCCATTTCATCTCAAGTTCACATTGTTCCACACTATGATATTTATTATAAGGAATACAAAAATTCAATGCGAGGTGAATGTGAATATGTTTTATCCATCGTCATGGCATTTTGTGATTTGGGTAGTTTAGAAGATGTGATATTTAATTATGCCACAGAATATTCAAAATCTTCATCTCCATTCATTAGTGGAGAATTGAAATTGGATTGGATGATTAACATTACAAGATCACTCGTGTTTTTCCACAAGAGGAAATTGGTGCATTTGGATATTGTAAGTTCTCTACGTTTAATTTGATACAATATCGTTTCGAAATTATATTATGAACATGTCTTTTCTGGAATGATACATATTTATGAAAACTGAAATTCATGTTTATGAAATTCATGACTTCTCTATCTTCTCACATTTCTAGAAACCTGATAATATTCTCCTTCAAACAAAGAATTCCATGCTCAATCAATCTCCACCTCCAACCTATTTACAAATATTAGAACATGCAAATATTTATGTATCTGATTTTGGTTTAACACGTGAATTCAGAGTTGGAGATTCACCTCTCATGTCCATCACAGGATCTAAAAATTATATGGCACCTGAAATATTTGATGGAAAATATTACAATGAAAGTGTGGATATGTGGGCACTTGGAATTGTTGCTCTTCAATTACTTGTACAAAAGAGAAGAAGTAGATTTGATTCACTTCGAAATTTATTATTTAATTGTTCAAATAATTATGAAACAAAATTGGTCATTGATAATTTTATTAGTGAATGTGTGAAAGAGGATGAATCAGCGATCATATCACAAGATGGTGGTGAATCATCAGTGAGTGTGTCGTTGAAAGAACCTCCAATTACGAATAATACCACTGCTAGTCACGTGAATTCTGGTTCAACTAGTAGCAACAACATCAATGGTGGAAGTAATAATAACTTGGTGACTTGTCCATCCAATAATTATTCTCAACAAGATCAATACAAATTACTCACACTACTCTTGGACAAGGGTCATAACATTTTATTGAGAATGGTCTATCAATGTTTGAGATTAGATTCAAGTGAAAGATTAAATGCAACAGAATGTCTTGCATTTCTCACAAAGGAGAAGAGAGAACATTTTTCAATGAATCATTTTCATGCACTTCAGTCTTCCATGACAGGTGGTGGTCAAAAGAAAGAAATGGTAGATTTATTATCGACTTTGGATTCTATTCAACAACAAATTAATGATTCAATTGATGTGATACACATTGGTAATACTCATGCATCTCTACCAAATCATATCACGTCGAGTGCTGGCAATTCAAGTTCACTGTTGATGGGAGGATATGAGCTATTCTCTCCTCAACTTTATGTAGATTCTACCTTTTCTCCGAGAATGTTCATCACGACGAATTCATCTTTCACTCATTCATTTGCAGGTAGTAGTCATGGTGGTTTTGGAAGTTTCTCGAGTTCTGCGTTAAGTCCATCATTACACAATTTCATGATCAACACTAACAACAATAATAATGGTGGTGGTAATAGCACTAGTCATAGTAGTGGTACTACCTCAATGATTTCACATGCAACTGCTCATCGATTTAACAATTCACACTTCATCATTTTCAAGCTAGCGAGACATTTCTGGGATCAAATGTTTGGACCTTATATATCAAAAATATCATGGAACGAATTTAAGGATTGTTATTACTTTTTTACCAAGTCAGCCCTTCATTCAAGGTCTGAAAAAGTATTGAAATGTCTACTATGTGATGTTGATAATTATGTTTATATTCATACTTTTACAAAGTGTGTACAAAATTGCAAACATTTTCCATTTCGAGATGTGTATTTCAGTAATCTCTATGTCTATAGTAATATATTCAGTAATAATGATCATTTCATGAATCCTAGTTCGAATAATTCTGAATCCTCCGATGATTCTGAAGATGATGAAGATGATCCCACAACATTTATTTTGAAAGGTGGACTGAGAAAGCAACAACAACAACAACAACAGACATTCAACAGTGGTGGTGGTGTAGCATCAGGTGGCAACTCGAGTACAACCATGAATTCCATGCTTTATGAATTATTTAAAAGAGTCCAAGATGAAGATAATTTAGTTTTCACATTGAAAGGAAAATTTGATTACATTCGATTTTTGAAAGAAGTGAAAATTGAATTAGTATCCTATGTGAAGGCCAATCCAAATATTTTGAATATTAGAGATCGTTCCACGAATCGTGAGAATGGTAGTAGTGGTCATGCTAGTAGTACTAACCATGCAACAAAAATCCATTCTGGTGCTGGCGCCATTCCAAGTACTACTAATGATTATACAGGAAAAGGTAACAGCCCACTGAGTGGTGGTGGTGGTGGCCATAGTAGTACAGGTACCAGTACTGGCAGTGGTACTAGTAGTGGTGGTCATAGTTCCAACCACATGAAGACTTCTCAACAATACCATTCACAACATTCACAACAACAACCAACCATGAGTGGTGGATCTCCTTCTGCAAGTTTGAGTAATATCATGATGTCCAGCATGAAGAGTCCACAACAACACCATCATCATACTCTCAGCAAACACAATTCAAGCAGTCCCAATCGATCGTTTTCAAGTTCCTCTTCTTCCTCTACTTCTTCGCATCATCAATATTCACAATCCATGTCTTCCATATTTCATGGTGCTAATAGTCCATACCTTTCACATGCACCTCTCTTTTCTAACGTGAATGTACTTTCCATGGACATGAATGATGACTTTTATAATCAACAAATGCGAACACGAAAACGAGCAGCTGTGATTGGAGTGAGAAATACCAATTTTGATATTTTATTTCAATCGGGAGATTATGAATCGAATGGTAACAACAAGAATGGTGGTACTGGTACTGGATCTCGCCCTAAGAATCATACACTCTCTATGGCTTCAACAAATTCCAACAGCAATCTGAACAGCAGTACGATGGCAGCAGCAGCACATGCCTCCATTTCATCTCTCACCAATCGATTTAGTACGAATAGTGTGAATAGCAATGTAACCAATACCACTACTGATTTCTTTTATAACAAGTATTCAACCACACCCATCACCTATGTGTTGAATTGTCGAAATTGTAATTTCACCGATGTGGATTTATCATTTTTTGTATCTTCCATTCAACGATATTACATGGAACATATTTATACAGTCAGTGATCAACACTCTACAAGTAGCAGTAATATTCTACAGTTATTAGCAAGTCATAATGTATCCACTGTACAAACTGGTAGTGTTACAAAAATTCCACTTTTAATTTCAATGAGAAATATTTTAAATATGAACTATATGGAAGATTTTACAGACAAGATGATTCAAGGATGTTTTGAATATTATTTTGGAACTGCAATCAAGACTTCCAATAATACTGATTCTGCTATTAACATTGTCAGTCCTCTTGTAGGAGATGCACCACAAGTCTCTATGGGAAGCTTCTCTGATCCAATGAGTGTGAGTTCATCATTCATTCCTGGAACTCCAACAAGTCCTCGAGGATTCACAATACCATCAAACAAATCCTCTCACATGCTCCATTCAACAAGTACTATGAATGGCTTTTCATCAAAATCTCATCTTCAATTCAATAAGGATATTCAACAATATTTAAGACAACAAATACTGAATGGAAATTGTATATTAATATTTGATCATTTTCAACATTTCAAAGGACAAGACTATTATAATATTCTCTCACAATTAAGCGCTTTTACCAACAATACTATTTATATTGTTGAGAATCAAAGCCAACCAACCATGATGGATGACATGTCTCATCCATTAGATCCAAATTTCAATACTTTTTATAGTCATTATATTTTAAAGAATATTGATATACATTCGTGTGGTGTGAATAACATTTCATCATTATTACAAAATTGTACAGCAGTGAATCATGCGAGTGGTCAGAATATTTTATTGACCTCAACCACACTCTCTGATCTTTCATTATTCAATAATACCACTCCTACGAACACAACAGTGAACAGCAGCAGTGTTCATTCTGGTGCAATGAACGATGCATCCTCTTCGAAAAAGACAAATTCTCTCAGAGGAAAGAATAATTTATTACCATCACAGGACTTGCAAAATTCCAAAAAGAAATCATTTGGAGGTTTTCTTGCCAATACTCTCTTCAATGAATTTAATGAGTTTGATTTTAGATATTTAGAAATTGCTCGAATTCCATCCTTTTCATATTATTTTGCGTTAAAACAAAGTCATGAAGAGTATGGAGGTGAAATTCCAATTCGAATGATTATTGAACAATTTCTAAACAAGTATTACCTTTCAAGTGATTTGAGTTTAATGCCATTGAATACGAGTCATACGATCAGCAATAATAATAATAACAGTAGTAGTAGTAGTACCACAGCTTCACTTGCTATTCATCGCACTAGTAGTGGTGGTAGTATTGGTGGTGGCACGAGTCATAGTTTTGGTACCACCACTTGGCAACATGCATCCACTCCTGATACAGCACAACGTAGTAGTCGTGATGGTTCATCCGATTCTCTCAATCCCTCCTCGAACATGATTCCACCGTACCTTGCCATTGATAGCACTCTGAGTCCACAAGAAGGTACCAATTCTGATTCTACTACAACTTCGAAGCGTACTCGATCGAGATCATTACGTTTCTCGATGGGAATTTCAAATTCTAACAATACCAACAATACCAATAATAACAATACCAACAATACCAATAATAACAATACCAATACCAATAACAATAGCACAATGCATACCCATCATGGTCTTGGTGGTGGTAAACGAGATTCTAAAAATTTCATATCCAATTTCTTCCATCCATCTCAACCTCCATCTCATAGTGGTAATAACACCTCTGGACTAAATTCTCCATCCAATCAATTAAGGCTCTCTCTCAAAGATCACTACGACGATCGAAAGAGAATTTCATTCAATAATATTGAACAATTCACAAAGAATGAAAAATTACTGACAGTGAATGATCTCATTGAATTCATTTTAGATTTGGCTGAATATTTATCAATTTCTAAAATTGAGAAATTTAGAAAATTACCAGAAGATTTCTTTGATGGAAAACCTCAACTGTATCGCCTGATTTGGAAACAAATCATGTTCATTTATCAAATGTACTATGAAGACGATCATCAAATATCTTCTCAACAATTTCCATTACTTGGTTATTTACCTCAATTTAAGTACTTTATCATGCCAACAGTGGTGAGAGAATATTTAACAGGAGTTCAATGGGCAAAGAAAGAAAAACATTCACTCATTCGATATTTAAAAAGAAAGACTCTGAAAACTGTTTTTAAACCAAAATTGACCATTCGAACCAGTGTCATTCGCAAATTCTATCTTGATCCATTCTATAGAAAGTGTATTTATAATATGGTGCATTTCATGGATAAGGATGAAGTGAAAGCTCTTCTCAACAAGTTACAAAAAGACAAATTAGTATTAAGTGAACAAGTCATTATTGAGAGAATTTTAATTAGAAATTTGAGTATTGACAAACTTGAACAATTTTCAAATCAAGTGAGAAGAAGTAGTGGAATGGATTTGAGTGGACGTACGAGAGCTAGCATTAATCCTTCGAATCCTACCATGATGGCAGCTACTTCATTGGGAGCTGTGCATGGAAGTAGCAATAGTAGTAGTAGCAACATTAGTAACGTTCTTGGCAACACCACTGCAGGAATGAGATCTTCATGGTTTGGAGGAAATTATGAATCTGCTCATCAATCTTCTTCCTTTATTTCTGGTATCCATACGAACACGACCAACACGACAAGTATGAGTCAATCTTTGGGTGATTCATTCTATGTAGAAGATTATATTAAGGATATTGGTTTGATTGAAAATCTCTATCGAGAATATTTAAAGAGAGCCATCACTTCAAAATATGTTGCCATTCAGAATATTGCATTGAGAATTCTCACTTCAAGTACCAACGATTTGAATGCAAATACCTTCATTGATGTATTATCCGATTTTTTGAAGAGAAATGAACCCAGTGATCAAAGTGAAGATTCACAACCCATTATTTTCACAACCATGGAAAAGAAAAAGAGTATTTTCAATTCTAGAAAACCAACCACCTCTTTCAGACTTTCTCAACCATCATCTTCTCCTTCATCTTTTCAACAAGACAATGATTTCTTTTCAGTTCAAAACTTTAACATTTCAAATGTTGTTCATTCCAGTGGTTGTATTGAGAGATTAATTGAATATTGTCAAGAGAATTATTTATTTGAGCAAATGACCACTCTATTGATGAATATTTATGGAACTACTCCATATCTATTACTCATTGTATTATCATCACCAACGATCGATGTTGTATTGAATCGACAAGTATTGAATGTGTACATGCATTTATTGAAGAAGTGTGTGAGTGATTTACTCATTCTGATTAACTTGTCGAGTGAGAGAACACAAGGAAATTCTCAGAGTCATCATCAAAGATATGCGACCAGTATTGGAGGAAATCTTTCCATGTCGAGTAGTAGTAGTAGTAGTACTGGTAACAACCATGAAAGTGGTAGTAGTAGTACCAATCATTCATTTTATGGCTCCATGATGAATCGATCCCAACAACACCAACACCAACAAACGAATACGACAACCAATGGAATTGCTGATGTCAGTTTTTTCATTCTATTCAAATTGATACTTGTATTGATTAGAAGAATTCAAATGATTAGTCCTGATGAATTCATTTCACCTTCTCTTGAATCTAAATCCAGTTACGATTCCTATAAGATTGTTTATCCTCTCTATAATAACTTGTTTAAACACTATTCGAATATTGCACATCGATCATCGAAGATTACTTTGAAATGTGTAGATTTTCTTCTTGCATTATTGGGAAATAACATTGTATTGGACAGCGATATGTGTGAAAAGGTTACAGATGATTTCAAACAAATTATTAACTATAATTTTAATGGAAAAATTGTTCACTCATTAGAGTACAATGTTAAATTTTATGATCATGTGACAAAATTTGTAGAAGTCTTTGAACAAGATGAATCCTACATGAACAAATTAATTTCTTTGTTTGTCCCGCATTCGATTAACAACATGCAAGTGAAAGATCCAATCTATGGAATTGATTCCTTGATTGCACAATCTCTTTTGAATCTTAACAATGAAGGAGGTGGATTTTTAAAATTAATCTCGTGTATGCAGAAGAACAAGGAAATCATTCTCTTAATGATTATGGAGAGAATTTTATTGAATCATTATCAGTTTTTAAAGAATACATACTCATCCCGATCGAATCAAGTGCACTCTCCAACCAGTGAGAATGAAACATCTATGAGTGAATATTATGATTTATACTATCAAGGTATTCTAAAAAAGGATTACATTTCCATTAAGAGAAATCACATCATTCCAAGATTTATTCAATTATCAAAATCAGTACTCATTTTGCTCGCCAATATTGAAAGTGAATCGAAGCATGGAGAAGAACCAAGTAGTGATGAAGAGGGTGATAATGATGATGAGGATGACGAAGAAGAAGAAGAGGAGGACGACAATTCTCCATCTTCCATCAAGAATCATGATTCCTCTACTGAAATTCACACAAATCAACCGCACAGTCCTCATACAAAATCTTCACCACGTACTCCCAAGACGAGAAGAATTCGAAAACATGAGGAAGGTGTTGATTCATGTGCACATCATGATAGTAGTAGTAGTAGTACAGATGATAGTAGTAGCAGTAGTACGGATGATAGTCATAGCAGTGATGAGGAAGATGAGAGAGATTCTTCTCAAACAACAACAGCAACACCACCACCTCATATGAATCGACACAATTCAAATCTTTTATTGATGAGTCAACAAAAATTCCTCTCTCTCGATACTGCTTCAGATAAGATTATTCACATTATTCGAGTGTGTATTCGATCACTGCTACCAAACATGCTTGATGGTCATTCTCGATATCAAAATTCCAGTACAGCACTGGGTGGTGGTGTCGCATCCATTCCATCTAATATTGAATCTTATTATTTTGATTCATTTAATTTGGAGCAACACTTGTCATGTCTCTATATTGTCTCTCATTTATTACCTATTTATGGAAATCACACCATTACCTGCAAAGGTGTGCCATTAATTATTGAAAGAATATTTTGTGATTTATTATCCATTCTATTTAAATCTTTGATTAGAATTTCACAACAACAACATCCAACAGAATTCAAACAATCTATTTTATTATTAATCTATAGATACTATTTAAAGATTATAAAAATATACATGATGAATTATAGATACTATCAAAGAGATAAACAATTGGATGCTTCAAGACAATTTGGACATTATCAAAACTTGCATGCTCATCAACAATCCATGTTAAACAATTTATCCATGCTATTATTACTATTCATTCATGACGATAATAGAAATAGTTATGAAATTAATAATAATCTCATTACCAAAACATTTAAAGTACTTTCACTCTTACCAATATCATCCGAGAGAGTCATTAAGAGATTTATGGATATCATTCAAAATAGTTCTGAGCCTTTTATTATTCGATTTTATGCAACGTTTTACTTGAATGAAATATTTAGAAAAGATCAAAACTTGTCCAATGTGAATGCTCTCACTTTGTATAGTAATACTGAAACTGAGAAACAACTCATTGAAGGAATTTCATCATTTATATTGAATAGTAATACTGAAAAGTTATTGAATCACATCTTCCATTTAATCAAATATGGAACAAATCAACAACAAAAAGAAGCATTTGAACAAGTCATTTCAAAGAGATTGATTGCAACGACAAGTCAATCGTTTCATGTTGGTTCCGCACATGGAAAGAAGACTTTCACCACTAGTTCCAATGTTGGAAGTGATCTATGGCTAGGTCATTTAATCTATCCAAATAATAGTAATCATCATGGAATGAACCTGAGTGGTCATGGTATGAACACACCAACTAGTCATAGTCCTGGTATGAACACACCACCAACTGGTCATAGTAGTAGTACCAACACAACGAATCATCATCATTATGGTTTTCATACAACAACTGGTAACAATGTTCGTGCATCTACCTCGTTCACTTCACACACCAGAAACAACTCTTCCAATCATTCGACTCCACTCTCTCAACAATCTTCTACATCTCACAACAAACGCAAATCAACAGGAAGTGTCTTCATTTCCAACATGTTTGGTAATATTAGTGGAGCCTCTTCACTCATTGAAGATTCATTGAATTTTGGATATTCCAACATGACAACACATATTCACTACTTACCTCCTCAAATCATGATGAGTTTAAATGGAACTCAATCCTCATGTATGGAACACTCCATTGTTCGATTAGGTTTAGAAACGATTTCATCTCGATTCAATGTTCTCAATGATATTACTGCACTTCAAAATCAATGGAATATGACATTTTCGAATTTATCAAGTACATCTTCTCTCATTCAATCCACAACCAATCATTCCAATGGTACTATTTCATCATTGAGTTTTAATTCAGTGGCAGCTGAAGAGATTGTGAAAGGAATGAGAACATTTGTGGATTTGATGCAGCATGAACATTTGAAACCATTCATCATTGAACAATTATTTGATATTATTAGACAATGTAGAGAGTTATTGATTTGTATCAAGATGGATGATGAAATGATTCGAAAATTGAAAATGTATTGTCCTGTGGAATATTTCTTTATGGCTCATGAGTTGTATCATGTTTGAACGAAATATTTCAACACTAACAGATCCTTTAAAGTGAATTTACGTTTTATGTAACTTAATTTGCTGAAAATAGTGAAAATTTCTCGATGTTTTCGTGCGTTTAAAACAAGAATCGATTTGGATACAACCTCAATTTGAAAATTGCTACAAAAAGAAGAACCATCTCTTTTAGGAAAAATCCATGTGAGAGGAGGTTTTAGTCGTTTGTAGATGATTAAACTTGTAAACGGTTGGAATTCTTCAACTACTTTCTACACGTGTCGTCCTCCTAATCATCTATTATTAGCGTTGATGGTTGAACGTATGCATAACGACCACAGCATGTTTGATGGACAATAAGACCCTTAATCACGGCAACACGGACTTGACATCTAAGATTCGGATAAATTACTGGTCGCCAAAATACACGAAATATTAAGAACAAATTTCCTTCAATGTAGAATTGCAACCCAATCTCCTCTCATACTTCCCAAAGAGTGGATTTCTTGTTTTGGGGATTTTTCGAAACCTTTTGCATTGTTGCATGCATCATTTGTATTCAGAAGAGTAAAGATAACAGATACTGAGGATACTGTACATGAACGAAGGATTCTCAATAGTATTTTTCGAGTCAGTGCGAGTGCAAATCCTCGTCACGATTCCTTTCAGAGAAAAAAAAATTAAATTGTTCCTTTGCTTCATCGCCTTCTGTCGTATCACAAACGAGCTCCTCGGCACAAGCCTTTCGAAAGAATCCTTGACAAGTCCATCCAACTCTAACTAATTTGAATAGACCCTAGAGTAGTAGTAAAACAGTTCGGGTTCATCTCTCAGGAACATCATGAATGCAAGTGGCAGCATGTCTGCACAACCTCCCCATATGTCACCAACGGAATACACCATCAACATTCGATCATTCTTTCTGCAGAAAAGAGATCGTATTGTTTTTCTAACGCTAGTGATCATCACGCTCACATTGTTGATGCCCATGTATCATGATTATTACATGTATTACAATGAGAATAATTTACATCATCATCATCTGATGGAACACTCTAAAGCAGTATTATCACCACTAACTGCACATGGAATGGGTGATGATGCATCATTGTTCATTGAAGAAGAGCCTTCTCGACGTGCTGCTCATCGTCCTCACCTCAACAATGTCGGACAACAGCCAACTGCCTTCGTGAGCATGCATGTGGAAGAGGCTTTAAGAAGAGAATTATCTCCACCAGCACAGCTTTGTGCCATGAACACGTATGATAAGAACCAACAACAAGGAACCATCGAAAGAGAGGATGATAGCAGTACTGAACCTACTACTACTCAACCATCCACTACTACTACTACTACTACTGCCACGAACACCAACAACAACAACACCACCACCACTATATTCCTCTCCATGACACAAATCATTCAACGCCTTCTCATCAAGTACACCATCAAATTATTCCTTTACATCTTTCTACTAGGAGCCTATTGGAAATTCCATAATGTCATGAATTTCATCTTTCGAAATATTACCACTTCGAATACGACTCGATTGCCCAATCCCTCCATGTACATTTCATTCCTTCGTAAAATATCACTCTCTCCTCATACCATTCTTCTACTATCGGAAATTACGAGATGTGCAGGCTCCACGCTTTGGGTCATGTGTGTGCATTTGGTTTTAGGAAAACATGCACCTGCCTATCTTTGGATCTTGGTCTATGCATGTTTAGGAAGTGTTGCCATGGAAATGTCACAAACAGGTTCCTCAACTTCAACTCATACCACAACGTATATTGCCATGTCGTTCATGGTGAGTGGAGATTTATTTATCATGATCTATTTCTTGGACTATACACTGGGTTATTGTTTGTGTGTGGCTGTCTCCATTCTCATCATTCAAGTCATGACTATTGAATTGATTGATTTTATGAGAAATCATTCGATTGCATTTGTTCAACAACGAGAAGTGGAAAGTCTCAAACACATGACCAATCTCTACAAGAATTTATATATGAGTGCTCCTGATACTTTTATTTCATGTGTGTATTGTCCACAAACTGATGAGAATGATGATGAGAATGATGATGAGAATGAATGCATGACCAATGAAGGACGATCAAGTTCAACGATGAAATCTCAAGATGAGATGGGTCGTCATCATCTATACCACAACGATCCCAATAGTAGTGGTGTTGGATCAGATCAAGATTGGAATCAACAACCACCACTGCAGCAGCAGCTTGCCAACATCCCTTCTCGAGAAAGTCTCCTCCTTAGAAGAGTTTCATCCTCCTCAGATCCAAATAGTAGTGGAAAAGGTGCAAGTACCTGCAGTAGTAGAAGCAACATGAGTAGCAACAGTAGTAGTGAAGAAGCCTTAGATGCTGTGCTCAATCATGAAGAAGAAGCAGCATACGCGCGCAATGACATGAACGAGACAACAAGCACCAATAAGTGCCATCATCGGTCTACACCAACCAAGAACACCAAATATCGTGGTGGTGGTGGTGGTGGTGGTGGCGGTGGTGATCAAGGCTCTTCGTTGAACAAACGTTCTGTGCACAACCGAGCCAAATCATCATCATCCCTCTATGATGATCCTTATCAATGTTTGAAACATTTCAAAGTCATTCAATACAACCATGCTGCATGCGACATGTTAGGCTATCAATCCGATCCTGTCAGTACGAATAATAATAATACTAATAACAACAACTCCAAGTCGCCAATCACTACTGGTGGTAATAGTAGTAGCAACAGTGGAGAGAATCCATCTGGTGTCACGGAATCTCTGACTCTTGCAGATTTGATATTGAATCCCAATGAACATTCGAGTGAAGAGTTGAAATCAGCAGTGTTGGGAGGTAATGATGCAACCATTCATGAATTACAACTCAAATCCATGACCAAATTGAGAAATATACTATTTGATATTATGGATGGCAGTCCACACTCTTCCTCACCCTCCGTTTCATCACAATCAGATGTCATTGAACAAGATGAATCTATGACTATGACCACTACTGGTAGCAGTAGCAGTGTATTCAGTGGTGGTGGTGGTCATGGTAACAATTCTCAAAGAAATAGAACCTACTCGACAGCCTCCTTAAATACCACCACCAGTTCTACTACGACTTCGACTACAACCAATACAAACCCAAATACTACCACAACACATACTAGGGGTGAACCAACTGCTACCACCAACACTACTACTACAACTGCTACGACTACTACTACAACCACTCTTCATCACTCCTCCACTTCTTCTCAATACTCTCATGATCGAATCATTCCTCTCTTCATTTTAGGAAAGAATGGAAGTATCATGACATGTTCATTGAGTGTTTCGAGAATTGTCTTGTATGATACTTCCAATGCTCTATCATCCTCTCCTCACAAATCATCTCAAAGTAATAATAATTCTCTCACTGAACAAGTCTATCCAGTCTATTACAATATGATTCTTCATGACTTGACACAAAAATACAAATTATTAGATGAATTGAATATTGAAAAGGAAAAGGCTGTTCAAGCCAATAATGCTAAAAGTCAATTCTTGGCTCAAATGTCTCACGAATTGAGAACACCATTACATGGTATTATTGGTTTGACTGATGTCTTGTTACAATCTCCAACCATTGCTCCACCACCATTATCCTCTTCTTCTTCTTCTACTAATACTATGAATTCTAACAATAATAATATCAATAATAATATCAATAATAATAACAATACGACAACGACGACGACGACTCCCCTCATCAATCATTCTGCATCCACTCCTAACATGACAACAAGTACAAACAATAATGGAATGTCATTCATTTCACCTCCAGGTACATCCATTGTGATTCAACCTTCATGCGTACAGACTTCTTCCACTCAGCTGAGCACCACATCCATGAACATCATGACTGGTGTGAATGATGGTAACACCTTGACCACCACCCCTTCCACTACCACCACCACTACCACGAACACAGCCGAGAAATCCTTAATACCCTCTCGATCATCGACTTCCAAGTTACCCTCTCCTCATACAACCACCATCACTACTGCTACTACTACTGCTACTACTACTACTTCACCACCTTCAACTACTTTGAATGGTACTACGACTGCGACTAGTACTACTTCTATGAATACTTTGACTTGTTCCAATAATGGATCTTTGATCGTCTCGAAAAAATCATCGTCTCTCTCGCCCATTGAATACTATTACAATCAACAAGCACAACAACAACAACAGTATACTCAATTTATTAATACCATTCAAACGATCAAGTATAGTGGTAATATTCTTCTTGGTTTGATCAATGATTTATTAGATATTTGTAAAATTGAATCCTCTAAAATTCAATTAGAATGTAAAACATTTAATTTGAGAAGAGCATTGAAACAAATTCATTGTGGTATCTTCCAACACCAAGCTCAACAAAAGAATTTAAATTTCACCATTGATATTAATCCCAATGTTCCAACGTATGTGGTTGGTGATGAGAATCGATTGGTACAAATTTTAATTAATTTGGTGTATAATGCCATCAAGTTTACAGATCAGGGAAGTGTGTCATTGAGTGTGGAGAAAGAGGAAAGTTTGAAGACTCTTCAGGAAGGAAACACTTTGGCGCCTGAGAATGATGTGAGCATGATGAATTCTGGTACTGTTACAACTTCTACGACGACGACGACTACTGGTACAACCAATAATACTTTTACTACCACCACAAACGGTACCAGTGGTAGTATGGTTAGTCCAGAAACGACAACACTTTCTACAGAGAATATCGAAATTTCGAGTAGTGAACAACAACACTCCATGAGCAATGCATCTCCCAACGTTCAAGAATCTTCTCAAAATGTGCCTCAATCATGCACTTTGCAAGCACTGGGTTCATCCAACACTCCACAATACTATACGATCAAATTCAAAGTAACCGACACTGGAATTGGTATCTCACCCAATGATTTGTGCAAATTGTTTAGACCATTTTCACAACTGCATTCAAGTAGTGGAAGCACTTCATGTCCAGGCTCTACTCACAAAACTCTCAAGATGAAAAAGGTCAATGAAGGAACAGGGTTAGGACTCTACATCTGCAAGCAATTGGTAGAGTTGATGGGAGGCGAATTGAATGTGAAAAGTGAAGAAGGAAAGGGATCATGCTTTTATTTCAGCGTCAAGTTAGGAATTGATGAAAGTTCCAATACACCGAAAGACCTTACTTTGCAGCAACATTCATCGGTGCATTTAACCTCCACTCCAGAGCACATGGTTGAAGCTCCATCGTCACCCATGTCCACTAACGACGTTTTGAACATTCCTCAACTCTCGAAAGATGTTCTATCCAAACTTAATATTTTGATTGTGGAGGATAACTCTATTAACAGAATCGTACTGATCAACATGTTGAAAAAGTTGGGATGTCAAAACATTGACACTGCTAAAGATGGAGTTGAAGGATGTGAGTTGTATACATTGTCAACCTCACAGAAAGATAATACTGGTTCATCTAAATATTATGATATTGCTTTTATTGACATCTATATGCCTAGAATGAATGGATATGGTGTGGTTCAGCATATATTAGAATCTGAATCAAAAGAAGCTGCCTCTAAAACTACCTCTCTAGTTAGATCACCACAGGTACAACCAGAAGAACAACCACACCGACATCATACCATTTTAGTGGCTCTTACAGCAAACGGGTTTGAAGAAACAAGAAATCATTGTCTTTCCAATGGTTTTGACGTTTTCATGAGCAAACCTTTCTCAATGAGTGAATTTTCGCAATGTTTGGCTGAATGTGTAAGGCTCATAGAGAAATACAATGGTTAGTAGGTTCCTAATAAATTATTTGGCCTGTGATTCATTTTAGAGCTTCAAAAATATTATTATTTGAAGAATCATGAAATATCATTTTCAAACATCTCTTTCGTGTGGCTCTTTGTAAGGAATTCCAATCTTTTCAAATATTTCTCTTTCGGTCGCACATGATATCTTAATACCATCATGTATACGATTACTCTTCTTGTCTCTGATAGTGTTGGCACAAAGAGACTTGTCAGAAAGTGAATAACCTATTCCTCATAAATGATAGTTAGTTTCAACATTTTCGTAGAGTTAGATCAACACCATTTGACCAAACTCTTTGACAAATCCTCACTTACCTTTTTTCCTGCAAAGTAATCGTATGGATCGATTGAAATGATCACTCCCAGTAAAATACAACAAAGCAAAAGCGTAATGCTCTCTTCTATAAACCTTAATGTCGATTCTACGATGGATACCAACATCATCAAAGCAGTATACACCCATAAATGTATCATTTTCATCCTCCTCCAGATGAAGTTTACATGACATGGAAAGAGTATCAGTAATGATTTTCAAATCTTGCATTTTTGTCACAATTTTTTGTAACAATCCATCCAAAGAGAAATTTTCAATGTTTGACTCACTGTCAGTACTGTCAGCGCTACTACTGTAAACATCATCAATACCAGTTCTCACGCTAATTAAAATGTCTACATCACCACAATCTTGTTTTCCTCTTCTAAATGAACCCACAGCTTCACAAATAATGTTGGACGAAATTTTTCGAGCAATATTTTGTACAATTTTAGAAATTCGTTCAACTTCTTCCCTTGGAATTCTGTTTTGAAATTCATAATAATATTTTAAACCAATCAGTTGTTGATGGTTAAGAGTAGAGGTATCGATATCTTCTATTTTTCTACACCCTTGAGAATAAAGTGTTTCAGCAGTTTTTGTACCAACGCCCCATATTTTTGTGAACGATTGAATCACAGTATTTACATTATTGGTCTGGACGCTTTCTAATCTTGATATTTTACCAAATTGCAAATATTCTTTAATTTTTTCTCTAACCTTGTCTCCAATTCCAGAAATTTCTGCTATTTGATCAATACTTGTAATTTTAAATGAAATTCCCTTAATGATGGTTGTAGCTTTTCTGTATGCCATCGCCCTAAAAGGTTCATTCATACTATTGTAATGCTTGTAGAGCTTGTCAAATAAATCCGCTAGCTCCTGATTGGGGCTTCCGTTGCCGCTACTTGTGGTATTATTTACACAAACAAAGGAATTTAAAAATCTATTTTTTCTTTCCATCTTTGCCTTTTCTACATGTGATGCATCTTGGAGAGTTGTTTCTTGAGATGTTGTGATGATAGAATTCACTTGTGAAAAAGATTCATTTGGCGATTGTTCTGGAATATATTTCTTAATATTAGTTATTAACCTCTGAGCTTGCAAACAGTCAATAATAAAATTTGGAGAAACAACATTCTTAAACACAGGCATTAATTGTTTGTATTTTTCAAAATTTTCACTTCCGCAAATGATAAAATCCACTTCTCCACTCAATTTCTGATTATTAAATATTTCTACAAAGCCTCCTCTTTTAGAAATGTTATTGGAGTGAATGTTCGCTTGTTGTTTGCTCATATTCTTGCCGCAAATTAGCAAAAACTTTAACCCATCAAAAATTAAAGCCAAATTGGATGAAATAGTTTTTTGTGAGGAACAATTAAATCCCATTTGGGATGGTTGAGAAGAAGATGATGAATGAGGATCATCATTGGATGAAACTATTCCGATGGGAGGATGAAAATTACAAACTAGAAGATTGTTTTCAGTTGATGATGATAGAGAGCAAATTTCGGGTGGAGTAAACCGTTGAGAATAAGCTTCTTCTTCTTCTTGTTGCAAATCATTTAAATATTGCTCTAAATGGCTAAAGAATGAATCATGATTTGGGTTGAGTCTGGAATTGGTTTGATCATACATTGCGAAGAAAACCTCCACAGCGAACAGTGTCGTCAATGATTACCCGAGCCTAACAAGACTAAACCAATCATCAAGGAAAAGACTTTTTTTTGATGAACACAAAGGCAACTCTGTCCATAAGTAAGCAATTCCACAACCATGTGTTTTAAGAGAAATGCAGATACACAAGATATTAGCAAGTTTGTGTTACATGAGGGGGATTCCAATCTGTATGGTGAGAAAAATTTGTGTTGTTTCGATACAGCAAATACCAAAGCGCTATTATCTCTCAATTTCGTCTCTCCTTGAACATTTCAAAGACGTCCGTCTCCTGTTGTTGTTGACAAGACGACTACAATCACTCACATCACCAAAAATGCGTCCACACCTGCATCAACACAACTTGCCACCTCCGGTGCCGCCTCGACCCATGACAACAACAACCACCTCAGGCTCATCCCAGTTGCAACAACAACCTCCAAAGGTAGTGGTACAACCCCTCCCACTTGCTCCAATCTCTACCAATATGAGATCAACATCGACCATCACGAATTTTAGTAGTACAGCTGGTGGAAATATCTCACCACACTCTCCCACACCAACTCCAAACAACAATCATGGAGATCAAAATCATCATCAAGTTCCACCCCAACATCCTACTTCTCCGTTGAGTCCCAAAGTTGCTACGACCACAACCTCCTTGAAACCAACAACAGCCTCCAACACTTCCTATCATCATCAACATTCTCATAGTCATCATCAAAACTCTACCATCATCAATCAAAATAATAACAGCACCTTGTTTACTCATTATGTTCAAGAAGAAACGATCAATGTTCCGCTCTCTCAAGAACAAATAGCAGTCTATCAAAAACAACTCTCTGATGTCATCAACAAGTTGAAACAAACTCATACCGATGGCAAGGAAAAGGCTAAAGCTCTCGAACACGTAATTTATTTATCATGTACACTAAAATCGGATTTTACAATGACACTCTTTCTGGCGTTCCCAACTCCCAGAAATAGTGTTACAATAGCATTTGGAAAGCACTTTATTTTTTAGAATCCTAACCATTTTAAAAAAGGTCGAGCAGGCTGTCGAAGTTTTGTTCTGGTGTTTGCTGGAGGTTTTTTCAATAAAAATGTTAAAACATGAACGAAACGCCTTTGTCGGTCTGTTGAGACCGGAATATCATGTTGCCATCAAAACAATGCTATTCGCAGTCCATCAATATATTAATGTCGAACATTTAATAGAAGATATTATTGATCAATGTGGATTTCATCGCAAGGATTTTAATACCATCCATCGCCATCTCGAACTATATTTCTCATACCTCATCACACACAACAAACGAGTCCCATTTGTTCTATACTGTTGCAAATTCCAGGTTGACAATTCAACAAAGATTGCACAATATGTTACTGATTGCATTGACCCGGACGAGGATAGTGCTATCTATAACATTTACTCTGACCCAAAATTTCAAAATCAAAGACAAAATCAAGAGTTAACATCAGAATGGATCAACAAACTACATTTTCAAGGCTATTTGAAATTGAAAGAGTGTCATGACGAGCTGATGCGAATTCGTCAAAAACGTAAACACTCCAAAACAAGTACAGCTTGCGAAGACCCACCTCAAACCTCAACAACGTCACAACGTTATTCTAGTTCAACCATCATGAAATTACTCGAACCAGAAAAAAATGTCGGCGTTATTGAATTACATAAAATCCTGGATCATGGTTTTGCTGAAGACTACATCACGTTGTCATATTCAACAAAAGAACAAACAGCACCGTATTACATGCTGCAACAACTAATTAACAACAAATTTATTCCAACACACTCATCAATTGTAAATACCAAGTCCGACACCATCTCTCATAATTTTGTAGACCATGCTGATTTTAAATCACAAAATAACGATGATGATAGTTATTATTCGGAATGTGATATATTTGATGAGGATATTCAAGAATTGAAAAAATTGTTTTTTCAGGTGTTAGGTAGTCGCAAATTAGTACCTCGAACTTTCTTTTTCACATATCTTCGTGATGCTTTTTCACAATTAATTTGCAAAGACAGTAGAGGCCATAGATGGAGCCCATCTGTTCTTTGTTTTGCTCAAGATTTATTGGTTATCATGGGATACAATGCGTATGAAGCATTGGCGAGAGGGTTGAAACGAGGACAAGAATTTGAACCCTCTTCTGAAAGATGTAACTTAGTCCTACCTTGTTCATCCACACTCGACCATCATTTTCACACCGCATCATATGGAGAAGGGAATACTAAACTAGACAAAGATGACTTTGATAAGCTAGTAGAAAAAATGAAGGTTATTGAAAATCAAAATTTTGGTCTTGTTCAAATTGATGCAGTAGATGTAACACCGCATTTAGGAATCAATACCAAGCTTGGGCTTGTATACGGTGCCAATGAAGGTCCATTGAAGATTAGTGATTGTACTGCACTAGCTCAGAGTCCGAATTTTCCACCCAAGGGTTTTTTAGCTGAAAAAATTGTTCAAACTTTATATTGCAGTATTAACGGTGAAGTTCGAATTCCTGGAAACTTCAAAGTATGCACTACTGAAACTGAACAAACCATTAGAGACACGATTTCTGAATTTCGTGACACATATACTCGAAACATCGTCTGTACTGTGTCAGATGCAGGGTCTGCTAATTACAAATATTTCACATCGAGCCCAAATGAACTACATCATTTTTGCTACAGTCACCATTGCAAAAACATGAGGAATGCAATTAATGGGAGACCAAAATTATATCCGGTTGCCACTAAAGTAGGTGCTCCAAACCTTCAAATTGCACGCCATTCCTCTGCTTGTATTTCTTCCAACGACAACGGAAACGGTTGCCATTTGATGAAAATTGTTATTCAAAGAACACAAGCGACCAACATACCACTTTCCTTCATAGTGAATGACAAAGACACAATTTCATTTGAATGGAAAGAAAAAGAACCACGGAATTTTAACTCTGGAGGCATTTCTTTCTATCATAGCAGCAATGACAACGAATTAAGTGTTACGTTGTTGAGTGAAACCCTTCATACTAACATTGGTAAAGTGTGTGTGGCAAATTTTAGCAATCAAGACATAGCTGTCACCAAAATTTCTTGTTCTATTTTACAACGATTTGAATTGAACACACTCGATGAAATATATAGACAACAACCTTTAGAGTGGTGTAAAATAGTTAAACGGAGCTCGTTTATCAAATATGATGATCAATCTGAGGATGTATTACGTGATGTATGCAATTTACAGTTACTTGAAAAATTACGATTATTGAACGAGAGAACCAACTATCGATATTTAGGATTCTATAAGTACTTAAAAGCGATACATGATTTATTTCATGTTTACGATGACAAAAATCATGATGGAACATCTTCACACAATTTGCACGAAGTGTTGCAAGTTCTTAAGGAAAATTTGGACTATTTGAATGAGTGGGATACCGTTTTCCAAGACGTCATTATTTCCAATAAGAATAATAATTTTACATTATCCGGAACCCTCACAAAAAACATCATTATCCATAACATCAAAACAATTCAGAAATTGATCAGAATTATTCCACAAGATGCAGTTTTTGATTTGTCTTTATTGGGAACACGTTCTCTTGAAGGATTTTTCGGAGAGTCACGTGATTATTCAAAAAGAACCACAGTATTGGACTATCATAGAAGTTACTCAAACATGAAAATCAAATTAGTGAAAAAAGAATGTGTATATCTTTCATACAATAACGATAGAAAGAGGAAATATTGTGATGCCCCTAGTCAAATTAACCAACAAATTTTGATGAGAATGACTGAAAAACAATTTGTTGACTTTAATAATGAAAGAAAGCAAGCTAGAGAAAGCGTGACATCCATTTCTTATAGTTTTACAGATCAAGATTTAATTTGTGCGAAAGACTTACAATTGCGATGTTTACAACATCGTGTCAACTCCATCCGTCAATCATACCATCAGTCAAGACATGACTATAGGGCCGGATTTGCCACCGATTTCATGGAGACAAGCATTTCCAATTACTACAACATTTCACTTCCTGTTTTCCATATTGAAACAAGTGAAGTTTTGCCAAACTTAACAGAACGACTTACATTAACCGACGACATCAGTTTTACCATTATTCAAACACACGACTCATTAATTCATGCTCAAAATCATATTGCGGCATTTTTGCTTAAAAAGCCCGTAGAATTTGAAATTAAGACTAATCATATTTCTTTGAGCAATGCAACCGTAGAGGTTCGCAATTTCAATGAGAACAATGAAAATGCATCTCGACATTCTGAACCAATTAACTCATTTAAAATATTTGTGGCACCAAATCAGACGGATCCATTCAAATTTAAATTAATTGGACAATTTTCATCAACAACCAGCACCAAGCTTTATCAAAAACAAATTGCTGTGATTGTTGGAAATTATCAGTTGTTGTCACCTCCTTTTTACGTATTTGCAAAGAAAACAAAAAACCTCGTTTCGTATTCCCAGCTGAGCCAGGTGGTGGCTTCGTCTCAAGACATGCAATAAAATGTCAAGCATTTTTCATCACAAAAAAAGTTCGTCCAAAAATTGGAACACGTTTAAAATTGTTCACCTATTTATTTCTTCCGACCACAATTACACCGTATTTTTCTAATCACAACAACATACCTCAAGTCGTTTTATTATTCATTATAGCTCCAGCAGAAGCCTTTGTCCTTCAACAAAGACAAAGCAGCTTTTGCTGGGCGAACAACAAAAAGCTAATGTAACAAAAACACTGAGACGTAGCCCGAATGAACCAAATAAAGGAATGTTACACCAGCGAAGTGGTAGTTGGGAACGCCAGACTCTTTGGCTTGTATGAAAAGTCGGTATGGGAATATTCTCCAGTTTTGGATTTATTTTTTAAATGTTTGAGGTATTTACTATTGCACCGAAGTTCATACATTCGATCGTTGACAGTTCGATGTATGAGATATATCATTCAGAATGATCCTGTTAATTTTCCATTTGAATTATTGTGGTCCAAATACAATTGTCACTTGTTGATATTCAAAATGATGTTGAATGACACGGATCGAGAAAAAATTCAAGTATTGGAATTGGTGAGAACTCTATGCAGTAACATTACCAAGAGAAAGAATTCAAATGTGAATGGCTCTCCATTTTCTCCTTTCATATCCAAACAACAACAAAATGGATTATATTTTGCTCCTCCCACAAAGAAAATTGAAATTCCATTTCTCTTCATGAAGGGTATTGTCCACTTTTTAAGTTATATTGATGGAACATTATTACAAATGCAAACACAAATGGATCAACAATCTTCTCAAACTGCATCACAAAGAGGAAATCCTCCTCCACCAAATGCAACAACCTCTGCTGCTACTGGTAGCAACACCAACACTGCAACGACAAACAATTTGAGTAGTAGTGCTAATGATCAAAAGAAGCAATACTTTTTAGAATCCTACAAATCTGTTTGCATTGAAATTCTGAGAGATAGTTTGGTGTATGATGAATCACTTTGTGATACAATCATCAAGTGTGGAGGATTTAAATATCTTGTAGAGCTATTACTGAACAACAAATTCTCTCAGTATCATTCAAGTATTCTTTCTAGCATTCTCTATATTTGTGACAAGTTTAGAACAAGAAAGTTTATGAAGAAGGGATTACTTGATCTTTTATATTTAATTTCTCCATTCACAAACTATAGTCAACTTTATCAACAATATACCATTGCAGCTAATAATGCAATCATGTTAAATCCAAGCGCTGCACAACAAGCACAAGATGACTTGAATCAACTTGTAGTCGAACTTGAAAGAAGCAAATCTATTATTTTGTACTTGATGCGATCATGGACTGGATTATTTATTGTGAATCAAACCAAAGTGAATATTCTTGGAACTATTGCAAATTTACTCAAAGTTCCAAATAGAACTCAATTGAAACATTTGATCTTGGACTTGTATATTGAAATACTCAAACAAAGTGTTCCAAGCAAATATCATCATCTCATACCACCCATCTACAATGAGTGCTCGTCTCTCTATAGAGATCGATCTCAATCTCTCAAAAAGAAGAATCAACCAAATGCTTCCAATGCACCAGCCAATGCCAATTTGGCTGCGAATACGTCCACAGGTGTTGGTGTTGGTGCTGGTGCTGGTACTGGTGGTGGTGTATTGAATACAAGTTTACCGGGAAATATCAATGGCAACAACACGAACTCTGTTGGCCCAACGACCTCGTCGGGTGTTAGTAGCGGTACAGGTTCATCATCTTCCACAACAGCCGTCGCTCAACCTCCCTCTTCAGGCTTTTACACGAGTTTCACCAATGATGTTACTTTCTATGCCGATCACAGTGCCGATGAAGATCGAGTTGTAAATATTTGTTTTGTATTCTTGTCCATGACCATTTTAACCTTGATCGATAGTGGATTGATAGAATCACTTCTCTATCTCTCAAAACAATCCATGATCAATGGAAAAACAAAAACACAAGAGGATCCATCTGCTCTCAAAGATAAATTGAATATTGGAAATGATGATGAAGAGGACAAGGGTGAACGTGCTTTTATTAGCTTTAGAGCAAGTCAACTCTTACAAAGTGTCTTGCTGTTTAGCGACATGTTGTTGAATAAGAAGACATGCCTCGTCATGCAAGATCGATTTGACACTGAAATTGCAAACTTCCTTCTTGGAATTAGTAAGAACAATCTCTATAGTTACAAAACTCTTTCAATGCTCTCTGCTTTCTACCAACAATCGTTCAATAGTTATGCCACAGGTACTAGCTCTTCATCCATGATGGATCATACCATGATTCAAGCTCCCAGCCACTTGAGTGTTGTTTCCAGCGATTCCAACAGTAGTGGTGATGATCGATTTTCAAGATTCAGCACGAACAACATTCCTTCTTTCTATATTAGAACACAAATTGACAGTGATATGGATGATCAAACCTTTGAGAAACTCATTCGTGAAAGTAATGTTCTCGTCACAAAGGATTCAAAGAGATGGAATTGGGAAAAAATTTATTGTTTAATATTTGGTCCTTTGAGAGTGGCTCATCGATTGAAAGAAGTCATCACCAAACAAGAAAAACTGTTAAAAAGAATTCTCAGTTATTTCAAACCTTATAAGAAAGCATTTAGTGAATTGAAATATCAAGAAGCAAATCTTGGATACACCAAACTCTGCAATGAATTATTGTACAACCTTTTACATATGGATGATAGTGGAATTCAACTCATTCGAAGTTGTAATATTATCAAACAATTTTATGAAGTCTTGGAAATTGAAGTTCGAGTGGGTAAAGTGTTTCCACAAAAAACCACAACCTCTAAAACCGATCAAAAATTGATTGATTCTGATAAGAGAATACTCAGTGAAGATCGAGTTCAAAAATATATGGTGCGAGATTACTTTGCAATTATTGGTCTCATGAGTAGTACCATTAAAGGAAAAGAACTTCTCGAAGAAGAGAGAATCTTTGATGTACTGAAAGACTTGACGACAAAGAGAGATGATATCAGTCAATTGATTATCAAAAATTTAGACTATACGCGTCCATTCAGTGATCGAGCAAGAGAAATTTTGAAAGAAGCCATGATGAATGGCTCCAATACCATTCGATATATTAGTACATTATATATTAGAAATTTGATACGACAACAACAATCGTATCCTAATAATTTTCATGCTTGGGGTGTTCCTTTATTGACGAGCAAATTATATGACGATTGGGAAAAGGTTCGATTTTCAGCCATTAGTATTCTCTCAGAAGTGTGTTGCACTAATTTTGGATCCTCTTCTTCAGATTTATCTGATTTTGAGAGTGGTGCTGAAGATGCATTGTTGGTATCTCCTCGATCAGCCAATTCATTCATTCAAATGTCTTCTTCTAACACGACTTCGAATGAAAATCTTAGATCCTTTGTTTCACAGAACATTTCAAGAGAAGTTATTGCTGAAGTGATGAGAGATGGTCGTGATGGAATGAATCTTTTATTGAAAATGACAAGTTGTAGAGAAGGTATAGATTATCTCAGTAGTGATAATATCAAATTATTACAGGAACTTGTCGAAGAATGGTTTGAGAGAGAATCTCATCACTATTTACTTCAAGTAGAGTATGGACTCAATCGATTCTATCAAATGAATGTTCTTTCCATTCACTCTGCATTTCCACCCTCAACAACATTGTCAACACTTGGCTCTTCATTGATTAGTTCTCTATCTCCTTCGAGTCATCATCATAGTGCTCTTTCAACCTCCACACCAACAGGAAAAGGTGCTCAGAATCTGAGTGGATCCTATGACTATGCTAAACATGGAGTTATTTTACAAAGTAACTTGTATGGTGAATTGTGTCATACCTTGGAAGGATGTACCATTTTAACCAATGATAAGAATAGGACTCTTCATTCATTGTGTCAGAATTTGTTAAATGTGTATCAGAAAGTGCTTGTATCAGCGAGTGGTAGTACTACTGGTCAAAATAGTAATAGTAGTAATAGTAGTAGCAGTAGTACTACTATTACTCATGTGAATGCAACTACCACTACCACCACTACCACTACTGCTACCACTACAACAACTTGGCCTCAAGATTTTTCAATGAATTTGGATGGCTCTGATTATTGTGGACAAATTAACAGCCAACAATTGGTACATTTGTGGTCTCTTGCTTTTTGTTGCAGTACCAACACTGGATATGAATATTGTAATCGATATATTCAACAAGTGATCATTGGATATGAAAAGAGCCATCTTCAACAAGAAAATATAGATTCTACTACTTTGAATCGATCTCCTACAAATATTAACAACAATGGAAGTGAACAATTTACTGTTGCTCAATATTTTGTATTCATTGCACAACAAAGTAAGGACATTTCATTGAGAGGTACCATGTTGTATTTACTCGGAATTCTATCCAAATGCAGTCTAGCAAGAAGAGATTTATTAGAAATTGGATATGAATGTTCTTATCGATATGCCATTGCTGTACCTAAAGATAGAAAACAATTTTTCAACATTACTGATGATTCTGAAAAGAGTAATTCAAAAATTGTAGATGAATCACAGCAAGAGTACGATCATGATGAAGACATATTGTTGGAATCTATTTTGAAGGAATCACAAAATCAGGACATCATTAAGGAATTAGTATCCAACGTAACCAAGATTGCAAACCCTGTTCATGAACAACAGTCTTCCATTAATTTGCAAAACTCAAAGGCCAAAGTGGCCAAGATCCTTACCAACAATGAGAAGTCAAAACTTATTTATTATTTATTAGGGCATCATTTTACCTATTACAAGTACAAGTGGAAAATTATTAAGGTATGTTGATGAATGTTCACACGACAATTTTTATATTATTGACCAATTTTATTATATTGATACATTCCATTGTTATATATTATTCACTACATCATTGGTACATTCCAATTTTATAATAACATTTCTGTATTGAATAATGTACACGTCACTTGGTAATCTAGTTTGTAATTAATGACCTTTTGGGAGGAAACAGTAGCATGTTGTGCTCTTCTATTGCAACGTCGAACTTTGAAACAAATTCCAACATGATCAATTCTGCTGTTGAAGATGAATTATTTGTCATGAATACTCATTTGCTTTGGCTTGATGCAGAGACCAATGAAAATAACAAAAGGATCGAGGAAAGACAAATAGCAAAAGAATCGACGAACAAGAGTTCTTCCAACAAGTCGGTCAAAATTTCCACTGAAACAAGCAAGTAATCTTCCAAAGAAATCAGGAATAAAAAATTCAAAAAAAATGAGCAAACGCTCCTTTGACAATTACTCTTTGGGCGATCAAGCCTTTCACCACATTACCATTTCATCGATGTGCAAGACCGAGCCTGATTTTGTTCCCCAGTTTCCTAGCTTTATGCTGCCATCCGATCAACATTATTTCACTTTAACTAATGCCTATGAATCAAATTTCAAGAAGAAGAAATTTTCAAACATATCCGACACCATGATTCCTTCTCCTCTCTGTAACCCATTCAGTTCTACAACAACCAATACTCTCTTTCTTCAAACATCGGACAACTCACAAAACAATATTTGTCCACAAACAAACCACCAAAAAATCGAAAATGTAAATATAATAGAGGATGATGCAAAACATCATCAAGGACAACATGCAATGGAAGATGATGAAGTCATGTTCACATTTACAACCAGTCACAATGACACTAATTTATACAGGCATCGGAAGCATTTGCAACACATTGAATACCTTCGAGCCACAGTCATAAACCAAGAGATCAACAAAAATGTTATCAATTTTCAGGTTAAAGGAGTAAGTGGACAAACTATTTGTTTCAACCATGTCGACATTGAACGTAGCACGCTTTTGGATTTGCAACAAATAGTGTACCAACAAATAGGAATTCCCATTCAGAAACAGAGACTAGTTCTGAAAGGCAGAATAATTCCATTCTCTGACAACAGTACAACACGATTGTCAGATATTGTCGGAATTGAAAATGGCTGTTGCTTTCAACTTGTGTGTGCTTTGAAGGGAGGCTAGTGCTTTTCCAATAAATTATTCTTCTCAATTGTTTATTGAAATGCGTGAATAAATTGTTGATGAACGTCCATGAATTTTTATTCGAGTTTTTGGGGTGGAGGAGTGACAAGCAACCCAACCAAAATTATGGCATGACAAACATGCAAGGCAATGCTTGTGATTGGAGTGCTTGGGTAAACATTCCAAACAACCTCAATACACAAAAACAACACTAGCCGTGCAAGGTTGTGCTTGAAATAAGGAATGTACATGAGTAAATAGGGAATAGTGTGGAAATACCAAACGTAGAATTGGTAATGCAGCGAGCGAGCAAAAACAATTCCAATAAAATTCGAAGTGAACATCATATAAATAATGTGATTGGTATCGAGAGGCTTATTTTCAACATTCTTGTACTTGAATAATAAGTAAAACACATTTTTAAATCGCTGTCCAACACACCACTTAGAAAAGATAAATATCAGTAAAACCAAAGCATGGCCAGCCAAAAGAGACCTTGAGAGCAATTTTGATCTAAAAACATCCTCAGATAGAAATTTAAAGTTCACCGTCCAAATATATGTAAATTCTCTTCCAAAGTCAAAAGCATAGTGGAAATACTCGTAGGCATTTTCGTATATGAAAGGCAATGCAAATACTACTTGTAGACCAATAACAAAGAGCACTAATTTTGCAATTGCTTTAAATGTAAATCCAAATCTTTGAACTGTTAAAATTCCGACAGCAGGGAAAAATAGTAAAATATTCATTTTCACACCCAACGCACAGCTGTAAAACAAAAGCCCAAAATTAAAATTATCTTTACAGAATGCAAGTACTGCCAAATATAAGAAAAACATTGCAATGCAATCATTAAACATTCTCAACACAAATATTGAATGTATTCTTTTGCTGATCATGAGCATGATAATGATCCAATAAAATGTCAAGCTGTTCTTGTCAAATGATGTATATCTAATGTAAATCAAAATTACTACAGCAAATAGAGCAACATAAATTATTGCAAAAATAATTTGGCCAATCTCTCTGGATCCATCCAAAGTAATAATATTCAATATAGAATAAATGTAAACAAAAAGAGCAGGATACACCAAAGGACCGGTTTGTCCATGCAAATGAGAGTAGTCCCAATCTCCATTCAAAAATCCTTTCACTTCTTGCATATAAGCAATCCAATCAATTTCCGTGTATTTCACGTATTTAATTATCAGAAAATTGAAAATCAACTCAAAGAGAATGGCCATCAAAGAAGCATGAACAAGAAGGGATCGGAGTCTCACACCATCAAAGAGCCATGACGATGATACTGAAGAGGACTGGCCCGTAGCACTGGTTGAGCTTTGGCTTTTCATTTTTTCTTGTGATGTATGTGTGGAGGGCAAGAGATAATGGTCATGTGTTTATTTAATTGATGAGAAGGTTCAATACTTTCTCAATGAATCTTCTAACAACAGTACTACAGCTGGTGTGCAGCTTCCTTTCACTCTGGGTAACAGTCTTCTTGTAAAAAAGGATGGCTTTCCTTACCAGAAATCCTTTTAAAGACGATTCATCCATAAAAAAAACTATCAAAAAAATTAACTCATTCTTGATCAAGCTGTTGTATTGATCTTCGTCCATCATCACCCATACGTACTCTTGACAATCACAAAAACTCATCATCATGGTCTACAAATTGGTATTAATCAGACACGGAGAATCAGAGTGGAACAAGGAAAACAAATTTACTGGTTGGTATGATTGTGGGTTGAGCGAAACCGGACTCAAGGAAGCCAAAGAAGCCGGTGAAATTCTTCTCAAAGAAGGCTATGAATTTGATTTGTGTTACACAAGCTTTTTGAAAAGAGCCATCAAAACACTGTGGATTGTATTAGAAACTATGGATGCAATGTATCTTCCTGTTGTCAAACACTGGAGATTGAATGAAAGACACTACGGCGCTCTTCAAGGATTGAACAAGACTCAAACTGCTGAGAAACACGGAGAAGAGCAAGTCAAGATTTGGAGAAGATCTTATGATATTCCTCCACCAGCTCTTGAAGTTAGTGATGAAAGATATCCTGGACATGAAAGAAAATATCAAGAATTGACTTCCGATGAATTACCAAAAACTGAATCACTTAAATTGACTGTTGACAGAGTTCTCCCATACTGGAATGATGTTATTGCACCAAGCGTAAAGGAAGGAAAGAAAGTACTTATTGCTGCTCATGGTAACTCATTACGTGCTTTGGTGAAGTATTTGGATAACATTTCTGAAGAAGAAATTGTTGAATTGAACATTCCAACTGGAGTTCCATTGGTCTATGAATTGGATGAAAACTTAAAGCCAATTAAGCATTACTACTTGGGTGATCAAGAGTTGATTCAACAAAAGATTAACAGCGTTGCTAGTCAAGCCAGCAAGAAGAAGTAAATGAGCAACTTGGTCATTAAAATTCCCTCCAAACAAAATTACAAATATTAGTTTTTAAAAAAAATTGTAAACGACGAACATGGGTGTATCTTTGGAAATCATTGTCAAAGGCGATGGAAAGAATGTTCCAAAGCCTGGCCAAACCGTTTGCGTCCATTACACGGGATATGTATGTACTTTCTTCAAAGTGTCAACAACAACGTTTACACATGGCAGATTGCAGCCGATAACTCCACGGATGACGGAGAGGAGTTTGATAGTAGCAGAAAACGAGGAAAGCCATTTAAATTCCGATTAGGTGTTGGTGAGGTGATCAAAGGATGGGATGAAGGAGTGGGCCAAATGAGTCTCGGAGAACGGGCAAAAGTGAGAATGCCACCTGATGTAGCATATGGAGAGAATGGGTTTCCTGGTCTCATTCCACCACATAAGACGATAGTTTTTGATGTAGAGCTGTTGGAGTTTTATTGAGATGCCTTGAAATCAGGTTGTAACAACTTGACTTCTACTTTATCATGAACACCTTGCAATAACAACTCTCCTTGGAAATCAATGACCTTTCTCTTTTTTGCAGCTGTTGTTGAAGTGACAATTTACAAAATAATTATTCATTAAATGATGACGTACCTTTCATTGTTCCGACAAGAGACTCCAATAAATTTTGAATTTTGTCATCATGGAAAAGCTGTCCAAAGGTGCAGGTTCCACTAGTTCCTCCAACTTTTGATAATAATATTATTTAGAGAATTGATGTCATCATACATACTTCTCTTCATCTCGTGCACTAAATGTTCAATCTCTTTTTCAACGTTGTATCCAGACATTTTTTATTGTTGTTGACATTTACAACAGTTCTGCTGTCAAGGAAAGCTGAAAAGGCAACGAGTCAAGCTTGGACAAAAGAGCAACTACTTTTTCTTTGATGCCTTGATTCCTAACCATTGAGTCAGGTTCATAATAATTTGCTATCAAGTCTTGTTCTCTAAAAATGGATTGAATGAAATAGGATAGTTGATGGTCACTGTTGCAAGACAAAACCCAGCTCGCAAACAAAAATCCAGAAGAAACGGAATTACTTACTTTAAAGAATAGCACAAAAACGCTCTAAATTTTAAGTCTTCTACATTGGAAAGCTGTTTATGCACCAGTCTTTCCTCAACAATTTTGTTCACTTTGTCTACAGCCAAAGGAATGCCTATTCCTCCAATATCCACAGCAGATGCTATTAAATGTTGTTAGATTCAAACTTTTGTTAACACAGTAATATCACTTACATTGCTTGAGACGAGCTGCTTCTTCAATGACATTCCAAATGTGATAAGTTTTAAATATTGAAAAACTCTTAAACCCTTTTAAAAACACATCCATTAAAGCATAAAAAAGCTTTTTCCTTATTAATCCGTCTAGCTCAACCTGTCTTGATTCGTTACCTATTTCTTGCAAATCCAGTTGCTCCACATTCTTCTTAATAAAGAAAAATTGAACAATGGATTTAACAGCCTCTTTAAGTTGAAGAATGGGATGCAATGTCATGGTATCCAGTGTAGATGAAGAGTGAGTCGAAAAAGCAGACACTGGTTTTTCCAAACGTTTCTTCCTTAATCCAAATCTAAAGTCAAATTGATTAAGCAGTGAGAATACCCCCACTAATTCGTCGCGGTATTGTCCTTGAATGAGTGGAGATGATTTCTCATAACACTCGGTGAGATACATTTCATCATGCAAAAGCTGATTTAAAGCATAAACCAAGAAATCAGCATCTAAGAAGAACTGTATAAGTAAAAGCGAGGCACTTTTACCAAAATTTTCTTGAGGCAATTGTTGCACAGAATCAAGTGCTTCGAATTCTCTAAGCATTTCTTGAACAGCGCTTGACTGGAGATTTTTGAAAACGTCATAGGGAGTTCTTTCTTTTATCCAATAAACTCGCTTTTTAAAGGTAATTTAGAATTAACATTCCTGATGTAAACTTACTCGAGTGTCCTGATAGAGAATTGATGTAATATTCTTCACTATAACTTCGCCAAATGGAAATAAATTTACGATATATCGCCCGGTCGTTGGGTCAAGTACATCTGAGTCACACGAACGTAATAAATTCATAATATTGCTATGGAGAGTTGAAATGAGGTAATTCGAGGATATTGGTCGAGACTTAACTATTTCATCTTTTTGCTCAGGAGGCCTTGAAAGTTCCTCCATCACCAATGAAGCTTTTTCAATTTCCTCTTTCGAAAGAACGTTTTGATTCTTGTAAAGAAATTTGGCCAAGGCAACAATGTCCCCTCGTTCCAGAAGTTCCTCAAAGTCAAGTTTCAGTTCAACTGTTTTTTCTACAGTTCCCAAGGACTGCTGAGCGCTTTTTAGAAATGCTTCGAGATCTTTTGTTGATTGTGTTTCACTTGCGTTCTTTGACAATGGTGAAGCCATCAAGTTTTCTTTAGCATGTAAGTGAAGATATAATTCGGTCAGCATCTTCTTTGCAATTTGAACCTCATCTGACAATTCAGGAAATGAAGGACCCTCTTCCACGACAATTTCTAACGATTCAATGTCTCGTTCTTTTATACCTTGTGATAATCGATGTTTGAGAGAAAGTATTTTTCTTTCTCTTCTTTTGGCTTCCATGTTTGTCTTATGTATCAGGTTTCTAGCCGAAGCAACCAATTCTGACAATTCATCAAACCTTTCAGCCTCGTATGTGACCTGTAATAATTTTCGTTGATTTTCAGCTGTAGGTTCATGTTCAAACCTAACAATAAATGAATCTAATGTTTCTTCCAGCTTGTGTATAGCAGCCATCTGTTCCTGCTCTCTATCAACTTGAATTAAATCCAAGCAATTGTATGCTCGAGTCAGATCTAATCTATCATCGTGCTTGTTGTGTTCAATAATTTCCTCCAGGGCGGTTTTGTCCTTTCTTATAATTGCTTCCTCTATCGACTGCTTAATTTTAACCCGTTGCTTTATCTTTTCCATCTCCTTAACTGAGATATCAATGGTGTTATGCAGCGCAGAAGAGGTCGATGTTAAAAGAGTTTTTGCCTCAATAATAAGAGCTTTCAGATTTTCCACGTTTCCATTTTCATTGGCGTCGTCCATGGCCATCAATAATTTTCTTTTCATTTTTGTTTCGGCTTTGCAAAGACTAATTGTGCTCTTTGCTTCATGAAAGATTTTCTCATGGTCAATTCCTAGCGTTTTTGCATGGAGTAATATCAATCTTATGGTGTCGCCATCTCTGTTAGCAGTGCTTAATGCTAGTAGTTCCCTAAGATTATCTTTTTGAATATTTGCATCGTATTCTCGTTTGTATTTTTCAACTTCCTCATATAATCCAACCTGTAATGCTTTGGAAAATATCTCTTTCATAGATTTGTAGTCTTTGTTATTGATTGCTTGTTCCATTTTCTTCTTAAAGAGTTTGGTGTTCACAAGCTCAGTGTACTTGGGAGTCATTGTATGAATTAACTGGGAGAGATGAGGTCGTAATAGTTCTGCTTGCTTAAGAAGGTCTCGCATTTTCTTCAAATTTTGAGACTTAAATGCCTCCTCCATCTCTTCTTTCACAATCTTTGCTTCTTTGATTTTCTTCACCTGTTGTTCGCAAAGGGAATATAGCTTGTCATTCGTAAGATTAGCAACTCTTGCAGAAATTACTGCTTTTTCAAGTTGATTAAGGTCTTTTGATCTCATCGCTTGATGAAGTATTTCCTTTACTCTCTTGGGATCTTTTTGTCGCTTCATTTTCAATCTGTACTCTTGTGTCTTTTTGAGCTGGCCCTTTTCTTGCACGTTTACTGTCTGGATAACTTTATACTCCACATGAAGCTTATTCAGTTCTTCTTGAATACTTTGAAGAGCATCTACCCGTTTTTGACTATTACTAATCAAAAAGTCATATTCTGAAGGGACCTTCAGTAAAAAGCAGTCTTTTGTCGCATTATCAATCCAAATTTCAGTAATGTCTTGCAAGTCAACTCTACGTTGTATCTTTGTGTCTTGTGCTTTGATAACAGCCATGTTTGTTACTATATAAAAAATCCTCTTTGTGGATGAGGTCACTTCCTCACTGAAAGAGATAAACTTGTCACCGTACTTCCTAAAAATTGCTCTCCACTCAGAAGACGAAACAAGCTTTGCAAAATCGTGGTCAGACGATGTAATAATATCCTCTTTTGAAATAGGAACGGGTGTTGGTTTCTTATCAGCCTTTTTGCTCCTAGAATATAAAGTAACATCATCTACAGCATGAATTACAAGCTGTTTGTGTGTCATCCGCTCGTACGCATATTTGAGGTGGTTTAAAAATTTCTCTTTGGCTTTCTCTTGAAAAGCCAATAACATGTCATGACCGTTATTGATTACTGGATTATTAAGCTGAATTGAGATGGTATCGTTTTCCTCGCTCTCGTATGCATTGATTAATATACAAGATATATCCTCAAAGCCCAGTCTCGTTTTGAAGTCAAAGCCTTTTGATTTCGTGTTCAGCAAGTAAATCCCTCCATTAGTGACAACAAGACTTCGGTCATCTATTTTAACGTTCTTTAAAACCTTAACAATTTTTTTAACTACCCCACTCCAATAGATTTCAGACTCGTGATTTTCAGCAATCCTTTCACAGAAGTTTTTGTTTGATCCAATATTCAAATTGTCCTCCGCCAGCAATAACGGTTTATACTCATCTGTTTTAGAAAGATGTCTCATGCTTTCTTCTTCTTCAATGAGTTCGATCTCGTCTTTCTCCGGGAACAGGATCTTTGACTCTATCTCGATATGACTGCCCTTTGAAATAAGCACGTCTTCTTCCTCAAATGTCTCTTCTAATTGTTGCTTTTTAAGAAGATGGATACGTGTTATTTCTTCACTGTTCTCACTGTAGTCGCTCCAATCTTCTCTCTTTGAATCATCCATTGTTTGAGATGGAGGAGTACTTGAAAAATAGTCTTGTCTGGGAGATATGAGCTCATCACTAGAAAAAACATGGTCATCACTTTGGTAGGACCCTATTTTTTCGTTAAGATCTGGTACTGAGTTCTTAATACGATCAAGATTTGGGTTAATAAGCATTTCTGAAGGCATTGATTCTGTGTACTTTCCATAGAGAGGGTTCTCTTCAAACTCTTCATCAAAGTTATCATCAAGATCTATGTCATCTTGCTCCCCAATGTTTTCATTCCCTATTTCGCTTGAATCATTAGTTAATGTGTTATCATCTTCTGATTCTTCCTCTTCATCATGATCTTCATCTTCGTCATGTTGATCGATGAGTCTTGACATAATTTCTTTAAAAGTTTGTCTTGTAACAGCATCTTCAAAACACACTTTGTACGTTCTCTTAGGAGTAATGATTGACAGACCATATGATTTAAAATTTTGAGGGCCATGAGAAGCATCTTCTACCCTCAGCACGTCCGATATTCTACACTCTCCCTTAATCTTTTTATCTTTCGGAGAAGAACTGTATTCAATCCGATTTTTGAATAATCGGAAGAACCTTCTTTTGAATTTTGAACCAGATGCTCCTTTTCCGCTTTTATGAAAATATCCATCTTGCAATAAATTTGAATGTGTGGCTTCCGATGACTGCGACGAGGCTTCTTCCTTCTGATGATCGGAAGACATGGCAACAGTTAGTGAAATTTTTTTAGTGCTTCTTTCCAACCCGCCAAGAAAAGTTCGAGCAACCGTTAAATTTTTAAAAAAGTTTCATCATGTCTCAAACACTTCATCAACAACAACATCCACCACAGCTCCCCAGCGCTCTCCTCTCCTCTGATTGCTCCTACGAAGAGCCGTTTCAAGTCCAACTCGTTTATAAAGACCAAGATGCCATCATTAATGTCTATCCCTTCATGATGCATATGGAGTTTGGACAGTTAATTGAATTCTTACTTCATGATCATCTCCGACGACCAATTCCAAAAGACATTTCTTCCATTAGTATTCGATACTACAGTGTTGTGTGGGGAAGGTTTACATCAGCATACTCATCACATCATTTACCAGTACTTTGGGAGAATGTGCGTAAGGCTAGAAACAGCTCTGAAAAGACGTTAGAGTTGATAGAAAGCACTAACATCTCGGAAGAAGATTTTCCAAGTGAGAGGATGACTTTGAATTCTCCTTCCAAGTTGCTTTTTTCTGCAAAGGTGCAGTCATCATCATTTGCGCAGAATGGTCAAGATGAATCAAGTGCAATACAACAAGTCGCTGTAGAAGCGTGTGGAAGTCCATTGAATCCCTCAACACGACCATCATCACCTCTTGTGCATCATCATGATGACGAATTCATACATCCAACCATTGAAATTCAACCACCATCCAAAGACACATTTTTGACACCTCTTCCAGAAAATTCTTCTGATCCTGTGAACCATGTTACATCATCGGTTACCACCACCACCACTACTACTACTACTACTACTGGTAATCAAAACGAACTATCAACGACACCAATCAAAAGTCGACGACGAAGAACCAAAAGGGTAAAAAAGTTGTTGGACCCAAGCTCTCCAATGACGCCAGACAACACAACCTCCTCAACAACATGGATCAACAACAATAGTACTGAGGATAACAATCAAACGCTACAACAATCCACCATGTCATCAAGTACTACTACAAGTACAGAAGAAACAAGTGACAATTACACCTTAAACAATTTGGAACCTTCTTTTGAGACACATGAGCCTGTTACGAGCACCAATTTAACCTCTACTGTGAATAACATGGAAAGTGAACAGAACAGTAATCATCCAATGAGCGTGGTTACTTTTGTAAAAAAGAGCAAAAGAAAGCACAGAAAAACAATTGTACCTGAACCTGTGTTCACACCATGCAGCAGCAGTACCACCACACACACTTCTAATGTTGTTGCTGTAGATGATCCATCCATTGAGCCAATCATTGAAAAGAAAACAAGTCGAATGAAGAGGGGGCATCGTAGAGCAAAATCGCAAGTCTCTGATTCCCAAACAAGTAATTCTTCTTCTGATTCAACAGAGTTTGAAATCCAACCAAAGAAATCCAAAGCAAACCCCATCCCAGAAAACTCTACAAACTCTCAATCACAAGCTATTGAAGTTGACATTCATCAACATTCTACTAAGGAAGCATGCTCCTCTGATAAAGAGAACAAACAACCCACTACCAATGACATGATGAAAGACGAGGATGAAATGATCAACTCTTCTCAACAAGAAGAACGACCTCAAATATTCAGCCAACGTGTTGAGATTTTCTCAAGAAAGATGGAGTGTGACTCGATCACAAATTTCATCGAGACTCAATATTTTGATCACGATATGAAGAAAAATGTATTATACGTCTACGGAACAAACGGGCAAGGAAAATCAATGGTTGTCTCTACAATCTTCAATTCAGTTGTAAAAGTAGACAAATACAAGTTTAATCTTGCTGGATATGCAAAGGGATCTGATTTACTGCTGCTACTTTTCCAGAACATTGTGAAAGGTGAAATATCCAAGAGATCAGAGTTGGCTTCACGATTATTGAACCACTTCAACAACAGAAAGAAACCAATTTTATTGTATTTAGATGAATTTTCATTTGCACGACATTGCAAGTATTTGGACCAGATCAGAAAATCGAAAATTATTGTCATTGCTGTGACCAATGACCCACCAACGAAAAGTGCACTTCCATATTCTTTGACCTTCAATCAATATGAGAGCGAAGATATTAAGAAGATTCTTATCAGTGAATATGAAGGGAAAATCAGTGCAGAGATTTTTGACAAGATGATGAATTATCTTAAGAACAAGCAAGACCTTAGACAAATCAAATCATTTGTAGATGGACATTTAATGCCAGAGGCTAAAACATTAACTGTGAAAAGAATGCTTCAACTTTGTAATGTTGGATTCAGAAAAAAGCATGACCCACTTAAGGGGCTCACTCAAACTGCCATTGAGGTTCTAGTTGTGCTGAGCTGTGTGGCAGCTGAACAGGAAAAGTTTTATGGAGAAATTGATGCTGAAACTTTCCAAAGAAAATATGAACAAGTGCTACAGGAAGATTTTAGGAAAAACTTTAGGGACATCAAAGAAGGTTTGACTTTACTGTCGCAAGAAGGGCATATCACTCGAAAGAACGTGGCTGGGGATGTCATCCTTCATTCAGCCTACGATGTCATACTTTCCTCAGACAATGTGATCGTGAAAAGATTGCTTGCCAACAGTAAATGAGTCTTACTTGAGTTGCAACTTGGTATCTTTTTCGAACATTTCTTTGTGAGTTCGTATTTCATCCTGGGTGACCCCTTCTTGTTTGTCCGTAGGCTTGAACTCGCTGATGCTCTTGATGAGCTTTTTCAGAGAGCGAGTTAAATGAGACATTTTGAAAATCGTCCTACAAATTTCTTCGTCAATGGTGCTTTCTGATTCGGTGGGTCTTGTTGGAATTTCGTCAAGAGCCATTTGTGAAACAATTTTTTTGTTTCTCTGAATTTCTAGCAATTTGTCGTCCACCGAAGAGTGACAGACCAGTCTGTAAATAGTAACAACCTTATGTTGATTTTTTCTTACCAATCTAAAAATTGCTTGATCATCCTTTGCATAATTGAAATCAAGATTGAATAAAATTACATGTTGTGCGGTTGTGAGGTCAATTCCAACTCCACCTGCATTTTTGCTAATAATTAAAGTGTTCGTTTCATTATTTCTAAATCTTTGTAACACTTCAGAACGTTGCTTATCTGTCAACTCTCCTGAATAAATTTCACAATGCACCTTTTTGTCTTCTTCCAACGTTTGTTTCACTGTTGGAGCATAACAAATTAAACCCGAAAAAATTACGACTTTTTCTCCCCTTAAGATGATGTTGGAAACAACCGATCTTATTATTCTAATCCGAGAACACTCAATTTGACTCTCTGAATACTTCTCTAGTCTTTTCTTGATATTATCAAATAATACTGAGCTTTCATTGAGTCTCTTTAACGCCTCGTCTTCATCCTGAGTGAGATCTAGTGATTTACTCATTTCTGCAACTAGTTGTGAATTGTCTCTTTGGAACAAATAGGTGCAACAATCCAAACAAACTCTCTCATAAAAATAAGAAGCAAAGAAGGAAGACGTTCCCATCTGACGCTTTACATCACAAATGTCATTGTAAATTTTTCTTTCTAGATCGTTAAGGGTATAGCCAATAATAAAGTCATTCTTGTTTTTTTCGATCGTTTTCAATTCTTCAATGGATACTTCTCTGTGCATGAGGTCTTTAAAGTAATGTCTAAACAATTGAGTTCTCAAAAGACCGTTTTTAGAGTATGGTTTGTGTTCGGCCAAATATTTTACAAAGTGAGTTTGAAAGTAAGGTTTCAACATCTTAACATGGGGATTATCTGGCTCTATAAATCGAATCAAGTTAAACATCTCTCCAATATTATTTTGAAGCGGCGTTCCAGTCACTAAAATTTTAAGGGCTTTCTTAAATTTTGAAAATTGCATAAATCTTGCTGTCTCCTCATTTTTCATTATGTGAGCTTCGTCAACAATCAATATATCTGTGTTGTTGACAATATATGAGCCGTTTTCATCATCCTTTAGCATGTTCAAACATCTATCATATGTCATCACTAGCATTCCTCCATTATGGTATGAATCTATTTCCTTCGTCTCCTTTCCCTTGATGGTGGCTATTTTCATGAATGGTTCAGGATAAAAGTGCGTTTTGTATTCGCTAGAAAAATGGTCAATGTTGGATTTTGGAACTAAAACCAAATAACGAAGTGTTTTCTGTTGCATACGATTGTAGTTAAACAGAGTTAAAAGTACAGTGAGAGTTTTTCCTAAACCCATTTGGTGAGCAATAATTACGGATTTTCCTTGTAACATCCTTTCTACGGCAAATACTACACAGTTTTGTTGGTGACGCATTACGTATTCAGGAAATTTGTAGGTGTGTGATCCAATAAGTTGTGATAAGAATTCTTTCCTTTGTTGGGTGAATGTTTCTCGCACTTCTTCTTCTTGAATTTCTTGCTGTTTTAATTTTTTTCTTTCTTTTGCTAAAATACTTTGCAGCTCTCTGTTTCTAAAATAGTACGATAATTTGCTTTCCAACACCACTCCGTACGACAAATTGCCAAGCAGAAATTGCTTATGATATTTCTTGACCATTTCATAATTGTCTTCACTGATGTAATTGGCAATCTCCTGAGCTACCTCTTTTTCTTCCTGGCTTAGAACCAAAATCTTTTTAACACTCTTTTTTGGTTTTTTTGGTGTTGGTAGCTCCTCTTGAGTTGCCTCGCTATCGTCAATAAAATCATCATCATTATCAACAGGAGTCGATGCACGAACTAAGGAGACTTTTCTCTTATTTGTGTTCAATGAAATGTCGTTTCTGTCAGAAAAAATCATTGGATTTTCGAGAAGTCGTAAAGCTAGCTCATGTTCGCAGATTTCTGTTAAAGTTGGGTTGAGTACAGAGAGAGAATTATATCCTGATTCAATTAATTCTTCTTTGATATCCTCTAATCTGTCTTTGTGAGCCTTCAAGGCTTCAGAAATCGAGGCTACGTCTCGATTCTTAAATTTTCTTAATATTGATTGATTATTGAAACTAAAATTTTGATAAAAATCGTTAATGTAGATTTGAATTGATTGATTGTTGTCGTTATGTTGTGCGAGGGTGGATACATCTCCATCCTCTTCTGTAGTGTCATTACGGTCCTCCTCTGAAGAATCGTAAAGAAAATCAGCACACGACAAGTCTAAAACAACGGATGATGGTTGATATGGTGCTCTTGAGCGATTTATATTACGGAGTGTCTCCTCTTTGTAGGATTCATCAATGATAATATCTCCGTTTTCGGTACAGACTTCTTCATCCTCCATTTCCCATTCCTCGGCAAACTTGTCCAATTCTTCATCTTGGTCTTCGTCACTTATTTCATAATTATCATCCAAAATAATCTCCTTCTCGGTTGAGGCAGTTATTTGATCGGAGGCATTCCTGAATGGTATCTGCTCGGAGCCAATGACTCTAACGATGGTGTGACTGTCGATCTCGGCCGACGGAGGAAGCATTTTTTTCTGTTGGTTTGTCGTGGGAGATGTCAACAACAAATACCAAGAAAGAATAGACGATGTTTCAAAATGGATCAATGAGTTACACCTTAAAATTAATACAAAGAAATCATTAATGACAGTAATTCCCCATCGAAAACACCCAGATTTCCAAATCAAAATTAACGGGGAGAATGTTCCACGAACAGACAATCAGCGCACTCTTGGAAACTATTTAACAGAAGACAGCTCATTTAAAGAAGAAATCAAACGACGAATTTTAAAAATTCAGCAACTTCTACAATTAATGCCCATACACCTAATAGAACCAAGAAACCTTAATCAGATAACTATGTCAAAGACGATATCATCATTCACTCATATAATCAGAGGTAACCCTGTTTCTAGAACCCTGCTCCAAGGTATTGACAGAACAATAAGGAAGCAATGTCGTAAATTACTACAAATAGACATGAGGACAAGCAAAGCATCACTCTATCTTCCAATTGAAAAAGGAGGTCTCAACATCCCTAATATAGAGCTATTTAGCAAACTAATTACTATCAAAACAATCCAATACCAAGGACACTCAAACAACTGCTTGGTGAAAAAAGCTGTCGTACAAAGTCTGCAGAACTGCAAGAAATGTAAGACCAAAAATCTTAATTATTGGGAGAACGTTTGGGATATTTGTAACGAAAATAATCTGAAGATAATTTTCGGAAGATCAGATCACAGATTTAAAACTCCTAAAGCCCACAAAAAAGAACGAGAAATTGCAATATGGACCGATGGATCAAGATCCAAAGAAGGAACTGGAATAGGAATCCTTATTCAATCAAGTAATGCAACAACATGCCATAAATACAAATTGGATCCTAGGTATACCCACAACATGGCAGAATTAAGTGCAGTGGTCACTTCGTTGAAGTTGATCCCTTCATCTAGCTCAGTGACGATTACGACGGACAGTGAAATTGCTCAAAAGATTTTCACAAACAACAACTATCGAGGACAATTCATTCAACTCAAAAGAGAATATGAGGCAACAATACAAGACAAAAAACTTAAAGTTACCATTGAATGGGTAAAAGGACATGATAAATGTCAGGAAAACAACTTCGTTGACAAACTGGCAAAAAACGCAAGTACCAAAGGCAAATTTTTGGATCCAAAGAACCTATTCACACAAGAACAACTTCTCATCATTAAGGACTCATTATGGATCCCCAACCCTTGTAGAATAATTAGAAATAATTGGCTATCACAGATATCGGAAAATAGTCAAGTGACAAACCTAGTGAGCGATACTACTTTTCGTTATATTGAAGGAAAATCAACACCACATCACAAATACTCCATATGGAGAAACCTTAATTTCTGCCATGTTCGGAGCTTCAAACAACATATATGCCCAGAATGCAATGTTCCTCTATCTCATGAACACTTAATTCTCCAGTGTCCACTTCTCCAGTTTCAGCGAAAATGGGCAATTGATAACATCAAAAAGCATACCAACCGAGATCCAATTTTAGTGTCAACAGAATCAGATCACCTCAACAACTACAAGTTTTACCTCAATTACAAAGGAATTCTTCAACACAACACTACCATGGACTCCATTAGCCTCTTCCACAGAGAATGGTTTAATATCCAGAGTACACTATCGTTACTAGCTGGACATGCACATACTCAATACTGGAAGATTGTACAATAATCTCACTTACTCCGTGCCACTGGCGCAAAGTTTAATAAACATCAAATTTTTTTCTGTTGGTTCTTGTCCCCTCCAACGAAGCATTTGGTATGAACACCCTCGATTTTAATGTTGTGAAGAATGTGGGCCACACTCCAAAACAACTATGGATCCACAAGTCATACAACATTAATACACCAGTCTTGTGAAAACCTTTCATTTGCCCGACTGCTTAGATGGCTTTGATGGAGTAAGGTGTGCTGTCCGAGTTGTTATCATTGTTTGACAAATTCAAAGCCACTTATTCGGCCACCATGCCTGTGACGTCATAATTTTGAAAGAATGATCATTCTGATTTTATTTCCTTGCAAGAGATGAATTCAACAATTGTTCATGAAGGAATGAACTAATCACTCGATAAATTCTATCATTGGCATTCCAATCCAAATGAGCGTAATCATCTCTTAATGTATGCCAAACCGATGGGAATGGCTCACTAATGAGATGCAGAATTGGTACTCCTCTCTCGAGGAATGGCCGATGATCATCATCCATGTACGAAAAAGATGATCCATCAAAGTATTTGTTTTCCTTGAATTTCGAGTATTCAATGGCAGAAAGTCTATCATAGAGATTATTTGTACCTTTTTCTGTGTGAATGTAGTAATTCTTAAATCTAACATCGCTAGTTCCAATAAGATCTAATAGCATGAGATACTTGATATTTTGTAATTGATTGGAATTCTCCCAACGTTGAGCTAAATGTCTTGCACCATAAAGAGAATCTGTTGGGCTCCAATTTTGAAAAGCTTCTTCTCCATCGAATAATACAACTGTTGGAACAAGAAAAATTTACCAATCGGTATGTACCAAGTTTTGAAAATGTTTGTTAGAAATGTGTTCGTTTGAAACCCACCTTGAAAATTAAAATTCAATAAATCTTGATTTGATCCTTTTGACTTCACAGTCTTGTTGTAACTATATTCCAATTCAACCATATAATTTAAAATCATTGCTAATGGTACAACAGAATCAGTGGCACCAACAAATGTAGCATCTTTAAAGTATTTGCTTTCGTAGTGACATGCCACAATAATTCGCTTTGAGTTGTTTGGAGTGCTAGGTGGAGCAAAATTAATGATAATATTTGACATTTTTAAATTACCAAATATTGGAGTTGACGCTGTAAAATTGTCATACTCAATTTGGAAATAGTTAGTATGTTCCTGCACAAACTTGTTAATGTACTCTTGTGTCTGGACATAACCAGGAGACACGCTCGGAATTCGATTTCCAAAATCTGTGATCGTTTTTGTTATTCTTTTTAAATTCATGAGAGGGTTTGAAATATTAAAATTGGAGCCTATTATCGAGTTATCAAGTGATGTGTTTTTTCGGAGAAGTGCTGTTGCTCCGAAAGCAATCATGATCATCATTACCACTAAAAACATAAACTGATTACTGAATTGCATGGTTGTATTTTTCTTCTTGTTGTCGTTGTTGTTTTGTAATTTGGTTCTATTTGGTAATGTTTTCATAGTAGCAATGATTCAATGATGATGGTCGTTATTATTATCAATTTCCCATTAATGAGTTTGGAATGTTCGGAATGGGAACTCTGAAAAAATTATTTACTTATTTTTTTTGGTTTCCTTCTTCTTTTCAACCTTTGGTGGTTCTTGTTTGGTTGGAGGAGGAGTATTAGGCAATCTGGTGGTGTTTGTTGTGGAAATCTTCTTGGGTGCTTTCATGAATGCAGGATGAGATTTTGCGTAAATCATGATAAAATGTAAAGTAAAATAGGCCTTAAGAACATGTTCTGGTGTGAAAGAAAGAGTGACATTTTCAAGCTCTTTGAAGGGAAGATAACCAAGTGGAATGTGGATCATGCTCATCTTGTAAATGTGCTTGGTAACATAGAAGAAAATACTTGTGAGTATTGGAGCCTTCAGAACAAAGTTTGGAGAGCTTAAAACACTATTCTCTACACTCTCTCCAATATACAAGTTTACAAAGAAAGGTCTCAAAATTGCACCTCCAACACATGCTGTAGTTCCAAGAATGATTGGAGCAAAGGTTGATTGTGGGTATTCAGTGACTCCAGTGTTAACTCCATTAATACAAAATCCGGCAACAAAGAAACCTTCAATTGCAAAAGTGAAGAGTTGGACCACAACATTGCCAATGAGCCAGTCAACAAGATTGAAAGGAGCATAAATTGTAATAATCCATGCACTGTTTCACATCCACAAGTCATCATTTCGTCAGATCATCATCAAAAATACATTGTCGGAGGTGTTCAATAACCCCTTTCCTCGTGCATCATGATTCATTAAACATACCAAATTAAATACAAATTAATTGTATCGTTTGTAAAGAAAATTTGAGTTTTTCCTAATAGCAAAGATGTCAAAATAGCACCTCCTGTGCCAATTGCAAAACAAAGCAACATGCCAGCAACGAAAGGAATTTCCTTTACTTTTTGAGTTGCAATCAATCCATTAAAAGCTCTTTTTACCATCAAAGCAACAATGAAAGCATGATTCAAAAATAATATATTGAAGAGAAGATTAGGATCGAGAGATTGAAATTGATCGAAGACTTGAGAAAGCACACGATAACCCGTTTGAACCATCGGGTTGTTGATCACCTCTGACAAACTCATTTTTTTTTATCGTGTCTTCATTTGGCCACGATGGACCATTGTTTAGAAAAGCATGTCTGTTGTTTTATTCAAAAATCAGGGTTATTGATTTCCAATATCTTTAAATGTGGTCATACCAGAATAGAATGGATTATGTCCTGAAGGATTTCCTTGTTGAGGGTTGTGCAAGTGTGAATGAGCTGTCACTCCCAGTTCATGCTCGTATTCGTCCTCATCATGTTTTTCTTTTCTGTCCAATTTAGCCTGATTCTTAATTCTCTGAGCTTCTTCCCTTTTAATTCTCTTTTCTTCTGCCAATTGTTTTCTTCTTTCTTCCAACTCTCGTTGTTTCTTTTCATATTCTTCGTCATGTGCAGTGGATGTCAATGGTTGAGAGATGTGAGAGGATGGAAGAGGAGGATGACTTGAAAATGTAGTATGTGGTTGAGATGCTCGAGTGGATTCTACCGATTGGAAAGGAGAATGACTCATTGACGTGGATGGAGTGGTTTCATGATGATGAGAAATGGGTGAAACTAATTGCCTTGGTGACAATGAAAAGGGTTGATCGCTTGGATTTGCTTCCTCTAAGGCTTGACACAATTCTGTGAGATCTTTGACCATTAAATCTTCATCCTCTTTGCCATTACATCTATAAAAAATAGTATGTTCAATAGGATCTTGTTCGAATCCAACCAGATACAACAAGTCCATGGCTCCTTCAACATTCAGAACGTTTTCTTTAAATTTAGGATTTTCCATTTTTATGCTTCGAAACTTGGATTCATGTGGATGAGTGATGATGTTGTGACAAATGCTGTGCAACACATGGAGAGTTGAAGGCGTAAAGTGTTGATGATTGGAATGAATCCAATGTTGAGCTTGCTTTTTAATCATTTTTTTGTTTGTATTTTTATAGATCAAGTCTTTTTTTGGTCATCAATAAAAGCAAGATACAATGTTCAACAACAAATACCATCATGGTTACAATAGATCTCACTCTTAAAAGCACAGATAGGGTTGCAGTCACCTACCACAGCGACAAGCCCAAGCTGACACCACAACCCAATAACAATAAAAAATGGATCCAAAGCTTTTGAACGCAATTCAACAAATCAACGCCCAACAAGAGGAAGTAAACAAAATCAATGCTGGTATGTTGTATGGCGTTTTCAATGTTCGGGCTGTGATAGACTTTTATGATTTGATGACCCTTTAATATTTTTGTATGGTGATGATGATGTTCGATACAACAATAATATTTTCAATTCTGGATGATGATATTCGTTGATATTATTTGATGTATGCAAAAATTTTCAATGATTGATCAAATGAAATTCAACAGAAATTCAAACACAATTAGCTAAACAACAGTCTCTTCAAGCACAAAAGAATGAAAACGAAAATGTAAAATTGGAATTTGACATCATTGACGAATCTAGCGGCGTTGAAGTTTTTAAGTTAATTGGACCAGTTCTCGTTAAGCAGGATTATTCCGAAGCTAAATCTAACGTTGAAAAACGATTAGAATTTATCAAAAAGGAGGTGGAAAATGCTGAAAAAAAGATAGAGGATTTACTGCAAAAGAAACAAACACTGGAGAAGAGCATGGTTGAAATTTCCAACTGGGTTCAACAAAGAGTTGCCCAAATTCAACAACTTCAGAAGAAATAAATATTTATCTCAAGGAGGATAGTGAGCTTGAATACAATGAATTTGGTGGTGTGTGCTTTTTGTATGAGATTTCAATTGATTTGTGAAGGACTAAGGGACACTACCAAATTTTCAAATAGGGCAACATCAAATCGTTACTTCGGAACATTGACGACGATTGACGGCTGCCATCTGTCACTTGAAGGAATTTATCAAAAAAAATCACACAGATTTCACAAAGTAAAATGAACAAGGGAAGAGAAGCGATTCTTAGATGGTGCCAACGAAACTCCTACGGCTATGAAGGAGTAGAGATTGACAACTTTGACACGTCATTTGCCGACGGATTGGCATTTTGTGCTTTGTTGGATAGTGTAAGTGTGTGAAGACATATTTTGATTGAGAAAGAATATATATTCACAACAACACTTGATATTTCATCATCATATCTGCAAACATCCATAACACACTTTTCAACAACACTTTTCATACTAATTGTCTTCGTGATGTTGTTGTGCACGTAATGAATCGATCAACTATCATCACCACTAAATCAAATTCTCAATCTCAATTTTTCTCATCACTCAAACCACCATGACTATTTTCACTTCTTTTCATCATCGACATGCCATTACCCATGGATGGAAATCTTTTCACACATGACTTGTGTGTTTTATTGAATCAATTTCCACATTGATAATTATCATCACCCTATGAAAATATATACGACAATTATACTTTTAACAGCAAAGGCCAGATCTCCTCAAAGACTCAGGTCTCGAATGGGATGATTTGTTACGTGACTTTACTCGTCTCGAGCGTTTAGAATGGGCATTTGGTAAAGCAGATGAAATTGGCATTCCTCGTCTTTTGGATCCAGAAGACATTGATGCTGAACGTCCAGATTCCAAAGTTGTCATCACTTACCTCTCCGGAATGATTAAATTCTTCCAAGATGATTCTGCAGTCGATGAAGCAGCACAAGTGGATAAACCAACAGGATCATTTGCTGCTGCCATTGATGATTTGATTTCTTCATCCAAGAAGGACGCCAAATCTCCAAAATCACCATCAACCACTGCTACTACCACTGAAAAGAAGACAGTTCCAAAACTCAATCAAGAACAACCTACCACCACGACCACTAAAAAAGAAGTTCCTCTCGAAAAACAATTAGAAAATCTTGAAAAGATGTTTCAAAAGGGACTTCTCGATCAAGCCGCCTTTGAAAAGGGTAAACAAAAGATTATGGAAAAGATGAAGGAACAACAAGCTCAATTGAGTGCTCGCAGTGATCATTCATCCAATTCCGAGACCTCATCGACTTCATCTCAAAGCAATGATCCAAATGTCGATAAGACTGCTAAGGCCATTGCTAATTTACAAAAACTCTACGAAAAAGGAACTCTCTCAGAAGAGGAATACAAAAAGGCTTTGGAAAAGTTAAAGGCTAAACAACAAGGAAATGCTCCTCCTTCCACAACCAATACAACTGCTACAGCTACAACTGCTACAGCTACTGCAACTGTGAGCAACGGAAGTGGAGATTCTTCATTGGACACCTCAAAATTCTCTCCTGATCAATTGAAACAATATGAAAAGTTGAGCAAGATGCATTCAAGTGGATTATTGAACGATGCCGATTATCAAAAGGCTTTGAATAACTTGTTAGATAAGGTGAATAAGGGATCCTCTCAAACTTCAACCACTACTTCTCCTGCTTCTACTAGCAGTACGAGCTCTCCAAGAACTCCCAATGTTTCTACTCCAACTGCTACTTCAACTGCTACCTCAACCTTCAAATCATCCGTTCCATTGGACAAGATTCAAGACACCAAGAAATTAAACAATTTAAAGACTCTCCTCAATAAGGGAATTATGACTGAGGAAGAATTTGAGAAATCTGTACAGAGATTGTATCAACAAGAACAAGAAAAACAAAATACTACTTCATCACCAACACCTCAACCATCTGCAACCTCTGAATTCAAGACGGATATTGATATTGATAGTTTGAAAGAAGAAGATTTAGATGAAAAGACAAGAGGTCGTTTAAAGGCCATTGAAAGAATGTACAATGCTGGTCTCTTCAAAGATAATGAATATGCTCATTCCAGAAGAAAGATTATTATGCAAGGATTGCAAGAAAATGGTGGGTCATTCCCCAAGTCATCATCCACAGCAAGTACCACTACTTCATCTACTGCTACGACTAGTACTTCTGAAAAGAAGCCACCTGTTACTTCTTCTACAAGTACACCTTCTTCAACTTCCACCAATCCTAGAAAGAGAACCGAAAGTGTTCTCATTCAACAGCCAAATCTTCCTAAGGAGATAAATGCAGACATTGAGGATTACAAATTACTCTATGAAAAGTTATTACTCGAACACAAGCAATTGGCTGAAGAATTTGACGAATTGGAAGAGGAATATTCTGGATTGCAAGAACAATTATCTACCTTGTACGAACAATCTTCAACAAAGAAGACAGAAGCTCCAAAGGAAGAAGTTCCAGAAGAGTTGATGCCAATTGTTAAGAAGATTGTGTTGAGAAAGAAGGCTGCTATGGGTAAATCGTTTGATGTGATTGTTATTTATCCAAATTGTGATGACAGTGGAAACCAAGTGTTGATGACTGAAAAGGTGAACATTCACTAATAAATTTCTTCTTCATTATCCAATGTACTGCTACTTGGTTTCTTCGCTGAGCGGTTGATGGTCGTCAAACCACAAAAAATGTCTCAACCAGCAACATCGAGTTCATCATCATTGAAAGAACCACAGTTAAAGCATCGCCGCATGAGTAGTAGCTCTCATGAAATTGATAATCGGAATGTTTACAGAATTGCTAGTTTCAACGTTGAAAATTTGTTAGCTCGCTATGAATTCAACAAGGCTCAACAAATGAAAATTTCAAAACAAAGTCTTGCATGTAAAGGAGTGATTGAATTTGGAATTAATGATTTAAAACCAAAATTTTCATTTTCTGATGAAAAAAGTAAACAAATTACGGCTGATGCTATTATTGATATCAATGCAGATGTCATGTGTTTGATGGAAGTGGAATCATTGCAAGTGTTGGATGAATTTAATTCTACGTTCTTGAAAAATTTGAATTATAATTATACAATGTTGATTGATGGGCGAGATCCAAGACATATTGATGTTGCAATTCTTAGTAGGTGAGTTGACATTTGAAAAACGATTTCATGAATACATTGCTGATATCTAAATACAGATATCCAATTGTTAATGTTAGAAGCAATAGACATGCTACTTATCCTGGTGAGAGAAATAGATTTATTTTCTCTAGAGATTTGTTGGAAGTTGATGTTTCATTTCCTGGAAATCATGAATTAACACTTTATATTACACATTTGACATCGATGAACAAAGGACGAGAGGATACACATGATAGACGTGCCAAACAAGGTAAGAGAATTGAGATTGAAATATTAACACGGCGAAAATAGTGGAATATATTTGTGATAGAGTGGAACAAGTATGGAAGCATAAAAACTACAAAGGAAACTTCATTATTTGTGGTGACATGAATGACTACAATGACGAAGAATCCAGTCTTTCAAAATTATTAAACCATGACCATGTGACAGACATTATTTCTCAAAGATTGAAAAAAGAGGATCAATGGACTCACTATTACGGAAGAGGACAAACCTATAGCCAACTAGACTATATGTTTGTTTCAAACGATCTATTATTGAGAAACCCAAGAGCCAAGCCAGTCATCTACCGCAAAGGCTTGCCTTTGAGAGCAACAAAATATAAGGGAGAAAGACTTCAAGGCGTTGGGCTCAACGACCCTAAGGCATCAGATCATGCCGCAGTTTATGTGGACCTTTCGTTGGAATAAACTAGTTCCATTTACATAATTTTAATACAAAAAATTGATAGTTTTTCGGTTCAAAATTGGCAAAGCTCGATATTGAGCTATTTACACGTCAGTTTCGGCGAAACAAAATGTGTTCTTCAACCAAACAATTCTTGAGAAGAAAATGGCAATGATCATGCTAATGCAACCACCACTCCAAATTACTTCTCCTGTAATTTCTAAGCTTCTCTGATTGACTAAGAAGCATCCAGCTCCAATTACGAACAGAACACTGCTCAAAATATTAAATAAATAACTAGAAATATCCAGGGTCATTATTGTAAAGCATTTGAAAGTAATGACTTCATAGGATTTCGAGTAATTTTTGATAATGTCCATTTGCTTTAGAGCATACTGAATAATTGTCACAATTAAATATGAAATTGCTCCTACAGCCCAGCACACCTCGGCGATATATACAACATAAAGAGGCGGGTTTAGCATATAGAGCGATGAGCCAATTGTAAATGTCAATCCGCCAAGCAATAATAGTGTATCATTAAATAATTCTAACAAAATCATTTTCAAAGAAGGTAAATCCTCAGGTCTATACTTTCGAAATTCGTGTTGTAAATCTACTAATTGGTCTACATTCCTGCCATGACCATATTCGATTGATGATTTCGAAGAATTATTCTGGTCTGAATCGTAATGATGTAGATGATTATCATCAACAACTTCGGTCACATTATAGAGCGTTGGTAAATGCTTCAATTTTGTTTCCCATCGAAAATGTCTCACTAATTGATATAAATCAATGACAAGTTTCCCGACAGGTCCAACCAAAAACATGGCACTGCCAATGATAAACAGCAGCACTCCCGAAAAGAAATAAATTTCATTACTCGCAATGAGTAGACCACATCCTGCAACGAACAATGCTGCTCCTAGTACAAAAGTAATATCCATCCAAGCAAACGCCAGAGAAGTTGCAATTCTCATCGCATGACTCAACATCAAGTTATTTTTTTGCGATTGGAGTTTTTCATGAATTTTCAAAGAGATCAAGGATGATGGATGGTGATGATTAAGTGGAAGATGAGCCGCATCCTTATGTCGTTGATTCACTCCCAATGATGTTGGTTTCGTATGGGCCATTTGGAAAGAAGAAAGGAGATTATGCTCGCTTGATGTCGAATGAAAAGAATGGAGGTAAGGAAGCGCGAGAGAATCTGTTTCACGGTGGTGCACGTAAGGATTCTGTGTTTGGTGTTCTCTCACAACCGTTGTAGAATCATGGGTGGTTGTAACGGAAGCATATAGATCTGTAAAACTTGCGTCGGGATGAAATTCTGGACATGTTTTTGATGAAACCGAAGGAAAATCTGTTGATGAATGTCTCTGTAAACAATGTTTGTTTGGAGAGCTTGTTTTCAAACCAATTTCTAAAGTTTGAGCCTCAATAATACATGGAGAATGATGCGAGTTGAAATGCTTGGCAACGGTTTTTGCTGAGGAGCCTGTTGTTGTAGTGGCTGCAACATCTACGTCAATGATTTGGGTGGGAGAGGTGAGTTTGGATGTGTTTGAAGTAGTTTCAGTGATGATTGGGAGTAGTGTGGTTGGTTGTTGTGTTTCGGTGGGTAATGAGGTCGCTTCATTGTTTGTAATGTTGTTGGAATTCGTTGCTTGCATGACTGATTCGTTATGTTGCAATTGATTAAAATTACCATTGACCAAATCAAGGTTATCTGAATTACTGTTATGTACATTAGTGGAGGAGGAAATTGTTACCGAATGTTGATGATCATCATCATTAATATCTATTTTTGTAATACTATTTGAAGACACATTGTAATTGCTTTCGGTGTTGTCCGGAGTGCTCATCTGCATCAAAGTTCAAAAGAATTTGAAATATTGGGATGATACAGTGAGTGATTGTGAGAGAGGAGTTTCAACTGCTGGTTTACGTTTAAAGTCTTTTTAATTTTCAAAATAAGCCCTCTGTATTAATAGCAAGGTGATGAAACAGCCGATACCTATCGTTATCGACTTACGTTATTTGTTTTTTTGTATGGAAATGTAGAATGGGAACCAAAAGATTACTTTTGATTCATGTCTCATTTGAACGTTGTAGGATGATTGGATAAACAAAGAGGTTATTTATGTGTGTAAGGAGAAATGCTGGAATGAGATTAAGTAAGGCGTTTGAGTGGTCACCTTTGGATTCTTCAAATCCGAAAAGGAAAATTAAATACACCAGTAAATACTACAAAAACAGAAGGAGAATCAATCTATGGCCACACTACAATTTTTGGCGTTTTCTTACCTGCAAGGCTGAACATGTCTTTTGAGGAAGCAAAAATCTTCGGAATCAACGAAAAGAAAAAATGATTGAAATTGAAAAGAAGTTTCACTTCTCAAGAAATTGGCTCACCGATGAGGAGAAGGTTCATCACCCTCTATCGGAATTGCTTGAAAAGAGCCAGTTCCTGAAAAAACAAACATTTGTTGATGTTTATTACGATACTGCAGAGTATTCGCTGACTTGTCTAGATATTTGGTTGAGAAAACGAGAAACACAATTTGAATGCAAAGTGCCAGCGTCATTCATGAAAGAGTATGAATATTATTACAGCAATAATATTTCTTCGTTGGAGTTAATTGAAAAAGAACAGAAAAAGCTATTAAACGCAGAACAAACCGGGAATGGTAGACAACTTGTAGATCAATATAAAGAATTAACTAATTATGAGGATATTGGGAAGTTTTTAAATTATATTTTATTTAATCAGGAGTCTTCTCCTGAGTTGAATGACATGATGAAGAAGTTAACTCCCTTTGTTTCATTGCAAACCACTAGAACCTCGTATCTGTACGGCGATGAATTTAAAATTGACTTGGACGAATGTTCCTGTCTCTTTCCCAAACAAATACTAAACGTTTGCGATGTTGGAGAAATTGAGCTTATGGTATCTAGCGAGAATGAAATAGAAATCGCTTCTCACAAAATCCTTAAGTTTTTCACACAATTTAAGCTTGATACTTCTCTAGTGAAAAGTAAATTGTTTACAGCACTTGAAAAAACAAATGTCAAGCACATGGAAATTCTTCAGAAAGCAGGAGTTCTTTTCAAAAGAATGGTGAAGTGTTAGGTATGTTTCAGGACACTGACCAACAATACAAACAGTATTCAGTAACAGTTTGGATGATAGAAATTTTACTCCACCCTAAAGCAAGTGGCTACGGCCATATCACGATGAATGCACCTCATCCCGTCCGATTTGAGAAGTTAAGCATCGTCGAGCTGCATCAGTACTGAGGTTGGAGACAACTTGGGAACCTGCAGTGCTGTAGCCTTTTTGCCTTTAGCATGAATTCTCTGACGGGGTGCAGGTCTGTGAGCTACAAAAGCGAGAAGATCCAGTAAAAGGACAAGAATGAGCATTTGTTGTGTGAATTTCTTTTGGGATCAAATCGATTACCAAGTTGAGGAGATTCCAGCAAAAAAAAAAACGGATGACAGCGAGCTCAATAAAAGCTCAAGCTAGCAAACGGGCAAAGAACATGAACATCTGTGCAGTTAGCTGTAAGAAAAATATCTTGAGTGCAGTGGTACAAAAAGGAAATTTAGCAGCAACCTTGGTATCATAAGTCCTGAGGCAAGATTTATCGATTACTTGTTATTTGCAGTTCGGTTACTTGAATGTAGTGGTTCTTTCTCGACCTTTTATTTACATTCTTTTGTCTTCTTTGCACCACTTATGGTTCGATATTTTTCGACTTTGATCTTTCACAAAAGAGCTTCAGCTAACTTGATGTTTCCATCTTCGAGCGTTTCCTCTTTGGCATGGAAATTGTTGTTTGAAAAAAAAATATTGAACTCATCATGAAGGGTCATCCTCACTTGTTGTTTGTTTTAGCCTTGTGCTTGGCTATATTGTGTTGCTCTTGTTCTACTCTTCTGCAGGCACAATCCGTCAGCGTCCGTGTTTTGAACAAGGCTATCTATGACATGCTCAACGACAAGACCACATCTCGTGGATTTACTTCCATCCATCAATCATATTTTGGAGATTCCGTGATGCACGCACCTGTTGATAAATGTACAACATTTACTACTTGGCCAGCAGCTTCAGAAGCTGGTAGCGATCCTACTTTTGCAAATATTTTGAGTAGAAAATATATTGTTTTTGGAACGAATAGCGTGAACAACAATCCAAAGAGATACAATTATGTCGGAGTGGGGTCAAATTATGGATCTTGTACAGGATTTGAAGCTGGTATGTGGAAATGACAATTATCAATTGAAGTTGTGAAACTTTCTATATTTGTTATATTTGTAATGTGTGATGGCAAATTGACAATTTTAATTGAATTATTGATTCCTTAGATATTGCATCATCTATTGCTTATAGAATTGGTATGCAATATACCAACAGCCCTTTCAATGCCTATTTCGTGAACAATACCAAATGGTTCAACACTTTTACTGACAACATTATTTATGATTTGCAAATTTCTAAATTTGACTTTATTTTGAGTGGTATGGGAACCAATGCAACATGGAATACAACTCAAGGATTCGTAGCTAGATCTTCTCTTGTGGATTTTACATGTCCTTATCAAAATGATGGAAATGGTGTTGTAAAAGGAAATCTTGCAACCACTGTTACATTTAACTCTCTCAGCGATTTGGATCAGCCAGAAATTACATTGTGTGTTCAACAGGGTGTAAGTTTCGAAATATTCAATGGATGATACTCACATTAATAGACTTCTATGGAAACTGTGGCAAGACAATTACTAAAGAAAACTAACATTACTACTTTTGTTGATGGAATGTTACCTTACACACTCACTAGGGACGCTGTTACTTGCCATGCCTACGTAGCGTAAGTATCATTTCTGTGACATTTTACAGAACTATTGTTCGAATTGTTTCTTCTAAATTTATGAAGTCCTTTAATCAATGGCCTATTCCAAGCAAAAACAGATGCTCCAAAGCTCACGTATTTAGGTTTGATTGGTCAATCATCAGACGTATCAATTGCAGTCAGAAAGAGCGCTGTTTCCTCGCCAAAGCGAAGCTCTGCATCTTCGGTAGACTTCTGTTTGATGCTTATTCTTTGTGCCATCTTTAGTGTGCTCGCAATTGTTATCTAAATCCATTTCAAATAAATAGTTTATTTTTGAGGTTACAAATTGTGATGATGGGAGGATGACTTGACACCCTCTCCAATTGTTGATACACTAATGGGGAAGGAAATGGACGTGTAGCATGGTTGGAAAAATTCAAAATAATATTTTCTAATGTTGAATAAATGGCAAAGGAAGGAAAGGATCATGAGAAGGTTTGTAATAATATTGAAGACGTTTCCATCATCAACAAAGCATTCAAGAATTACTCATGTTCAATCGAGATACTCGAGGAGAGGTTCTCCTACGGTAGTAATCTTGTCAATATTTGGTGGAAAATCAAAGACCTTTGCTAGCACAAGTTTGAAGAGTTTCTTAATATTGATACCAGCAGCAGCACTACTGTAGATGAGAGGACATTTCATCTTCTCGGCGTATTTTCTTGCTTGTTTTGTAATCTCTTCTTGCTCTTCCTTTGGCAGTTCAATAAACTTGTCATATTTTGTTCCAATCAGGAAAGGCAGTGCTCGTTTGTTATATTTTCTTGAATGAAGGAACCAATCCTTTACGGAACGAAGAGTTGTTTTCCTTGTGAGATCAAACATAAAGAACAGGGCCAATGAATCGTTACAGACAAGATCAAGCATACTCATAAATTCCTTTTGACCTCCCAAGTCCCAGATCATCAAATTGACTTCAGTGTTTTTAATTTGGACCTTCTTCTCTAAAAAGTTTACACCCAATGTCATGATGTAATCTTCGTCGAATTTTCCATTCACGTATTTTACCATCAAGGATGTTTTACCGACTTGAACATCACCGAGCATACCAACTTTTACTACAAATTGCTTGTTCTTATTTGACATGTTGATCCGATGATAGATGTGTAATTATGAACAATATACAAAATATAATGATGAGAATTGTGAGCTCAGCTAGAGTAATGCGAGTGCTAGTGATGAGCTGAGTGAATACAAAGAAATAAAATTTACAGCTGTGGAGAAGAGGAAATTTTTTGTGTGATGTTTGGAATTTGATGACTTGTTGCAACACTCTTCGGGAGGGATGATGGTGTAGAAACGAAATCAAAACTCCGATGCTGAATGAACACGTTTATTCTTGTTGCAAATAATGTTTTTGTGGGTATACACAGTCTAGAATGAACGTCTACCCACTTGCCATGTTTGAATACTTGTTTGAATACATGTTATTTAGAGAGTGTTTCATGATCCAAGAGCTTGATCAATTCATGACTAATGAGTTGAGCTTGTTTTTCAAAAAGACTCGTGTTGTTGTGTTCGGTGGACGTATGGTTGTGCATCAATGGATCCATGATCTTAATAACTTCTTGTGAGATGGATTGAAATGAACATGTTTTGGTCTTCATCAAACATGTCAATACTTGATGCATTAAAAGAAGATCTTTTTCAATATCAAAGAGATGAATGAATTCAGTTAAGGAAGATTCACACAATTTGAATAAATCCATGCATAACTTGGTAACAGTTGGTTCCTCAATACACAATTGAGAACAATTTCTCAAGAGTGTGACAATGAGTGTTGGAAGGGAAGGATCATCAATGTTCTCTTTCAAACAAACATGGATGTATTCCATATCAGAATTAAAGGTAGATATGGTCATAGTGGAGAGACATGTCTCTTTGTCTAGATAAAGTAAAATAATGGAGTAATGTCAGCAACATGTTGATCCATTCTAATACTTACTTTTCCAAAAGACTTTTCGTATGGTGTCTAATACCTTAATCTTTTCAATTTTTAAAAACCTTGTGGATTCATGCATGGCATGCCCAACTTCTTCTAAAATATTAAATGCAAAATTGAGTACACAAAGACATTCATATAACAATGAGGTTTCCAATTGATCATAATTAATTTCTTTTAACACTTGTTCAATTTGCTGGATTCTCGTGGTGGCAAGTGAAACAGCATGATTTTTGAATGGATCAGCATGTAATAATGAGGTCACCAATAATTTAGTTGTTGGTTGATGTGGACTACATCCATGTTGAACTATATAATTTACAATAGCATCCTATAAAGTAGTATTTTAAATAATAATAATAACATTGCAAACAAATTAGTCGTAAATTACCTTTTGATAAATAATTCCATCTGCTGCCATGACAGGGCAAGACATGATTTTGTTTGACAATGGACATGTTACAATCCTAAATGAATCCCTTGACCTTAACTGAGACAACATTTCCCTGTCTATTTTTGTTGATTTCGAAGGTACAGATTTCGTGTTCTCTTGTGAAATATTATTCTTTGCAGCAGCAATTGTGTCAGTATTTTGTGTTGAAGTGCTTACGGATGGTAATTTCGAAGAGGACTGTGCAGACAATTGGCTCTGCGAGGATGGTTGTGAATTAGGTGTAATAGTGTTCATGGATGGAGGTTTAGCAACTACAAGGGTAGATTGACTTGGAGCAACTATAGAAATTAGTGATGATGATTTAACACTTGCAACATTATTACTTTGTGTTGTGTCTATGGATGTGGAATTTTGAGCGAGTGTAGAATTAGTGGAGATATTCACAGGTGCAACTTGAGTGGTAGTCACTTTTTTCTTTTTAGCATGTGTTGCTTGTTCACACCAATAAGCTTTGGTATTTTTGTCTAGGTTTTTCCAAGCTCGTTTTAATTCCTTTCTTCTATCTTTTAGAGGTATAGTTAGAAATCCAATCGTGTTTTTCAAGTATAGTTTAAATCCTGCTTTTTCAGGTTTAGGTATTGGGGACAGCTTTCTTTTTTTCTTTCCGTCTTTGTTTTCTTGTTTGGTTGAATTTCTAGTCGCTGGTCGTACAGCTTGACCACTTTTTGTTGCTACAAGTGATGCATCCTTACGAACAGCAATAATTTGTGGGACATCACTACTGTCGGATCCAGAATCAATTTCAACTACCAGTTCCGAAGTGCTTGCTGTGGTGCTGGATGGTTGTGAAAACATTTTTTAATTGTGTTGTTGCTTCACGATTTGTTGAATAGATTGATTTAGTTTAATGCTCCCACATTTACGCTCTGTTTCCCATCGTAATAAATATACACCTATGATTCATGTCAACAATATTTAGACAAAGAGCTTTGGGAATTTGAGAGTAAGTTCTGGCAAAACAATCTTTTGTTTAACCAAGGTCAAACGTTGGAAGATGGAACTGGCCAACTTGTCTCGGATTTCACGGTCATCCCAATACTTGTCTCGCAATTCCACATATTCAGCAGTAATATCTAAAAGTAAATCTTTGTCAGCATCAGGATAAGTGTAGGTATTTCTGTACTTGTTGTTCAAGTTTGAAAGAATGCTGCAAAGGTTTTCAGCATGGAGAGCAACACTCCATAACAGAGAGGCTCTCTCCATCATTGGAACAAGAACAGCCTTATCAGCATCGGTGTATTGTGCGGCATCATTCTTGTATTGTTTAGCACAAGCTTCCCACTCTTCAATCTGTCGGTATGATGATGACGGAAAATAGTAATCATTGAGAATTCATCCCCAATAAGAAATAAATCCTTGCACCAATACTTACAAAATCAATTTCATGAGAACTCATGGCATCCCATCCGACTGTTCTAATAAAATCAATAATAGGAGACACTCTAGCATATAAATCCTTTCCTGCTAACGAAAGTTGTTTTGGGACATTTGGACCAATCCAATCATTAACAAGATGACGTTCGTGAACGTGAGCAACATCGGGGACTAAATTAACGACTCCCAAATAATTTTCTAAATTATTTGCTCGATGTTCGATGAAGCGATTTCTGACTTTTTGTGCATCAGAGATCTGTATACCTGGTGGAGTTGGAAGCTTTTCAGGAAGATCCGAGTAGCATCGTGATGAAACAAAATTGGTTGTACCAATCAAGCTGTTTGATGAAATTCTGCTGGAAAGCTTGCGAGAGACAGAAAGAATGGACTTCATTTTTTGTTTTGTTTTGGGAATTGGTTTGGCATTGTCTTTGCAGCTCTTGTGTTTCTAAAACCACAGCTTGTAAATGTTTAGTTCGTTCATTCTCAATTGTGTTTCCTCAACAGAGTTCATATCAGTTATAGTTTGAAATCTTTTTCAGCTCACCCAACTCGTATAAAAAAGAGCTTTGCTTTTTAAGACATTCTCATTTTGACACTTGTTTTCGTTGGGTGGGCCTGTTTGTTGGTGAATTCACCTAAACACAGTCAAAAACATAAAAACACCCTCAACATCCATCTTGGCTTATATGACGTTCGTTCTCCAAAACAGAAAGACAGACGAAAACAAGTTCGCACCCTCTTAACACTCGTTCCATTCTACTTCCAAAGTAGTCTCAACTCAACAACCAGAAAAAAACATTGTCAATGAAACACAAAATCAAACCAATCGTTGTGTCTCTAATAGTGAGCGTGTTTTTAGTGCTTGCAGTTTTCTCTATTCATCGATGGAGTACTAGTACTCATCCTCTCTACATGAATAATCAAAGAATTTCCAAATTGAACTCGTTGGAGAGAAAGATGGAGAATCATTATACTCTTCAACCAGAACAGAACCACCTTCTTCAGAGTAACAACCTCCACTCTCCACAACATCTATTAGAAACGTATGGTCTCTCTTTTCTACCTTCTCCAAACAAATTTCGTATCTTTCTCATTTGGATTGGTGAAACTTTTCCAAGTCTTTACATGAGTGCATTCGAAACCATTCTCTTTCACCATCCACATGCTCAAGTGATGGTCCTCTCCAATGAATTGGACGAACATGTCTTTGACTCGTTCAAAAAGTTTAAACAATCTTTGAATGAATCTTCACAACCAAAATATCAAGACATTCATGTGGTGAGATTTAACTTGACTGCCATGACTAGGGAAGGCAAGTTAGGATCAGATTTTGTTCAAGATGCACTTTCTATTGCCAAAAGATCATCCCATTCACAGGATTCATCATTTCTGAAATTAACACGAGTACACCTCTCAGATTTTCTTCGTTATTACATGTTGTATTATTATGGAGGATTGTATATCGATTCAGACATGTTTGTGATGAGAAACTTGCAACATCTCAAGAATGCCATTGGAGTGGATGGATTTCGTACACAAGTGTGTCATTCTGAAGTCTACTCGAAAGGTCCTGTGAAGGATTTTGCATGTTTGTGTAATTGTTTAATGTCCTTCGAGAAGGAACATCCTTTCATGAGAGAAGCTCTTGAAAACTATGGTTACTTTTGGAGAACGATTCAAGGTTATGGACCTGGAGGAGCTGTCATGCTCATGAAATTTGTCAAACGCCATTTGGATTCTCTGAGTGTGTATCATAATGGTCAATTTCTTTGTAATGATTATTTGCAACGTTATGAAATGCATGCTTCTTCCGGTACTAGTCAAGAGGTACAAGAAATTATTGATAATTGCCATGTGGCTCATTTGTATGGTGGTGGAAAGAATTCACTACAAATTAATCTTCACGGTACCAATGTGATGAGTCGAATTTATGAGAAGTTTAAAATTTCGTAAGCGTTGAGGGTGACTGAGTAAGGTGGTTCTTGAGAGAGAGATGATCATAATAGGTCTTATTTTTCACACATGATGTGTATTTGTTTTGGTGCCTCTTAATGGTGTGAATGAATTATTTTCATTCTTGAGAAGATTTGGATTCATGAAAAAACCACAATTGTGTATTCCTTCCATTCACCTTGTGTGTGTTTTGTCCATTCGGATAGGAGTGGTCATATTTTCTCTCACAGCAATTCATGATTGTGATCAAAGAATTGTCTACAGTAAATGTGAGTTGTTTGATATTAAATGCATTAATCAAAACAATTTCTATTAACATTATCCATAGGTGAAAAAACTGTATGACGTTGCAATCTGAAAAATTCATCGATTGAACCCCATCGATTCAAACAAGTGGAAGTTGGAGTAAAAGTGACCATCATGGGTTCAATGTCTGCTGTTTTGACTTTCATTTCAATCCAACTTTCCAAATTTTGAACTCCATTCACACAATAGAATTCAGGAGCATGTCTAAAAAAGTGGCCTCCACTTAGTATCATATTCTTATTTGGAGTCAATAATTGATCATAAATTGAAAATTTAGTATTTTCAGAAGATGCCAATTCTTGGAATTTGTTCACAAATGGCATGGAAACCACAAACCCTGCACCAAAGGGTAGTCCTAAATCTTCATTCGGAGAGAGAAGCATTTCTTGTGCCGAGGAAAAAGCTCCAATGTACAGCATGTTGTCTTGTGGAAAAGTTTCCAAATATTGTAGTAATAAATTAATGTCAACTTTTGTGGACTCTGAGACCACAAGCACCCATTTAGAATTTGCAAGAGCAGCAAGTTGTCCATTTAAGCATTGTTTAAACGAATCCTTTTGTGACATGGGATTCTCAATCCTGCATCCTAAAACCTTACTCATTTTAACAGAGTCTTTCCAATAACTGAGAGCTCTGTCGTATTGACTCCATAAATCATAGTTGGGAGAAATGATCTTTTTTCGCGAGTTCAAATAATCACTTGGCATGACCAAGACTGCTACATCATTCTTGCTCAACTTGCCACTGAGAAATCCAGATAATTTCTTTCGATTTTTGAGGAAATGATTATTCCAATGTGAAAATATCAACTGGTGAAGATTTTCCATGTAGAGAGCAGCTTTTTCAGGATCCGATTGGTGCTGCTCCTTTTTATCCCACTGAATGAAATCTTGTGGAGGTACCTTCTGTATGAGTTCAGATATTTTCACAGAATTGACTTGTGAAGTGTCATCAGCGAGTGGTTCTGATCTGCCATAAAAATCATTTTCAATGGCCAACTCATTAAAACATTGAATTTGATTTCTTCGAAGCAATCGTGTCGGAATAATTTCCGTCATTGGTTGCACACTATGATGCTTAATGTAGTGAAAACCAGCTCCAAATCTAAATCTGTCATACCAACTCAAATTTGGAGGATCTTGATAACTGGATGGATCACAATAATACATGTAATGAAGAGCATGCATGGTATGTTCATTATTCAATACCTTACAGGGATCCAAGTTTGGTTCCTGTGTTGGAATGTATTGTGAAACACACTTGTAAATGGTCAAATCGAAATATTCCAATCCAAATTTTGCAATACAAGCATCCAAGTGTTTCTTTAGCAATAAAATTGCCTTATCATTGAAAATCACTGAAGCTCCTCCACTCAACTCTCTACAATTCGTACTTCTTCCAATAATTAGAGGTTGATTCATGTCTAATTCTCCATTGGATATTTTTCTTTCATATTTTCCAATGACACGAAATAAATTTCTTGAAATCATAAACATGTCATCATCGGATAATATGAACCAGTGAACTTTTGAATCATTTCTTTCATTCCTTTTATCCAGCATGTAATATAGACTCTCAATGAATCGTTGCTGAGCAGCATTATATCCTGAACCTTTTGTATTTTGAACAAGAGTCGCATGAGTGTATTGAGAATAGTCACGCTCTGAAAAGGGTTGATCTGAGAAAATGAAAAAGTTATCCTTTTTGAAAGGAAAGGCAATTTCTGAAGAAAACATGGTTTCATAGCTTGCTTTCATTAACCCATGAAGATTTCCATGATGTGTGATTTTAGCAATGTATAATAATTCATTAGAAATACAAATGACTTTAGGATCTTGAGAGATTGTTGTATTCGTTGATTGTTGTTGTTGAGTATTATTATGGAATGTATGATGTGGATTCGAGCTTTTGTGTTTAATCATAGACTCGAAATGTCCCGAATTGACTTTATGAATCATGGCCATGTAAATTCCCAGAGCCAAAGCCAACATGATGAGAATGAAGGTGATAATGATGAAACGAGGTGATTTGAAAAGTTTTCGTGGTGATGTTTGTATTGTCATCATGATGGTGGGCGTATCGGATGATGTATCACCTAAAAAGACCTGCCTGTCATGGTTCATTGTGATAGAAACGCTTTTTTTTGTTTTAAAAACCAACAACTGGCAGATGTGTTGGCTCAGTTTCAACTTTGCGCCAAAATTCGTTTCAATTCGCAAGGTTCCTAATGATGATTATTGATCAAATACAAACTCTTATAGATAACTCACTAATTGCTTCCTCGACAGCCCAGCGTGGATGAGAGAAATAAAAATTCAAATTAAAAAAAAATGTCTCACTCGGATTCCTTTCTATCGGCTGATGATTTTGTTGAATCATCATCGGCTTCAACTAATATTGCTTCATCATCGGACGGGGCTTCAAACACCACCTCATCAACAAACGCTTTAAAGCGAGATTTAGGAGAGGCTGGAATTGAAGACGAGTCTAGCAATCAATCTACCAAGAAAACAAAGCACACAATATCCATTCCGGTACATAGCTCGTGGTTTAGCACTGAAGAAATACATGCCATTGAGAAAAAGGCTCTTCCAGAGTTCTTTGGAGAAGATAAGGATCCAAACCACTATAAAACATTAAGAAACGCTTTGGTTTCACATTTCAGAAAAAACCCAGATGTATATTTGTCAATGGCCGATTGTAAAAGAATCACCAATGCTGACACATCAACCATTATTCGGTTGTATTCATTCCTAGAGCATTGGGGATTAATCAATTATGCTGTCGATCCGAGAAATAAGCCAGTTAAAATCAATCAACCATTGAACAATTCCGAATCTGAAACTCAAGTACATAACTATACTACTGATGGGCAATCATTGACTGAGAAATTCTACACCTTCCAGAACTTACCAGAGCAAAAGAAGAAGGAACCTAAGGTAACACCTCCAGTATCTAACTGGACAGATCATGAAATCCTAAGACTTTTAGAAGGAATTGAAAAGTTTAAAGATGATTGGGACAGTATTGCAAAACATGTTCAAACTAGATCAAAAGAAGAATGCGTTTTACAATTTTTACAATTACCCATAGAGGATGAATTTTTATTGGAACAAGAAGGCCTTGAAAATACAATGTATCAAGACTTACCACTTCCATTTGCTGATGCTAGCAATCCAATTATGCATACAGTGGCTTTCCTCTCTTCAACAGTAAGCCCTTCGGTTGCAGCAGCTGCCGCAGAAGCAGCCATGCAAAAGATTAAGGAGCAAGCAAGCAGTTCTGAACCTGAGAAACCAGCAGCATCATTTGATGTTACAAAGCTAGATGTTCAATCTGCTTCAAGCGTTGCTCTTGGTGCAGCAGCAGCACGAGCAAAGGAAATTGCTACTAGAGAAGAAAGAGAGCTACAAAGATTAGTAGCATTTGTGATTGAGCAACAATTGAAAAAGCTTGAAAAGAAAATTAAATACTTTGAGAAATTAGAAAAAGCCATGCAGATCGAAAGAGAAGAGTTGGAAAAAGCAAGAAAGGAATTGCACCAACAAAAGATGGAATTTAAATCAAGTTCATCTACTCAAGAATAAATTATTTACAAGCTCTTTTAATTTTGACACTTATTCTTTTGCATTGAATGCAAGTCCAAAGATCATATCAAACGCCTTATCTCTTTCTTCTGAGCTCTTGAATTCTGAGAATTCAATTTTTTCAACGGAAGAGTTTTGTTTCGATTTCCCTTTTACATGTAGAATAATTCCACAATCGTGGAGTAAACTATGAGATTTGCTCATTTGTTGAATCCTGTCAATTGAAATGACATCTGTTCTAGAGCTTTGGTCCATTATTACCACAGATTCAAAAGCTAAAAAATGTGTGAAAATATGAAGCATGCCTCTCAGCAATGTTGGATGTGTACATGGAATATTATATGCTTCATTGGTTTCATCCTTATCAATTTGTAAGAATCTATCGTGAATGTTATCAATAGAGTAATTTGCTTTGAAATTCTCTTCAATTGAAGAATGAAATTTTTGAACTTCCAAATCCAATTGAGTTAATTGTTCATTTAGTTTTTCAATTTCTTCTTCTAGGACGGACTTATTAGACTCCAGTTCTTTTACTTGCTTCCTCAAATCCTCCCTGTCGGTTTTAATTATTTGATACAAAGCCTTCATTTCATTCTTTTCAATAAATGTTGTTAAATTCGCTACCTTTTGATTTAGTGAAATAAAGGCGTTCAAACATGTTTTGATATCCAATAATTCATTTCTATCTGCTTTAATTCGATCTGTTGCTTTATCTCTTTGATACACTAAATGTTTTAATTTCTTTACTTCCTCTGCTTTTTGCAATGATTTACAAACGGGCAAATTCTGCATATACGCAGGATATTTGTGAGCACGATAAATACTCGATGGAGTAGATAATGATGATCCCGATATCTCAAACAAACTTGTGGACTTGGTCATACGGGAATAGGTCGTTGTTGTGGTTGTCGAAGATGTGATATCCGATGCCTCGTCATCCTCATAACTGTGATGATGCAGGGGACACATTTTTTAAAGGATGGTAATGAATCGTTGGTGCTCCTTCCAACTTCAATTGCAATACTTTCCGAAAATTGGGGTATGAACTGGAGTTCATTGTTTCATTATTTGAGAAGGGCTCTTATGAAATTTAAATATAAAAAATGTATCAAGATGATGATGCCGATACTGCCTATACGATGGACAGTACCGAGTGGATGCCAATGATTACATCAGTGCTGATGCCATTCAGCAGTGCTAGTAGTTCTTGTGGAATTGCGTCCGATACTCGACCGCATCATCATTCTTGTCTTCCTCGTAATTTTCTTGTAAATTATTTCTATCAAGAAGGCTTTCGGGATTTAAAATGTCATGAAAGGAATATGGTTCCTTTTATTAAACATTTACTCGTGCTTTTTACAATATTGTGTTTAGTGGCCTTTCATCACACACCTATCATGGAAGGAGTCACTGCTCAACTCTATGCAAATAGCATCATGTTTTCCAAAGTGGTGCATCCAAAATTCTCACTAGAAAAAGAACAATTAATGATCATTGTTGGAGAAGTGACAGACACCACTGTGAGGATTGTCTATGAATGGGCTCCGTTATATTCTTTGAAAGATGTTTCACCGGATTTAAATGACTTGAATCTTTATTTAGATGTAAAGAAAAGAATTGACAACATACTAGGTTCAAACAATGTTAAAATGTACAAAAACACAAAGGATGATTTTGAATTTATTTATTTAATGATGACAGAGCAAGAAAGATTGGAATGGACTAAAAAGCATACGAGCCAATGGAAAATTGTTTTGAGAAAGACAGAAACAAGAACTGTTGTCAATGGAAAGGATATCATTGGACAAGTGGTAGAAATTAGAGACAGAGAAGGACCAAAAGTGTTGCAATTTGATTCTCTCACGCCCAATACTTGCTATACTGTAGAATTTGTACGATTGGATGGAAACACTGAAGACAATGAAGAGTATGCTACCTTTTGCACAGTGTCTACAGATCCATTTTCTCTCACTTCAAATGTCAGAATTAGTGCAATGAGTTGTAATCGATTATTTGAAGACCAAGACACCACAACCTATGATGAATTTTTCATTGAGCATCAAGATAGCTTGTGGGATTTTGTTGTTCACATGGGAGATCAAGTGTATGCAGATTGGGTTTATCATGAATATTTGAAAAAGATTAATCCACAAGCTTCTTTTGATGACTTGCTAAATGCATTTAGATATGTGTATAGAAATACTTGGAAAATTCATGCTGTTCAACGAATGTTAAGACATGGTATGTGAATGAATTGATTGTATGATGAAATATTTACAATTTAATAGGATCTCATTTAATGATTCCTGATGACCATGATATCATTAACAACTTGGATTCCTGGATGCTTTCCAAGGAATCTGATGACGCAATGAAAAGAATGATTTTTGCAGGAAAGGAAGCATTTTATGAATATCAATATCAGCTCGTAAAGGATGTATTAATTGGTTCTAAAAAACAAGAACTTGTGAGCAATAGCTCAGTCTACTACTTTAGAGACCTTGGATTTGCATGTCTTGCTTTACTAGATCTGAGATTTGAAAGGACATTTAATAATGACCCAGAAAGTCCTCTGTTTGGAACCAAACAATTGAATGATTTGAAACAATTTCTCAGTCGATGCATGAACAATGAGAATAGATCAATCAAAATCAAGAGAGCTCTCATTTTCACCTCTATTCCCCTTCTTTTCTTTGGAGAAGGATTTTCTAAGGTTGTCTATGCTGCAGAGCGAGAACGATATACGACTCATCAAGATTTCAAACAAGATGTTACTCAATTTCTTGACTATTTAGACAGTACTTATGGAACTTATCGAATTGTGTTTGTTGCAGGGGATATACATCAGTTTTTAATGTCACACATTTGTAAATCTCAAGAACATTGCTTTGAACAAATGATTACGAGTGGAATGACTATTCAGTCCACTGTAGGAGCAGAGATCAAAATAATTTTTGCCAATCTCATAGATAGATTCTTCTTTTCCGCTCCATCTTTAGGGGATTGGCATTTGGCTAGAAAAACCAATTTGGAAGATACATCTACTCTTCAGCACTCCATTAGAAGAAATTATGGAATTATAGAAATGAAGCCAGACGGAAATGTTGCATTCATGAGAGGCGTGCAATCAAAATATGCCAACAGAAGAGATATTTATGTTCAAGATTACATGTTCGACCGTGGATCCATTTACTTAATTTTAACACTATTTTTCCTCTCTGGAATTGTATTTCCAATTTCAATGACTGTTTTTCTATTCAGAATAATTCAATTCCTATTTGAATGGTGTTGGAAAAAACAGAAAAAGGAATAATATTCGAACTGTGTTTAAGTATAATGAACGGCAAGCCAAATGCAAGGTGGATCCACAGAAGTTGATTTCACTTGATGTCTCACATGTTTTGGAATATTGATATAATCACCCTTTTTCAATTTCACTTCTTTCAATTCCACTACATTTTGATCTTTTTTACATTCCATCAATAGAGTGGACTCCCCTTGTAAAAGTACCACAAATTCATCCTTCTCTTGATCGTACCATTCCTCGGAGGGTGTGAATTGACCGGTTGAAATAATTCTTTCAATGAGTGTGGAGTTGGTTTTAAAGAGATGTTGAAAGAGTTCGATATTTTCATTTCTACTCGAATCGAGATGATGAGATTCCACATGAAATAGATTTCCGAGAGTGAAACTCTCATTCCTCTCGCTGTGAATGGAGGTGTTGATGGGGACAGAGTTTAGATGAGGATCCTTGCTCATTTTTATTTTGGGAGCGAGTTGTTCTCGCGAATCAACAACAACGTGTGAAATGGAATCAATTGTCCATGACAGACTGGTGTCATTGCACACATACTGTATGTGGCTCTCTCGATCACTCAAGAAAAAGTGATCACTTGACTACTATCAAGTTGGTTTTGTCATGTTTCTATTTATGAGGAATTAACATTCCTAGGAGCAGGCAGTGGTGTTCTCCAATGAACATTTCTTTTTCTGCAACACCTTAAAAAAAATTGAATTGAAATTGAATCCACTCACACACAATGAATTACAACTTTAATTTTGCACATCAAAGTAAAATTAAACAAGCAGGCATCTTTGGAGTGGCAGCTCTCCTTTCTGTGATTGTCGAAGGAATGCTTGCCAAACGACCAAGATATAACAAATTTTCAGATGAACCCATGCCAGAAATTGTAGAATACGATCGACATGTGGTTCGTCCTGGTGCAAATGTACTCGTAGATTTGATGGATTTCAGTAGAACGACCTTTGATAAAGTTCCAAAATTTGATTATCGAAATGAAGAATCAGTTTTTAAAACCACTCTTCATCCTCCACAGCAGTAGTGACACAATAATGATGAAGACAAGTTTCATTGCGCTCTATTATTTCTGTGAATGAATGCTTAATGTAAATATTGGAAGAACATGTTAAAAAAGAGAATGTATTAATCTTTCGGTAACAATACAATTATTAATCAAGTAAATCCTTAGGATCGTATTCAGATCGTTGATTCTGTCGATGGCTGTTGTTGTTGTTCATTTTCATTCGTCATCAGGTCTCTGCTCGTTCCTAATTGGTGTTTGGGTTGTCGTTCCAAATCAGCAGCATCATCTTCCTCGTCGTCATCACTCAAATCCAAACTTGATGCCTTGATCAAAGTTCCTCCTCCGTTTTTAGTAGCTTCATTTCTGTAGTTTTGATAATCAACCCAATCTTTTAAATAATTGTATTGAAAGACGAGAGAAATGACAATTCCAAAAATCATACCAAATGGAATTACAATTGCTAATTGTCTTAACATGAGCATTCCATAGAGCATGTTGCTTAAACTAATGTATGATGGATTTGTGTCAGAAATCAAGCTGTCAATAGAAACATTCGAGTCTTTTTGCATACTAATGAACAAACTAAGAGCACTAGAAATAATCACGCTACAAAGTAAGGTAGCGGCCATAAAATAGACATAATTACAGGCTGGTCTTCTATACCATAAATAGCTAAAACATTTGCATTGAAAAATTCCATTCGTTACAATCTCTGCACAAGTGTAAATGATTAAGAAATAAATTGAAATGCCAATCAAGAAGGTCCATAAAACTTTCCATTGAGTTCCAACAGCAAGGGTTGACTATGAAGAATGTCACTCTTCACACTACATGCTCAACAAATAATACACTCACCTTTGTTTTTGTTGAGAAATTTTCCTGTCGAATAATTACAATTGATTTTGCATTCTCAGTCCAATCCGTTCCATACGAGAAGATGCATAACAATCCACAAAAAATACATAAACCAAAAATTATGAATGCAACAAGTTTTTTCACAGCTGTAGCTTCATCATACTGTATGTATAACATTGAATAATGAAACACCTCTCTCTGACACCACTAATAGTGTCAAAAATAGTAGTACTTACTGGTACATGTGCAATGTTTACAATGAAAATGGCAGAGAGAATGATCATCATCAATCCAAAGAGCTGCAAATATGTTACCATAATGAAAATATGATCATATTTCAACACCATAATGATGATGCATTTCTCACTTCAATCGATCACCTACCACAGCAAATAATTTATAAAACAATAATTGAATCAAAATAGTTCCTGTCAAAAATGTCACCCAAACTCCTAAAAACACTCCAATCACAGCTGTTACGATTTGATTGCCCCGAGTGAGACCTGGCACAGTAATTCCAAAAAAATCGGAAAAGAAGGATGTTGTTGGTGAAGTGACTGGTTGTCCGAGATGATTCACTGGTGAGTATGCAAATTCATTGCTAACTCCTTTGAGTGTATTCAAAAGTCGAGATTGTGTAACACTTGAAAACATTTTTTTGAGAGGTGCCTGTCAGTTGTTGGTCTATGAAACGCAAATTGGGTTTTTTAATTGGTGGTGATGATGTATGATTGTAATCAAGCAAATGGAACGGAGCATGTGTGAAAAAATCAGCATTTGCATGAAGATGATGTTGTCTTCTTTCCACCTTCATCACTGCTGTCATCTCCAGCTTGCTCTGTGAGCAGAATTTCCTCTACTTGTGATGGTGTAAATGACGTTTTTCGAGGTTCCTTCTTTTCCTCTAGTAATGGGGAATCAGGATACGAACAAATCACGAATCAGAAAATAACATCAAATAGGTACTTACTGACTGCTGCAACGAACGCTTCTTCCACGTTTTGGCCGTCAAATGCACTCTAATTCCGTTATGATACACAAATATCATTGCCACAACATACCGTTTCAAAAAACAAAATTCCGTAATCATCTGCCAATTTCTTCCCTTCATCATATGACACTTTGGTGACAATACTCCTGGTAACTGATTTTTGAATATGAATCTCACCTACCTCTTCTTGAATCTTTCTGATCTACTTTGTTTCCCACAAGTACTTTTTTAATTTCAGAATCTGAATAATTATACAGATCTTTGAGCCAACTTCTTACATGATTAAAAGATTCCAAGCATGTGACATCATAAACAATTATTGCAGCGTCAGCGCCTCTATAATAACTTTGGGTCTATGATTGCGCACGTTGATCATATAATTGAGAATTTGAACCATGCACTTACAATTCTATTACGCGACCCTTAATACATGATATAAGAGATTAAGGAAACTCCTACTTACGATCTGAACCGTTCCTGTCCAGCACTGGATAAAAATCACACTAAGAACTCATGATCAAACAATAATACATACGTATCAAAGACGGTTACTTTCACTTTCTTTTCGTTCACTATTACATTCTTGTGCCCCTGTTATTGGATTCCAAAATTACGTTTAAAAAGACTTGCATCACCAACTATGCTTACCATTTCCATACCGATGGTATATACAAAATTAGGATTAAATTTTTCATAGCAAAACCTCTATCATTGGGTTTAAACGATATCGCACGATTTTAATTTTTTCCTTACATACATTCATTAATGATGATTTCCCTACATGATGATGATCATCATGGGATTCTTTCTATTATCAACAATAACAGCAACACTTACCCGTTGCACTATCTCCAATAATAATGACTGTTCATTGCAAATTTGGGAGGTATTGTTTATTTACCATCCATTCCGATAAAGCCTTATTAAACCTACTCTTATTTGAATAATCAAAATCATTGAGCATCTTCAATTGAGGGTGATTAAGATTTTTTTAGAAGCGTTGAAACCCTTTTTGGAATGAACGATAACACCTCGTGAACACAAACACCATCCCAATAATAATCATTCCCACAGACATTGTATTCAACTTTGCTATGAAAGAGAATACACATTCTATTCAGCAGCATTCTCTTTCAACACCTGTCAATAATCAAAAAAAATTTGAAATAACATTGTGACCAAATCAAGACCTTTTTGAAACACACAAAAGTTGTTTCTCTTGAACAAGCCTTTCTACAAACAACTTTTTCGGAATTTGTAATAACACACTTCCAATCATTTCAAAATGGGAAATACATCTTCTCTCGAACATACTCTTTCATTATCAAGTCTTGGTCATGTTCAAGATCCTTCGTTATTGAATCCACAACAAACCATTAAAACTACTTTGAATTCATCCTCTACAACCAATCAAAATAATAGTCATTCCTCATCATCATCATCCCATCCAAATTTGGATATTCAACAACAAGAAAATATTTCCATTGTCACTTGTAAAATTGTACATTATTTAGAACAACAAAATCGTGATGATACCACTCGACTCCAATTACCCATGAATTTAATTAATTTTATTGTAGAACCATTGTCGTTGGAGAGTGAATTAAGTGCTTCGTATTTGGATCCGAGTTGGAAGACGACTTCAAGAATGCTTGAAATTTATGAATTTTTATGCATGAAATCATCGTTCGGAATGAATGAAAGTGAGAACAAGTTAGTGACCTGTGTGAAGAATATTTTAGAAAGGTCAGCTTCCTCTAATCATGAATCCAAAATAATGAATGAAACTATTCACTCTCCGAATGGTTGTGCCTCTTCACACGATGTTGCTAAATCTCCCAATAATCAATCATTTTATAGTTTTCATGATGCAACATCTCCTTCATCGATTTTGAATGCAAGTGATCCATTTGTGACAGTCACATCACCACCTCAAACTCCAAATTCACCACCTCAAACATCAGAGCTTGCATTTGTTTCAATGACCAATGACACCTTGTCAAACTCTGCTCCAACTCTTGATGAAAGTAAGAAAGATAAGAATCATGACTCGACAGTGAGTAAATTGAAGAGAACATTAACTGGATTGAAACCAAAATTGAAAATGTCAACCTCACGTGACAACACTCTGTTAGTTCAAAACAACAACAACAAACTGAACACTTCAAAAAGTTCAACCACTCTTGAAACCATGAATCATTCTTCGAATCAAAAGGGATCATCATTACGAAACATGCTAAAATCCGATCAAACACCAACCCTTAATCCAAGAGATGATGATTCTCTCTATTCAACATCTCCCAGTGAAGAAAAACCAAAAAACAAACTGTTGAAACGACTTGGTTCTTTAAAGAAAATTACAAAATCTTCGAATGCACTTAGTGCTCTTGTTGACGTGTCAGATGTTCAGAAAATGCAAATTGCAAATTTTGAATTTCAACAACCAAAGCCAGCATTGAATCATGAAGAAGAACAATTAATCTTTGATGAAGATGAAGATATAGATTTGAAACAGTTAAAAACACAATATTTTGAAGAACGAAAGAAAAAACGAGAATTATTAACCAATGTAACGACCTACCAATTCAATGAACAAGAATTTATGGAACATGAGAATTTCGAACATGCCAAACTCATGGATGACATTTTATTTAAAAGAATTTATTTAAATCCTGAAAAGTATTCAGACACTAGAATACCCAATGAATTACCATCCTGCATTAGAGAAAAGATTGAATTTGTGGCTCACCAGAGAAATATTGATTTACTGAACATCAAAATGATTATTCTCGATGGATCCTGCAAACAATCTCTTCTCAAAATACTGTCACCTGTGAAAGAACGTTTGGAAGTGACCAAAGAACATCGAAAATACAATATTGGTCTACAAGTAGGACCATGGCTTCTCACATTCCATGAAGAAATTGGTTTAATTGTTCCAAGTAAGGTCATACCACCATTGGATTCTGTGTTGTATGATTTGGGAACACTGGATGTTGCAACCAATGTTCAACAATTATGTACAGAACTTTCGAAAATTATTGTGGAATGGAATACTTCAAGATATTATTCTAAAACTCATGCAGATCCTCCTCCTTCCTATTTACAGGAGGCAGCACCTCATAGAAAATTCAAACCAGCAAATAATTATGATTTCTTTATGGAGCTGTTATCAAAATTGGGAGTTCGAGTGAATTTGGCAGACAATCCCTCTTTTCAACACTTTCTTTCACACATTAAGAAACTTGGCTCGTCACCGTTTGTGTGGGTGACTGAACAAAAACAAACCATTGTTTTCACGTCGCATGTTGAGTTGGATGATTATGTGAACCGTCTCTCAAAAAGTAGCAGTACTGCTCTCACGTTGTATAGACCTCTGGATTATGAACTATTGAAAACGTATGATCGATTGTTTTGGTCCAAGTATCTCACATTCCCATTGGTCTCAACCTTTGACCCAACCTTTTCCATGGAAACCAATTTAACTTGTCCTTTTAAGCATCCATTCGATTACTAACCTGGCTTTAAAGTGAACATTTAATAAGAGAATAATTTATTTTTATGTGTGGTTGATAAACTGCGAGTAATTCTACTGAGGTTGGAGACAACTTATGGCAACAGTTGTTTTAATCCAAATTTTAATGCTGATCTTTCTTCACCATGTTGATTCTTTCGTTCGAATAAAAACCACTCATCTTTTTGAGGACCAACTCGAATTGAGGTTGTTTTGGCTTGGTTCGTTTTCGTGGTGACTCTGAGACATAACCAATGACAAAATGTCTTGGTAAAACAAAATATTGGAAATACCTCATCGTCAAATGCACATGATGGACAGCAAGCGATTGATAACTATATTCGTCATACAATGGTAAATGAGTCACCGCTGCAATAAATAATGAATTGAATGGATAATATGGTTTCACTTGATAGGCCTTTTGACCTTGAGAAGAAACTGCAAAATAATTTGAAAAATCCACTTGTTGAGCATCCACTACCGAAAGCATTCTCTTTTGATAAACCTTTTTCAAACTTGTGAAATCAGTTGGTAATTCCTCTTCCATCTCGATTTGTTCAAAGGAAGGAGGAATAAACACAATCTTCTCCAATTCCAAAAATTGAGCAAGATTTGAATATTTCTTCATGTGTTCAATAGGAGATTTCCAATAAAGAGATTCAGAGTGTTGAGACAATGGTTCTAATTTTTCACGAGGTCTCGACGAAGAGTCTGCAATAAATACTTTTGTGAAATCTCGATTCAAATTCTTTGAAACTCTTGATTGAACATCCAGCATGAAGATCCATTTAGTTTTTGCTAAAAGCAATGCTTGATTTTTGAAATGATTGATTGGAATAGAATCTTTCTTTTTCACGACAATACACTTGTAATCGAGTCTTGCTTTTTTAGGAGAGTTAATAAATTGTTGTAATTCAGTGGACATGCATTGTTTGGGTGAGTTTGCTGTAAAAATAACAATCAAGTGATCTCCATCAGATAATCTCTTAATTAATCCATTCAAACTTTCAATTTCATCAATGCGACAATAGGTTGCAAATGAAAGTCCATTATGAAGTAATTCTGTAGATTCATGTAGAACATTGTGAGATGGTTTCCACTCAATCACAAAAGGTTTTGGCAAAAAGTAGATGGGAGGAGGATTTAGCTTTTCCTTCAAATGTTCATATCGATCAAATATCTGTGAAAGTATCAAATTGGACAAGACTTGTCTACTCTCAATCATATTGAAAGAATTTTGATAACTATTTTCTGAGACATGCCGTTCAAGACCTTCAACAACATGATCAATAATTTCATCATTTTTCAAATTGTAATTATTGTCTTCTGGGCTTGTGGTTGCAAAAATAAAGAAATGAGAAGCTGGTGTGTTCAAAATTGTATCTCTATCATAGTTTTCAGAAAATGGAACATATAATGCATTGGACTGGTCCCACTGTTCATAAAATTGGGAAATTGATTTTCGTTGCTCTTGAGAATAGAGAGGTAATAACTTGGAGACCCAAAGTCTGTTTTTCGCTCTCTCTTTTGGAATGTGAAGATTGAAAGTAGTAGAAGGTGTTTCAGACGAGTCAATCACATTGACTACAAGTAGTCCATAATCTACATGTTCTCTAAATAATTGCTTACTCTCATCACTTTCTCCCAATAAATCATCAATTCTTTTTTTCACTATTGTTTGAGAATGAGGAGCATTTAGTTCATCATTCACATAAATAGAGAATCCAGGATCAAGCACCATCATAAATTCAGAGAGTTTTTTGGAGAATTTCATTCCATTGCTAATGAGAGACGGTATGTGACATGATTTTGAAAATGAAATCTTGATAACATCTCTATTTTCATTGTTTGTAAAATCTGACAAATCCAAATTGTTTCTAATATTTTCACAAACAGAAATGTAAACAATCGTTCGAGACTGTCTCATCTCTTCTAAATGAGCAAAATATTCTTTCTTCAGCCAATCCATATGAGCGTCACTCTGTGCATACGTAATAATCGCTAATTTACTTCGTTTTCGATTACGAATAGAATCCTCTTGGCTCAATTCCGATAGTACGGCTTGTTGTGGAACATGCATATCTTCTTTTACATCATCCCATTCGACATTTTCAGTTTTACTAAATTCCCAATAAAACAACACGAGTAAAAGGATGGGTATTCCGATAATGATGGCCAAAATCCATCGATTTGGTTTCGTTTGATGTTGCGATCGATATTTTGAGGAAGTAGTAGTATTGCTTGTCGTGGAATAAATATTTTGTTGAATGGGATTTTCATCTTGTTGGGAGTGATGAAAAGATGAGGTTGGTCTATTTCGCATGGTCCCTGAGGAAAAGGGTCCCACCAACGATGAAGTTTGCATTTTTTTGTAATCAAGAAAGGTGGTGCGTGAATGGTGGTGATCCTTTTTAGTTCCATCTCTCTTAGCAATGAAGAAATCAACGATGAAAACGGATTATCTGTAAATGAGTTCATACTTGGAGCCATTTGGAGTCATGGTTGCCTTGATCGCTTTCTTTCTGAATTCCATATTTTGTGTCGAGTGTGAAATAACAAACACTTTGTCGATTTTTGTGGAAAGCATTTCAATGACTTGCTGTGCTTGTTCTTGACCTGTGACGTCCAAGGCATCAAACACCTCGTCCAACATTAAAAAGTTGCTTGAAAATCTTGATCGTTGTCGAACAAGTTCGAATAATGCAAAATGAATCATTAAATGGTTTCGCTTTCTTTGTCCAGATGACCTCTTTCCGTAATCTTCGTTAATCATCAAATCTGAATTGAATGTGATTGGAAGGGAGTCACTTCCAATAAGCTTAGAATACTCTTCAAGAATATTGTTCAAATCTTCAATGGATTTGTCCAGCAAGAATGATCTCATGGTCTCAAAGTCGTCCTTACTTGACTTTCTTGCTCTTCGATCAAATGCCTTTTCCCAAAAGTCGAGTACAGCATACTCTTTTTCAAACTTCTCACTTTCTTTTGCGCTCTGTACATGCTTGTCTCGAAGCGAATCCAATTCAAACTTTTGTTTCATGGTCTGTTCAGATAAATCTTTGAGTTTTTGTTTTTGAACTTTCAATTGAGCTTCTTGTTGGTATTTTTTCTCAAGCATGCTTTTCTCCATCATTGACACTTGATTAAGCTTCTCTTGAATTTCTTCAATATTGGATGAGTCAAGAGAGCTAGACTGAGTTTCAATCTCTTTCAGTTGGTTCTCAACTGATTCTAAATCTGATTGAAGAGTTTTCGTTTCATTTTCTGTGAGTAATAGTGAGTGTTGTACTCGAGTAAGATTCGTGATTGTACTTCTCTTCTGCCTTTCCAACTCATTAAGCTCTTCTTCAAGATTATGAAACGATAAAGAATGAGTGGTTTGATCTCGAGTGAGCTGTGTTACTGCCTCTTGGAGAGTTTGTTTTTCATGTTCAAATTTAGAATGAGTTTGATGTTCAATTTTCTGTTCACAATATGGACACTCATTTAAAACTGCTAGTTTTTCTAATTTCTCTAATTTTTCTTTTGCATGCCGAATTTCAAAATTGTTGGACATGATAGATTCTGAGACGTGTTTCATCTTGTTTCGAATTTGGTCGATCTTTTCGTTGAAATATGCTTCAATCTCAGAAATCTGAGTTTTTCCATTAATGTGGAAGTTTGTTGCCTCACTGTTCAGTCTGCTAATATTGGCGATATTGTTGTTAACTCGTTGTTCTAAAGAATTTCTTTTGACGGTCAAAGAGGCCTTGTTTTGTTTCACAATCTCAAATTGTTGAGCTTTTCTCCATTGCTCCTCAAGATTACGTTTCGCTTTCGAAGACTCTTCAGACCTTGAAACAACTTTTAAATATTCTTCGGAGAGTCTTTGAATGAGATCTTCAATAGAAGCTTTTTCCTTTTCATTTCGTTCAATATTCTCCTCAAGCAATTGTATAGAATTCAACATTTGCTCTTCTAAAGTTTTGGCCTTAAATACACTCTCTACTAGTGCTTTCTTTCGTTCTCGTGTGCTAGCTAAATAATCATCAAATAGATACAATCCCAATAAGTCTTCAATTAATTCTCTTCTTTTCTTAGAGTCGGATGTTAAAAAGTTTACAGAATTATCACCTACAACTATGGACTTGGCAAACATGTCATAGTTAATCCCTAGCAATGATTCCAAAGCTACTTGTGAATCTTTGAGAGAGCCTTTCTCATACTCGCTCATGTACTTGTCTTGATAGAATACTCGAAGTCCAGTACCCTTTCTCTCTGGCGATAATTTTGCAATGTTGTCAGGAAGCTCACTGGCACCAGTCTTGGTGTATTTTCGAAATCTTTCAATAGAATATCCAGAATCAAAGTCTATTCGTACCAAACAATCCTTTTTGGCGACGTCATTTACTGCATAATCTACCTTACTCATGTCGGATCTTAAAAAATTGTCAAACATACACCAAGTGATAGCCTCCAGTAGGGTGCTCTTTCCAGAGCCGTTAGCACCTTCTAAAAACCAGACACCATTTTCCATGTTCTTAATATCTAGTGTAATACATCCTTGAATTCCTAAAAAATTTTGGATGGTTATGGACTTTAAATTTGCCTTAAATGTGTCACCAATATTTAAATGATGTTTTCCTTGTTTTGTTACTGTTGAAATTATTTCTTTTCCTGTTTCAATAATATCTTCAACGAACTTGGATTCCACTCCCATGGAAGAAAGATTGGCATATTGTTTGACATATTTCACAACAAAGTCTTCAAAATTGAGATGACCAACTTTCTCATCTGCATCCTTTGAGACCTCCTTGTCCTGTAGAGAGGATTGCACTTTTCTCACAACTACGGACTGTTTTCTTACAGACTTGGCACCAGCCTCTAACAGCTTGTCCTGAATCTTTTGCGGATTTACGTCCATGCTTTCATAAATGATTGAAATATATTTTCCTTTGTATTGGCCTAAGTCTCCAAGATCTTCCTCATATTTGACCCTCAAAATTCTAAACTTATCCCAATTAGGATTTTGAACAAAATGGATTTCATCTGTTTCCGTGTCATATATTACAATGCCTCGCCCTGCATCTCCTGAATCACCAAAATGATGTTGCATTGGACTGCCAACATATAGAACTTTCTTGTCACAAAAGTGATGGTGATGGAAATGCCCAGAAAAAACCCGTTGAAATTGAGTCAGATATTTAGGAACTTTGGAGTTGTCTGCAGGCAAATCCATATCGTGAGTAGAATCTTTTTTCTTTTTGTCACTTCCTTTTCTTTTCTCTGTCACAATATTTTTTCCAATATGTTCATCAAAGGTTCTGCAATATATGTTGTTCTTGTTGTCCACTTGGTAGCGCTGAATTGCTCCGTTGATAGCCATGTGACAAAAGGCCAACGATTGACCCAAGCTTTCAGAATTTTTCGAGATCTTGCTGGAAACCCAATCACGGATTATAAATGAGTCCTCATAATAAGGTATCATTACACAATTTTTTCCATCGATATCGACCTCTTCAATTTCTTTGTGCAGAAATAAATTGCTTGGAGAAGTCAGTTTTAACCCTAGTGCATCTAGAGAGCTGATTTTTGTGTCATATTTCAAATTTAAATCATGATTTCCACAGATTACATGCACATCCTTTGGAATTTTACTCGCTAGCTTATCGAAGAATTCAAAAGCGCTACTTTGGGCCTTCACGCTCACAGTTTCTCTTGTGTTCAGGACGTCGCCCATGCACACCACATAGTCTACTTTCTGCTTTTCAAATTCCTCAACAATCCACTCTCCAGTCTCTACAACACGATCCAATCCCACATCTTGGAAATGAATATCACCAAACATTCCGATTTTTACTAAACTTTCTGCACTCGTATGAAATCTTCGTTTGGAAATTTTAGGATCATAACAATTTATCCAACTCCCTCTGCTCTTTCCAATATTTGAAAAACAATTCGTAACGGATGATCCGAGAAGATATCCAACTCTCTTGGACGGTGTTGAAGCAAGAGCAAAAGCTTTCATTTTTTAAGATAACTTGGAAAATTGATTGAGTTGGGCGGAAGAGCTCGTTGAAAAATACTGACTTGGATAACAGAATGTAACGTGTTACAAATAATTATATGGAAGAACTTTGAAGACCTGACGTCTTTACAAAATTAAAAAGTCACACACGTTAAATTTTAAAACAACAACAACACTTACTCGGAGAGCACACCATACTCCATCAATGATACCAATGTGTTTTAAAGTGCTCCAATCACATACTCATCTCTCACATGGTTTTTTCTATAGATCTATGGCCCGAATGATGAATCATTTTAGCTGTCTCTGGGAAGTGCCACTAATTACACTTTTTAGTTGCTGGAGGGGGTGGAGGCAATTTCATCGGTGAAACCGATGAAATTGCATCCCGCCTTCAGTTCCCACCAAAACTAAACGTTCAAATTTAATTAATTTAAAATAATAATTATTATTAATAAAGTGAATAAATATTTACCTCATGTATGGCTTTAATAACAAGAACAAAACAAATGGTGAAACGTCAAACCTTACTCGCTCCAATCAAGAAACAGATTCCAGTAGATTTTTACACAAGTGAAGAAAATCTTGACCAATATCAACTCTTCATGAATAGGTATTGCTTTCTCACAATGACAAGGCTTCAAATAATTCCATCTCAAAAGCAAGCAATTCATTCAGCTGGAGCACGTTTGTATCAACAAATCAAAAACCACTCAGAACTTCTCGATGCAATTACTGATGTTCACTCAAACCTATTCACAACATCACATGAAGAATTCACAGTCCTATCTAAATCTGGTCGTGAATGGCTGGAGCAAAGGACTAGCAAGAGAGGTCGAGTTACAAAGCAAGACCAACTGCGTAAATCAATACAAGACCTTCAGTTACAAAGAAGTAACATACTTGAATTGAAATCCTCAACTCAGGATGAGGTGTTGTTGGCAGAATATGACAAACAATTGCAAGAACTGGACTTCAAAACACTTGACAAAAAGCAAGCGATTGCATATCTCGAAAGGAAAGCAGCTGAACAAAGGATCCGTAGACACAACAGCAGCACGAACAAAATTGAAAAGAAGAGAGGACGTCCACGGAAAGCATCAGGAATGGCTCAAAGACTTCAAGCAGTAGTTGAAGGAACTGGTATTGCCTCTGCATCAGAGAGAAGAAGAGATTCATTTGTTCACACTCCTATGAACGGTGTTGATTTGGTTAAAGAAGCAAACGCTAAATTATCAGAAGAAGGATTTCGTCCTTACAGCAGGTCTGGAATGTTACGGTATGTCGTTCCAAGGTGCAAAAGTAGTCGAGAGGGTAAACGACATGACTCTGAAGCTACTGTTAAACTTACCAAACCGTCAAACGACCTGACTGAGGAACATGTTGATCTACATGCTACCCATTCTCTCAACAAATACATCAAGCAGTTGTGTTGTCTATTGCCTGAAGAAAGTACAGCTATTTCTTTGGATGAAAAAGCGAAAATACCAACAAAAGGAGCGGCTGTATCGACATCAACACAAATAGCAATGACTTCCAGTAGCAAAGTTTCACTACCAGACCATGATTTTCCAAAAGGTAAAGAGAATTCAATCACTCCAAATGTTGCTGCATTGTTACGTGCGGTTGTTGGTGGTAATAACAGTCTTCGTTGGATGGTGGAAAAAGTGTATGTGAGAAGTAGTTCTAACGCCGAGTTTTTGAAGACCACTAGTCGAGATAAGGACAAGATGTTGTGTGATCTGGTTTTCTTCCTCGAGAAGCTGAAGGAAACCGGAAAGCTTCTTCCGTTATTTTTTTGTAACACTGACAACTGTGTAAACGTTGCTCCCCAGAACCGGAAGGTGCAGGTGAGGATGTTCTACGTATTCATTTGCTTCGACCTTGACGCTCTCATCCACACATCCTTTGCCGCAGGAGGTAGTAAGTACAATCGTGTTGAGCGATGTATGGCTCCGCTTTCAAAAGGCTTGGTGGGTGTTATTGATTTGGATGATGAAAGTTTTGCAAGCAAGCAACAGAATCATCATTCAGCTTTAATCAAACTCACAAATATCTTCAACCAAAAGGGTGGCAAGGATGTACAGGCGTACTATGCTAGTGTATTCCAACAAGACCGTATTCGAGATTTACCTGGATGGCCATCTTTTGCTAGCATTGATGCTTTTTTGGAAGGAAAAGATATTACTGATTTGGAAGAAGAGAAGAAGGTGAAGGCAATACTTTTTAAACTCCACACACACTCAGAGCATGGTAATGGGTTGAACATCTTTTGTCTCCGCAAGTGCAATGATCCAAGTTGCTGTCCACCAAAAAGAGCAACTAAATATTGGGAATTGATGGAAAAGTTTGATGGTTTCATTCCATCTCCAATCCTCGATGAAAGTAATCCTGGTCATTATTTGTCGTTTGAAAAACGAAACAATGTGGAAGGAGTTAGAATGGATGAAGGGTTTCCGAGCGTTAAGGATGATGTCAAAACTTGTTCCCTTTGCGATCGTAGAGTCCACTCCGACATTGATTTAACGATTCACATGAAAGTGGTGCACCCGAACAAAACCCAAAATCAGCTTGATGGTAGTCTTGACAAGGATGCACGAGTAAATCAAGTCGAGAAAACGCAGTTGGAAGGAAGGTCATTGTCTGCTCAGATAAACAGCATCGAAAGAAGGGCACAAGAGCAACCTTTGCGAGCTCGGGCAAAGAGACGCTTTTTGAACAAGTGATTCATTTTTAATTAATTAAATTAAAAATAAATAAAAATTATTTTGAAAAAAAAAATTTTAAATTTGAATTTAATTCCAAAAGCCAAACCCCCCTCCCCCCCATGTTCTGTAATTAGTGGCTCCTCCCTCTTCAACTTACCAAAACAATTTGGCTGTCTCTTCTGGTGATGTTGCAAGGCCTCATGAATTGTTGTGCTAACAGTCTTCTTCCAAAGACAACAAAACATCGACTTCGATTTGTTCCAACTTTCAGTGGAAAGGCTGGGCTCTGGCTGCGGATTTGTCTAGGCCCTCAACACAACTAAAATTCAGCATGTTTCGATAATGAAAACAACAAGAGTTTGGAATTAATTGGAGGAAAACTAATGGGTTTGTAACTCGCCAAATTAGTTGTATGTTGTAAACACCCTGTCCGTGAATGGTGATCATTCGTTAAAAATTGCTTTTCAAACATATTTTTCAAAACCCACAATTTTTAAGAATTAAAATCATTGCAATTCTTTCCTCGTTTCTGCACTTTCAATACCTTCTCGCTGATCTACTGTGTCCAGTAGTATTGAGAACTCTCGTGAGGGAGAAACAGGGTTGTCGTCCATGTTTATACATGGAGAATGCTCCGCTTGAAGGTTATTTTTGATGATTTTAGGGACCTCGTTTTTCTTTTCAAAAATATCGGATGCATGGTATAACTTTGAATGAATTTTTAATTTCTTGTTGGCATGATCAATTCTTTCATTCGGCTACTGGACTGGTATAGGTTGAGGTTATTTTTTCAATAGAATGCTTTAAGGTGTTGATGAACAACCAGGTTGTTTTTGTTTATTATCGGTTCAACAACAGTTTTAATATGCAATGATTATTATTCAAAATAGAAACAACCATGATGATGAATGGACTTGAACATCCGGGTGGCCAGGTGTTGAGTGCATTTCGCCTATTTGTTCCGCTCAATATTTAGCAAGAGTTCGAATACTCAAAAAAATATCCTTAGTAATAATAAATATTTTCAATCGTTCGGGTAGGGTGGTGATGATAATGAACAACATCAAGGCTTGTTATTGAGTAGTCCCTTATTTTCAAGTTTCATCGGTTGTTGTTGTTGCTGCCATTTATCTGTCCCTTATTATCATGTTTCATCCAAATATTGTTGTTCTCACGAGTTGCAAATATTCTGCATGTACTATTTGTATTTTGCCAAAAATCGTTATGCAATTCCGGGCGGACCTGCCTAAAGCTTTACAAGGCATACACCCTCTCGGTTGGAATTGAGGTAAGAGTTGTTGTGCAATAAAGTACATATACAAAAGCACTCAAATGATGCATCAAGAAACGTTGACGTCTTCCACATTGCCGCTGTCGGTACTGTCACTGCAACAAGGGTTGTTTGTTGTTGATGGCTTTTGGTGCACACAAAGTCATAGTGAGGTTCAACGCAACTATTTTGGCTCGGGTTAAACCACTGTGTGTCACTCTTACTTTCGTAAAGACGTTGTTGAAGGTGTAGTTTTGAAAATATTAAATCAAAAAAAATGTCTGAAGAATCATCGTCATCATCCGATAAAAAATTAAAAGTGGGATTAAAACCTGAAGAGGAGCTTAGATTTGAGGTTGATTTTGGAGAAACCCTAAAACTGAAATTAGTGGAAGGAAAAGCTGAATTTTTCGGAACTGAATTAGCTTTAAATAAGTCGTATACTTTCAATGGAGGTAGGAACGGAGCAGTATTTACGTATCACGGAGCAACTATTGAATTGGAAAGTTCCAAAGGAAAGGATGATATTAACAGCTATGTTGGTTCAGAAACACCCATGAAGGAATATTTAGAAATTCATGAGAAAATCAATGCTCAAAGAGCTCCTATGAATCCTCCTCCCAGAGTGCTGGTGTGTGGACCTTCAGACACTGGAAAAAGCTCAGTTGCTAAAATTTTATTAAATTATGCTGTAAGAGTTGGACAACGACTGATATTTGCTGATTTAGATTGTGGTCAAAATGATATTACTTTTCCTGGAACTCTGAGCATGATTGTTAGAAATGCATGGGAAACTATTGACATTGAAGACGAATTTTCTCTATGCTCACCATTGACGTATTTCTACGGTGAAACCTCTCCAGAAAAGAATATAGATTACTTCAAAACTTTGGTGAGCCAAATGAAGAAAATGATCGATAAACGAATTTCTAACGACCAATTATTGAGCGAGGGAGGATTTATTGTTAATACTGGTTGGGTTGAAGGTGTTGGACATCAGATATTGCTATATATCATCAAAGAAATGAACATTAATCACGTAATTGTTATGGGTGATGACAGAATGACCAATAATCTCAAAAAAGATTTAAAGGACTCTAAAATTACTGTAACTCGGCTCAGAAAGAATCCAGGTGTAGTCAACAGAACAAAAGAGCACAGAAGCAAGACCAATCAATTGAGAACAAAACAATACTTCTATGGAGCTTCTCGAAGCTTGAGCCCTCATTCAATCGTTGTCAAGTTTGACGATATCAATTTGTGTAGAATTGGTAGTGAATGGCAAGCACCAGAAAGTGTTTTGCCAATCGGAGCAAAGTCAAGTTTTAATCCTGTTGAGATCAAACAAGTTGACTTCAGCGAAATCACAAAGTTCAGCATTATTGCAGTGTCCCATGCCAGCTCTTTGGACGAAGTCTTAACCAAGAATATTTACGGTATTGTTCATGTAACCAAAATTGATCCAGAAAACAGAACCATGACAGTACTATCGCCTTCACCTGGAAAGAGTTTGCCAGGCAAATTCTTGATTGTGGGTCACATTTCGTGGCTTGACACGTAATTTGTTAATGAAGAATAAAAATTTGAGTTTATAACTTATTGCTGACTTTCTTGTGTTGTTTCTTGAGCTTCATTCGTCTCAGGCTTTTGGGCTGGGAAAAGAATAACTTCCTTAATGTTATAATTGTTAGAAAGGATCATGGTTAAACGATCCAAGCCAATACCCCAACCTCCAGTAGGTGGAAGACCATATTCCAAAGCAGTACAGAATGATTCATCCATGAATTGAGCTTCATTATCTCCAGCATCCTTTTGCTTAACTTGATCTTCAAATCGTTCACGTTGAATGAAAGGTTGATTCAACTCAGTATATGCGTTACAAACTTCCTTTCCAATGATCATCAATTCAAATCGTTCAGTCAAAACCTTGTTACTTCTGTGCCACTTAGCAAGAGGTGACATGATTTGTGGATGCTCGGTGATGAAGGTTGGATTGATACATTGTGGTTCAAGGAATTCACCAACCAATTTGTCCAACATTCTTGCTGTAGTCATTGGTGGAGAGCAGTCCACGTTGTGCTTCTTGAGAAGGTCAACAAGGAAGAGACGAGTTTCCTCTGATTCCAAGTCAGTTGGAATCTTAACTTTAAGATGTTCTTCAATGCTAGAAATCATTGGAAGTCTTCTATATGGAGGCCTGAAGTTGACCATGACATCCTTTCCATCTCTGAAAGTGAAAGGTCTCATGTACCATTCATCAGGAACAACTTGTGGCAAATTCTTTGGATCCTTTCCGTTGGCGACAAGAGCCATTTCACTCAACAATTCTTCAGTAATACGCATCAAATCATTGTAGTCAGCATAAGCCATATAGAATTCGCAAGCAGTAAATTCTGGATTGTGAGTCAAATCGATACCTTCATTTCTGAAGTTTTTACCAATTTCATAAACTCTCTCTAAACCTCCAACTACCAATTGCTTCAAATATAATTCTGGTGAGATACGCATATAGAGAAGCATGTTCAAATCGTTGTGGAAAGTAGTGAATGGTCTAGCATTGGCACCACCAGGAATCATGTTCATCATTGGTGTTTCAACTTCTAGGAAATCTCTTTCATTCAAGAATGTTCTCAAGTGAGCAATGATTTTGCTACGAGTAACAAAAATATCTCTTGACTTCTTGTTCATGATCAAGTCCAAATAACGCTGTCTATATCTTGTGTCCATGTTTGTCAAACCATAGTGTTCCTTTGGTAACATGTGGAAACATGGTGTCAACAAGACAATCTTGGTTGGAATAATACTCAATTCACCCTTCTTACTCTTTCCTGGGAATCCGTTGATACCAATGATATCACCACGACGGAGAATTGAGTGAATCTTTTTAAATGCTTCGTCACCTTCAGCATAGTCGCTGATACCACTCATGACTTGAATATCATCTCCCTCTCCTCTGATGGTGTAGAAGACCAATTTACCAGTTGGTCGGCTTGTAAGAATTCTACCAGCCAAAGAAACCTTGACTTCTGGTTTACGTTCTTCAGCAGCCAAACCGCTGTAATTTTTGATGAATTCAGGAACGGAAGTGTCAACTTGGAATTTGTGTGGGAAAGCATCAAATCCTTCCTTCTCCAATTCTGTAATAGTCTTCTTTCTGATTTCATAATACTTGCTTGGGTCCAATGATTCTTCGTCAATAGCAGTAGTAGAGTCGGATGATCCCTTTTGGGTCTTCTTCTTTTCCAACTTCTTTTCCATTGACGAAATTCTCTTATCAAGCTTCTTCTTTGCTGATTTAGTTTGTGGTTTAACTTCACTGTACTTCTTAACAAGTCCAGCAACAACTTCATTGAATTCACCGACACGCAAACCTTGGTTCACAACTTCAGATTCATCAATCTTGAGTCCAGACTCGCTGACAATTCTATCAACAACTTCATCAGCCTTCTTTTCTTGTTCGGCTTCTTCCAATGATTTCCATGATGTTTGTTCAGTCTCGAGAGCCTTGACGACACTCTCAAAGAGTGATTGCACTTGTTGTGGGGAGAGTTCAGCCATGATGATGACTTGAAGATGAGGTTGAGATATTTTTTAAACGCAAATTTCAAAAAAAAGTTGGGTGCTGGATTACAAAAAACTGGGTGTCAGTGCTTTCAGAACATGACGATGCTTTCAGAACGGAAATGAATCTTTACACATAAAAATCAATGAAAGACATTTCTTCAACACCATAGAGGATAGATTAGAAATATTCAATTTTAAATCTGCAGTTTTAAAAATGCTTCCATCGAAAATCTCATCTTTCGGTGTTTATCGTCTCTGTAAATTGAACCATTCAATCCAATCAAAACACAATTTCGAAAATTCACTGGCCCAATCTTCTCATCAGAGACGCTATTTTGTATCAGTAGCAACAGCTTGTGTTGTTTCATTATTTCCGATTTGGAAAATTTATTCACAAATTCGCCACACTCAAATTGTGTTACAGAAAGCCGATGAATGTAAAAGATGGCCTTTTGCAAGAGGAGTTGTACATTCAGTAAATATTGAAAAGGGAGATGCATTGTTCGGAATGATAAAATCATCGAGGATTGATATTCAATATGAATATTGTCTAGGAGCAAGTGATTATTTCATAAAACATCCCGACAGCAATAGTTATAGAAAGATTGATGCTAATAGAAGTAGGACAGTACCATTAGCTGATGATCCCAAAAAGAGTGATTTATTATTTATTCCTCTGATGGACCCTCCATCTGATCCAGAGGAACCACCAATAATTATTAGAAGAAAAACAGATCGAGTATTTAAGGGAGATAGAATATTTTGGAGCGTTCCATATTGGACAATATCAACCTTATTTTCCAAAGGAGAAGTAACAACATCACAAGCAGAGTTGGAAGCATTGAAAGAAAAATTTAAGCAAGGAGCAAAAATTCTAGTTCGAATCAATCCTTTTAATCCTAAAGAGAGCGTGCTCATTACTGGTCAGCAATCCTTTGATCAATCATGGAATTTCACATACTTTTATTGTACAATTATGGCATTGTGTGCATTGACTCTATTCTCTATGACTTGGTACCTACTATCGAATTCTCAACTTGAGAACAACATGAAAGAACTGTTGCAATTAATATTCTCCAAGTTTAGTGCAATACTATCACGAAATTCCTTTGAAGAGACAACAAATCAACCCACTTCTCCACTTCATTACAGAGTTTTATGGACTCTCAATGAGTTGGTTCGGCTCTTCACTTCCATAGTGCTTGATAGTCACAAAACAGAAGCTCTTCCTCCCAATTATGAGACTAAGAACAAAGCTCCTCAATATTTGGATCCGAACACCTCCAACAAACCTTGAACAAGGCTTCTTTTACCATATGACGGTGTGTAATGAATGAGATTATTTAAATAAGCATGCTAGTGGAGAGGGACAAAGCCGCTCGTTGCTCTCCAGCAAAAAATACTAACGCATGACCTTCACCACAACCGTCGTTGGCACACCAGAACTGCCTTCGGATCGAAAAATAGTATCATCAGCAAGGTCATCATGGATCGGATTACTCAAATACATGTTCTCGATCATACAGACCGGTACCATAAAATCAGCACAATTGTTATGGGTGGTTTTAAAGGCCATGATTACATCCATGGCACCGTCATTAAATGTTGAAATTACCACAACGCCTAGTATTGAACAATTTCCAAGAAGTTTAGGATTAAACACCAAGATGTTTCTTACTTTGGATTACTCGGTTCCATTAGTCGTAAATTTAAAGTCATCAAGCAATAGACAACATTCGAATAGTAATACTAATATTAGAAGAATTGTTTATGAAAAACAACACTAAATTATTACAATCCTGTTGCCATCATTGTTAAATATGGAGAAACCTTTAAATTAGAATTTCCATGAAAACTGAATGAAATGAGATTGGTTAAATTAATGATATCCGTTGGAAGTGTTCTAAGATCATTGTTATCAAGGCATAATCTCTTCATTTTAACAAGCTTGCCAATAGACGAAGGAATGGATGTGAGCTTGTTATTAAATAAATCTAATTCGGTCAAGTTTTGCAAATTACCAATTTCTTCAGAAATTTCACTCAGCTCATTGTTTTGCAAATAGAGAGCTTCAATTTGAGTAAGTTGGAACAAATTGGGTGGCAACCTTTGAATCTTATTGTTGAAGAGTGTAATTTCACACAAGCTGGTACTACAATTACCAAGTTCATCTGTTAGGCTATTGATTTGATTTTGATGAATCGACAATACTTTCAAAGAGTCAGTAAAGATTCCTTTCATATTGTCTAAGGTAGTGATTTCATTAGAGTGTAAATAAATCTTTTCAATGTGTGCTGGTTCTAATATCTCTACATCTTTCAACTTGTTGAATGCCAACGAAAGGATTTTCAAATTTGGCAATGCACAAATCCATGAAGTTTCAACTTGCTCCAATTGATTATCGTCTAAATAAATTTCTTCAATAGACGTGTTCTTGCATACATGTTGGTTATTCGTTGTAACATGCTTGAGAACTCCTGACAGCTTATTCTTTTTCATGTGTAAAACTTTCAATGACCTTAACTGTCCACTCATCAGAATTGTGTTCAAACTCTCTAAATTTGCCATGTTGTTGTTCGAAAGGTCTAAAAATTGAAGAGAGCTCAAAATATTATTACCACAACATTGGCTGAGAGAAGGAGGCAAAAATTGAGTCAATCTATTACTATTTAAATTTAAAACTTCAAGTTTAGACAGCCACGTTCCATTCTGAGGATTCTCAACGAGCCATTCTGCAAATCTATTGCTGTGAGCGTCCAACTTTCTCAACACACAACCCTCATCATTAATAAAATTCCAAATTCCATGTAAAATGTTTGAAAAGTTGTTACAACTGATATCCAATTCTGTGCAGCGTTGTGAGAGAACCTTCAGCTCTTGAGGACTCACTTTTTCTGAAACCATTTCTTCATTCAACCCATTGTGTGAAATGATAAATGTTTCAATATTCTTTAGAAATGGTTTCAATGGCTCAATATTGTCTAAAAATTCATCGAATTTTAAATTGACAATGGTTGTATTTTGATCGTTGAATGATTGTGGGAGAATATTGGATGCTGTATTTGCATCGGAATTTAAATATTCTTGATCTTGTCCAATTTTACGGACGAGATTGTTCATACGATCAAAGTTATAATTCTTCAATGGATCAAACATGGTGTTGTTTGAGTTTTTAGACTGATGGAGGCTTTTCTCTCTTCGTTCCGATTTTTGAATAATTTTTTGGTTTTAATTTTCCGATGATTTCGAGTTGCAATTAATGGACGCTTTTTCAATTTGTATTCTTCATTCTTCATCTACATTACACCACCGTTCTTCAACTATAGGAGGACAGCACGCTCTATGCCATTGAGAAAGAGACGACACACAACTGGAAAAGATTGAAGAATTTAAAATTTCATTTTTCGCACCACAATTCAACGTTCAATTTTTGGAAAGAGTCAACAACAACCAAATGCCATCATGTTCTTTAAACATGCAACTACATTTGCTATTCAGTTAATTGGATGATGTTGCTTCATTACACTCAGCCAATCATCAAGGCAAATCAAAGCATTAGTGAACAGGTTTCTGCTGGCACTGCATCAACACAAGCTTGCATGTCAGTCCTTACACACCACGACATCTTGTTGTTGTAAAACTTTCAAATAGTTTTGAAATTCATGCTTATTTATTTTGATTGCTAGCTGTTGTTGTCATGTTTCATAAATAGAGTAAATTTTGGGTGATGTATATGTACATTGGATTATGTTTTGAGAGGAATATGATGAAGATTGAAATTCAATGAACCAATCAATCTTGACTTCAAATGGCGTAAAAACGAATGATATAGGCTGCATTCAGTTGTGATGAGTTCTTGAGCTATTTGTTTCCTGGAGTTGATGATATATTTGTAGCCATATCCATCTGCAACTGTTCTTGTAATATTTTGTGTAGTTCATCTTTTGTGGGAGTGCCACCTTCGACTAGTTTTCGTTGTTGTGCTTCTCTTGCTATTCTATTTGCTTCTTCGCTTCCAATGTTGAGATGAGGTTCTTGATCACCATCTTCTTCCTCCTCTTCTTCAATGGAAGGTCGATCCATGAGAAACTCAACTGCTAAGGTTTTTCTAGAATCATAGTCTTTTTTTTGTTGATAGCCAACTCCGAGAGAGACAGCCCCACCAACAATTAACTGAATCCGTATTGGTAGTTGATGGCACATAAATTCCGAAATATTCGAAATTGTATGAATCAAATAATTAATACGTGACATCCACACATTCATCCAATTCATCCAACAATAAAATTGTATTTCATCATCCATGTGTTCGTTATTTAAATTAATTCAAAGAATAAATAAACCGGTTACAAGCCATCCCGATCCATCATATCGTACGAAGGCTTTCAACGCCACGACGACAAACATACTTTTTTAAATCGCAGTATCAGCATTTTTTAATGTCGGTTTTTGCCTTTGTCCATCTTGGTGCTAATCAAAATTGGAGAAATACGCAACGAGCCATCAATAGACAAAATGATTTGAAAGCGTTTTCCAATGGGCTTGTGTGTATGGCCATCTATCTATTTATTTGGTGGATGTGAGACTATCAAAGGTGTCAGAAAGAGAATTATATTTCACAACCCAAGGATGATTGGGAGAGGTCGATTGCAATTGTGAGAGGAATCTTGAAGCGTCTTTTTTCAAATGCATAGAGCAAGCAATTAGATTCACCAATGTCTCTACACTATTGGTTGAAAGTGCAAGTGAGCTGAGTAAAGTGTTTTCAGCATCAGCAAATTCAAAATCGTGCATGAGACAAAGAGCAACACCGTTGAGGAGTGGAACTGATTGACCAAACTTTTCAGAGAGTTCTTTGAAAATGGATTCAGCTTCACTAATCTTGTCCTTGCTGCCCTTTGCGAGTGCCACGTAAGCTCGAGTAAAATTGGTAATTGTAGCATCTTCGTTAAGTTCCATCATCTTATTGAAAGTGTGTTCTGCTAAATCAATACGATTCATACGGATGAGAGTTCTCACACGTAAAGAAAAAGCTTCCAAAGTAGAAACATCATGAAGAGATTTTAAACAAGCAATATCATTTCCTTCAAAAGCATAAATAGTTGCCGAACAAATAGCAAAAGTTGGATCTGTAGTGAACGAAGGATCTTGCTGGAGAGTATCTACTTTCTCAATGATGGCCTCTCTTGATGTTCCTCTATTCTGAGCCTGGAAATATTCAGCCAATAAACGTACACCTCGGAGAGGAATTGCCAAATTATCACCCTCTTTAATTTGTTGTAATACAAGATCATATTGTCCCAATCCGATATGTGCTCTAAAAGACAATACATCTCGTTCCATTTTCATATCCGCATTACTTTCATTGATCTTTGTTTGAGCGATCTTACTCATACATACACTATAATTTCCCAGATACAAGGCATTTCGAACAGCCAAGAGTTCGGGGAATCCATCTGATGTTGTTGTTGATGAAGACATTTTTTGTTGATGACTTGGTGTTATTGGATGATGAAAAATGTTGCCACGTCAAACCTTGTTGGATGGTCAACAACCATGGCAAACATGCACATTCTCTACGTTCAACACCATATGGTTTCTCTCTTTCTATGTACATGTGAAAACAGCTGAACCCATTCCATAGACCGTTACATTTCGTTACCGCTTGTTTTTCAATCCAAATTTCGCTCCAAAAAATTGAAAGAATCATCACACCCTCGCACAGATGGCATCTCAACAACAAGTTTCTTCTCCTCTCACAACAGGAACACCTTTTACACCTCAACGTTCTCAACAAGGGGATGAGGATGAAGATGATTTCCTCACCACTGGTAATTCCGATGCCAAAGTTTGGAAGTATCGTAGAGAAAAATACATGGAAGCTCAAGTGAACGTTTCCAACTTTATGGTCAAGCCTTTCTTAGTTGCTTTCTCAGCTGCTATTGGATTTTCAATGGGATATGCTGTTTTTGATTTCTTTGCATCATTCTTTAAGAGAAGAAGACAATAATTTTCATACCTCCGTATTATGTCCTAGACTAGAGATCCTTTGAAAATATGTTGGCGAGGAGCCTTCATATTTCTCTCCTGCAATGGGAATAGAATGGCACTAGACTCAATTCACTACTAGACTTTCACTACTCAATAAACCTGCCCTTTGACTCGTGTCAGCTTCATCATATTGCCAGAGAGACTGTTATCCGACGTCATCAGCGAACAAAACCAGAGTGACGCATAAAAAAATGACAAAGAAGAAATCAAGCAAAAAGCCTTCCAACACATCCGTCAAAGAGGCCAAACAAGAAACCAATACACCATCCCCAAATGAATCTGCATTGCCATTAGCAACATCAGAAACTGAAGCAAGCAATGAAAATGGTAACAGCGATCAGACTGTACAAAACACTCCGGAGGAAAGCAATAATCAACCATCATCAACGTTAACGACATCGGAAACGGTTTCAAGTGAAACACACGAAAATATACCACCACTTCATGATTCCGAAACTTCCCAAGATTGTACAAATAATACTCCACAAATTAATTTATCAACAGCTACCTCTGGCAGTGATACAAAAGAAGAAGAGGTCTCCCAAATCAATGGAGATCATCATTCCACAAATCCTTTTTCAACAACACATGGTAGTGAAACCTCTACTTCCACATCCACTCTTGATCTTACCAATTTGAACAAAGACATTGTCGAAAAACATGAAAATTTTTTGAAAAATGTATGTGAAATAGTGCAACAACACTCTGGAACAATTGTTGCATTTTCTGAGAGGCTTGTTGACAAGTTTTCTCAATTGGACAAAACTCTCGAAAAATCAAAAGAGCAAACTGCTAAATTATTTGAACATAATGAAATTACGAAGAAAGAAAATTCACAGAAGGGAACCTTGTTAGATCCATCTGTTCAACAAATGCTCATGGGGTTTATGACACAAGTGGATCAGCTGTATGAGCAACGAGATCGAGCAATTACTGAGAAAATGAGCAAAATGGGATCGAACTTGCAAAAATTGAGTAACAATGTAAAAGTTTTTGAAGAGGCAAAGAAAAAAGAAGTCTCATCAGAGGATAAATCTCTCACAACAGAAGAAACTGTATCCAATAGTCAACCTACAACTTCCAAAGTGGAATCAAACGTTGAGGAGAATCTCACAGAAGAAGAACTCAAAAAGCGTTGCAAAGAACTCGAAGAAAAATTCAAAGACAAGGAGAATGAATTTTCTTCTTACAAAACAAAAGTTGCTGAGTGGAAAGAAAAAGTGAAAGTAATTAGCAATAAGGACATGAAGAAGATTGAAGAATTAAAAAAGCAAGTGACCACTCATGAGAAGACAATAGAAGAGTTAAACACTAAAATTGAAGAGACGAACAAAAAGAACGAAATCGTTCCAAACTTGGAGAATAGTTTAAAAATCAAAGATGATGAAATTGAAAATCTTAAAAAGGAGGTTACTTCGTTGGCTGAGAAAATTTCACAAAAGGACCTCGTTATTGAGCAACACCAAACAACGATCATGGAGAAGAATCAAATCTGTTCAGAGCTATGTGAAAAACTTGACAGCGTCCAACAGCAACAACAAGAAGCAGCCATGTCATCTGCAAAAAAGGTTCGAAAATTGCAAGATCTTAAAATTCTCAAAAAACTCGAACTTGATTCCAAGACATGGTTTTATGTACATCACAGTGTAGAAAATAATTTAGAGTGGATTGATCTCGAGGAATTGAAACAAATTCACTTAGCGGCACAATCAAACTCATCTCTCGATTCTCTACTCCCAGAAAAATCGATCTTACAAATTCATGAAGAGCCACTGCAATTAAAGCTTTCAGAAGAATCCAAAAAACTTGAAGAACAAATTAAATTATTCAACGAAAAGGACGAGGAACTAAAAACATACAAAACACGTGCCCACGCTGCTCTCAAGAAGAAATCAGACGCTCTCAATCAAGCCAAAATAGATTATGAGAATCAAATTAATGAATTGAAGGAATCTCTCACAAAACAGCAAGAAGAAAATGAAGAGCAATCTAAAACAATTCAGGAGCTTCAGGAGCAAGTTCAGAGCTTTATAATCATTCAAGAAAAAGCTGTGAAGCTTGGATCGGATCTTGATAAGGTCATGTCAGAAAAAGAAGATTTGGAGGACAAAATGAAATCCTTAGAAAAACAACTCTCTAAAACCAAGGAAGATTTCAATGAAGAAAAATCCAAGATTGTTGAAGACTATGAACTTCAACTCAGACAATTGGAAAGTAAGAATAGTGAGTTGGATGAACAATTTAGAAAAGAGTTACGAATCACCAGAGAACGAAATAGAAGAATTTTAGATGAGAAGGAACGAGAAATTACCAAACTTCAAATGAAAATATCTGAGAATCAGCAAGTGACTGATGAAGCAGAACAAGTGAGAGAGAAACTTGTGTCACTTGAAAATGAAATGAATTTGATCAAAGAAGAGAATGAAAGTTTAAAAAAACAATTAACTGCAATGATGACGAATGCAGAGAATACATCCACAGTAAGAACACCTCGAAAGATGGATCAAGCTCAAATTTTATCATCTGCTTTGAACGAAGGACCAACAACTCCAACCTCAATTTCACAAGATAACATTTCTGACCTCTCTCCTTCTGTCAGCACTTCAGATTTGACACTGGAAAGAGATTTTAATCAACTCATAGAATTGGCTCAACTTCAAGCATCACGAGATACTGAAATGATGCATTACAAGGAAACCATTTCTAAACTTAAACAAGTCATCAAGGAAAGAGAATATAGTGAGAAATCTTTCAAAATTTTGGAAAAACAATTGAAAGATGAAATTGAACATTTACAGCGACTTCAAAAGCAAGGAGCTCCCAATCTCGAATACTTGAAGAATATTTTGATATCGTTTTTAACTGGTGAGGACAGAATTGTGAAAGAGAAATTACTCAAAGTGCTTGCTCAAATCATGGATCTTTCGAAGGAAGAGCAGGAAAAGATTTCACAAAAATGTTTAACTGAGCCTTCTTCATCGTTATGGAATATTGTAAGTAGTATGCAATGTGTGATATTTTTTATTGACACAACATTTCATGCATTCAAACTAATATTACGACGAAACAGTTTGGATCTAAGAAATAAATCAGTTTCATTCAAGCTTTGGATGAATGAGCTTTTCTAATTTGAGAAGATCTTGAGTGAATTTTCTGATTCCATCAGCAAGCTTGTCAGTAGCCATTGCATCTTCATTAAGTTCCCATCTGAATATTTTCTCATTAACTTCTACCTTGGGAATATCCATTTCCAAAGCTTTTTCTGGAGACAGCTTTCTTTCCAAAGTGTCACAAGGAGTGCTTGCCAATTGTTTCAAAAGAGCTGGAGAAATAGTAAGTAAATCACAACCAGCCAATTCGATTATTTCCCCTGTATTTCTGAATGATGCTCCCATCACGGTGGTGGTATGTCCGAACTTCTTAAAGTAATCATAAATTGAGGAAACAGAAATGACTCCAGGATCGTCACTAGCTTTCTCGAAGGTTTGTCCCTTTTCCTTGTAGTAATCCAAAATTCTGCCAACGAAAGGAGAGATGAGTGTAACTTTGGCTTCAGCACAACTGTCATTGAACAATTAAATTCGTAGAAGATAAATTTTGTGGAATATTTTCAAGTACTTACGCAATTGCTTGAATCTTTGAGAACAACAATGTCAAGTTGCAATGAATACCTTCTTGCTCCAAAACTTTTGCAGCTTGAATACCTTCCCATGTAGATGCAATCTTGACAAGAACTCTTTCTCTTGAAATTCCTGCATCTTCATACATTTTAATGAGATGTCTAGCCTTGTTAATTGTACCTTCCGTATCAAAAGAAAGTCTAAAAGTAAATAGTATCCAACGATTCCATACGATGCATACAATATTTTCGTAATATTGACCATCATCATCATGATAAAAAATTTCCAAATATGTTCGATGAAAATATATTTACCTGGCATCCACCTCTGTTGATACTCTTCCTTTAATAATTTTCAAAATTTCTAATCCAAAATTAACATTCAACTTATCAAGGGCAGCCTCTAGTTGCTTCTTAATATCACTACCTCCGACTCTCTTTGCATATTCAATTCCGTCTTGTACCAAATGTTCATATTCCTTCAATTGACTGGCTTGGAAAATCAACGATGGATTAGTGGTAGCATCCGTTGGTTGATATTCATGCAACAATTTAAAATCACCAGTATCGGCCACTACGGTGGTGTACTTTTTGAGTTCTTGCAATTGATTTGAGGACATTTTTTTTGTTGTGGTTATCTTGGCTCACGTTTTAATCTCGATTTGTTCAAATAAGCGTGTGGAAACGTTCTGCTCATGCGCCGTTATTGTCATTTCTTCCGCCTTTCTGCATCGGGAGCTAATTCGAGTACGTTGTAACACGAGCATTACTTAGGACAAGGTATGTGATGTTTATCCTCCTATTCGAATAAAAGTAATTTTAATAATAATTCATTGATCAATTACAAAAAAATGCAAAACAAATCCTCCTCTATTCATATTTCTCCCATCGTCTTTCATGGCAAAGATGCTCATTCCTGTGGTTATTGTAAAACATTGGATTCGGATTCTGATCGGTTCATGAGAACTCCTGATACTTCTGTAAGCATTGGATTTCATGTCTATCAAGTACCAGCCAATGTTTACGAACAAATGATGTTTCGGAATATGAGAAGATGTGGTGATTATTATTATCAACCGATCAATGATGAAACATGTTGCCCACAATATGCCATCCGATTGAATTCGTTGGATTTTAAGATGAATAAGAAACAATCAAAGGTTCTGAAAAGAATGAAGAAATATTTAGAAACTGGAGTGGTTCATGATCAAGAGAACAATCTCGAGCACGATACCAAGAAGAGAAAAGTGGATGAAAATCATCACAAACTAATTGGACAACTCTCAGAGTCGTTGCAATCCTTATTGAAGGACAATGTTGAAAAGTTTACCAAATTCTTTGATGGAGTTGGCAATCAAGAGTTGAGACAACAATTAACAGATGTGTTTCAAAAGCAAACATTTCAAACAAACAAGAAAGATCCAAATACTTTCTCGTGTGGAATTGCATTTGCATTGTTCGGCCTATCGAAAAAATTGAAATGCAATACAGTTTGTGAAAAGAAAGATTTAGGGTCAGAAGTTGCCTCACTTCTCTCTCAACATCATTGGGAACAAACTTTTGGTGTAAATATTCAAGTGGAAAATAATGGATATATTAACATGACATTGAAAAACCCAACCACTGAAAAAGTTTCTGTGTCCTCTAATATCAAACGTAAAAAGGATCAAGGCACACTGTCCCAACCCTCAACCAAGCCAAAAACATTGACAACTCAACTTGTAGACTCCAAGTTCAAAGTTGAAGAATACAAAATCTATCAAAAATATCAAAAAACCATTCACAAAGAAGAAACCACAGAGAAGGGTTACGAAAGATTTTTATGTAAATCTAGCTTGTTAGATATGGACACGAAAAGTACCTCTTCAGAAAAACCATTGAAGGGCTATGGAACGTTTCACCTTCAATATAGAATTGATGAACAGCTTGTTGCTGTGAGTGTATTAGATGTGCTACCAACTGGCCTTAGCTCAGTATATTTCTTTTATGATCCAGAGTACGCACATCTTTCCCTTGGAGTTTACTCTATATTGAACGAAGTTGAGCTTATCCAAAAAGAAAGCGCCAAGTTTCCACAATTCAAGTACATGTATCTTGGTTTTTATGTTCATTCTTGCAAAAAGATGAGATATAAGGGTGAATATTATCCATCTGAACTGCTCTGCAATGAATCATTTACATGGGTTCCACTTGACAAATCTCTTTCTGCTAAATTAGACCAAAACAAATATTTTAAATTTAATGATCAAGCTGAGACGGTGAGAAACTTGGACTTCCCTGAAACGAATGGTCTTTACTTGTTTCTGAGTGGTCAAGTACTTCCATTCTCATTAGGTGCATCCATTCTTCCACTAACCAAGAGTGCTTTGGAGAAGATCAACCTCTTTAAACGTACTTTTGGAAAACAGTTAACCTTAGAGAGTGGTTTTGCCTATTATGTGAGTGAAGAAGATTTAGTAGAGGAGGATGAAGAATAATAATTACTAGTTCTGAGTTCGATCAACATTAATAAATATCACAAAATATTCGTGTAATTTTAATACATGGCAGGTGCCAGTTGCGGTTTGAGGTACAATTTAGATGATTCGTTAGTAATAATACTGATCTTTTCTTCTTCTCATCAAAGCATATGATCCTGATTCGTTAAATTCCTCTGCTGTTATCCACATTTCATCAAAAGAGCCTAGACTAGTCAATATACTACCTCCAATGAAGGGCGAGTTGCATCTATTTTCCGTGTCACACGATTTAATCTGAACGTTTCTTTTGGTTAGACTTGCTACATCTGACGTTAACCTCTCGTCGAAATTTGCAAATTGTGAACTGCCTCCTGAAACAATAATATTGTCAAAGAGCTCAGGTCTGGTGTCTGCGTCACATGCCATGATACTTGAACAAATTAGCTCTGGTAACCCTTCACATTCTCGGCCAATTAACTGAGGCTTATACAAAATTTCAGGAGCTCTAAATCGCTCAGCATCTAGCTCAATTGAAGTTCCACAAGGAAGCGTGTATGACGTGGAAAAGTCATGGACAGATATCGTAGATCGAGGAGCCATTAAGTCATTCATGACTTCGTCGTAATTTCTTGCGACAAAGCAACAATTTTCCTTCATAATTCTAATCGCCTCATGCTCTCCGAACGACTCTGTATAAAATCCTTTTTCAATCATCAATAATTTCTTCAGTTGTTTCGTTACATCATCTCCACCCAAATGCACACGTTTCACAGCATTGTAAAAAGTATATCCTAAATTCGAATGACAACAAACAATTTGTTGAAATGCCACAACTGTAATTGCACTCACCTCCATAAATAGGCGTCAAAGTAGTCACGTTATGTCCAATATCTACAGACAAGCCTGTATAATTTCCACTACTGTACAATATTAGTGAGCCAGATGTCTTTGAATAGAATTTTGGAATCCTAAAAGTTTCAAACATTATACTCATAGTTTTCTCTGCATTAGATATAGGATTTAAATCATGTTCTATCATTAACATTGGATGCTCTATTGGATTTAAGCGTAATTCATTGAAAAATAGATTGTTCCAAACAGATTCCATATCGTCCCATTGTTGTACATAGCCATCTACAATACATGGAGTAACATTCAAAAAACATCTATTATTGGAAGATATTTCTCTGCCTAAATACAACAATTTAGATTCGGCTCCTAGCATTTCCGGACTCTTGTGCGTTGGTTTTGGTCTTCCAACCAAAGATGATACCACACATGCTGGTTTTTCCTCACCCGAAAATCCTGCTTTAATTAATAAGCTTCCATTATCAACAATCACTGGTGTTTGTGCTAAAACCATTTTTCATTCGTATTTCATTACGGACCAAGGAGGATTGAATCAATGATGATGATTGTAAAGCCTCCTTCTTCTTGCTTCGTATTTTTTTAAGATTAAAAAAATGTTTAACAGGTAGGTCTCTTGTTCATGAGAAGCGTTGGTGTGTGTTGAATGCAGAATTTGATAATTTTGAATATTCGGAATTTAAACCTTTGAATCATGAAAAATCAATCCTTATTATAATGTGGATTTTTTGAAATGATGAATTTTCCATCATGATGGTTGTTAATCGTTCATTCAATAGAATTTTAGGTGGATTGAGTAAAACGAGTTCAACAATATTTTCAAAGATTGGATCCATTCTCGGAGGTTCTTCTACTGGTCCAAGAAAAGTATTTAATGAAGAAGATTTTAAATTATTGGAGAGTGCTCTTCTTTCAAGTGATGTCGGAAATAACACAACTCAATTATTACTTCAAAGAATGAAAACACAAGTTACGAATATTGAAAAAGAGTTAGAACTCAATCCAAATATGACAGATATCAAACCAATGAAATCCATTTTGAGAGAAGAAATGTTAAAATTATTTCAAAATCCAATGCAACAACAAATAGTGAAACGATTACAACAAAATCAAGGAACGGCAGAGCAAGAAATTTCAGTCTCTCTAATTCCCATCTCTGTGAAATCGAGGCCTACTGTCGTTCAAATTTGTGGTGTAAATGGAAGTGGAAAAACTACATCGATTGGAAAATTATTACACAAATATAGACAATCAGGAACTGTGAGACATATGATTGTGGCAGCTGCTGATACGGTGAGAGCAGCTGCTCCAGATCAATTAAGGTCATGGGTAGAAAGAACACCCGATTGTTCAATTGTTGATTTAACAGAATCAGAAAAATTGAAAAAACAGTCTGAATCCGCAACCCATCAGCCAGTTAAAACAAAGAACATTCGTCAAGTAAGCTATAAAGTACCAGCTGAGAGTGTGGTGTACGAAGCGATTCAACAAGGTCTGCGAAAGGAAGATGTCGATGTTGTGTTTGTAGACACGGCTGGAAGATTGCAAAATCAAGAAGCATCCATGAAAGAATTAGCTCTTATTAATGAAATGTGCTCCAGATCAAGAAAAGGTGCCCCAGATCACACATGGCTTGTTTTAGATGGAACCATTGGTCAAAACTCAATTCAGCAAGCAAAACTGTTCCAAAAGTATGTTCGAATATCTGGAATTATTGTGACAAAACTTGACGGAAGTGCAAAGGGAGGCGTTATTCTGGCAATTGCGAATGAGCTCAAAATTCCTGTCTTGTATATTGGACTCGGTGAAAGCGTGCAAGATTTGAGACCATTTTACCCCGAACAATTTGTTGATTCAATTTTGTCTGTGACAGAGCAAACAAAAGAGAAACCACAGGACGAAGAAGAGGAATAAGACATTGACTTCATCACTACATGAGTTGCCTTATTTATTTGTCTTTTTCTTCTTCTTTGTGCTCTCTTTCTTTTTCTCCTTGACTAAATCTTTCACAAGAGTATTAGCACTACGTTTATCTTTCTTTGCCTTCTCTTTCTCTTGCTTCTCCTTATTCTTGTCCACCAATTCCTTGTCATATTGCTTCTTTGGTGTTAACTCCAAGAGTTCAATATCATAAAAGAGAGTAGCATTGGGAGGAACCTTGTCGATAATTCCCTTCTCACCAAATCCTTTTTCTGGAGGGATCACCAACTCTCTGATTCCACATACTGTCATACCTTCAACTCCAATGTTGATGCCCTTGATAACTTTTTTTGTGCCAAGTCTAAAGCTATATGGATTTCTTCTGGTACTTCTATCAAAAGTTTTAACTTTGTCTGGATCCAATCTTCCTTTGTAATAGATAGTGACCTTATCTCCTATTTGTGCCTTTCTGCCATGTCCAACAAAAACGTTGGTAATTTGAACACCTTGCCTTTCAAACTCCTTAGGTTCAGTATAATCTTCTTTCAGCCTCTCTGCTTCCTCTTCTTCATCTCTCTTTTGTTGTTGTTGTTTTTCATACTTTTCTACTTTAGATTTTTCCCAAGGAGCCAAATCAGTATATTTTGTTTTTTTCAATTTTTCAACAATTTCTTTAAAATAATTTCGTTTCAATCTGAAATATGCTTTTGCTTTATCCTCAAAAGTTGCATTTGGAGAAAATTCCACATAACCATGAATGTCCACTCCAAGACACTTGTCTTTCAATAAATATGGTCTTCCTTTCAATTCAAAAGTTAAATTACCAATTTCATCTGCAGAGAACATTTGATTCAAATTTGTTTCACTCTTCATAGGATGAGTCAATGTTGCTAACACAAACTTTTTTCTCTTATCATCATCTTGAATACATGCTTGCAAAACGCATCCAGGTATTTTCTCTTTTTCTTTTGCTTCTTCTTCCTCTTCTTGAGCCAAAATTAATTTTAATTTCTTCTTTGCTTCCTCTCTTTCTTTTACTTTTGAAGGTAGAGCAGCATTAATTAGTGAGTCCACTTGTAGCGAGCAATAAGTTATCGAGAGAGTACAATTTGAAACTTGTCCGAGAGAAAAAGGCTCATCGGGATTCACTCGAATTCTCCATTGCAATACTTGCACTTTTTCCAAAAATTCTTTAATATCCTGAGAAGGATGCCTCATAAATTCCTCTTCTAGTGCTTGATTTTCAGCTGCATATTTTGTCTTTTTAATCCGAGGAGATGATGATGAACTCTCATGCGATCTTTTCATTTTTTTTAAATTCAATTTTTAAGTCAACATTCTCTTTGAACAACAACAAGTTTGAGAGAATTTGTGTCATGATGACATTTCATTGGAAATACCACCAATTTATTGCTGTTCATTTTCTTTACGTTTCACAATCTTCAACAGAGTCGAAGGAGCTTTGGTTTGTTTTTTGTTTTGCCATTTCGAAGAATCCACTTTTTTCACATTCGCTGATTGAGAACGTTCCACATCGACCACCGAGATGGAAGGAGAACGAGTGGCCTTATTTTTCAATGGTGTACTCGTTGTTGTTTCATTGGATGTTGGAGTTGTTGGAGAATTACTACTGCTGCTTGCTTGCTTATGGTTGGGAGTTGGAACAGAAAGAGAATTTGGTGAAAGAGAATTGGTTGTTGTTGTTGTTGTGTTCATCATGATCGTATGATTCGAAGCAGTCGGAAGGGTGACTGGAGATTTCACACGAGAGGTGGAAGGAGTCGAGTTTGAGGAAGTGGGAGATTTTGATTGAGGAGAGCGAAGAGTGCTGTAAACTCGTTGTGGAATTGGTCCATCTCCAACCAATTGTTTGATTCTCTTGTCGAGTCCTTGTTTGGTAATGAGAGCGAGTTGATTTGCAAATTTGTAAAATGTAATTTCTGTTAAAACATCTCCTTCAAAGTTGTAATATTTCTTTGCAAAGGCTTCACCAAAGTGGTGAGCAATAAATTCCAAACTTTGTAATTTGATCGTATCAGGAACTATTTCTTTGATTTCCTTAATTTCCTTTTTGGGTTCTTCTGACATGGTTCTTAAAAATTGTTTGGTCTTTTCAATTTGATTGGCTGTATAAGTTTCGACTCGTTTCATGAATTTTTCCTTCTTACTTTCACTGACTTGAATTTGATTGGCAACATTTTGTAAAATTTTGGTCAAGAGTGTGAGTGTACGTTGAACATTCTTTGGAGGTGGATCTTTCACAAGACCAAAGAGTTGAGGTGTGACCAATGCTGGACAGAAAAATCTGAGGAAGAGTAAACCACCAACACACATTTCTCCACTTGATGGATATTTCTTTTCTGATTCAGAAAATGTGTGAGAAAGAACTTCTCGAATTTGGATGGGACAATTATTTTGGGAGTTGGTGATTAATGTAAGAACTTCTGAACAAAGTCCTTCCAATAATTCTGCATTCTTGTCAGCAACTTCAGAGGAAGCAACCTTCTCATCATCAATTTCATAACTCTTATTTTCTTTGATCAGTTTTAACAGGAAAGGTTTGATTGTTTTTGTGAGATATCGCAAGCCAAACACTTTGAAAAAGAGAGTGACAAGTTTGGATGATAAACTGTTTCTTCTGAACAGTGTTCCTGATGATTCAGCACAATCGACTTCTACTGTGACAGCAGCTTTCACAAAATCCACACTTGGCTTTGGAGAGTCCGAAGAATCAAAGAGAGTGAGAAGTGGAGCAACCATCTTCTCTGAAACGTTAAGTTGGAAGGAATTGAAGCATCTCACAACCTCATTCAAATCAGTATTTGTTGTCAGGAGTTCGAAAAAGTCCAAATATGGGAATATTTTGGTTGTGATTTCTTCTTCAGGATCACGCAAATCAGTTCTCTTTTCTTCTAAGAGAATGTGATCACAAATTGATGTGATCCACTCTTTTCTTGCCTCTTCTGAATCAGCAATGAAAATATGTTCTCTATTTTCATGTTCCTTACCATTACTGAAACTGATTTGACATGATAATGAAAATTTGAATCCTTTTGGATTTACAAGATTCAAAAACTTGTCAAGCTTTCGTTCTTCCTTATTTTGTGATTTGATTTTTACAGGTTCTGTCTCTTCGTTTTCAATACTTTCAATAATTTCATCAATAATTTGATTTCTATCATGCTCACTGTCTGTAGACGCAAGTAAATAATATGGATAGAGTTCATCAACGTCTAGCATTGGACCTCTCAATTCCAACTCTCTACGTTTCCTTCTGATCAAGTTAATTGTTTGTTGTTCATCCAAATCGAGATCGTCAATAGTTTCCATACTGACTGTGGGATCGTCTTCATCAATAAGCAATGCTTGATTGTAGTAAACAAATTCTTTTGATTTTTCAATATTTTTCTGTTTTTGTAATTCCTTTTCCATGGCTTCATCTCTAGGAACATAAATCTATGTGTGTTTGGTAATAGAAAAATAAATCATAGAATTCAAATGATAAATCATGTCAATGACCAACTTGTGTTCACACACACACACAACTAACATACCATTGAATCACTGTCAATGACAACAATTCCCAAAGGTTCTTTTCGATCCTCTTCGGAATCAGAAGCAAAATACTTCAATAGTAAATTATCATCCAACTCGACATATCTTCGTGCCCATTTGGCAAAATTTCCCTGTCCTCTCTTTATAAGATAGCCTGATTTTATGACTTTTGGTGTTCGTGATAAAACTTCTTCCTCTTCAATTTCTTCTTCCTCTTCTGTGTCAATTCTTCTGTTATCCAAAATTCCATCTCCTTGCATTTTCATTTTCAGAAGGAGAGAATAAATACCCTGTTCCATTGCTTTAAAGTGACCTCTATTCGCAAGTGGAGCTCTCATAAATCTGAACTGGACTTGAATTTCATCGGTAAGATTGAGTGAAAATTCGACTGGATGATTCATGTCAAAGGCCTAATATTCCCGATTCACATTTACATTCACATGGACACAAGGAATAATTGTATTGCACACATTCAGTTGCATCATCATTTCACACGAACAAGATTCAAAAAAAATTGTGGATTCAAGTTAAAATATGGTAATGTCAACATTAGAATGGAAAACATACACTAATTTTGATTGGTTCTGTTCTTCCCAATCTCTTATCAACAGTTTTAGTCTCTCCTGTGGTTTCAAACACTTCAAGCCACAACTTTCCAACATTCAACACACTTGTTGCATAGGGAATAATCACTCGTTTTCCTAACTTGATATGCCATGGATTTGTGTTACTGGAGAATGTTTTTACACTTGTCACTCGAACTTGATTATCGAAAAATACTTTTACATAAACTCCAGCACTGTCTGGTAATGATTTTGATGATTGTTGTTGTTGTTCATTATTATTCTTATAGTTATCAATCGAATCGACAATAACAATGAGTTTTTCTTTGGAATTGAAAAGTTCGCTTGTGGATGTTTTAGCACTGTCGGATGATGAGACAGATTGTCGAGGAGTGGAGAGAGAGGATGGTGAATTTGTAGTTAATTCTCCAAAATCATGTGCTGGAGTTGTGGAACTGAACATTCGGATCGAACTCAAATGTGTGTGGTCGTATCGTTGTTGTTGTTGTTGTTGATGGGGAGAGATGATGGAATTTCAGATGATGAAATAATTTTAGATCGAAAAGCAACAATTAATGTCCTCGAGAGCAATTGCTGATGATGATGAACACACTGTGTGTGAAATCGGCAAATGGTTGTATGGACACAGAGTGATGATGATACGTATGGACGCTACTGTTCGAAAATTTCCTGGTGCAACTGGAGCGTTCTTTGTGTTTGTTCTCCAGCCAGACCAACAGTGTGATTTTTTTATGAAATGAGGGTTTTGACGTGTGAAAGCTGGAAACGAAGAGTGATGTGATCGGAGAGTTATTGATCTGTTATGGTGCCACTTGTTGGTTCGTGTGCAAATGGCGAGGTGGTCATGGTGAAATATTCTTTGGAATTTGATGATTAGAGTATTCAAGCACGAGCTTGCCTCACACTGTTGAACGTTAAAACTTGAAAGTGAGGCGTAATTGTCAATGTTGAAACAACAATTTAATTGTTGGAGGTGGCTGGTTTGGAAAAAGGGAAGCCTTCAAAATCCACAAGAGGATCAATAAACCATTCCAAAACTCGTGTCACACTCTTGGGAAGAATATGCCTCATGAAAAACAAGACACAAAATACAATAATGCAATCAAAGAGTCTGAACAAGAATACCTCCCAAGCATTTTCTTTTGCCCATTCCGAAAATTGTTTCAATAGTTCCATAACCTTACCCAGTAGTGATAATTCTTTTTTATGAGTTGAGCTGGAAAGTTGTTCTTTCTTTGATAAATATTTAGAAAGTGCTTTGGACAAGACTTGAATGATTTCGTCTGTGCTAACTTGAGCATTATTTGCCAGCTCTTTCAATGAAATTGCTAATACTGTGCTACTCAGCGGTTTAATTTCAAAAAGATCTTGTTGTTCCGATGCCATTATTTGTTCATCATGATCATCATTGGCGTTAATTAATGAAGGAACTGTTTTAGAAAATGATATTTCTAATTTTCTCGTATTTTCTTCTTCTTCCGGTAGTTGTCGGGTTGTAATTATCGAGTGGTTGTTGTTGTTATTTGATAAAGCTGCAGATGAAATCATGACTCGTGATAATATAATTCAAATAATTTTTTCAAAATGTTATTCAAAATTATTATTTGTCAGAGATGAAAAAAATAAGCTCCCTCTTTTGCAAGCCTCTCATCAGATCATCGATGAGCCATCATCATGATTCGGGATCTGTTCGATCTTACAAGATATTTATGAGTAATGGGTTCGCCTATCATGATGAAAAGGAATTTGAGAACAAATTTACATTCCAAGTTTTTGCTGGTAAAGGTTGGTGTCGATTTAATTCAAGGTGAAAATCATATAAATTTGATTGACAATTTTGAAATCATTTTTGTCAACGAAATGACACAATATGCTGAACGATTTAAGGTCTTGAAAATTTTGTTCAACAAGTAAATGAGTACAAACCAGATGGTCTCTACTTTGTTGGATGGAAATCTCAGTTCAAACTGTCAAATGATGGTTTTTTCTCAAAGCTTACAAAAGAAGCAAAAGATAACTTGAAAATCATTGCTAATCATGGTGTTGGGTATGATAATGTAGATGTTAAATCGGCTCTCACAACAAAGGATAAACCAATAATTGTCACTCATACTCCTGATGTTGTTTCGGATGCAACTGCAGACACTGCCATAATTCTCATGTTAAATGCATCTCGAAAAACAAGAGTATTTGAAGAAAATCTTAGACAATTAAAGTGGAAATCTGGATATGAAACACTCATGGGCCATGATTTGAAAGGAAAAACATTAGGAATTATTGGTATGGGAAGTATTGGAACTAAAACTGCCTTAAGGGCACTTTCATTTGGAATGAGAATTTTGTATCACCAAAGAAATCAAAAAAAGGATGTTGAAGAAAAACTGAAACAAGTTGGTCAACTCGTGTCAGAGGTGGGCAGATATTACCACAGTCAACCTATAATTGAATATTGTCAAAGCATGGATGACCTTTTGAAACAGAGCGATATCATTTCAATTCACACACCTCTTACTGAATCTACTCGTCACCTGATCACCAAAAAACAGTTTGACATGATGAAAAAGAATTGCATAATTATTAACACTGCAAGAGGAGCAGTCATTCATGAACAAGATCTTGTACAAGCTCTCAAATCGAATACCATTGCTGGTTGTGGATTAGACGTTTTTGAATTCGAGCCCACTATTACACAAGAACTCTTAGAATTGGCTTCCAACAATCCTTGTATTTCATTGTTGCCTCATATTGGTACACAAACGGATGAAACCAGACTTGACATGGAACAATTATGTATTGAGAATTTAAGGCGAGTGCTTGTTGAAAACAAAGATCCTGTGTCACCTGTACCTGAACATAAGTATTTATTTAGCAGTCAATAACAACCGTGACAAATGCAAGATGGCTTGTTTAATTCTTGAATAGAAAAGTGTGAATAATGAACTAGCTCCTTTTCCTATCTCTCGTCGAGAACAGCAAAAGAAAAAATGTTTAAATGGTCCCGATTGAATCACAATACCGCTGAAGAGGATTTGAATGGAGTTTCCTCACAACTGTCAAGTCAAAACACAAGTACTCAAGTTGTGTCTAATACAGAAATCACAACTCGTGCACACCACAATGCGAAAGGTCCGATCGAAAATCCATTCACCAAGAGTGGTGTACTTCCGTCGGAAGTGGTCATCAATATTGTTACGTTCATGGATTTAAAAACCCTCTTCTACTTTGCTGTCACGGATCGATTTATGTTGAAATTTCTATTCCATCAATCACCCTCTCAAGTCCAAGAATACATCAAGTTGAAGCAACACGTTTCCAGTGAAGAGATACACTCATCGAGCGAAAAACAATTTCCTAAAGTGATCAATGCATATAAAAAACAAGAGGAGCAAGTAGACTTTGAACTAGTTCAACGGCTAATTTGGAAAGCATTGGTTTGTTATTATTTTCCACAATTCGAAAAGACTCTCAACATAAAGAATTGGATGCAAGTGTTGCGTAGAAGAGTGAATCATTTAAAACTGTACGCTCCACTAGCTCTTCCATTACATCAAAACATGGAAAAAGATCCTTTCAAGCTTAGCAATGCCCTGCAGCTACCCTTGGACGATACATCTTTTTTCATTGAGGGATGTGAATTTAATTACAAGTAAGTGTTATGAGTATATGAGCTGATGAAGTATAACAACTGTTACCACGTGTGTTCGTGCAATTCAAAGATGTCCCCTTAAATATGACCAGTTGCAATACTCGACAAATAATACCAGATATTGCACAAAATGTAACAAGACAGTGTATGGAACGAATGATGTTTCAGAATTCAAAACTCATGCTTCACTAGGTCACTGTGTAGCATTCTCCTTGAAACGCGAATCTTTTGAGATTGATTTCATGGGAGATGTTTGCTTCCCAATGGACGAACAGAACACTTTGTAGACTCGAGTGTGTCTGTGCTCCAAAACATGGCTGGCAATAAAATTCAAAACAAAAAATTTTTAAGCAAGCCTTGTCGAACACGTATTGATCATCATCATGACGAGAGGAAGCTTGCTTTCTGGTTTTTTAGTATTATCGTGTTTATTATTGATTACTTTTATCCAAGCCAAATCCAATGTCTATTCAAATATTGAAATATTATCAATAGATAGAACAATCGACACCACACAAAACACTATGGTGAGAGAGGAAGTAAAATGTTCAATTCAAAATGTTGGATCATCCGAGACTAAATACTTTTATTTGGCTTTCCCTAAGACATTATCAATGAATAATGTTGCCTATGTTTCTGCCCGCCAACAATCCAATACTTTGAATGTTCTGAAGCACAAATTTGATGATGAATTGAACAAGTAAGTGGAATTCATGATTACGGATCGAATATTGATTTAATATTGATATTATTTGTTATGATGATTTGATTAACCCGTCCTGATATCTACTTCACAAAATTTCATGTTAATATGTTTCGGTCTTATGTGTTCCAACAATGATGTCATCACGACGTATTCACAATATATTTCTTTAAACACGATCTTCATAACAGAGACGCATCTTTCTTTGAAATTGAACTCGCTTCGCCTTTGGGAGCCAATCAAAAGGCTGATTTAGTCATTAGCATTGTCTATGTCGGTGTGGTTCGTCCTTATCCAAAGGAAATTACACAAACCGAGCACCAAAAAGTTGTTTATGAGAGCAATGCCTACTTTTTCTCTCCTTACAAGGTGAGACATCAAGTTACCACCGTCAAAGTCGGAACATCATCCATTGATTCTTATTCTACCAAAGTTAAGCCAGTTGAAAACAAGGGAACTGGTATACAATACGGACCATATCGTGATGTTACTCCATTCTCTGTGGATGAAATGAGAGTTCACTACACCAATGATCGACCATTCTTTATTGTTGAATCTGTGGATAGAACAGTCGAAATTTCTCATTGGGGTAACTTGGCTATAGAAGAACATTATGAAATCAAACATGGTGGAGCTAAATTAATTGGTCCATTCTCAAGATATGAATATGCAAAGAACCCACCTCAAACATCACCATCATCATTTAGAAAGATTACAGCCACTTTACCACTTACTGCCACCGACATTTACTTTAGAGACAGAATTGGAAATATTTCTTCATCTGATATTCGTGTGGTTGGAAAGAACCTTGAGGTTGATTTTTATCCAAGATTCCCACTTTTTGGTGGATGGAGAATTCGTTTTTATATTGGCTACAATTTGCCAATCAGTGATTACCTCACTACAGCTCTTAACAACCCTGAAAAGCACAAATTGAGATACAAATTCTCAGTGCCTTTTGACGCTCCAGTTGAGGATCTCACTCTTCGTGTCATTGTTCCAGAAGGTTCCTCTGATATTGAATTCCGTACATCTTTCCCAATTGACAGTGAACATAGAGAAAATTTAAAGACATACCTTGATGTTGGAGGAAGGACTGTGGTAGTTATTAAGAAGAAGAATGTTGTTCCAGAGCACAATGAAAATTTCCTCTTGTCTTATACATTCCCAGCTACTGCCGTCTATTTTGAACCACTCTTGGTAATTGGTTCACTTTTTGGTTTCTGCATGTTTGTGATTATTTATGTTAGATTGGACTTTTCCATTCAAAAGTCTGAGGAAGAGCTTGAAAAAGAGCGTGAAACCATGTCATACGAATTAGTTGAGACATACATTGAAAAATTCTTTGAAAGAGACTCGTGGTTTACAGATTTAGAACAGTCCTTGGATCGTAACAACATTGAGAATGTTGAAAAGAAGAGACTGGCTATGGCAGATAACATCAAGAATGAAATCATTGCCGAGTTGTCAAAACTCCAATCAAAGACTGTTTCTACAATTAGTGAAATTGAAAAGAAAGATCAAAAGAAGTTCGAATACTTGAAGGACATTGTTAATGCCAAGTCTGAAAAGGAAAAGGACGAAACACACAACAAGTATTCTGTTGTTTCAGAGGAAATCTATTCCCTAGTTGATTTATTACGAGAATAAATTATTGCTTCAATCATGAACGTGAAATGGTTGTGGGTCACAACAATGGACTGAACCAATCTTCATCCTCAACATTGACCATCAACCATGTCATCAGCCAATAATAAATTCAGAGTAATTTTTGAATTTTGAAAAAAATATCTCAAGCTCTTCTCACTCACTCTTCTCTCTCTGGTACAACAGGCCAATAATCATCATCACACCACGTCATGAGCGAATCTGTTCACGAAGATAGAACCATTGAACAATGGAGAATTAAAAAGCTGATTAAAAACTTGAGTGAGGCTAGAGGTAATGGTACCAGTATGATTTCTCTCATTATTCCTCCAAAGGATCAAATCGCGAGAGTAACCAAAATGTTGCAAGAAGAATATGGTACCGCTTCCAACATTAAAAGTAGAGTCAACAGAATTTCTGTACAAGACGCTATTACCTCCACCATTCAACGTTTAAAGTTGATTACAAGAGTACCCGATAACGGATTAGTCGTTTACTCTGGTACTGTTCTCACCGAAGACGGAAAGGAAAAGAGAGTCACCTATGATATGGAACCATTCAAGCCAATCAACACTTCCTTGTATTTGTGTGATAACAAATTCCATGTTGAGCCTTTACAAGAATTGCTTGAAAGTGATGAAAAATTTGGTTTTATTATTATGGATGGTAACGGTTGCCTTTACGGAACACTCTCAGGAAACACAAGCACTGTTCTTCAAAAGATTAGCGTTGACTTGCCAAAGAAGCACGGTCGTGGTGGTCAATCTGCTTTGCGTTTCGCTAGATTGCGTTTAGAAAAGAGACACAACTATGTTAGAAGATGTGCTGAATTGGCTGTTCAACATTTTATTACAAACGATCGACCAAACGTTTCTGGACTCATTCTTGCTGGTTCTGCTGACTTTAAGGTTGATTTGACTCGTACTGATTTACTTGACCAACGTCTTCAAGCCATTATTTTGAAGGTTGTCGACATTGCTTACGGAGGCGAAATTGGTTTCCAACAAGCCATCGAGTTGTCACAAGAATGTTTGAAAGAAGTCAATTTTATTCGTGAAAAGAAAATTATCGATGAATTCTTTACCGAAATTTCAAAGGACACAAACAAGTTCGTTTTTGGTGTAAAGGAAACTCTTTCTGCAATGGACATGGGTGCTGTTAAGACTCTCATTGTCTGGGAAAATCTTCCTCATCTCAGATACAATATTAAGCAACCAAACGGTGACTATGTCGTCAAGTTCTTGACACCTGATGAAGCCAAGTCAAACAAACATACCGTTGACGAGAACGGAAATACTTTAGATTATGAAGTTGTTTCTTTACTGGAATGGATTGTTGAAAACTACAAATCTAAGGGATGTAATTTGGAGATTGTCACTGATTGTACTCCTGAAGGATCTCAATTTGTGAAAGGTTTTGGTGGTATGGGTGGTGTTTTAACCTATCCAATGAACATGGACGAAGTGTCTTATTATCAAAATGATGAGCACTTGGCCGATGAAGACCAATTCAATGAGGATGACTTCATTTAACGACCCAACGGACAACACAGTGCAGGGAGGAGTCAGCCTGTTAAGTTCCGTTCGGTCAAAGTTTGTCGAGTCATCTTTCTCTTTCGCATTTTACCATTTCTTGTCACTTTAGTGAATAAGACACAAATGGTATGTGTCGAATTACTGCGTGCTTGTTGGGCTTTAAGAACTTTTAAGATGAATGGGCACACTTTGACACAGAACTCCTATTTCTGTAACTTGGTGAGCTTACTCCTCACTCACCACAATTATTACCAAAATAAATAATTATTGATATCTTTTACATTTTATGAATGGTGTTGGTTGTGATCTATTTACAAGAACAATATTGTTTCAACAATTATTCCTTCTTTAGAGGCAAATAATCATACACAATAAACGAGAACAACTCCACTTGGTCCAAATACCTCACCAATTCTTTTTCAAAACAAAAAGTCCAATCTCCAGCTGTTTGCATTTCTAGAAAGACTTCTCCATCAATTTCCATTTTTATCATGCACTGTTTCAAATCATTCGTGACCGAGTCGATTTGTTGTTGAGTTACGGATGTCTTATTCTTTGCAAGAGATGCTTTCCAAAGCATGGACATCAAATTGCCCACTTCTTCTGGGGTCTGTTGCAGAATACTCTCTCGAGTGAACATGTATGGATCGTCAATAAAACCTCCTCCCAACACAGATGCTGTCGACTTGGTAATAAAAAATCCGCTCGATTTCTTCTTCTTCTTTTTCTCTTCTCTCACTTTTTCATATTTTGCAAAATTTTCATTATAAGTCATTAAATTATCTCGAATTCTTTCGAGTTGAAATTGAAACTTTTTCAATTCACCAAACGGTTTAATTTCTCCATTAAAGTATTCGTGTAATTTTTCAATATCTCCTCCACATTCATTGTAAATCGAGATTAAATCTGATCTATTTATAAAAAATTAGAAAAACATATATTCCATTTAGAATTTCAAAATATAAAATGTCATTTCATGGATCACTCGAGTTCAGTAACAAATTTTCTCATGATGGACTTACCCTGTAAATTTCTTTAGAATTTTCTTTGTATTTTTCGAAAGACCAATCTCGCCTGCCCATTCTTCACAATCCTGTTTGTGGAATTGAATCAAAAAATGCAATGAACACAAATTTTACATAAATGCCACATGTCAATGAATTATTGTTATAGATCGTCCAAGTCGTATGTATGATAAAGATCATTATATTTGTGAATATTAAAATGAATGTTATAACAAGTATATTTGTATGAGATTGATCTAACATGATCATTATAACGAACCTTTCCGCTCCACTTTTCAATTACTAGTTGTGAAAATTGTTATGACAAAAGATGATCAATATTGGTAAATTTCAAATTCGAACAATTTTATAGAGTCATTCCGATCCGTCATCATGAGCGTTTGTATAGAGATTTAAAAATTTTAGAATAAAGATGAACCGATTTGACCAATGGCATGAACACGAATCATCATTGTTATGAACACTTTGAGCTCGTGAACTTGGTACTTACACTTGTTTTTCATTTTTATTCTCTTGCTGTTGCGCCGTCATCCTTCAATTAACGTCAAGTGTCAAAAAAAATGTCTCGCATGAACGACTTTGTGTTGCAACAACTCGTACAAGAAAACGAAAGACTGAGAAAAGAGTTAGAAGCATGTCAAAAGGCAATTCCAGTCTCCGAAGCAAGTAAATCACTCATTTCATATTGTGAAAATACTCCTGACATGTTAGTCAAAGCAGAACCAAATACAAAGAATCGATTTCACACAAGTGGAGGAGGTGGAGGTGGTTTGTGTGGTGGGGGATCTTCCGATTAAATTATTATTATTGTATTTCAAATTGAATTTAGATCATTTATTGCTCTGGAGTAATAATAACAGTAGATGTAAAAAAAATATAAAATTATTATTTGTCTCTCTCTAGATGTGTTTTATTGTCATTTGTTGATGATGATGATGAATTGTTGTCCATGAATCATCACGTTTTTCTTGTCGATTGTGTAACAATGGTCTCCCAAAAAGTTAGCAAGTGCAGGTTCAAATTTCCAACTTGTCAAGTAATTTGTGTTTGATTCAAAGTTGCAATGTTCTGTGGCCTAAAGAAACAAGAAACTGCATCGAGTTCTTGTTCAGGAACTGTAACTTGTGTCATGATCGGTGCTTGAAATCTACTTGGGTCGTATACTTACCCTCTGTTTTGCTTCGAAGGAACCAAGTTACATTGTCTCGAACTGTCACATACGATCGTCACTGCAGAACAAACATTATATAAAGAAAATTTTCGCTGTGATCGGACCTTCTACCGTTTAAATTCAAATCCAATTCATCCAATTCCATTTTCAAAAAAAAACATTAAGATACAAACTCTACTAATACACTTTGTAATATTCTTCATCCTTTATCCACTCATTGATATTCAAAAAAGAATAAGCCTCACCACAATGAAAACAAGTAAATTGTTTGTAGCGATCCTTTTGGCAATTACTCTCCTAGTCATGCTAGTGGTTCTTCCAGCTTGGACACATGCCACAGAAAGCAGCATGGGACCACAAGACGACATGCAAAAGAAGAGACCTTCAAAGCCATCGCCCTCTCAAAGACCCCCAAGACCACAACCTTCTCAAAGACCACCACTTCCTGAGCCATCTCAACGTCCTCCAAGGCCATCTCCATCTCAAAGACCACCAAAGCCAAGGCCATCATCTCAAAGACCTCCTCGTCCAGAGCCATCTCAAAGATCATTCAAACCTCAAAGAGAAGCAACCAACATGGAGCTTGAATCTGTTGCTCTACATGAAGAAGAACCACACAATGATGTCGAAGAGGAACAACCAAATCAGAGACCTCCAAAGCCATCGCCCTCTCAAAGACCTCCAAGACCACAACCTTCTCAAAGACCACCACGTCCTGAGCCATCTCAACGTCCTCCAAGACCATCTCCATCTCAAAGACCACCAAGGCCAACTCCATCTTCTGAGAAACCAAAGAAAGGTAAAGCTACTGAAGGTGAGCAACCTGATCAAGAGGAATCTGGTTCTCAACAAGGAAAGAAAAAGGATCAAGATATGCATCGTGGTTCTGAAAAAAGACCTCGTTTTTCTATGAATCTAGGTCTTCTCATTGCAGGTTCTTTCGCTACCTTGTATTGTTTGGCTGTTGGAAGTGTTTTGGGAGTTGCTTATTGTTGGTTCCGAAGAAATAAGAAACGACAAGAAACCTTATTGTCCAATGATCAAGTGGCCAATAACCATAATAATATTCAAGGAGCTGTTCAAACTGATACTCATATGAGATTGCAAGAGGAGGAAGATGTTGAAATGCAACCACCAGTGATGTCTCTTCAACAACAAGCTCACATTCAACCTCAGTATATTCAATTATGTCCAAGTTTGATAGTTCCACAACAGCAACCACCTATGGCCATTAACAATGATGTCCGTGTGTAAAAGAAATGAGTTATTTGTAAATAAAACATGAGGTTTCTTTCACTGTTCGAAATTTAGTATTGTACCACACACTTTTTTGGAACCCATGCTATTTAAAAAAATGTATCGCAGCAAAACACTCATTCAAAGTGGCTTATCATCTATGCATCGAAACTCTGCAATATTATTCGGTAATCAATGGTTCTCTCGAATGGTATGTATTTCATAACGATCGGAATTTATAAATATTATTACTATTTTATAATAAAAATATACTTTTTGTAAATTGCAAAATTAATCTTGTATTAATTTAGCAAAATATTGTCTCAAGAGAATTCAATGATCGTCAACAATTTACATCTTACTCAACTTCGGCCTCTACAACAAGCAAGTCAAAAAAGAATTCAAAATTTTATACATTTTGCAATCAAAAACTTTCCGATCAATTAATTGTCAATGGAAAGAATATCGTCGAAGAATTATTCAGTGCTTCAAGTTCCAAACTTTGTTTTAGTGAAATTTCATTTAAAAGGAGTGTTCTGACCATAGAAGGGGAGCAAGCTGAATCGTTTATTCACTCGCTTGTCACAAGTGATGTATCCAAAAAGCTATTTCACAAAGAAGATGCAAAGAAAGCTACTCTTCACAATTCACAACCTTCCATGTTTTTAAATCCTAAAGGAAGAGTTTTATTTGATACCATTCTTGGCGTAGAGTTTGATAGTGAGAGTGGAGCTGTCAAAAATAATAATAGAATTTATATAGAGCATGATGCATCCAAGACTGAAGATTTATTTTCCCATTTGAAGAGTCATGTACTCAGAAAGAAGGTGAAAATGGATAAATTTTCCACCACTTTTGAAAATCTTCCAGATAACTCAACAGTTGTTAAAGTTTTTGCATTATTTGGAAATCCACTGTTGAAATCTAAAACCAGTGAAATCAAATACAAATGGAAGGACTCTGTGGTGTGTGTAAGAGATCCAAGACTGGACGTGCTTGGGTATCGAATGTATGGATTTTTCAAGTCACAAAGTGAATATGAAAAATTCAAACAAGAGGTTCAGTCAGAATTGCAGCCAGAACATTTAATTATGGATACTGAAAAGGCAGAATACTATGAAAGAATTCGCATTTTATGTGGAATAGCTGAGAATTCAATAGACATCCCTACTGATGTTGCTTTTCCAATGGAGGCAGGATTTGAACAAATAGGTGGAATTCACTTTGATAAGGGATGTTATATTGGCCAAGAATTAACCACTAGAACCTATCACAGAGGTGAGATAAGAAAGAGAATCCTTATCGTCCGAGGTGACCATTTGCCAAGCCCAGGTACCGAACTACAATTTAGTGGAGAAAATGTAGAAAATCTCAGGAGTGATAAGGCAGGAAGAATGTGTTCCACTGACGGATCAGTGGGACTTGCCCTTGTGAAATTTGAGCCTCTTATGGAGAGGGATTCTAAAGTTTCTTTGGTCTCTGAAGCAGATACCAACTCTCCCATTAAAATTACTCCACCATATTGGATTGCATTGTAATATTAAAAATTGGCTTCATATCTATAAGAATATAGCTCTAGTGGTTCCTTATCGATGTTGCAAGCAATGGTCTAAAAATTTGTTGCATTGGTCTAAGAGAGATTCTGGCTCTTTCCTTTTTTCGACTGGAGGAAAAGTATAATTTGCAAGAATGAAATGTTCAAGCTTCAAATCAAACTCTTCCTGTAGCTCAGAATAAGGTCTTTCAATATGTCTTGTATACATCTCATAAAACTCTGGTAACGGAGCAGGAAAGTGATACATCATTAAATGGTATTGAAGAACACATTGTTGATACATGACTGTTTCAATCGTTTCATCAGACAAGTCTACTTCTGGAGGATGAAAATTGTGCTCGTGAGTCATGGCATGACCTTCGGAATTATTGTTGTCGCCAGCATTATTTGGCCTTAATTCTCTACAAGTTGAGGCAAAATCATTGAACTTGTTCTGAGAAATGTTAGGCTCTTCTTGCTTTTCATTCCCACCATCCTCTTGATAATAATGTCTATTCGAGGAAAGTTGGCTCAATGTCCATCCAACACCGAGCACATCACTGGTTTGCTCTAGCACCGGTGCTAGAGCGTGTGATTCCGGTGCGGAGTCTTGTTGATTATTATTAAAGTGAAGTTGGGGATTTTTGCATCGGGTTATATCATTCTCATCTACCGAACGACATCCACAAAACATTAACACACTACGGGGCCATGAGGATCAATTGAATAATTCTGGTCATAGTAGTGATCATCAATTTGAAATGTTGAAAATTCAGCTCCCATGTTAATATTGGTGTACACTTATGTATATAAACACAACATATACGAAGAGCAGTTTACAAGTATCCTCTGTGCAATATTTACAATTTGATTGAATGCGTGATGATGAAAAACTAATAGGCTCCAAGACGATGAAACAATTTTTACCAAATAAAAAATGGTTAACCACGAAGGCATGGTGGCTTGGCAATCATCACCGGAAGAAACATGCGCACAGAAACAAGTGAATGTAGTATTGGTTCATGTGAATGCTCTCTCACAAGACTGCTACAAGAATGAGAATACTTTTCAAAAATCAATGAATCAATTTTTGGAAGAGGCTTTACAGAGCAAGAAAACGATTTCTCTCGATTCCAGTCATTGTGAATCAGAGATTAAAGATATTTCTAACAACAATGAAAAGTTAATGACCATAACGAATACTATAACAAACGATCATGGAGAAATGAAACATGTGGCTGAGATTATAATATTTCCAGAATTGATTGGAGCTTGGCTAGTAGCCTTAAATGAACAACCCTTTATATTTTTAATTCCGTCTCAATTAATAGCCATGATATTTATTGCTGCAGCAAACATCATTCAATTTATGAGATATTTCATTGTTGAGTGTTTTTCCTATTTTTTTGATATTAGACATTTAACAAACCTATTTAGTTTTGTGACATGGGAAGGACTCATCTATAGAAGTATCTATAAACTAAAGGCTCAAATAATGTTTGATATTTACGATAAAACTTTTTCAGAGATGGCAAAACAAAGGAGAGCTTATATAGTTGCTGGAAGTATTTATTTACCTAAAATTGATTACAATTCTAAAATGAAAAGACTTACCAACGAAGGTCTTTACAACCAATGTGTGATATATGATCCTTTTGGAAATATTGCACATGTTAGCACAAAATTATTCCCGTCAGAGGATGAATATTATCTATTGACGAAACGAAACAAAAATGTACATATTAACGCAAATAATTTTTGTGTTAGCACTAAGGGATTGGGAAGAATATGTGTATTGATTGGAACTGATTCTTGGTTTGATGAATGTTATCCTTGGTCATCCTATAATGATAACGTTAAATTCAATGACAAGGATACAAGATACAATGTTCCGCAATTTGTCATTATTCCAGCGTTCTCAAGCCCTGCAGTGGATTGGAATAGACTATGGCAAGGGTATCATCACTATTCAGTAGCTCTGCCCAGCGCTACTAATGTGAAAGAATTAGGTGACCACCTGACCTCACCAACATTAGGTGAGCTATGGAAAGCTCGCATCATTCATCAAGCTCAACAAGCTCTGGAGATGACTTCCAATCAAAACAAGCACAAGTCACCATCATTCCCTTATTTTGTTTCATGTTTTTGTAGTGGAAAATTATGGAGCAAGGATGTTTTTGGGGAATCATTTATCAAACTCAACCACAAGAATCTCATCATCAATCAATCCTGTTCGAATTTCTCTCTGCCAGTTCATACAGAAGCCTCTCTTTAACTCTCAACTATTTGAAGAGAGCAACATTGTCTTCAACAAGGAGCAAACCATTTAGATGCATCACCAGCCCATTACAGTTGATACACCTTGAGATGGTTGAGACATGTGTTGGACATTTCGAAAAGTAACGGTCGTCCTCCTTCCAAATTATGGGCCAGTGTCGCCAAAATAAACCTGAGAGACAAGTTTGAAAAAATTTATCGCCACGAGGCCCTTCTTTTTGACGACCACCCGTTCGAACCAACTTCTCGATTTTCTTCCTAGTCGGTTATTGTTTGCTTCAGGAGAATAACTTATTCATCAATTTTTGTAAAAATGGATTGCGACGTGCTATACAAAGGTAAATATTTTTTAATCACGATGATGAATAGCCTCATCTACTAATATTACTATCATCAAACGTTCACTTTCGGATTGATACAATAGTTGTTGTTATTGGTGATTCCGGTGTTGGAAAATCTAACCTCATCACCAGATTTACTCAAAACAAATTCACAAAGGATACTAAACCAACCATAGGAGTTGAGTTTGGCGCCAAGTCAATTGAATATGATGGTGTCACTATCAAGGGACAAATTTGGGACACGTAGGTTTTATTGGTTCTATTCATCATGTTTTGCTTATATTTCTTGTTTTTTATGCCTCTCCTAATTACTTTTTTAAATTTCCTATTCTTTCAACATTATCAATTTGTGATTTACGTGTTACTACTTGCGACTACATTTTGTAATTTGTCAACTGATGTAAACTTGTCATTTAAAATCTAAATAACCTCACAGTGCTGGTCAGGAACGATTTAGAGCAAGTAAGTGTATACAATTGCAGATGTATCGGATATATCAACATAATCTTCTATTACGTGATTAATAGTTTCTGCTGCTTACTACAGAGGTGCTAACGGAGCTCTCATTGTTTATGACATTACCAACCAAGAAAGCTTTGACAACTTGGAAAAGTGGTTCAAGGAAATTGAAAACCAAGGTGAAAACGGATGTATCAATATCTTGATTGGAAATAAGTGTGACTTGAATCATTTGAGACAAGTTGAAACTGCAACAGGAAGAGCTTTTGCTGAGAAACATAATGTTCCTTTCATGGAAACTTCTGCTTTGGATTCAACAAATGTCGATGAAGCTTTTACAACTCTTTTGAAGGAAATTTACAAGACACAAAGCCGAAAGAATAAGAAGACAGACGAGTCCACTGGTGACGTACCAATTGGCCCAACTGATAAAGTTATTATTGACGATACCAATGATGACAAAAAACCAGGAACAAAACCACAACAAGGAGGCAGTGGCGGTGGTTGTGCTTGTTAATTCGATTATATTCCATTTAACATTTGCAAACTCACTGTTGTAAATAACACCATCAAGAAGTTTTCCATCCTTAATCTATTCAAATAAACCATTAGTTCACATAGTTATTGTGAAGCTTGCCACCTCGCTCAATATTCTTCTGTTGGAGGTGGTTGGCGAAACAACAGACATCATCTCGACTACTTTAGGTCGTTATCTTTGGTAACTGCTAAAAAGTGTTAGCAAAAAAAAAGCTCAACAAAGTCCCATCAGCTCATCAACGACTCGCCCAAAAAGCAATCCAACACTGCACGAATCGTTGAAACAAACCATCACACTGGAAGTAACGACAACACCATTGTAAGCGTTTGGAATCACAAACATTTGGAATCATCCCCAAGAACATCATTCCTGTACGATCGCAGATTGTACTTTGTACGAATATTATTAAGGCCATATCCTCTAGCTTGATCTTAATATCATGCCCATGAAAATACAACCTGTGGTGAGCACCGATAGCATTTGTAATAAGGAGAGCGGATTAGCTTCCGTTCATAGCTCGATGGCTCAAACCAACGCCAGTATTGTTCTTGAAGATCATCACTCCTCAATGAAAAACGAAATTGCAAAAAAGCAATCCCACCGATGTTCTGGATGTTTTTCCGTTCAGGTTTTTATTATCATGGCCATCACGATACTGCTCATGACTTGCTCGTGTTTGGTATGGCTCACATCATTCCTTTCAACGAAACAAGCCTTAAACGATTTGACCAAAGACTTGATGATCTCCGCTGGTAGGAATGTTTTGACCTATGTCGACTCGCAGATTCGACCAATCATTGCTGCTACTCAGACAGTCGCAGACGACTATAACATTGGTCTAGTTCCAAAATTCCCTTCCTTTCCATATCTTCATACGAAATTTAATGCCTTCAACCCTTATGGTATTGGACTGATATTTAGTGATGAATTACATACGTTCAACTTGTTTGGTGTACCTCCCAACGAGGTATTATCCTATTACTACAAGCCAGTGGATGAATATGTATTATATACGATGAGTGTGAATGCATCCAATGGAGCAATAACTGGCCAACTGAAAGGTAGGTGTCAGCTTTGGCGTAATTTATGACATGTTTCAGACTTGATCTACATGTAGTCACTCCCAACTATGACATTGTCAAACAAAGCTATTGGGTGTATAGTTTTGAACAATTTCCAAAGCTTAAAACAGAGCATGTCATTGGTGAGCCGTATTACGTACCTGGAGGAGGCTACACCATATATTGTTGTGTTAAATTATACGACCCTACTGAGTATGCAAAAGGAAACAAACGAGTCGTGGGTGTTGCCAAAACAAATCTTTCTTTGAACTTGATTCAGAAATTTCTTGCTGGGCTCAAAATTCTTGGCTCTGGTTTTGTATTAGTTTCACAAACTGACAATGATTTGGTTATTGGTGGTAGTATTAATACTAGGGCTGATGATGGAATTTCAAGAGTCTCTATTTATGATTTAAAAGATCAAAACGCTGGTGATTTGATGAAGAATATACAATCTGTTTATGGCAGTCTAGCACGTGCACCAGGTTTTATTTCTCTTTCTTCTAATGGAGTGGATTATTATGTTTTAAAGTTAGAGTATACCCTTGCCAACTTGGTTTGGGCTGTTTTCGTTGTTGTACCCAAAGGTGAAATAGAATTGGCAACGAATATAAGCACTGGAGTGACTGTAGCTGTAGCTGTGGTGGTAACCATTATTGGTATTTTAATAGCCATATTTATTGGCTATACTACAACAGCTCCTTTACGGCATTTGGAGAAGCAGTTCAGTAAGATTAAGACAATGGACTTTGAACATTTGGAATTTATTTCAAGTGTTTTCAAAGAGGTAGACAAGATTTTTGTCTATTTGCACGATATGGTTGTTTGGCTGAACGAAATTAAGACATTCGTTCCAGAGAGCGTATTTGTGCAGCTCAAAAACTACAGCAAAGACCATAATCCCCAACACCCAACCTCTACCAATCTAATCACTCCAGCAGAACAAAGCGACATTGGTTCTGTTAATTATTCCATGTCCAGCATTTCTTCATTGTTAATTGGGCAAAAGAAGGGTAATACCTTATTTAAGATGGGTCTGTCTGCTCGGAACAGTGCAGTCGTGAGAATTTGGCTGTCCAATTTCGTTGCAAAAAATTCTTCGCATGAAATCACCAGTGTCTTTGCCAAAATTAGCTCTGGCTTGTGTGCAATAGCAAAAGCAGTTCAAGCAGATTTTCAGGCTCTCTCCGTGGATGAGTATCAATTGACACTTTCACCAGAGTCAACCTCTAACACCACCAATTCCAAAAAAAGCGTGCAAGTACAAGCGCTTGAAGCAGCCCTTAAATTTGCCAAGGTTGTTTCCAACATTAACGACACGAGTGATGTTGCCAAAATTAAGTGCAGAATTGGTGTAAGTTCTGGACAGACTTATGCAGGTAATTTAGGATGTAGCTCGTTTCGGTCGTTCTTTGTGGTTGGTGGGCTACCAGAAAACGCAAAGAAAATGTCTCGATTAGCTGATATTTTAGGATGTAAAATTCTCACAGATTCCACCACACTGGACGATGAAACTGTCAAGCAATTTGTTGTGAGGCCGGTTGAGAGATTGTTGCTTTATCCAAGCATTCACAACGAATTGAACGCTGAACCTGTGATTTCAACCGTTTACGAAGTGACAAAGGAAAAAGTCGTTGATGAATCGGAATGGATGTACGAGTTGCAAGCACAAGAACACCACCAACAGATTGAAGAATTTGATTCAATGTTTGTGTTAGGAAAAAATTATGAATATTTGGCCGAGTATGCGTTGTTTGATGTTATTAAGGCCTCTGTTTCTCAACTTGAGGAGCATTTGATTCTTCACACCAATGACCGTATTGCATCTCGGTTGTTGAAAATCATGAGGATTCTCTATCAATACGCTAAAGATGATCAAAACGCTGTGTCTCTTCATCGCCTGCTGACTCACTACCATTCAAGACTAGAGTATTCTTTGAATGAGGTGTTTCCTTCGATATCGGACCTCGAAAGTGCTGGGCCAAAGCGTTGAGTAATGTGTAAAATTTATTGTGTTAAAATAAGGGATATTCGTCAGGATATTTTGATTTCTTAACCTTGGATAATAAGGAGTGCCAATGAGAAAAACCAAGATCCTTTGTTACTGATATAAGAATGTCAAATAGCTTGGACTCATTCTCGTGGGTAGCATCTCCAGTTAATGCCTTCATCACTTTTTGTAACGCCACCGAGTACTGTTTAAAGTATAAATCATATTGAATGTCCAACAGTAAGCATTTCTCGGTAGGGTCAATCCATTGTCGGAGTGAATGCATGACCTCTTTGATTTGTTTCTCTCTATCTGTAATCTCCAATCTATTGTTGAGGTCCAATAAAATCTCTAATTTGAGCTGCCAACACGATATCAAAGCATCTTTCTGCTTGTCCATTTCCTTGGATTTCAATTGATATTCCATAGCTTCCTGTTCAGATTCTTCATGTTCATTCTTTGTCTTGTTTTTAGGTAGAGTTCCATAATGAAGAGCGAGTGCAGTAAGATCAATCACCTGGAAGACAGAGTCCATTAATTCACAAATATTCTTGTAAAGTGTACTTGTTTCATCTTTTTGTGACTTGTATTGCTCTTTCAAAATTTCTAATTTCAATAACAGTGCAGGTAAATGTTTTGGATGTTCCTCAATCATCTTGTCCACAAAAGGCAATGCCTCTGCTTTCAACTTTTTCAAATAGGATAATTGCTGTTCCAATATATAATCCTTGTACTTGTCTTCGGGTGTTCTCTTGTCGGCCTTATTCTCAGAACTTGTTGTTGATGAGGATTTTTCTGAATTCACACAGGAAGGTGGAACGACAAAGGTCAATGGTAAAAAGGCTGTCTCACAACTTTGATATTGAAATTTACCAGTGAGTCGATCGCCAGCTTTCACTTCTTTAGGAAGATCTTTCATGTCGACTCCAGTGTAGCCCAATACAAAGGCATTGCTTCTTCCATGGAGCATTTTGAATTTTTCATCTTGTTTGTTCGAATCTGAGAGAGCCCCATTCACATTCTTGTAGAATTTCAAAGAAATAGGTTTGGCCAAAGCGTGTGAAATGATTAAGGGATGGTTTTTAAATTTCTGCAAAAGTGGTAACGAGTCGTGACGAAGCAGAACTCGAAGGACATAGTCTCCCTTTTTGAGCTTGAACTTTTTAGGATGGAAATCGACCACATTCATCAGTTTCTTATTCTTGTTAAAGACCATGATCATTCTTGATTCCAATTCTGACTCATAGAGATAGTTTGAAAGTTGAGGTAAGTTTGGAGTGATTTCGTGCTCAGATGTCATTTTAAGATTATATTCAAGAATCATGTTGTAGCTACATTTTCCAGTGTCGAAATAGGTATTTCTTTCATCATTTTGGATTTGAATCAACTTGTCATCTTCACTGTTAACAGGAGTCAACACTTCATTCCAAGTGTCAAGCTTTGCACTCATTTGCATTTCCATGTTACGCAACGACGGATTAATTTGAATCTTTTTAACAAATTCAGCTCCATCGAAAAATACTCCTTCGTTCGACGCGCTATTGGTATCAAATCCGAAAAATTCAACTTCTACTGTTAATGTTGATTCTCCTGGGGTGCTCCAAAATTGACCAACTGTCAATTCCAAGGTTCGATTTGGAAGTGTTTTGATAAAGTGTGAGCTCACATCGGATTTTGAAAGGTTAATAAACTTCCTGGTGTCATGCAAAGAATAGGCCTCTTTGTCAATGAGTTGAGTCGCATGAAGTACAAACATCTTTTGGATATTCGCTTCCATTGCTCTCAAGGTAATTTTACAGTACTGAACAGAACTTGATGGAGTGGTTATATAATTTCTGTACAATTCTCCTGGTTTCATTCTAATATCTGCAAATGTGGTACGATCGTATTCATGTGAAAGTTTAACAGGTTTGATCACAGTAATGGGTACAGAAAAAACAGGACCAAATGATAATTGATCACAGTCGTAGGCATCCAGTCGAGCAGAATAAATTTCTCCAGAAGCAAGCATCTCAGTAGCAATCTGGACATCGAAAGTAAAGCATCCTGGCAAGTGTAAATATTCAGGTGAACGAATGAAATTTGGGACTTTTTGAGAAATTGGCTCGTCTGTGAAAATGGTATTTCCTGTCCCTTGATAAATAACTGGTACCAATTTAAGTCGTTTTTCATATTCTATTTTGTGAGAGTTTTTTGTCTTGTTGGCATATTTCAAATCAATGTTGACTGTGTATCTTTGTGCAGTGTGTGTCTCAAGTTGTTCACGGAGATAAATTCCTCTGGCATTGTTTCTTTGAGGAATGGTGATTTCATATCGATAGTTGTCTGTTTCTGGATTATACGGATGTTTGTCAATCAACTCATACGATGAAAGAATTTGTAACAAGCCATGTCCAATGGAGCAAGGGTGCTGTGAATGTTCGTGCTCGCTCTTATTTTCAACGTTAATTTTTGCAGTGTTTGCAATCACACGTTTGATATAGTATGGGTTCCATTGTTTTTTTTCAGCTAAAAGGCCGCTGTACAACAATGCAAGTCCTAAATTGTGATGAAAGTTGTTTCAAAATGTTACACTGATTAGACATCTCATTAAACTTACCTCCTCTTTAAAAGTTCAGTGAGTAAACAACCAATAATAACCTAATTCAATCTACTTACGCAGCGTTTGGGCTTGCCATAGATGTTCCATTCATTCTTCAAGAAACCAAAATGTCATGACCTATTGAAATAGATAGTTAACACAAACCTTTGATTTTTAAGAAGCGTGTAATTAGGTACTGAAGTAACAGCAGCACCAGGAGCAGAAATCCAAGGACAAAAGGCACCGTCATCTGTTGGACCTCTTGAGGACCATGTAAATTGTGAATCAGGAACCAACTCTGACAATCCATATTGGGATTTCATCATGGAACTGGTTACATACGCACCTACACCGATACAAGCATCTTGCAATGGGGCTCCCGTTGTTGTGAAATTTGGACCACTATTACCTATTTCATGTAAAATTCTTGCACAATGTCGCTTCACAAATTTCACTTACCTGCACTTTTCACAAAAGTGACGTTATGTTCGTAGACCAACTCATCCACTTTTTCTTTAAAGAATCCGGAATTTACAAGAGATGTCGGCTCTCCATAGCTCATGTTAATGATAGAACACTTGTTCAAATAGCAGGAAATTAAGGCCCTATTGAGAGAAAGAGTTGTCTCCATCGTTCCAAGCCTAGAATCACCGATTTTACATGTAATTATTTGAGCTCCAGGAGCAACACCATTAAGCTCGGGCTGATCTGGAAAATAAGCAGCAACAATTCCAGCCACATGTGTACCATGAGATCCAGAGGGAGCAACAATGGATAAAATATCTCCATTATCGTAAATATTCACAGAATAATTTAAAAGATCCAGCTCTGTAAAGGTTCCATATTGATGTTCCAATTTAAAGTCACAAAGAAGTTTTTCTTTGCTTAAATCAATGACCTGATCCTCGTCGACAGGCTCAAATATATTAACATTCGGATCATACGACTCTGAAACAACGACTGCTCTCCAAACAGAAGTTTTTTCATCCAAAAACACAACGCAATCCAAAACAGGACCAGTATCTTCGTACATTTTAGACAAAAGTTCTTCGAGTGCAGCAATCTGCTTGTCAATTTCAGAAGCTTGTTTTTTAACAGATTCTTCATTCGATGAGTTTCTCAAAGAATTTGCTTTTTCTTTCAATTCCACAATTTTCTCAGTCTGTTTCTTTTGGAATTGTTTCTTTCGTTCTTCTTTAACTCTATCTACCAATGGTTGAGGGTAAATATCAAATACATTCTTGATACCAATCCGGTATTGATTAGAAGGATTCATTTCTTTCCAAGTTTCATCAATCTTTAATTTTCTACCTGATTTTCCAGTGATCATTCCGTTTTCATCTGCTTTCACGATCGTTTTACAAGAAACATCTCCGCTACCAGTACAATCGACAGCATCCACAATTTTGTAGGATCCATCTGTTGTTTTTCCCTTCAACCCAGGAGCTCCAACTGTTATCATTTCGGAATGATCATTTCAACATTCATTGTATTTCAGACTATGATGGAATTGGGAATTTAGCACTTACCATCGACTCCTGTATCAAATATTGCAACGATCACTCCACGCCCATCATAATTTGGAAATCTTTGAAGAAATGCAGTGGCTTGAATTTCATCTTTGGGTTGTAAGCCTTCAACAGGGAATGAAAAAGAAGAAGAGGTTGACATTTTTCTGAAGGAAAAATCAAACTAATTTTATAAACGATTTGGATGCAACTTCACGTCGTTGTCAATTCAAAAATTCATCTGGGAAACATGTGAAGAAGATGGAAAAGAACGGTGTTAGGTTCATGACTGGCTACGGCCATATCACGATGAATGCACCTCATCCCGTCCGATTTGAGAAGTTAAGCATCGTCGAGCTGCATCAGTACTGAGGTTGGAGACAACTTGGGAACCTGCAGTGCTGTAGCCTTTTTTGTCTTGTCAAAACAGATAGAAATATTTATTTAAGCACATCGATGTAACCTCAACACGAGATAAATGGTAGAATCTTCTTGCAAGTTGTAGTCATCGACCGTTCTTCCATCCTCTAATTGTCCTCCCGAACAGAAATAACGAAGTTGATCAGATGGGATTCCATCCTTATCATAAATCTTGGCCTTGAGGGTCTCAATCGAATCACTAGGTTGGACGTCCACTGTCAACGTCTTTCCTGTTAAAGTTTTGACAAAGATTTGCATTTTTTTTCGTCTGTGGTTGAGCGAACTGCTATGATGAACCTTGTGTTAATATAACTAAAAATATCACTAGGTTCACAGATTCTACATTATCGAACCAGGGTTTAACACAACAAACTGTAGTTATGTGCGTTGGTGGGACCGAGAAGGAAACAGATAAGGCGGGTAATTAAATGTGTCAACTTGTCATCCCAAAGAGGTCCACTGGGCAAATCAAAGTGTTGAACATGACGACACTATCTCAAGAGTGGACTCACACATCCTATCGACATCACAACATTCGTCTACACCATGATCTGATTCACACTTGGATGCCTTCCTCAAACTCAGATTATTTGAAAAACAGGGTTCTTGTCATTTTGGTATGAAATCAACCATTCTCGATCAATCCCGTCCATCAATGAAAACTGATGATCCACATAGAAATTCTGTCATTAAAAAAGAAACAACATCCTCTCAATTGCGTCAGCTCTCAAAAAAAAGCAAACCGTTTGGGCCATTTAAAAGTACAAGTACAACAACAACAACGGGTTTAGCTGACACTGGGTTGCATTGAAAAGTACATTCGAGTTTTGAAAGCCTTCCATTCGGTGTTCAACTTGTTCAAAACTCTCTAAAAAAGAGAAATTACAATCTCTCAGAACACACGCATTGACGATCCGGTCCGTTCAGGGTTTGAAAGGATTCGGTGAAGAAAAGCCTTGTTGTGGTTTTATTTGGCGTGCACTATTTAATTACTTGACTCTCTATTTTTCATCCCTAGCAATATTGTTTCGGGTGAATTAGAATCATCATCATTTCAAGTATTCTTGTATACTCTCTAATTGTTGTTGTTTGTTTATAATATTTATTTATATTCATCGAGTAGTAGTAGTAGTTTCATCAACATTCCTAGGAACTTTCAACCGAAATAACAGAGAAAGTAACATCATCATCAACAATAACTACCATGGTTAACTTTACAAACTTTGTCAAATCCAAACGTAAGAGGAAAAAGGAGATAACCTTTCAGGATATCCAGGAGAACTTTGATCTTCCTATCAAGGAGGCTGCTGATGCTATGCAAATTTCTCTCACACAATTAAAGAGGATATGTCGAGAGAATGATATTCCGAGATGGCCATACAGAAAGGTATGTTGAATATTTGAAGAGGTTCTATGGTTGACCAAAATGGTTACTTTCATGTTTATTCTTGATGAACACATATTTGCAAACGAATGATGTACAATAACAGCTTCAAGCACTGCAAAACAAGCGTCAAGATCTCACGGACATGTTACCGAACAGTGACGAATTATCCAAAGAGAGAATTCAAAGCAAAATTGATGCAATCAATGAAGAAATTAAATTCATCAGAGCTCATCCAAAAACAATTATTGGAGGAAGTGGATCTAAACGAAGCTCCATAACAAAATCCAAAAGATGGTCACTTCCTTCCATTGTGTCAGGAGATGCAATGAGCTCGGGTGGAGCTACAAGCTCAAACTCAAATTTGATTTTGGAACAAACAGTTCTTGGTGGAGGAAATTCGAGTTCGAATCGAAGATCACAAAACGAAGAGGAATTTTTCAAGGATTTACAACAGCGATTGAGTAAGCAATATGGAGGAATGCCTGCAAATTTATTGGATGAAGATGAGGTTGTGGATGAGGATGAAATTATTGGAGACGATGTATTAGACGATGAGGATGATGAAAACACCGGTGGTGACACAATGAGAGGCTCGAGAAATCAGCAACAGAAAGATGCAAATAGAAACAAGAGATTTTCAATGCCCTCCATGATGATTCAAGGTAGTGGCTCTTCGTCAGGTCATGTTGGACAGCAGTCATCGGGAGGCGCCATTGCTTTAAATTCCTACACCAATGCTAACTATTATTCGGCTCCAAGTCAGCACGTGATTCATCCACCAATTTCTCCTAACAAATCTACTAGTCCTTATCATCGAATGCCTCTTGCAAATGCTTCACCATCCTCTTCTCAAATCAATGCACCACACAGCCAGCAGCAATTTTATCCTCCGCAACCACTCACAACCACGCACGTAGACCCATATATGCAGCATCCTTATCAACATGCTCACATGCAGCAACATCATCATCATGCACCAACTTATTTTGGACATCCACAACAATCACCAAGTCACATGTCCACAACAAGCTCATCGTCACATCAATTACCGACTACTGCTTTTTCATCACAAACACATCCGTCTCATCATTATAACTCTTCGTATAATACCACAACAGGACAGACATATTCCGGGTTGGGATCCACAGGTGCTCATTCTGTAGTACAATCCTCTCCGTCACATCATCATCAATATGGCATTCCAGCATTTGCAGGTAGTGGTGGTATTAGCAGTCATCAACCTCAAAATTCTTCATCCTCGTTTAATCCCAACACGGTAAACCCAATTGTGACAACTAGCAGCGCTCCTTCCGATGGTACAGCAACTTCAAGCAATATTCATCCTCAAATACATCACCAACCTTTGAATGCAAATCCATCGACAATAATGAATGCGAGTACTCCCAATGCAATTCCAACAAGCAGTACCGGAATTATTGGCGGATTTAATGAAAAATCAACAACAAGCACAACAGCATTTCAACCATCCTATTCTGTACATAATCAACAATCCAGCAGTAGTGGCCGATTGACTAACAACAGACCTAGCTCCTTAAATATTAATACTTCATCGACTTCTGACCCATTTGGATTCAATAGATATGTTAGAGATGGAAATTATCTTCCACCTTTATCACAATTACTCAATGGACAGGATGCTGAACGAATGCAAGATTCACCAGTCACCCTCAACGAGCCATCTCCATTTGGTAACAAAAACAATAATACATTACCACCAGTACATATTCCATTTGAGCAAGAGCCATCTCAAGATGGTGACCCTCAAAGAAGTGATGCATCAAAGATTTCACAAGCATTACACATTCTCAAAAAGAAGAATACAGCTACTGGAAACGCTTCAGGTTCATATCCATCGTTAGCACAATCCAACAGCACAGGTAGTTTAGGCCATTTGGAACAAACGGTGGTACCTTTGCATCGACGACATCCATTGGTGGAGGAACAGCTGCGACCTCAACACGAGAAAATCTCACCTATCTCAGAAAGGGAGTTCAATCGACTGAATACGAATATCCTCCTTTGCAATATTATCAACAACATCAGCAGCAATATGAGCCATCGATGCCTTTCATTCAAATTCCACCTCACCGAGCATCTCCATCCACAACCACACCTCAGCAAGCAGTATCGAATCCACCAACATTATCCAAATCTCGATCTGCGAGTTCGCTGGTTCAACCCTCCACATCGTCGACAATGGGTACTCAACCACCTCAACAACAGCAGCAACCATCGGAAACACAGGGCTCTACATCGAAACTCTCGTTTTTAGAGAACTTGTTCCGAAGGAAAATACCATTCATTACCAGAAAGAAAAAGTAAATCACATGTTCCCTAATACTAGTACATAGCTTACAAGGTTGTTTACACTATTGCTCTCGAAGAGCCTTCTTCGTGCCATCTTCAAAATTGTTGAAGAATAAAATTTAATTTGAAGAAAAAAATTCTACGAACAACAATAGCTCTGGTGTCTTTTTTGCATCATCATTTTTCTCTCTTCCGCTCTCTCCGATTTTTGAATATTTATCATTATTAACAACATCCCCAACAATATTAGAAAATGGTGAAAAAGACAAAGAAGAACGCAGAACGTCTTGATAAATACTATCATATGGCCAAAGAGCAAGGCTATCGTTCACGTGCTGCCTTCAAATTGGTTCAACTCAACAAAAAGTATGATTTTCTCGGTACATCACGAGTATTGCTGGATCTTTGTGCGGCACCTGGTGGTTGGCTTCAAGTCTCTAAAAAGTTCATGCCCGTAAATTCCACCATTGTGGGTGTAGATCTTTGTCCTATCAAAGCAATTCCGCACGTTACAACAATTGAAGGTGATATCACTACAAAAAGACCATGACTATGGTCAAGAACGTGCTCAGAGGACAAAAGTGTGATGTAGTTCTTCATGACGGTGCACCAAACGTTGGTGCCAACTGGCTCAAAGACGCTTTCTCGCAATCCGAGTTGTGCTTGTTTGCTTTAAAGATGGCAACAGAATTCTTGAAGCCTGAAGGCTTATTTATTACCAAAGTCTTTCGTTCAAAAGATTATACATCCCTGATGTGGGTTTTGAATCAATTCTTTACCAAAGTTGAAGCAACCAAACCAAAAGCATCAAGAGATGCATCTGCAGAAATCTATATTTGTTGTTTTGGATATAAAGCTCCAAAGGAAATTGATCCTAAACTCTTTGATTCTTCATTAGTATTTGAGGACGTTGAAGCACAAAAGAAGAAATTGAAATTATCATTCAGAGATTTAGCAAAACAAAAGCCAAACCAAGAAGGCTACGAAGAAGGTCTTACATTGCTCTATAAGAAGTGCAGCGTCGCAGAGTTTATTGAAACTGAACAACCAATTAAGATTTTAGTAGATTACAACGAGCTTGAATTTGACGAATCATCCCAAATTTATTTAAATCATCCACTTACAACCAAAGATATCATTGAAGCATGTGAAGACTTGCGTGTGTTGGGTAAACCAGATTTCAGAATGTTGCTCAAATGGAGAAATAATATGAAAGATTTTAAGGATGAACTTGACGCAGAAAATAATGAAGATATTATTGAGCAAGACGAAGAGGATGAAGTTTTGGATCCTATTCACGAAGAAAATAATTTAGCAACAGCAAGTGACGAGATGGAGCTTCCATCTGATGAAGAAGAGTTAGAAGGAGAATTGAAGGAACTCAAGGACAAACACCGAAAGATTGAAAAGAAAAAGGAAAAGAAATTGAGAGAAAAACAAAAGAAACTTGCTATCAAAGCAGCAACAGAAAGACCAGAAGATATGCTCGACATTTATGAAGATACTGCTCTGTTCCGTATGAAAGATATCTCAAGTAAGGACATGTTAAATGCCGTTTTGGACCCATCAGTCACAAGTCAAGCCTATGATGCTTACTTGAAACAAAAAGAACTCAAGAAGGAACAAGTAAGAAAAGAAAAAGAAGCACTTGGTAAGATTGAATTGGACGAAGACGAGCGAGATGAAATTTTGGAAGCTGAACTTGATGCCCTCTATCAACAACTTATGGAAAAGAAGACAAGAAGATTCAAGGCAAGCATTCTCCAATCACGAGATGATCATTCTCAAAAAAAGAACGAGCTTTATGAAGCTATTAATTATGAAGAAGAAAAATATGGAGCACCAAATACAAATCCACTCCTCATTGAACACAGAGATTTAGGCTCGAAACAATCTAAGGCAGACCAATTCTTCAATCAAAATATTTTCAGCGTGTTAATGGAAGAAGCCACCGGAAATAGTGATAACGAAGATGACAATGCCACACGAACAAAGAGACGTAAACTCGGACGACTTGACAACATTACAGAGGAAGATTTAGAAGTGGACTCTTCGGATTCTGAGTCTGATAATGATGACGATGATGAAGAAGATGAATCAGCTATCTCTGACTTCAAGAGAAAGGTAGGAACACAACCAACCAAACAAGATGTTGGTGGCTTTGAAATCATGCCTAAAGAGATGAAGGATCCTGAAGTGAGAGCCACTGCTTTAGCTCTTGGTAAAAAACTTCTCCGAAAGAAAGAACGTAGAGAATTTATTGATAATGCATTCCACAGATATGCTTTCAATGACGAGGATGTTCCAGATTGGTTAGCTGATGATGAAGTTAAATCATTTAGAAAGCAAGATCCAATCACCAAAGAAGAAGCTGACGAAATTAAACGAAAGATGGCTGAAATTGATGCAAGACCAATCAAGGCTGTTCTCGAAGCCAAGATTAGAAGAAAATTCAGAGCTCAAAAGAAAATTAAGGAAGTTAAAGATAAGGCAGAAGTCATTGCACAAAGCCAAGAATTAACACCACAAGAAAAATCGAAAGAACTCATGAAACTGTATAAGAATGCCTCTGTGAAGACAAGTAGAAGGAAAGTTTACGTGGTTGGAGGTGGCAAGAAAGTTTTGGGTAAGAAATCACCAGGTTCGATCATGAAGTTTGTTGACAACCGTACCAAGAAGGACAAACGAGCCCAAGACTCAAAGAAGAGAAAGAGATAATAAAATCGTGCAAGTTCTGAGTTCATTTTCATTGAGTTTTTTTACAAAACAAAATGATGAACTCTTATTGTGTTGCGGGTGGTTCTTCTTCCTCCAACAACAGGGAGGGTGAGAGGGGATCTTTACAAACAACCAATTCCATTAAATCACTCAAAGAGCTAGAATTGAAACAAAAAGAATTAAACGAAAGAGCAGACTCACTATTAAAGGCTGAAAAAGAACTTGAAAAACAACAAGAACAATTACTCATCCGAATCAAAGAAAACACTCAACGAAGTTTGGATTTAGATCAACGAGAACAACGAATTTCCGATATTGAAGAAAAGCTTTCCAAATCCACCACCGTTACCACAACTCGAGGTCCACCCAATGAAATGGTACGATTAAATGTGGGCGGTACCATATTTGCAACGACTATGGCTTCATTATTGAGTGAGAAGGATACATTCTTTTCAGCTTATTTTAGTGATTATTTTGTTCCGAATCCAGAAGAACATGATCATGCCTATTTTATTGATAGACCCAATGCAAATTTTGAATTAATTTTGGATCACTTACGAGGTTTAAACATTCGTTCAAAGATTGAAAGATTGAGCGAGAAAGACTTGATGGAATTTGTTGATGAGGTTGTTTATTATCAAGTCACAAGCATCTTTTCATTATTGCCATCAATGGGAAAGAATTCTTTACGAAACAAATACACCTTGGAATTAGACGAAGAAAAATTGAGATGTGACACCTTCGATCCCACTTATACGTCCTCTGGATTACAGTTAACAAGCAATAATAAGAGAGTGGTTAAAAAAGATCACCGAAAGAATAGCTTTATCGTGTTCGGAGACGTATGTGCTTCAGAATATTCGATCAAGCTGATTTCAAATTGTGCCAATTTATTTGTTGGATTTGCCTCAAGAACTGTCAATGTTCATTCGGATTCTTTGAGCTATGACAATACAGGAGGATATTACTTAAAGATGGGAAATGGACGTTTATTTAGTTCTAACAAGACAAACTGCCCTTATAATGGCGAACCCATTAAGGACGGTTCTGTCGTGAAAGCCATTTTGAAAGAAAACAAGATTTCATTCATGGTGAATGGTAAAACAATTGGAAAAGCTTATGACGTTCCCTCTCATAATTTATACCCTCATTGCTTGTTCAGGACGTTGATTGTGAAGTGGAGATTTTATCTTGATTTTTGTGGTGTTTTTAAGAATAATATTGGTAAGGTGTTCAGATTCTAAATTGATGGTTAATTTTATTACTGTCGAGCAAAACCGTTTAGAAAATCAACAAATCTTGAACAATATTAGCAGGGCTATTGTTTTCTTCTTGCTCTTCTGCTGAATTCACGTCTACCAAGCCCAAAACAAGGTTGATAGCTTTTTGTCGTTCAGCATCTTTAAAGTTGTTAAGGAAGTATCGCTTAACAGAGTTCACACCATCATTCAATAAACCTTGAGCGCTCTTTTGGAATTTGAGTGCTTCCGTTCCGCTGTACAAAATAGAGACTCTATCACCATTGTTCACCCAAAATTGTCTAAAGACCTGTTCAAAATCAGGATAATTTTCCATTCTATCCTCTCTGGATTTTGTAATTCCCATTCTATAAAGTTGTTCCATCATGACATATTTTGCAATAAATGTTTCAATGTAATTGGTTCTGTCACAACAATCAATACAGTTAACACGAAATACGCCATTTTGCATTTCAAAAACTTTGACATCCATTTCAACGGACTTTGAATTTAGTACATCAGCAAAAGGATCGTCCACGGAAACCATATTCACTTGAGGAGTTGAAATAGAAGAGGTAAGGTGTGGTTGTGGAAGTTGTTGGGTTGGGAATGATGAAGATTCTCCAAAGTCTAACAAACTGGGATTGTTTGGTTTACCACTGTTACCATTATTTGGAAATTGGGCTGTAAAATCGTCATCAAATCCTGATGTGCTGGTTGTGGCACTAATTTCGTCATCCCAAGGTGCTGACAAAAGAGGTGTTGAGACAGTACGACCCAAGAAAGAAAAGGCCTTGCCATCATCAGGTAACCATGTTCCTTCTTCCTTGCTGTCCTCAAGCTTCACAGAGAAATATTTGATATTTCTCAAGCTATCCTTAATACTTGGCAAAAACACTGTGAAGAGTTTGGTTGTGTCATGATTCTTACATTCATTGTGGAAATCGAAATGAATGTAGGTAACTCCAGGAACGCTTTTAACGTAACTAGTATAGAGTTCGCTAAGTCTACTCTCTTGACCTGTTTTTTTACACAAGTTGACAGCTGTCACATTATTTTGGTATTCTCTCAAAACATATTGGAAGTGTCGGTCAAAGGCCAATTGTTGTTTTTGCTTGTCTGTCAAAAACTTGATTTCTGGGGTGTATTTGAGGTTGGCTTCTTGAGTCCAAATCAAAGGAATGGAGCCACGAATTTGGAGGAAAGCAGATAATACGCCATCATAGTACACAAACTGCTCGCTCTCAACAAAGTTCGCAACATAACCATTTTCATCAGCTCCTCTCATGATGTATCTTGTACCAGCTCTTTTTGTGCTAGTTCTGGAAATAATACCAAATGTGAAAACTTTGCCATTAATTGTACATGAAGAAATTTCCACAATGCCTCTAATGACGGGAAGAATAAATCCATCCATTTGTTTTGTCATGAGAGATTGAAGCATGGTTCTGTTCCAGAAATACTTGTTGTGGGCATTGCGCCAAGCACCCAAGTTTTCCATATCCTGACCAAGATTGGTAGAGAAAGTAGTTTGTAAATGATGAGTTAAATCAAGCGAGTAGCTCAGGTAAAAACTATTGTCATCGACAATGACTCTATTCATCATCTCGATATATTGAATTTCTTTTTCCTTCATTTCTTCAGTTTGAGACTTGAAGCTAGAAGGTTTAAATGGAATGAATTGAATCTTTTTGATTCTGTAAATCTTGTGTTTTTGGATCATTCCGATGTACTCCTTTTCAAGAATCACGACAAGGAAAGGTCCAGAAACAAGTGTTACAATACCAAGAACACCAAAGATGCGAGTCATGGTTTTCATCTTTTTAAAAACATTGTCCTTGACTTGAGTATCGGATGGGTTGATGGAAAGTCTTGAAACAAGTTGAGTATCCCTATCAATGAGACACATATTTTCATAGTTCAGTACTCTTCTCATCGGAGCCGTTGTTGTAGAGCTAGCAGATTGTTGTTGTTGGTTTGAAGCATCATTCTTTTGGTGATTGGGTAACACTTTCGGTACAACAAGAAACCGACGACTATTCTCGTATAATTCAAACTCATCATACACTCTCATTTTTTTTGTGTTCGTTGCTGTTGTCATTTGTAACGGAAAAGTGATGGGTGGGTTCTCTTTTGCAGCTGGAAGGTTTTATTGAGGATAAGTCAATGATGGACATGGTGCGGAAAGTCTTTTGGTGAAATGCGCTTACTCCTCCCTTGATGGTTGTTGCAGTGGATTGAACAATTTCTTAATTGTCAACATGTTTTGAGAAATTTCTTCTTTTTGTGCGTCAATTATTTGCATTAATTCTGTTTTCGAATTGATTGCTTCTAAAATGGAATCAAAATTGGTTGATATCTTTTCTATTAGAGATTTTGTTGAATTTTGTGATTGTGCGGTCATTTGACATCGCTGAAGAGCTCCATTTAATTCCTCGATTGTATCTTTCAGATCAACCACTTCCCTCTCCTTTTCTACATATTTTTTTTTCAAATTGTTCACATAATTTTGATGTTTTGTTATTAATTCTGACAAGGATCTAGCAAGTTTTGTGGCTCTCCTTTCGCGTATTCTTGTGTTTTGGTATTCTTTTTGCAATTTTATAACCATGTATCGGAGCCTTTGTTTTTCTACATCGTTTTGAAATTCAAAAGTTGCATCGTTGTTTTGGCTGTTCGATTGAATTCCTCGGTTGTTTCTTAATGATACAGACGGTGAATGGTTATCTCGAGTTGGAGATGATGATGTTGAATGTGATGATTCGTTTCGATCTGAAATTCTTGCTGGAGAAAGTCGCCTCATAACTCTCTCCCGGATAACGCTCAATTTAGCATCAATTTCATCAGATCCTCGAGCATAATTCCTATAGGGATCTCTTCCTAAATCATCTCTGTTTTCGGGAGATGTCGTTACATTACCAACTCTTTCAGAAGGCTTTGAAAGTGAAGACTGTTTCTTATTGTCATCCTCATCCATTGAGGCTTTGGATCTGGAAGAGTAGATCTTTCCGTTGGAAACTATGGAAGACGATTGCTCCTTGTTAGGGGATTGATGTTGTGTTTTGTTTGATCTCGGAATGATGTGTTGCTGAATAGTTGAATATTCATCGGCACTCATAGACATTCGCTTCCCTTAATACGATGGAATTGTAATATATCCTTGCTTTGGAATGACTACACAACTTACAAAATTCAGACTCATCATCATCGTTAATATCCGACGAAGATGTTTTGGCATTATCTGGAACAGACCCATTGCTCCCATTGACCTCAGCTGAAAGTCTCTCAACCTCAACAATTTCCTTTGATTCGATTCTCTCATCTTTGTACAACAAATGACCTCGGGAGGGTTTCTTAAGGGAGGACGACTTTTTCATGGTTTTCAAAACGGCTGGCCGCTGATTTGATGGAGCGATTTTTTTTGAAACATGTTATTTGTTTTGAGGGGTGTAGTTGTATTTGGTTTAGTTCTCTTGTTTATCTTTGATGAAAAGCCTGCTAAGATAAGAATGATGTTTCTGTCACAGGCTTTCGACTGCTTGAACTGTTAGAAAACAGAAATCAATCCACTCTTGATTTGTTCCAAGAGGTTACAGAGTAATGAAAGTTCAATTCACATTCCCAAACATTTCTAATCTCCAGTTGCAACTGACACAGGTCTGACTGTGGGAAAACGCTCTATGTCAAGCTGCAACAATGTTCAAGGTTTCATCGGGAATGTGAATTGAACTTTCGGCGTTGAAGGGTTGAAGTCTGCATTTCAAAAGTCACCCCGTGAAATTTTGAACTTTGCGTTTGGAATTCGAAAAAGATGTGTTGATATTTCAACTTCTGCATACTTCGTGAAAATTAGATTGCAATAAATAGACACTCATTTCCAGCATCGTATCAAACAAGCGTCTCTTGTAAAAGTAAAAAAAGAAACGAACTGCAATCATGGCTTCTATGCAGTCGTTCGAATTGCTGTCACGCCCTTTGTGATCCTTAATTGAGTCACAAAGGGCGTGCAACATCTCACGCGGTGCCCAATGCTTCCTGAGGAGAATCATTGAGTTAACGTCGATCATGACAAGGAAGCTCACAGCAACTACTCCCACCACCAAGTTTGATAACCATGAATACCCACTTCAGGAAGGTTAATTTCTTGAAACCATTTGTAAATGGATCACGAGTATAAATAAAATCAATAGAGATCTTGTTACGATCCAAGAAAATTTTTGCAAAAAAGGCTACAGCACTGCAGGTTCCCAAGTTGTCTCCAACCTCAGTACTGATGCAGCTCGACGATGCTTAACTTCTCAAATCGGACGGGATGAGGTGCATTCATCGTGATATGGCCGTAGCCATCCAAAACTGTTCTTTTCCATCTTCCCAAAACACTCAATCTTCAATGTTTTCGTACTGCAATACATGCACGAACAGAATTGGTCAATGAAGAATGGTTGAAAGTACCTGGTAATTTCAGAGAATATCCTGGAGAGACTCCCCTCAGGGCAAATCCACTCATCGAGTTGGCATTCAAATTCCCTGAATTCTCTGGTGATGTGAAAGTCAAATAAAATCCTGAAGTATTATGAGAGGGTAAATTCTCAATGTCCAATTCGGTACTGAATTCTTTAGCAGAGAGAGCATAGGCCTCATTTCCAAATTGCTTTCTCACTGCTTCATTCATGAGAGCATCCTGTTGCTCGAGTGTTTGTGTCTGTGAGTGTTGGGACCAAGTGACAAATCCAATAAACTGAAGAGATTGTTTGTTTGTGATCGTTATGGGGATTGGAGAACCAGGAAGGTCATTTTGGAGAAGTTTCACATGAAGATAGACCACTTCTTTTCCAACCTTACATGGTCTCTCTAACTGTGGAACTGGAAATTGGATTCGATACGTTCCATGTCCTTCATTTCTAACGGAAACATGAGATGCAAAGGGATTGTGTATGATTTCACCATTATCATCACGTACATGGATGTTGAAAGCATTCTCTCGTTGTTCAAGTCCAATACCTCTTGCGTTAAGAACACGAACCACAAAATTCAAGCATTGATTGGTCTTCCATTCGGTGTCTTGCAATTGTTTCATATCTTGAGGATCTAAACGACACGATTGAAGGTCAATAGCTCCTTCAAGAACTTGTCCAAAGTCTTGATCGAGTATTTCCTCCATTCTCATACAAGAAGAATCCAAATTTTCAATGGTAAAGTCGTAAAGCATATCAATGCATGAAGGGGTGCTATTCACAAGTTTTTCGCAACAATTCTCAATGTCGTCCCATTCCGAAAGTCTCTTCTGAACCAAATCGTAAATACAAGTTTCGTTCACATTCCAACCATGAATTCGTTGCTTAACTTTATCTTTCATAGTTTGGATTGAGCATAACGAATTACCATTTCGACGCTCAATTTCATAAACCTGTTCCAAAAGTGATTGAGCTCGTTCATCAATTTTACGTTTCAGCCTTTCGACGAGTTGCATAATTTGTGTTTCACACTCCTCTCGTCTCGCTTTGATTTGTTGAAAACCATTGAAAATGTTCTCATCGCTAGCATGGAAAGCGAGTTCCCATTTCTCTACCTTGTTCATGATCTCTTTCAACATTTTTCCTGTGCTTTCACGTTCTTTTTCTTCAATCTCTTCTAATAAATGACAGTCATGACCTTTATGATGCATGGAGATTGCTCATTTGGCACAAATTAACTTGGAACATGTCACACACAAAGTATCAACGGGAAAAGATGGATGCAAGGTGCATGATCTGTCTGAAGCGTGATGGTTGTTGTGGTTATCGTCAAAAAGCTTACAATTCGTTAATTCAACTACTTGCTCCGAATGCGATTTAAATGATTTGTGCTTTCGATGTTGTTCTGTATGTTGCTGGCACAAATACCAATGACAGTGTGTACAATAGCATGTGGATTCGTTTTCCTCATCGTAGTCTTCCAAACATTTGTAGCAAGCGGTTGAATTAACGGCATTGTGACCAAGCGATGGATTATTTGAAACTTTCATTTTTTTGTAATGGGTTCAGCTGGGGCTTTATTGTTCATTGAAAAAGTTTACCCTATTGTTAAATCATCATTGTACATTAAATGAATTGCAGGAATGTAGTAATCGTCTCGAATTCCCAACTCCTCGAATTCTTTGTCTTCATCCTCAATTCCATTTTCTGCCAACGTTTTACCTTGAAACGATATCAAAAGTGGTTATGTTTGCCACATTTACCAAAAGAATCAATCACTTACTCATATCGAGCACCTGGCCAAGTCGTTTCCAAGTGTAGCTTGCAGCATGGCCGTTGAATTTTAAATATCTGTCAAGTATTTCTGAGAGAGTTTCTTCTGAACAGACTTCAATTTGATGATCGTCATGTGTAAGGGTGTTAATAATTCGAATGAATCTTGTTTTTTTCGAGAGAGAACCTATTAGATATTTCTTGTCTTTCCACCAAGGAACGTTAGCTTGTGGCTCTTTCTGTGAACCTTTTGCTTCGTATGAGGGTGGGGGAATATGAAGAAATCGCTTCATGGGAGTATAATAACATCGCTCGTTGGTTAAGGGATCTATCCAAGTTTTAATATCTTCTGTAGATGGGTCGAACCAATGCGAAATATCTCGTCCTGCATTTGCCACTATGGGTTCAATCAAGGGAGATGCTTTTTGTATTCCAATATCCAATATGAAATTCAATGTAAGCACTCCGATGATCACTTACTTTTGTTTTGTTTGATCAGTGGTGTCAAATTGTAAACCTTATTTAAAAACGACACCCAACAATCGTCCACACAATTATGCTCACTGACTTCATATGGAGTATAAAATCTCCTCTTGATCGGAGAGGTTAAATTATTGTAGAGTAGCGGTGGAATCGTAGAAGACTCGGGCATCTCAGAGATGATGATCAATAATCAGATGAAATGTTGATTAATTTTTTTTGAAGTGTTGACCGTTACCGATGGCGGTTAAAGTTTACAGAAGAGACACTCACTAAATTTCTGGGAATGATGAAACTTGTTCAGTGCTACATCTTTATCGTTTTGCAAAGAAGTAATTAAGAATGTATGTGGGGTCACGAGCACTTGTCAAAATATATAGGCACGTTAGAGTGTCTTGACAATAAATATTCATCATCGCTATCATTCAGTTACACGATGGTTAGCCCTTTTCTCAATTCCTAATCAATCAATGATAATAATTAATTATTCTTCTTCTTGTCATCCCATATCCCATCGGGAGTAAGAATTGGAATATTATCATGTTGTTTGGCATCCTCTTGAATAATCGGAATTTTAGAATAATCCACATGCTGTGGAGAATGAACATTTGGATCAAATCCCATCTTGTTCATCATTTCTCGTTCCTGAATAATTTCTAACGGAGATCGTGTCCGATTTCGTTCCGAATCCATTCTCGTATTATTTACATGTTGTGTAAATTGTTGTTGTACTTTTTGTTGTTGAGCATGAAACTTTTCTTGCATTTCATCAAGTGCCATTCTTGCATTCACTAAAGCTTGAGCAAGAATTTGTGGATCCTTTTCTTCACGAGATGCTTCAATTTCTTGCCGTGCCGAGAGCTTGATTAAATCTCCCCACATGACTCCATTCTCATCTTGCCATGTAAATAATTTTGAAAATTTCAAGACTTCCTTGTAGAGTTTGAGAGTTTCCAATCTTCGGAATGAATCATTTAACAGCCGAATTTTGAATGCAGCATCATACTTTTTCATTCGAGAGAACATGGAAGACATTTTTTCACTTGTGTGAGTCATTCAACAGAGGAGTGTGCAAGATACTGTTGAATCTACATAGTTGATGCTTGTACCCCTGTTTGAGTCTCTTCAAACTTTGAACATGTTTTTAACAATGGATGTTTTTGCAAAACCACTCCTGGAATGGAAGCCTTTGTGGCTGCCCATCGTCATTGATGACCCAATCACTTTTGCATGGAATTACCGACACAAAGAACATTTCACTTCTATCATCACGAATCCCACCCGTTTCTGACAACAAGTCTGCGCCCAAGACGTTTGACAGAGCAGCTCGCGACATCGATCAACCGAAAAAAAATTTTCAAAACTCAACGAGTACTCTCTCATCATTCACGTTGTTGAGCAAGCAGTGCGAATTTTAAAACAACAGGTGAGTATTCCTTTTTTTATTGATGATGGAACAAATTGTTTTATCATCATTGTGTGTTACGAATGACTGCGAACCTTCTTATGAACTTTTGATATCATCGCTGTTGTTGATTCTTTCCATATGGCTCAACAACATCACACTGTTGTGTATCTGCCTTTTTCATAATCGACTGACTGGATGGCTACTCTGTATGATTGGGACAATGACCATTATTGATGGAAACTACAATAATTTTCATCATCAACAACTCATTGGATAAATAGACATATAAATGGCCACTAATAGCAAAACTTGTAAAGTAGTAGCAGTAGGTACGTTGAATGAGTGGTGAAGAACTTGTGATTGAATGGTTGTTGTTGTTGTTCAATTCGCAAACGAATGAATTTATGGTGTACGACTGCTTCCTGTCAATTGTCATGTGTTGGTGCTTCCAGGAGACGGAGCTGTGGGTAAGTTGACTTGATGAGACTTGAAGTAATCTCTAACAAATCACCCTCTACTACGATGCCATGTCCACTTCAATAACACCATGACCATGGTTTTGTTCCGTGTTCCTTGTTCATGATGTGGCGACGGTTGACAACACTTGCAAAATGGTGTTGCTACTTGATGGCATCTTTCAATATATTTCATCCTTTCCATGATTACTTCATCATGTCCAGGTAAAACTTGTTTGTTGATGGTCTACGTGAACAATGAATTTCCCGAAGACTACATTCCAGTAAGTATCATTACGTGTACTCTCGATGTATTCATTAATTGTTCTCTCTAGACTGTGTTTGACAAGTAAGTGATGAATTTCTCAAAAATCTATTCGACAAGAATATTTATTATCAAATCCATGTTAATCAAAACATGACGGCAAACATTGATATCTTGTTCCGAAATATAATGATAACTATTGAAAATTAATACTCTCAATTCTTAATCACTATCCATTCGAATACAGCTATGACACCAATGTAAAATATCAAGATAGCGTTGTGCGTTTGAGTTTATGGGACACAGCTGGTCAAGAAGGTATGTTTTATCATCATTTATCCGAATGGATGGATTGACATGTTTGTTTAGAGTAAGTATGATGATTCAAAGTGTCATGAATGACCGAATGAATGATTCAATGTCAATTGGCTCATCATGTGAAAACAGATATGATCGTCTTAGATATCTTTCCTATCCAAATACAAATGTTTTCATTGTTTGCTTTTCAGTGAATAGTAGATCTTCATATGATAACGTCAAGGAAAAGGTTTGTACAGAATATATCCATCATGATGATTTCATCATCTTGTATTCCAAAATTTGATATACATTCTTTGTTTCGAAATGATCAATGTATCATGTCACACGTATACAATATTCACTCAAAAACAGTGGCTCAAAGAATTGAATGAATACAGCAAGGGAACACCAATTATTCTTGTTGCAACCAAGATCGATATCAGAGATGATAAAGCCATGGTTGAACAATTGGCTAAGGAAGGAGAAAAAGTCCTCACACCAGAAGAAGGAGAACAATTAGCCAAAGAAATTGGAGCAGCTCACTATATTGAAACATCAGCAAGAACGAGAAAAGGTGTTGATGAAATTTTCCAAAAGGCACTCGATGTTCGTTTTAAGGGTGGAAAGCCAAGCGGAGGTAATAATCAAGGAAGTGGTGACAATGCTGGTTGTTGCATTTTGATGTAAACCATCAACCAAAGAGAATATAGAGAGGATCACGTTTTTTACATCATTCCTTGTTTGAGCTTTTGAATTTTTGAAAAGAGCCGAGTTGTAATGACAAGTGTTCATACCGTGATCCTTATTACACCTATCCATATACCTCTCTAAATTGACTTGACGCTTCACAATGCAACGACTGACGTTTCGCCATATTCTTTTTTGTATCTTTAACCTGCCACATTCCTGCCACATTTACACTCGATCTAGTTTTAACACAACATTAAACACGAAAAGTTTTATTATTTGACAGTCTGATATCAGCGCAAATGCAATTCCATGAATGGAGACGAACTCGAGGACACTTGTTGTCAGTCGTCACCGTTCGATAAGAAGAGTTAAAGTTTGCCAATGAAGAGAGCTCATGCGTTGGTGAATTGCACTACAATCTTGAGGAACCGTTGATATTCTTGCTTTTTTTGAGCCTCGATCAAGTGCAACAATTTGCAATTTCTGGAACTTATTTTTGGTGATCAGGTTTAATCCTGCGTTGCGAGGCCCGCTCAATTGTACAAACAAGAGGTTCAAAAAAAATGTCTCAACTTGTGTGCCATTACTGTGGTAGTTTGGTCCCACTGAAAGGTTTACAATCTCATCAGGTGCAATGCTCATCGGAGTGGCACAAACGACAAAAGCAATTAATTCCAGAATTACAAAGAGCGTATCCTCCAAGGGATGTGCCAAACATGTTGATCCCTTCTTCCGAAACGGATACAAAAGCAATTGAAAAGTATAATTCATTTGCAAAAGTATTGTATTTGCAGGAAAGTCTGAACCCTTGTCCATCCTGTTTGCGCTTATTCCCTGCAAAAGAGATGGGTGCACATTTCATTTCGTGTAACAACACACCTCAAAAAGAAGGTTCCTCACATGCGATGAAAGAACCTCAAAGATCCATATCTCCTGAGAAGCAGAAAAATTCACCAGACAGGTCTAAAGAACAATTGGAAGCTTCTCCTCGTCTGAAGGTTGAAAAAAAACACACAGCTCATCCATCCACCACAACGAGCTCAGCTCAAAACACTTCCCAACTAGAACCTTTCATGCCAACGAGAGAAAGTAGTGTTTCTGCAAGTCAAGAAAAAAGAAAGGCTCCTATTCGAGATTTAAATGGAAGGCCCATTGCTTACTGTTGTCATTTATGTGGCAGAGAGTATCTTAATGTGGGGTCGTTAACGTTTCACATACCCAATTGTCTAGAGAAGAGAACTGCTTCTCAAAACGAGCTGCCAAGAGAATATCGAACCAAAGCTCCTCACGCTCCTAGGGTACCAATTCCTGAAGACCGCTTAGCAGAAGATTTCCTGAATCGACTCGAGGAATATAATCAAGCTGCATACAGAATTTACGAGCAGAGCTCGAGAGTGCCATGTAAATTTTGTGGAAGAAGATTCAATCCAGACAGCTTGATGGTCCACGTAAAAGCTTGTGCAAAAGTTCATGAGGCAACCCAAAACACCCCTCCATCATTCTCCACATCTAGCAACTTACAGAGTGGAGGTCCTGTAACTAACGCTAATGAGATACCCGTAGGAGGCATCAAATCGAAAAGCGCTGCTTACAGAGCCCTCTCAGCAGGAAAGTATGTGGAGATTGAACGAGCAGAGTGCTCGAAATGTGGCAGAAAATTTGCTTTGGACAGACTACCAGTGCACGAGTCCAGTTGCAAGGGGATTGGATTGAAAAAAGAGAATAATCCACCTGCAAGCAAGATCCTCACCGAAAGAATCAAGAACTTTGGAGTTGAAGACATGAAGACGAAGAGCGAGAGTGTTTCTGTACCAACGTCAAATCAGCAACCAAACACAAGACTGTCAACAACGGTAGCCACAATGCGTCAATCCATGGAGCAAGACACACGAGTTCAATGCCCGTGCTGCAATCGCAAATTCAATCCTGATCGAATTGAGAAGCATGTTTCAATTTGCAAAGCAAGAATTTATTAAACTTGCTGTTTCCTTGGTTCTTCAAGTAGGGCGGTTGTTTCTTGATTTGCAAATAGTTGGTGGCGACTTAGATTACGCTATTCTATCGTGGAAGGAAGGGTTGTACACTTGTTTGGATTGGGCTTTTTGTTTGCGTAGTTTGGCATGCGCAAATACGGATGATGTCTTTTTAACTTTCAGGTCTAGAGAAATAAGGTCGTTAGTTGGATTAGTTAACGTCAATCTCTTGTTGTTGTAGTTATAAGAGTTTGTTAGTGTTGAACAGCCTTGGGAGTTGCTGCTGGTGCTAGTAGTACCATCAGACAACCAGCAGTCCTCTACGTCCATATACTTTCGCTTGGGTGCTTTGTTCAATTTTTGATATTGATGGGAATAAATTTCACCATCATGATGATTGCAGCTAAAAGTAACTGTTGTTGGTACAAAATCCATCTTGGATCTTTGCTTTGGGGATGATTGGTATTTTTGAAAGTATTTTGGTTGTTGTGATAAAGTAGCCTCGTTCTTATTTGTAGCTGGCGAGACCATCATGGTACATGGGGCATTTGATATTAAATTGTTTTCCAAAATTTGATGTTGTGATAATGACTGATCATGTTGTTCATCATCCTTTTTAAAGAGTACAATTTGATTCACGTTTCTGTGCGAGGTTGGAAAATATTTACACGCGTATTGATTGCTCAAATCTTTGGTTTCGGTAGGTTGATTAGAAATACTGTTAGTATAGAAGGTGTTTCGTTCAAACATGTCCAAAATTTCCTCTACTCTATTTTCTCTAAACTTTCCTAATTTCATATATAATTCTTTTTCTTTACACTCTAATAGCACGCATTCATGTACACTTTCCAAGTTTGGGACAATAAGTTTTGGTAATACAACTCTTCTTCTAATCCTCAAGGGTTCTTGACAATTACTATGGTAATTACTATCGCGATGATTTAAAGAAGAAGATTCCTTGAAAACTTTTTCCTCGCTCTGATTATTCGTATCTTTCATCATTGCGGCACTACACCGCCCTAAAAACGGTGATGGCATATCGGGTGATGAAATCTCCATAGCCGTTACAAAATTTGTTGTGTACAGTGATGATGATGATCGTGATGATTGAAGAAGAGACTGTTTTTGGAGATGAGGATGAGCGGTGGTTGTTATTGGATGTTCCTGCGTGGATTCAAGGCGATCAGATTGGCTCATTTTTTTGAACTTGTCCAACAATTTCGTAACGTTCTTTTTTTGTGAAGAGGGCAAGAAAATGTTGAATAAGAGAGGGGAGAGACAATAGTAAAAAGAACACGAGAGGACTCAATAGGGCTCAATAGGTTGGTAAGAGAGAGACGAGGGAATTCCAACGGTGTTGGGTGTGGGTGCTTTTTTTTTGTGCAAGGATTTTTTGAGCATGTGTTACAACATTCGATTAATTTCGTGATGGCGCGTTAAGAAGAATTAGAAATTAATTTCATTTCTTTGCGTTCTTGAGGACGTTTTTGAGCTTGCTCGTTGAGAGTCTTGTTCAATTTAACGAATGCTGTCTCCTATTGCATTGACAATGTTTGAACTCCGTGCTCGCCGAAAACAGTGATTTCCGTTCCGAAGACTTCGGAGATGCAAAATTAAAAAAATTGGGAAACCTCTAGCCTTTCCTTCACTCTCTATCTTTGAAAGCCTCTCTGGACTCTTCCATCTACAAACAACAATTGGAAAGAGAATTTTCTTTAATTGTTTTATCATTAAACCTTGTTACGGAGCGAGTGATCTCAAAAAATGGTTTCCGGATTGACATCCAAAAGGATTGTGAATGGTGGATTTAACCCTGATATAGATTGTACTATTGATGACGGTAAGTATTCATGAAAAACATTGGATGAATATCTGTAAATGGATTTTGAAAATAATTTTGATGATGACCACCCGAATGTGTGATGATGATCGTGTTCCACACTCATCAACTTGTATCAAACACGCGTGATACGGAAATTATTATCTCTCTTATTCATAGGTGATACTGCTTGGGTTACTGTTTCATCCATTCTTGTGTTGGCCATGATGAGTGCTTTGGCATTCTTTGAAGCTGGTAAGTGTTCGTGATGATGAACGATGAGCTCATTTACGATGAATTCATCATCATTGCCATCATCATTTTGCATTCATTGTTCTCTTTGTTGAAATATAATTTATGCATTTGGAATGATGAGGCATTCAATGACATGACGCTCTTTTTCACACACCATCATACAGGTCTCAGTAGAAAAAAAGAAACACTCACCATCTTCTCACAAATTTGGATTGGTTTGGCTGTGTTAGCTCTTTGTTGGATATTATTTGGATATACACTTGTTTTTGGACCAACACAGGGAGGTGTGATTGGTGGTTTGGATTACATTGCTTTTTTGAATGTTGATTTAGCAAAGTGTTCACAACATGCTTTGAGCATTCCACATGCAATTTTTGCAATCTTTCAAATGATGTATGTAGTTTGTTAAAGATGTTTTGGCATTTGACATTTATATTAAGGTTTGCTTGCATCACACCACTACTCATGACTGGAGCTTTCGCTGAGAGACTAAGATGGAGAGGTAGGTGTATTGGAATGATTGTTTTTGTGTTGATCCTATATATGTGCTTGATTTTCACATGTCTTTACAACGAAATTCTTCTTCATTAATGTGAACTTTTACACAGCTTATATTGTTTTCATTGTCGTTTGGGAATTTCTAGTGTACTATCCACTTGCTCACATTATTTGGGGAGGTGGTTTCTTGTCACATCAACCACTAGATACGCTTGATTTTGCTGGAGGTATTGTCATCCACACTTCAAGTGGAATTGCAGCACTTGTTTGTGCATTAGTGTTTGGAAGACGAAAAGATTTTGATGACCATCATGGAGAACCTCATCCTTCAAATTTACCACTTGCTGCCATTGGTGCCGCTTTGTAAGTTGTTGTTCGATTGAATATTCTTTTCACTCAGGAGTTTCTTTATGTAACTTCTGATATTTGCTAATGAATGAAACAGATTGGTAAGTTTCAATGATTCACATTCTCATAGCAATTAACAATCATCTTGCATTAGTGGATGGGATGGTTTGGATTCAATGCTGGTAGCGCTCTTTCATCTTCTAGCATTGCGGTTGCAGCAGTTCTTAACACTCAAGCTGCTGCCTGTACCTCGACAGTGGTATGGCTTTTCATGTTTTGGGTTCAAAACAAGAAACCTTCTTTGGTAAGCTTGCTGAATGGTAGTATTGCTGGTTTGGCAGGAATTACTCCAGCATCAGGATATATTACTGTTCATTCTGCTCTTGTCATTGGTTTGCTTCTTGGAGCATTTAGTTATTTGGGAATTTATGTATTGAAACACAAGCTGAAGATTGACGACGCTCTTGATGTGTCTGTAAGTGTCACAGTTTCATAGGTTGTTTTCAGTTCAATTTGTTTTCATTTAATTGATTCACTGTCAAACACATTTTACCTATTTGTTGGATTATTTAAAAAATTCTTGGTAATGATTATCGCACGACATCGAACGGACCAATATTTACATGAACGTGTCCACAGAGCGTTCACGGAATTACTGGACTTATTGGTAGCATTGCCATTGGATTCTGTGCTACCACCAAAGTTAATCCTGGAGGCGCAGATGGTGTTTTCTATGGAAATGGGTGGCAATTATTGGCTCAAATTGTTGGTGTTGCATTAGCTCTCTTCTGGTCAGGACTTGTCACATTTATTTTGGCCATTAGCATTCGACTCCTCAATAGAAAATATCCATACCTTCTTGTAAATACTCGTGAAGAAGAAGAACAAGGTCTAGATGGTTTAGAATTTGCAGAAATTTCTGCCTATGAAGAAACTGTCTCAAGAGATGCTCTTGAATTAATGTTAAACGATTTGGAAAAGAAACGTTTGTATCACATGAGAAAACTCATTGATACACAACAAGAACAATTCATGTTGGAGCAAAAACAACGAAAGAAATTTGTGGATAATGTAAGAGTGAGTTTAAGCTCTGGTCGTGGCAATTTGGATAGCCCCTCTACTCCCAATGCAGCTGCTACACAATCCATTCTTTCCTCATATGGAACTTATTAAGACTCGAAAATTTATTTCAGAACTTCTATAACAGTGAATGAAGGCCACTAACACACGTCGATGACTGGTTTCAACATGACACTTGTGATACATTTTTCAATACATTCAATAGCCAATCTCTTTTTCAGCGTTGTGTGTGATCTCAAAAAAAATGAACGCGCGAGTTTTCAACGTGAACAACAACAGCCTTTTCGCCATCATCATGACAACCATGCTCATGATGATCATAATGACCATTTTCGTATCTGGTCAAGGTATTCCTCTAAAAGTTTTCTTGGAAGGAAAATATGATGCTTCCGAGGCTAAACTCTTGTTTGAGCAATATAAACTTACCTTCAATAAGAAGTATAGCTCAGAGATGGAACATGAAAAGAGATGGAAGATATTTTATGAAAACGTTAATTATGTGAATCAATTAAATATTTTGCATTTGAAAGAGAAAAAGGAAGTACAATATGGAATTACGAAATTTATGGACATGACACCTCAAGAATTTAGTCAACAAAAATTGCTACCAGTCACCAAACAAGAAGATGTAAAGCATGTACCAACTGCTCCAAAAGAAAAGTATGGAGATGTAAATGCTTTGCCAGAATCCTTTGATTGGCGTGATAAAGGAGCAGTCACTCCTGTCAAGGATCAAGCAAGGTGAGTAGCAACCCATCTGTGTGAAAATGTGACAATGTTTTTTTGTGTGTAATTTAGTTGTGGAAGGTATGTTTATGAAAATATTATATACTCAGGAAATTTTAATATATTTGTTTTACTTTTCTTATCGTAATAGTTGTTGGGCATTCAGTACCATCCAAAACATTGAAGGTCAATACTTTTTAAATGGTAATCCTTTGACCAAGTTTTCTCCACAACAATTGGTTGATTGTGATCCATTGAACTGTGGTTGTTGTAAGTGTTGTGAATGTTATTGAACTGCTTGTCAGTCGTTCTGATTTTTTTCATCTTACATTTAAAACAGTTGGAGGCTATCCATATGTAGCTATGGAGTATTTAAAGGCCAGAGGAGGTTTGACAACTGAACAAGATTATCCATATTGCATTCCACCACTCGGAAATTGTTTTCCATGCAATACAAACAAGACCTATTGTCCAAGCCCAGATTATTGCAATCGTACTTGTGGTGTCACAAATGCTGAGCTCGTTGCCAAGATTGCTGGTTATGAAAACGTGTCAACAAACGAAGACGAAATTGCTGCTTACTTAGTCAATCATGGCCCATTGTCTATTGGATTGAATGCTGTATGGTTGCAATTTTATCACAGTGGAATCAGTGATCCAATGTGGTGCCCTCCAGGTATGTATGAATGTGCTGTCCCTCTTTAGGTCATTTTGATGATGGTAACATTCAAAATTCAGATATTGATCATGCTGTATTACTTGTTGGTTATGGAGTTCAGTAAGTAGCTACCTATTTTTTTAAACTCGTTTGAATACTGAAATGATTAGTACCAATTGGATTGGAGAAAAAACAAATTATTGGCTTGTTAAAAACAGGTATGTTGAAATGTTGTTTTGTTTTGATTGAAGTGTTTCACTTTGCACAGTTGGGGAGAAAGTAAGTATTACTAGTAATTTTTATAATCCGTACTGAAGGACTATTTAATGTTCAGGTTGGGGAGAAAAAGGTATGTTTTAAGGTCAAATTCTTGACATTTAATGCTTACTTATTCACATTAAAAAACAGGCTATTTCAGAAGTAAGTAATTCTTGATAATATCATTGCAACCCTATTCACAACATACATCCAGTCATCAGAGGAATTGGCAAATGTGGTATCAATACCATTGTCTGTAACGCCCTCCTCCAAAAGAAATAGATTCTTGACAAGTTGTTTTTTGTTTCAAGTTATTTTTATCAATAAACCAATCTTGCAATTATTTTGAATTCAACCTTTGCAACAATCGCATTCTGTTCAAAAAAAATGAGCAAGGTAAGGTTTTAGGGTTCCGTCTTTGAATAATATGAATGATAATGGATGGAAATTAAACAACTCATGGAATGCTTGTAAATGTTGGATGGATGGTTAACGATCATTCTATTTTTGTTTGGATGTTTATATTCCGATGATTGAAATTGTTGATGAATGAATTTAATTTGAAAATAGAGACAAGCTCCTTCATCATCTAATAGTAAAACTTCTCAACCTCAACAAAAGAAAGTCAAAAAATCACCAAACGAATACCGAGAACAAGATAAACAATATAAATATGAACAGTCTGTGAGATATTCTTTGGATTTCAATAACCCAGATTGTCCCATGATATCTTGGTACGATTGGAACGAGTGGTTATTTGTAAAGCGATACTTGTTTGATCAACCTGAAACGACAGAATTTTCGGAACGAGCAATGGAAATTTTAGGAATGTGGAAAAACAAGTTTAAAATTCAAACTTCAACAATTGTGGAAGCAAGTTATTTGTTTTTGGAAGGACTTCGGTTGGATTCTCAAATTTCTGTTCTAAATACTCAAAATCATGCACTGCATGTGAACGTGAAATCTATACAAGAACAAGCACTAAGTAATGCAATTGTTAGATTTGTAAATTTATTTAGCAAGGATGGGAAAACAAAACAAGCATCAACGCTCGCAATAGGATCAAGGCAAGCTGATTGTCCCAAGATGCTCGTTGATGTCAGAAATGAAATTTCTCACCGAAAATTCCCTTCTATTGAAATTTTGCGAAATTGTGCTAAACTCGCATTAAAGTGGATAAAACAGAGATATTGGGATAAACAAGAAGAACATTTACTCAATTACCAGAAAGAATGGATCCAAAATTCCAATCAATATATAATACTTTTCAAGCAGAGAATGGAATTGCCGCAAGTGGAAGAAGCATTTGATAAAAAAGAAAAGCAACGACGAAAAGAACGAATCGATTTGGCAACGAGAGACATTGAAAAAGTTGAAGAAAAGCTCATTTCACAATCCAAGGGACCTTGTTGCTCCTTTATCATTCAGACGTTTTTGTTACAAGTACTGACTGCTCCACAGTACAACACTCGAAAAACTTCTCCAGATATGGTTGTGAACAAAGTACGACATCTTTTGGATTTTCTAGATTCAAGAATAGACTTTGTTTCAGGTTTGATCACGAACATTTTTATAATCGTACGCGATTTTGAACTTTATTCCTCCAAGTACAATATTGAGAAACATCCCATGATTGTGGTGGGTTGTACGGTTTCCTTTGAAACGATTGAACTGGCGTTTGGCTATTTTGATTCCTTGTTACGGATGCTGATTAGAAAGTCTAAAGAGCGAGCGTTGGCAATTAGTCAGTGGATTTCTGAACAAGTAGAAATTTCCAAGAGCGAATTGTAAGTTGATCCTAAAATTCTGAAATATCAGATTAATATTCTATATTTTCTCTAACAATATTTTTTAACTAATTAAGGCTAGAGGTTCTTCAAACAACTATTCACAAACATCTGAAAGATGAGGTGGTGTCATCATCTCATGTGCCTCTTGGTGTCGGTGACTCTGACACAGTTCTGTTCCACCACTTATTGAAAATTGAAGATATTGCTTCAAATACAATCTAAGATGTTGTTTTATTCCAGAAAATTAATCTTCTTCATCTTCAGGAATGAACTCATCAGCCTCATCATCTTCGTCCTCAATTTCAGCTTCACTTTCAGATGAGATGGCTTCTTCTTCCTCTTCGTCACTTTCTACCTCCTCTATGACCTTGTTGCGGCGAGTGGATCTAACTGGTCGCTTTTTTGGTTCGTCCTCTGGTTCTTCTTCATTGTCCCCATCTATTTCCACCACCTCTGTATTGTCATCGGTTTCATCCATTTCATCGACCTTCTTCTTGATTAAGTAATCAGTAATAGAGGTCTTTCTCTTCTTTGTTGGTTGTTTTGGAGTAGTATTGGATGATTGCTTCTTCTTGGTTTCGCTAATAATCTCGTCATCGCTTTCATCCTTTGCCAATTCTACTTTAGAGGTTGCTTGTTGTCTTCTCTTCAATCTCTCAGCAAGAGGTAAATCTGCGTCATCAACATCCATCGTATCCTCAACTTTTTCTTCCTTTTTGACGGACTTGGATGATGACTTGGCAGATTTCTTTTTCTTGCCACTGTCTTCTTCATCACTACCAGCTTCGTCGTCATCGGACTCCACCTCATCCTTCTTTTTGAAAGCTAGCTTTGATTGTTTGCCTGTGGTCGATTTAGAAGAGCTTGATGCTGCTTTCTTTCTGGTTGTCTTGGGTTTCTTTTCTTCTGTAGCACCGTCTTCATCACTGGCGTCTTCCTCTTTCTTGACAGCCTTCTTTCTGGAACTAGTGGTTTTCTTTTTACCTAATTCAGGACCAGTCTCAATTTCAGGTCTGTCGGTAGATTTCGAACGATAACCAAGAGGTCTTGGAATTTTGCCTGTTTTCTTTCGTTCTTTTTCAATCTTTTTAAGGTAGAGCTCATATTCCTTCAATTCTTTGGACTCAAATTTGTCTAATTGCTCCAAAAATTCATCCAATTCTCGCAACCAAATATCTTCAACCTTTGTGTTTTCTAAATTTTCGACTTCTTGTTCTTTGTCTGCCTTTTCTTTTTCTAATTTCTTGACTTTTTCAGCGGTTAGCGACCAAAGTGGCATAGAGAGCAAGTAATTGTAGCCATCAGTTAGTGCATCATTCTCAGAGCCATCTTCTTCATTCTCGTCTTCGTCAGCAACATCTCCTGTTGAAATCTTTTTATCTTTAGGGTAAGCAGTATATTTCTTCGTCTTGAGTTCCTTTAACAAATCTTCTTTCTTTCTCCTCTTCATCTCGATGGTTCCATTTATCACCTCTGTAATGAATCGTACCTTATTGGATAGCATATCTAATTCTTTACGAAGTTTTTCAAGCATGTAATCCTTTCTCTTGTTGTAATACTTGAGTCTAATTGGGTAAAATTGTTTCAATATATCTGTAACAGAGTCGTACTCGTTGAGAGTTCCATCTTCTGCGAAGAGTACCATGTTTGTTGTAGCAAACTTTTTGTACAGCTTAAAGTACTCATAAAAACCTTCCTGTTCAGCTTTTTTCATTTGAGAGTCAGTCATTTTGATGGTGAATGAAACGGTAATATCGGTATGATTTTCCCTAAAATCATCAATACGTTCCTTTGTCATCATTTCTTCTAAACTTTCCTTGAAAACTTCTGTCCAAACTCGTATTGGTAGTTCACGAATTTCAATGGTATTATCATCAATTTTTTCAGCAATACCTTTAGTTTGCCACTTCTTGGAAGCATATGTCTCAATCGTACCGTCAAAACCCTTAAACCATGGATAAAATTCTTTAGGCTCTTCATTGTTAATCATTCGTTTCAGGTTTTCTACAATATCTACTGGGTTGTAGTTATCAATTTTTGTTCGCCATGCTGTACCAATACCCTCAGTACCATTGACAAGAATCATGGGAATAATTGGAACATAGAATTTAGGTTCAATGGGTTGACCATCGTCATCCAAATATTCTAAAATTGGGTCGTCAGCCTTTGGGAAAATGTATCTTGTGATTTCTGAAAGTCTGGTGAAAATATATCTGGCACTGGCGGCATCTTTTCCACCTTGTAACCTAGTACCAAACATACCACTTGGATACAGCAAGTTGATGTTGTTGCTTCCAACAAAGTTTTGAGCCATGTTAATAATGGTACTTGTCAAGCTTTGCTCTCCATGATGGTATGAGGACTGCTCTGAGACATAACCTGCAAGTTGGGCAACCTTAATTTCGCTTTTCAAATTTCTCTTGAAACAGCTGAACAGAATTTTTCGTTGTCCAGGCTTCAAACCATCGACGATACTTGGAATGGATCGTTTACAATCTTCTTTCGAAAACAATACGAGCTCCTTATCAATAAAATCCGAATATAAAATTTCTTTCTTTGTATGGTCAATATAGGTACCCTCTTGATGATTGTTCAGCCAATCCTTTCTTTCTTTTGTCAGGTCTTTAGAAAAGGCTGTATTAATTTTTTTCTCGCACTCAGGATCAAATTTGAATTTCTTTTGGTGCGTGTCCATATTGGAAAAGTACTCTTTGGCCTCTGTGGAGTTGCTTGTACCCAAACCCTTGTAGTATTTGATGGTCCAACTCTTAGTATCTGTCAAGCTCTCTTTCCACTCTGTGTATTCTGGAATTGTAAAGAATGATAATGATTTCTTGGTTTTCTTATTGGTTGCCTTAACAATAGGAGTAATGAACTCTTTCAAAAATCCTGGAATTTTAAGTAAACCAGGCCAAAACTTGTGTATAAAGTTGATGAGAAGACCTTTGATGTGTGAACCGTCATGATCTTGATCTGCCATGATCATAATACTTCCATATCTTAGAGTTTTTAAATCGTCCTTGGTGTAATCCTTGTCGAATTTTAGACCCAAAATTTTAGCGAGTGTACTAATTTCTTCATTCTTTAAGACTTTTTCTAGTTTGCAATCTCTCACGTTAAGTGGAACACCTTTCAAAGGAAAGACTCCGTACTTGTCTCTTCCTACTACACTCAATCCGCTCACAGCCAAAGCTTTGGCTGAATCTCCTTCTGTAAGAATAAGAGTGCATTTCTCTGAATTCTTTCCACCTGCGTCGTTGGCATCGTCCAGCTTTGCAATGCCTGTAAGTCTTGATTTCTTTGTACCTGATTTCTTATTAAGCGCCTTTTCTGACTTAAAATCGGCATACTTCAGAACTGCATCCGAGGCCAATTTAGTGACCTTTTTCAAGAAATCTTCCTCTAGTTTACATTTGGATCCAAAATCTTTAACATTTGTTGTAAGGGTTTCTTTAGATTGGGATTCAAACGAAGGGTTGATGATCAGTGCGCTAACAAATACCCACAACTGATTCTTAATATAGGCAGGTTTGATGGTGCTGTTCTTCTTGATAAGAACCTTTTTCAAATGGTCTGAAATTTGTTTTACAACATGCTCAACATGCTTTCCTCCTTTTGTAGTGCTAATACTATTTACAAAACTGACTTGCTGCATAGTTCCATCACTGAGAGTAACGGCAACTTTCCACCGCTTTCCGTCATCATAGTATTGGATTTCCTTATCTACCGTGTACAACTTGACATAGTCTTTGAATGTCTTGATTCCAGTAACTTTCTTTCCGTTCAACCAAATGGAAGTGCCAGCTTTTAAGGTTCCTGCCAAATCGTAAACTCGCTTTTTCATGAGGCCAACAATGTCAGAATCCAATTTGTCCATTCCAAACTTGGAAAGATCGGGATAAAAAGTAATTTCAGTATAGCTGTCTGCTTTCGAGCATGTAGTAATTTTTGGATCTTCCTCATTGCTCATGTTTGCTGTCCAAACTTGACGAAGCTTTTTCCTTTCTTCACTATCTACTGTTTCAACAATGAATTTTTCTGAAAAGATATTCGTCAACTTGGCACCATAACCATTTCTTCCTCCTGTAACTCTCTTCTGGGTATCATCAAAGTTACTACTGGTCAACAAATGACCAAAAATTAAAGTAGGCACATAAACTTTGTGTTCTTGATGGATCTTAACTGGAACGCCACTGCCGTTATTCCAAACACAAATTTCATTCTTTTCAGGATCAATGGTAACCTTGATTTTATCACACTTCTCATCCCTCACCACATGATCAGCGGCATTCACGAGTATTTCATCAAAAATTTTGTACAAGGCTGGAACATAACGGATAGGCTTGAGTCTCATTCTACTCAATTCATCATCCCAAACCCAATGTTCTTCCTCTTCTTGCATGTGAGTAGATCCGACATAGGTATCGGGTCTCAACAAGATCTGTTCACGGAGAGACTTTTTCTTGTAGACTTCTTCTACAGTCTTGTTCTTGTTGGAAGAAGCTTCATCTGCTTCAATAAATTCTACATCTTCGGATTCAGCTCCATCAGATACAACTTCATCATCCGATTCGTCTTTTCTCTTACGTTTGGTGGAAGAGGTTTTACTCGAGGAAGAAGAGGTAGCGGCCGCTGCTTTCTTTTTGGGTGGCATGGAAAAACAGATATCTATTTTTCTTTTTTTTTT